TTTTAGATAGACCGCCCTGGGAGAGATTTTGGGGGGGGGGAATAAACAGTTTCAATGGTTGGCGTAGCACGGATAAAGTTATATTAGCCTAATATTGCATTAGATTGTGGGAGGATCTTACTAGCGAAAATAAGGAGGGCCTAACATTTAGAAGCGGATATAGACTTCCTACGATTATAGGAGGCTTATAAAGCTTCCTAGATACCATCCTCGTTTTTATTAGGTTTTTAGGTGATATAGAGTATGTAATAGTAGGGAGAAGTTAGTAGACAGGATAAATTTTTATTAGGCGGGTTTTATTGGACCAGAGAGGATCTATAACTACGCATACAGTCAGGGTCCGAGTTAAGGGGACGATTATACTAATAGCGACTAGGTCTAGTAATAGTCTAGATCATATAAATTCCACCTATTTATAACACCCAAGCTCAAGTATATCTAACCATATAAAATATAGTATGTAGTTACGATTGTTCATGGAACCAAGCGAATTAAATTATTTATCTTCCCTCCGTCTTCTAATAGCCCTATACCTTACATATGGTCCTCCAAAAACAAAACTCCTAATTAGCGCCTAACTGAACTATATTCATTGGTTTAGGACAGAATTCAAAGATTCTTAAATTTGAGTCTCTAAATGGGCCTAATTAGATTTAAATTAGAGGAGTATAGAGGCTATCCTATTTATTATGTTAACTCCGTGCTTTTCAAAACTATATATATAATAACATTTTCTTGATAGAACCATAGCATAGATTTCTAGGTACGCTTGTAGATAGGGCTCTATAGCTCTACTATAGGTTCTAATAGGCGAGCTCAAGCATATATACGTAATTGGATTATGTTAAGACTTTACGCTAGTTAGTATAAGGGCGATATTAGACCTCTATACGCTCTTCAGATCGATGGCGTGCATAGGTTCTAGTCATATGGGAAACACCTATATTAGCCGCGATTCTAGTTGGCGATTAATTGCCCTAGTTTGATTGTATAAAGGACAGAGCGAGTTAGATCATAATGTTTGGTATTTGGCCTTCGATTTCCCCTTGTTTCGGTCCTAAACTAAAGTATATGTATTAAGAAAATTAAAAAAAATAAGAGGATCAGGGCGGTATAACTAAGCTGAAGTAATAGGTCATATATAGTACTTATGGGGCTAAGACCGTTCTCTAGTGACTATTATTATCATAGCGCAATAGTTTATTTAGTCATAGTCCCTACCTAATTCTATAGAACCCACCTATTCTGTGACCAGCCTGAGGCTGTACCTTGAGCACGTGATATGATTTCTGTTTCCGTAGATAGTTCTCTTTGTTTCTCCCTCTTCTTTCCCTTCCCCATCTTCGATGTCCCGTCGACCACTGTACCCAATATGACTTCCTGATCTCTGCTGGATTTCTCCTTGGTAGACGCCCGGTCACATATTATACCTACCTATATATATTCAAAATTATAACGTTATATCTGATAGAATATTAATTATTTATTACTATCTCTACATTTCTAACCCCTAATATCTAGTATAATACCCCTGTATGCGCTTAATAGCTATAATCTTGTCTTAGAACTAACGTCATTAAACTATTAATCTTCTTATATCAAAACATCCTATGTTTTATATATATACGCTTTAAAGAAATCCTAATCGCTCTCTATCCTAGATCGACTACTTTGGGACATAAAAATTTTCGATTTAGTCTAACCGAGTTTAGTCAGGTTCAAAATAGGCGAGTATTGAGTTCATAGTGCTTGGTAAAACCCTCTTCGAGCGTATCGAGGTAGGATTTAGTAATATATCCGTTGCTCGCTAAGTCAGACCTATATAATCATTAACTTCGTATAGCCACTAATCTAAATTCTAATCTAAATTGTCTATGAAACATCTTTTATATAAGGTTCAGGTTTATAAGATCCATTTGATTAAGCTTTATTTAGACTAGAAGATTTATAAGTCCTTAAGATTCAACCTCCGTTAAACAAAATATTCGCCTAAAAAGTGACATCCTACAACCTATATCTCCGCTAAAGCTAGGCAAATCGACGTCATTAAGCTGTAATTAGATTTAAAGGTATATAGTGCCTTAACTTTGTACCTTTTAAGGCTATAATCCTTTCACATTTAACGAATTATAACCAAACTCGGATTCGTAGGACTATTCATAGAGGGCAGAGTTCACATTAAAATATATAAGTTAACGTTAACTATCTGAAAGTAGATTAGGTAAAATATTTAGGTCTATTACTATATACCTCTAGCGGTACAGAATTTGAAGACTGTTTCATATATTTCTTGGGGAGAATCTCTATTAATCCTTTATTAGCCTTTGCTATGGTAACTATTTAGCCCGCTATTGGGCGGAATTATATGAAAGAGCTTCTGTACTATAAATTTTGCTAGAGTTAAAAAAAGTACCAGACTTATAGGCAAGGATCAATAAGCGCTATTAACGAAAAGACTTTATTAAGCTATTGGCTCATAATAGTAAATTAAAGATATCAGGAAGCTAGTTCTGAGATTTATAGGTTTATTTTAGATCCTTAATACTACCGGATTATCAGCGTATGGGTTATATTAAGATTAGTATCCAAAAATCTATATTTTATATTTCTTTACTTAATTAAGCCTTAGTTGTAAGGTAATAATAAACACCGCCCCACACTATATATAAAACGTAATGATAAATAGGAAGTCGAAGTTAAAAGACGAAAAGATCTTTTATAGTAATACGTAGTTCTTAATTGAATAGAATGGTTGGCCCTTAGAATTTAATCAGTGGGCCTTAGATATAGGGAGTAATTATAATGTTCTAAGACTTCTATATTAACTTAATACTGTGGTATAGTATACTGAATCATAAAGACAAAGGAAAAATAAACCTAACATATCTTAAGGGAAAATATCTAGAGGCGAAACGTTAGCAGTATATTACAAATCAAGAAGGATCTTTACCTAGTTATACTTCTTAGTTATATAAACCTGTACTCTATTTAGTACTCTTCTATATTCTTTGGACGATCATAGATAAATAGCCGCTATGGTTAAATTAGCCGTCCTTTGCTCAAGATGTAGAGGGTTCTAGAGGTTGTAATAGAACTTATACGTAAATTTGTCGAATCTTAATTTTTACAAATTTTATAAACATCAAGTATACTAGTAAGAACAAATGCTAACCTTTCTAGTTTATATAAAGTTTGAGATACTACTAGGGTGATAGCTATACGCCTCTAGATCAAGAAATTAAGTTGAAGGATATTCTCTAGTCTACCCCTACCTATAACCTCTAGAAGCGCGATATAGTTTTCCTTAACCTATATTAGTATATATTCAAAGAGGCCCTCTCGAAGTACTAGGATAGGAGTATTCCCTCAGGCTAAGAAGACGCTTAAGCTAACTAACCCTTTCCTAGATTATTTGTACCTCTACATTAATAGAGTTTTAGGTCTTAGTACTAGTAGGTCTGATAATCTAACCAGGCGGTACCGCTTAGGTAGTAACTTACCAGGAGTCCGCCTACTAAACGTCTATATAAGGGATATTTAGCTATAAGAATAGAGAGCTGTCGTTTTTCACTTGCTTAGAGAGATGGCGTCGAGACTCCGGGTAAGTCAGAGCGCCACGGTAGAGACCCTAGAAGGGGCGAGACCGTGAAGGAGAGCAAACGAGTGGGGGGAGTTGTATTGATTGAGTGATCTCTCAAAAGGGAAATCCTATCTATCTAGGGCAGTGGGCGCTGACACATCAGGTGTGACCGGATGTCAGATCAAGAAAGAAAATCAATAAAGAATTCAATTTGAGTACGTAGTCGACGGGAGATCCAAGTTGAGAAAGGGAAGAAGAGACAGAGGAAGAGTCTCTATTTATCTACAACAGTCCATGTCCTTTCTCAACTGTCAAACGCAATCCTCAAACGTAGTCCTCAACCTTGCATCATGTCGGAGTTACCAGGGCCATGGAAGTCTGCATTGTGGATGCCAGCATGACGGCTTCCTGAGACAGATGCCAACGGGTTCCCGAGACAGCGGTCCCGTCATACGCGGTTCCGTATGCGTAGTTCCGTTACGACTGGTCACATCAGGCACCTACCTCGCCATAAAGAAGAAGGATTAGAAATACGAATGCCTAAGGCCTATCTAGAAGCCCCCAGATTTAGAATGATTTAACGATATATCCGAAGTCAGTTGATACACATTGGGTAAATCGTGGACTAATCAGGAGTTCTCTAAGCCTCAAAGCTAGTCTCCCTATATCTAGCCAAGGGACGAGCATCCTTCATCTCATACCATAGTTCTCTAAATCCCACAAGGGAGCTCTAAGAACTAAGGTGGTTAGACAAATGAAACTTGCCATGGTAATGCGGGTATAGTATATGACGAATAACAACCATTCTCGTGCGTCTAGATAGCCCCCATATATATGATGAAAACAACGAGCAAATAATGAGCAAACAACAACCCATGGAAAGGTAATTAAGAAACTAAGAACGAATAATAAAGAGAGGAGTCGATAGAGGTCGCCAATCAGATGAGATAGGTAAGCAAGCATCAGGGGAAGACATGATAGAAGACTAGGTTAGAGGTGGAAATCAAGCCTAAACACAAACGACAAGAAGGGAAAGAGACAAATACGTGGCCCTATACAAGGAGGCATAGTATGCAATCTCAACATCCAATGGCATGCATTCGCAGTACATAAGAGCAGACGGAGTGCAATCAAAAGAACAAGTAGATCCACCGATTCACCGCATGCCGACAATAGTACAGCAGCACATACGGTACTAGCAGAAAGACGGTCATAATCAGAGCGAGAGTCATTAAGCTCCAGTCAACGTCCAGATGCTTATAGAACTTACGAGGAACAATCAAACACACAGATCGAAACTATAGACGGTAGCCTACGAACTAGCAGCATAATACTCGAAGGCGTCAGCGACGTACTGGTAAAACGAGATGAAAACGCAGACAACGCCTAGGCCGAAAAAGACCGATGCGGCTAGTGGCGATCACGGTGAGATCGAAGGGCGGGCATCCCGGGCCATCCAGAGTAATGAGGCGGAGATAGTGGGGGAGGCGAAAATAGCCATGTATATACTGATCTCAGGTTCCGGACGAGGTAGGCCACTGGCACGGGCGCGCAAGATGTCCTTACGGACATAGTACATAGCCAGCGGGACAAGGGGGACGCTAGTCATACGCCGACGATAATTGATAGCAACGCTAGGCCGCTCTAGCCTTCGTGGAAGTGATAACCCTTAGTTTAAATGAAAGCGTAGCCGACTAGAAAGGTATAGAGAAGGATAAATATGGTTGACGGACAGACGGCAAAGACCATATTAATTACTTCTATAAGAAGAGAAATGGCTTGGAGAGCGAATGGCCCACCCGTTTTATGAATGGCTATATGTTTCCGGTAAGAAGAACCCGATTGGAATCAGCACAAGAGCAGCAAGCATCGTTGCATAATCCACCGACGGCCGCCGCCCTGGAAACTGCTCTTGCTGACGACTCGGTTGCTCATCGGACTCGATATGGTTGTTCTGGTCGTGATGCTGGCACCCCCGCCAATCAGCCATGATGATCTCCCGGGCAGCCCACCGGTGTCGTCAGGTGATTCCTTCCCCCCGGCTGTAATTGAGTTTGGCGCTGCTGCCTGTGATGTCTCTGCCTGACCACCGCGGGACACGATCATTGGTCATCCCCACACGATCCGATCGCCGCTGGCTGGCCGCCAGCCAATCACCGCCGCCGCTGCGCCGTCAGCATGATATGAGTCAAGGCGGTGCTTGTCACCTGTTATCGCCACAGACAAAGAGACCCCGAAACTGACAAATCACCTGCCATCTTTCCATTGACTTCCAATATATCTCTCCCATCCCGTAATCCTTCTTCTCTCTTCATCTCTCCCTCTCCCTCTTCCCATTCCCATTATCACCATCATAACATAACCCTCTTCATCTTCCCAACCCCAACCCCCCCACTATTGCACCCCTCCCTTTCCCTAAATTCCACTGGCGATCGCCCCTGCATCCTGATCGGAAAATGACCTCATCCGTTGGGCTGCAGCAAGGCAAGCGCCCAACCACCATGAATCACCTACCCTCGGTGTCCAGCCTCATGTCGCCTCCCGAGACGAAGCCGCTCGAGAGCTTTCAGTCCTCCTTCTCGCCGCTGATGCCTCGGGACACATCGCTCGGTGGCGATGTTACGCTCCCGCCCATCTCAGCAGATCGGAAGCGCACCCAGTCCGAGATGGACCTGCCTTCCCCCCCCCGTGACCCCGTACACGGGGAACAAGAAGAGGAGATCTCAAACTGCAGAGCAGATCGAGCGAGATGTCAGCTCGTCGCGGGACCCTGTCCTCTTCCCGCGCCACGATTCCATCACCGAGGTTGCCACTGATGAGCCGCTCTTCGGCCCCATCGCCCCGCCGGCCGCTCAGGCCCTTGTGGAGCAGCACATCAATTCCCACATGGCGAGGTTTGAGAACAAACTGAACAAACCTACTCGTGATGAATATCTCCTGGCGCTCTCTTGTGTGCCGATGGTATCGACCCACTACAACCGCAACCCGCTGGCATGGGCCAGGGAGGAACGCGAGACCCTAGAGCGCCAGCTAATCTTGATGAACCGTTATCGTCCGGACGTGGAGGCGAAGCTGAAGAAGATCGCCCCAGCCCCGTCCAAGAAGATGGGGATCACCCAGCCGCGGGTGCAGCGCACACCCCGTGCCAAGCGAACCCCCAAATCTACCCCAAAACAACAGGCCCTGGATCACTTTGATTCACCCGGGTCGGCCGCGAAACCCTCCCGCACTCTGGGAACCGCCCGGGATGACACAGACTTTCACTCTCTCCAGGACTATTCACCCCCAGTGGAAACCCTCGGTGGCAATGCGAAAGCTCTGAAAGCAGACTGGAAGGGCCAGATGTTAGACTTGAGCAATGACCCGGACCGACATCTGCTCAGTCCGGCCGAGCTCAACCTCGCTTCCACGTTGCGCCTGTCGTGCGCGACGTATCTCTGCAGCAAGCGCCGTATCTTTGAAGCCCGCGTCAAGGCTTTAGGAGTCGGCAAGGAGTTCCGCAAGACGGACGCTCAGCAAGCCTGCAAGATTGATGTTAACAAAGCAAGCAAGCTTTGGACGGCCTATGAGCGTGTTGGCTGGTTCAAACCTGAGTTTTTCACCCGATTTCTACGGTGAAGGGCTCTGTTGTTCCATGGATCATCGCCACCTCGCCTCCTGGCAATATCTTTCCCCACGTACCTCATCTTTCTTTTGGTTATGCGTTCCTCTGCTGGCGTCGGATGATCACCGACGGTCCCTCCATTCTCGGCCTCGAGAGAGTGGCCTCCCCCCCCTGGGGACGAACGCTCCCCCCCCGAGTAACTGACCCATCTTCCGTCCCTCTGTGGACGATTCGACTATTTGACCCATTACAATTCCAGCATCGTCTTGCTGTGCTACACACAGAGACAATGACTTTGGATGGCATATAGGATTTCATGCCATCCCCACAATTGACCTTTCGACTTCCACACGACCCAATGGTCGTGGACGATTACGATTGCATTGACGACAACATTCCTTTCTCCGATCTCATTCCCTAACCCGTTTCGCTCTTTCATTCATTGCTGTTAGGCTCCTGGCTTTCGGCGTTTGGTACTGTCCTGCTTTTTCACTTACGTCTAGAATGGTAGGATTTGGTCTCTGGTGTTTGCCTCGTTGTGAATGATTTTGGTTTTTGTTCTCTCGGAGGGAACTCGGGCAGATAGGATGATGATACCCTGACATAACGATGGAACCATTCTCTTTTTCCATTCCCTGCCTATTCATCAATAGCACGTACGCAGTAGTATTCTATCATCGACTGAGGGCTCGCCCCACCGTGCTTACATAAACCCACCAATCAAAGCGCAGGGGTCACGGGTAAGTCAGGCCGCGCCACCTTTTCCTGACTTATCGTTTCGTCTTTTGGCTCAAGCCTTAGTCTTCCCTTCAAGGCTTCCCTTCTTCATCCATTCACGTCCATTATTTGCCCACCATGTCCCAGGCTGAGGTAACACGCACCGAATCCATCGACGAGCAGGAGCGTGCTCGAGATGCTGAGGACAAGAAGCCCAAGTCCCGGAGACCCGCCAGTACGCGCTCGGAGACCCTTTCCTCACCCCCTCGACTAGGCTGATTGTTTCCATAGATACTGCGTTTCGGCAGCAGCGGTTGAAAGCATGGCAGTGAGTCTTGCCGCCCGATCACCCTGCTCCCACCGCTCTTGAATTGCGCGCTGACCACTCTGACAGACCGATCCTGACTCCCAAAAGTGTGCTTCCTCTGTTTTTCATCGTTGGTGTCTTGTTCGCCCCGATCGGCGGGGTTCTCATATGGGCAAGCTCACAAGTAAGCATGGCCCTCCTGATTCCACGTTGAGTTTGAGCTGATGGGGGGATGTGCATGTACAGGTCCAAGAGATCAGCCTCGATTACAGCGACTGCACGAAACTAGCGCCCGAAGTTAATAGCAGTGACGTTTCAACAGGGGAATACTTGAGTGACAGTTTGGTATCATCGACTTTCCGGACAAAGTCCTCACAGAAGCCGTATTGGACCAAAACCTGCGACTCGCCGAATTCGTGTACTTGCCACCTTTTTTCAAGATTCCCAACGAACTTCCAGCACCGGTGTACATGTACTACCGGCTCACGAATTTCTACCAGAATCACCGCCGATATGTGCAGTCGCTGGAGTTGGATCAACTGAAGGGTACGGCGGTCCCGAATTCCACCATATCCGGAGGCACCTGCTCTCCTCTCGACATCGATCCCGTTACAAAGAAGGCCTACTATCCCTGTGGGCTCATTGCCAACTCCCAATTCAATGACACCATTGGCAACCCCAAGAATCTAAACTTAAACTCAACTTACGACATGAGCAAGAACGGAATTGCCTGGGCAAGTGATAAAGATCTCGTCAAGAAGACCCAATACCAGCCAGACCAGGTGGTCCCGCCGCCCAACTGGGAGCTCAGGTATCCCCAAGGGTATACTGCCTCTAACATGCCCGACCTTCATAACGACGAAGATTTTTTGGTTTGGATGAGAACTGCTGGCTTGCCAGCGTTCAGCAAACTCTCTCGTCGAAATGACGATGCCGCCATGCCGGAAGGCCTGTACCGGTTGGATATCGTGGATAGTAAGCAGCGCTCGACCTCTTTTGGCTTGTCAGATGCTAATTATGAGCTAGATTTCCCAGTGACCGAGTACGACGGAACCAAGTCAATTTTGATCTCTACCCGTACTGTCATGGGTGGCAAGAATCCTTCTATGGGGATTGCCTATGTGGTCATTGGCGGTTTCTGTGTGCTCCTCGGGGTGTTGTTCACGATTGCCCACTTGGTCCGACCCAGGTAAGATTTGCTTTGAGTGACCGTCGCAGTATCTGGGCTAATTTGTGGCGCAGGAAATTGGGTGACCATACCTATCTCACTTGGGAGTCGAATCAGCCCAGCACCGCAGTCGCCACAGGCCGAGATGACCGATTTGGGCCTAATGCCATTTGAGAATCTCACTTTTAGGCACTTCCATACTTTTTCATGGCGTCTTTAAATTTTCCTTCTTTCTCCCCTGGACTGGATCTGGCTGTACTCAATACCTTTCTTTTTTTGCCCCTACGCGCATTGGGCTTGTGAATTATTAAGAATCTGTTCTTGGCCATGGTGTTTTGCAAGGAGTTTTTTGTATTTAACCCACATTGCAGATGGCCCCAATATACATTCTTTCTGTTTGGCAACATTTGGATGACCTCACGTCACGTTTCAGCAATGTCTCGGAACTCGCGCCAGGCCAGTCGGCCGCTGCCTTCTCGCTCTGGGGGCCCGCATGCTCGGAGGGATCCCTTACGCGCAACATGCATTCCATCCATGACGCAGCATTCCTTGTGGCCGGGACCATGTTGACTGAGCATGAAGGCTGCGACTCGGGCCATGTAGACACAAGGAACCAAATTTCTCTTTCTGTTTGGAGACAGTGTGGCAGGCGAAGACATTCAGGGCGTGCAGAACACCGGCAACATGGCCTTTCTCTCCTTTTTTCAGCTCGTGGCCCTATCCATTCTTTTCTTGCAGGCCCAATACAGTAGTGCTGCTCTTTTGAATCGAGGCATCTGCGCAACGGAAGACCCCGATGAATCTCTCCTGGGCGAGTTACAGCGTTTGAAGTCGAATGAAGCGCAGTCCGATCCCACGGCCGAGGGTCGGTTGTTGCCCATCGAAATAGACACCTGGTTTCATATCATCAGGAGCGAGGCAGAGACTGATCAGGTCTCACAAGAGATGGTTGCTGCTCAGGTCTGTTATCCCCTTTTCCACTTACATCCATGCCGGTGTGTTGATTGCTTCGCAGCTTTCGATCCTGCAATATGCTTATATGAATACAACCATCTCATATCGATTGCAAGGCGTGACTTGGCACGTTAACGACACTTGGGCCCGTAATGAGGATGAGTTGGGCATGAAGCGGGCCCTCCGACAAGGCAGTTATCAGACCCTGAACGTCTATTTCCAAACCGATCTCGAAATGCCTCCTGGGGAGCAGGCTGGGCGAGCCACTGAACACCGTGGGAACAGTGTGTCGAGCGATATGTCATCCAGCGTCCTGGGGTTCTGTACCTTGCCCGACCCCAGTATCAATATCAGGAGCGCCTATGCAGACTATGTCAAAGATGGTTGCAACATCCTGGCTAAAACGATGCCTGGTGGCTCACTGGACTTGTACAATCGGGGCGGGACTGCTATTCACGAGATTGGGCACTGGAATGGTCTTCTGCACACCTTCCAGGGGGAGTCGTGCTCGCCAGACAACGCAGGCGACTATATCGGTGACACGCCTCAGCAATCCACTCCTACTGATGGCTGTCCGGCTCGCAAAGATTCTTGCCCTGATTCGCCCGGCCTGGATGCAATCCATGATTTTATGGATTACTCGTCCGACGTGTGCTACGAAAGTTTCACCCCTGGCCAAGGGAAACGGATGCGAAGCATGTGGGCGGTCATGCGCGCTGGCAAATGAAGCGGGTCGATGTTTTCGTTCTGTACATTCGATCACTTCTTTTGGAACCCCCAAAGATGTAGTGTAGCTTACCAGTCATTCGCATACCGGAATGATCTACTCCTATCGGGCTTACTCGTTGGATTACGAGACTCTCGTCAATGCAGAAATCAACGACTTAAATATGATTTTTGTTCGCAAATACCCTCGAAAGTTAGGTACTCCTACCTAGGTACCCGTTGTAGCCAGGTGCAGCTTGAGGGAAGATACAAGAAGAACAAAAAAAGCAGGAATGAAAAAGCACAATGCCTCCTCCATGTCGGCGCCCTCGATACTAGCGCTTGCGTTTAGTTCCGCGGTCGTCGTCCATACTGCTTTCCTTATCCTTCTTCTTGGCCTTCTTCTCGAGCTCGTCCCAATCCTCGCCACTCTCTTCATCCGCACTGAAATCACTCGCATCTGCGCTAGCGTCATCATCATATTCCTCGCTATCTTCCTCGGAGCTTTCATCGGCGGCAAGCTCTGATTCAGAAAGTTCAAAGGCCGACTCTTCTTCCTCCTCGGAGCCATCTTCCGAATCTGATTCGGCTGCCAGGAATGACCACCCACCGTCGGCAAAGAAGCCGTACGGATCACTTACAACCGTTTTTATGATTGTGGTCCAGTTAAGATTCAGCGGTCCCTCGGAGAATGGGATATCAACGGAATCAAGCCAGTCTTTGACCCCCTCTAGAGCCTCAACCGGAATCGTGTTGATGTGCACAGGAGGACGATGGAAGTCCTTAAAGACGAACACCATGTCGAAGTTTTTGAGCCCAAACTGCAATTGTACTTATTAGCAAAAAAGGAAGGTTCAACAGGGGAAGACCAAGTGGACGTTACCTGCACTCTTTCTAGATGTGCAATCTCAATCTCGTTCAAGGTGATGACCATGAATGGTGGCTCAGTCAGTTGAACCAATGCATCCGTGGTCGGCTGAATCAGAACGTTAGAGCGGTTGGGAACACCGGTAAAGCCAATCTCTCGGAACGGGATGTCGACATCCACTCCCTCATCTTTTCCGGCATCCGCAACCTTCTCTGCAAAGGCCTTGAACTCGCGGTTGAGAGCTGCTCTCCGGCGTCTCTCCTCCTGCTCTGCCTCGAACTCCTCTTCGTCCCCATATCGATGCTTGCGCCGGCGGTTTCCAGTTTCATCAAATTGCATCTCAGTGGCCTCGCGGTAGAATTGGACATCTCTGGTCTTTCTCTTCCCAATCATGATGGGAGTCTTCAAATGCACATGAATGACCACAATCAGTTCATGGTCACATGGCTGGAAAAAGAGATGCTTGATATTGCTAAAGAGAACGTCCACATGCTCATTGCGGAAAGGCGACAGATACCGGAGACCATTTTGGTGGATTTCGACTTCGCCCGGGACCCGCTTTCCATCCAACGGTGGCCGAAGGTAGACATCAGGGAGCTTCACAGGCCGACGGTCTAGCATAGAGTCAGTATTAACGTAGCGGCAGTCAGAAAAACTACGCAGACTTACTCCTGATCTCGACAAGCTTGTCTTGCTCGACCACATCTTCCATCTCCTTCTTCTCTTGCTCCTTCCGCAAGGCAGTCTTCCGCAGCTCTGTGATGTCCTGCGCCACCTGTGCCAATCGATCATTGTCCTTCGACCGTAGCGTCAGATTGCGGACGAAGTGAGCGGAGATGTCTTCGAATGGTTGGTCATCTTTCCGGCCAACTCCCTGACCCGGCGACAGGAAATTAATACGCAGATAGGCGTATTCTCCCTCATCGCTCTTGCTAGCATTCTTGATGGTATTGATATGGAATGGCACTGGTCTGCCCATAATGGGCACAATGACGGTAGCAGCTTTGTGGTCAACATAGATGGTCAGGTCTTTGACCTTGGCGGGCAGTTGATTATCTCGTTTATAAGACTCAAAGCGCTTGAATTTCTTTTGGGCCACACCATTTTCATCACCAGTGGTACCGGCAAACCTGTCCAAGCCCTCCCTGGTTTTCTTCAAAGCCAGTTCCTTTTGATGCTCGCGGCGACGCGCTTCAGCGCCTTCGTTGATCTGGGTTGGCCGCTCAGCACGAAGCTTGGTTCTGGTGACATTCCTGCTATTAACAGTGCTGGACTTAGTGTCCTTCTTCTCCTTGGCTGGCTTTTCCGGCTCTTCCTCGTCTCCAAAGTAGAAGGAGACTGAATCCATGTCAATACCGGCATCCTTGGTAAAGACATGAGGGCCACTTTCTCCGACTCGCACTGTATCGGTGATAACCATGGAATAGACGCTGTTTTTGGCCTTCGCGTCCGGATCATTCACGTCAGTCAGACCAATGGTGATTGAAAGAGTCATGCCGTTCTTCAAGGTCTTGTTATTTTTGGAATTGAGCACCATGTTGGCATCTCGAAGCTCAATTCCGATCCCAGCCCCAATGCTCTTGACAAAGTGGCTCTCGAGTTCAGGCTTCTTGGCTCGGACGAGTCCTAGTGCCTTGTTGTAGACGTCTTTGGCAACCGCACCGTCACGGATCTCCTTCAAAACGGCTTCGTGGATGTTCAGCAGAATTGCGTAGTTTGCCTCCTGAGATTTGCTGGGATCAACCAAATAGGTACGCCCAATGAGTGAGCTGTAAGTTTTGTATCTGATTCCGAAGCTGGACAGGATGATTCCAGGCTGAAGGTTGTTGTTGTTGGAGGTTGCGGTGAGCTTCAGGTCGTATGCTCCTCCACTCTGAATCACTGGCCCGTAGGCCCAGTCGATTTGCCCGGCATCGAACTCCGAAGGTAGTTTCGGAAGCTTATTGAAGAACTTGGCTTCGTCAATCTTTGCGTCGACTTTGTTCGCGAGGGCTTTGTGCGTCATTTGCTTTTCTTCGTCGAGCAACCGTGACATCTCATCGACGAAATATTCGGACATCAGGCCACTACATGCCCTCGATGCATTTCGAATAGCAACCTACCACCCTGTCAGTGTCTCGTAATGGAAGTGTTAAGAAGGGATCCCAAAAGACTGACCAGTTCGTCGGGATCCTTGACCGAAAAGGCACTCGCAGACAGCGCTGAAGCGATGTCGACCTCCTCGACCTCCTTTGAAATATCTGAAAAAGCCCGTTTCCATTCCTCGGCAAAGGGACCGGAGGTTGCGTCCTTAGGTAACACACCGACTTTCTTCTGTTGCAGTGACCGTTAGTTTGAGTTGACCCAGTCAAGTTTTGCCGTATATGGGTGAAGCTACTTACTCCCGCACCCTTGATGACATCCAAGCACTTTTCAAAAGCCTTCGTCTTGGACTCTGGATCCTTCGTAGTGACCAGGATCTCAACGGGAATCTTGCCACCTTTGAGGGGTTCCAGGTGTTTGGCTGTATTGTCACTTCGTTAGTGATGTGTTCTCCAGCGGTGGATCCAGTTGTTATCACCTTTCTTTGCCGCAGTGACCACATATAGCGCTTCGGTGGTCAGGACCAGGAGCGTCGCTGGAAATTCATAACCGAGGAGCCAAAACTATTCTCAGCTTCGATTAGCAATCGGGAATATGCCAGCAACGAGCACTTCAGCCGGAAATTCGATGACTCACATGCATGGCATTGCTTTTCTGAAACGAGTTCTCTTCGTCGGTTTTGCCCATGAGAATGACGATCGAGCCCGCGCCATCAAATAGAGCATTCCCTGTGCGCTTGTCTGTCTTCCAGGTCGAGTACAAGTTGGACAGCCGGTTGAAGAAAGTGGTCTTGTCAATCACAATCTCCTCGGCCATGATGGCGGTTTGGTGCGGGCGAAGTCCGCCGCTGCCAGGGAGGCCGGTTGGTGAGCCGGCAAACTGTCGAGGGAGAGGGATGGGTTGTAAAGCACAGAGAGATGTGTCACTATCAAGAGGAGATGAGCCAAAGCAGTGGATGGCGTGATGTTGGGATGGGGAGGTAGGAGACTGATGAAGAGAGAGAAAGGGAAGAGAAAGAGCTAAGGAGCTTTGCGGGCGACGCGAAAAGCGCGTTTCTGCGCACTTGGAATGAACGGGCGACCGTAGCTTCTTCTATAGCCATTCTGGGATGAGCCATCTTTTTACCTACGTTTCTCTCTCACTCACTCATGGTATCTGCAGCGCCCCCCGGTGCAATTGGGCTCTGAGCTCGGTGATCTTTCACTGGAGCTGCAGTGAATGCTCTGGCCCAGAGCACTCGATTCTGCATGGCCCCGACATGAATCCCGCCATGAACCCAGGCAATATCGAGTCTCGCCTGAGTGAATCGGGCAGTTCACCTCGCCGGAAACCTCGCAATGATGCAGCTACGGGCGCCTCGGCGGCCGGTGTCCGTGCAGTCAGCGCTCAGATGGTGGCGTTCTATTTCAGGGCACCTATCAAAGCATTTTTTCGCACGCGTGTTGAGTATGTGGCTTTGAAATCCCCTCCGAACGAAGCCTCCGTTGTTGACCCACCGTATTGTAGTTACATGGTACATCCTCCAATTGATCCGCAATCCCTACACGTCCCTTCGACTGATAATTCCCGCCTTTGGTCACATTTCGAATAGGCATTCGCAAGAGCCGTGAACCCGCGTGTCGCAGAAGGCAAATGGTCATTGCATACCACCACCCCCGGGTTGCTACTCCACGCCGTTCGAACCTATGGCTGGAGATTTATCCCCAATCAGGTCTTGCCTCCTTTAATGGCAAATGCTGGGTAGGACCGTGGAGCCATGCGCACCTGTACCGAGTCTTCTAACCGTGTTCAGGGTCGGCGCTGTTCTCTACACCTCTTATCTCCAAGTCCTGGGAGTGCTTCATGAACCTGTGTCCCAGGGAGTCAAGCGAGTCTGGCCTCCTGCCCCTCCCTCTTCCACCTTTCTTGCGGGGTTCTCCGCCGGTGCCATCCAGTCGGTGGTAGCGGCTCCTCTCGACGCTCTCCAGGTTCGACTGCGGACCAGCGACATGCTGGAGGGCCAGTATCGGAGCATGTTGCATTACGGCCACCATAAGCTCCAACAGATCGGTCTCCGTGGGGTCTTTGCGGGCTGGGGTCTCTCGTTCCTGCGTGACTCTTTCGGCTCGGCCGTGTTTTTCTCGGCTTTTGAATACGTCAAGTCGCAGTCGTATTACTCTTTTGTCACCTGGTACTACGGATCCCTCCACACCGACCGCCTGGACATCCTCCCCAGCTCTGGCTCCAGCGACCGCGGCGTGCCTCTCATCAAACCCCACTACGCATTGGAGCCCTGCTTCCTAATGATGGCCGGGGTGGTGGCCTCGGTGGCCCAGCAAGCCATCCAACATCCGCTAAGTACGATCCAAGACCTTCACCTCGGCCGGCTGGAATATCTGGACCACCAGGCCAGCCTCGATCCCTCCCGAACCCAGATGCTGCGGCTCTACTACCACGCGTACCAGGAAACCCTTAAGCGTTGCCGACGCAAGGCTGCCCGGGCCGGGGGTGGCGGCCGTGGCTGTTCCGCGGCTTTGTGAGCAGTGCCCTCCGCCAAGTGCCCAGCACGAGCGCCGGACTCGTGATTTTCGAACTTGTGCGGCGGCGGTATGCGAACCCGGCGGATGCGATCCACCTCCAGAAGGACGGATATGACATTCTCCTGACCTAGAGTACATATACCTTTCTCGCTGTATATACATACTGTCCATAGGTACATAAATGATATATTCTTGACTGATCCGTGGTGAGTGGGGATCATGAGCCCCTATTGCGGGTGGGTGGAGACCAACTCTGACAGGTACCGGGTACCTCTGTTGGTTATGAAGTGACCATAGTGATTGCAAGTCACCAGTACCCACTCCCTCTCAGCTGCACGCGTTCAGCCCCAGATAACCGGTTCCTCGTCTTCTATTCTTTTTCTATTTCTCCTCATCATCTTCTTCTTCTCCTCGCCTGCAATTATCATCCGACCTGAAGCTATCCTCGTGTGTCGACCACCCTACCGCACCACCTGATTGCCTACCTCGTCATCCTGCGTCGGTGATCCATCCTCTGTAGCCCGAACTAGTGCCTACGGCCTGACTCTGTGGCGTCCCCTGGTCTTTCTTCCCCGCTAAACACTCACCACTACTACTACTATCTTTCTTCCGTCATCACATTACTCTCCTCCCCCTCCTTCCTTCCCCACGTACTCACTTCGATCGTAACCCGATCGGCCCACGCATTCTTTTTCTCCCGCCTCCAGAGGGCTGATCTTATCAGCCCCCCACCACCGCCATCATTCCTCCCTCAGCGTCTTCCTCCCAACGCGGCTCCATAATTCCCCTCCGCTCCCTCAACGACTCCCCTTCCCCAGATCGATCCATCAAGGTGCTGGAGTCCGCCAGTGAGAAGGGCAGCCGACGCTCTTCTCATTCGTCTGTCCGCTCGGACTCGGACTTCTCTATCTGGTCGGATACAGGGGACCTTGCTGAGCAACTGGCCGAGGCTGAAGATCCGCTTCAGATCCGCCTCCGCAAGTCTGTGGACCGGGAGCTCTTGGGTCGCCGAGGGCGAAGGAAGCACTCGAAGCGGGTCCACTACCCCTCGGACCTCCAAGACGGCATCGACCTCGAGAAGATCGAAATCCCCAACCCCCCTCCGCGCCGTATTTCCAAGGTCGAGCGTTTCTTAGCCATCGCCATGTCCCCAAGCACCCGTCAGAATGCGCAAAGTCATGGCTTGGTTGGAAAGCCACTGCTGTAAGTCCCCGTATAGCCCAAGGAAGAAAGGGAACGACCGTACTAATCCACCGTGTAGCTACTTCACCAGCGTTTTTGTATCATTAGGCGTATTTCTGTTTGGCTATGACCAGGGGGTGATGTCAGGCATCATCACGTTCGTCTTCGCGAGTCCTCAGCCCCTTGGAAAAGCTAACGAATGACAGTGGCTGGTACTTCAAAGACTACTTCGACCAACCCTCTCGGGCGACTATTGGGACCGTGGTTGCTATCTTGGAGGTTGGCGCGTTCATTGCCTCGCTCTTAGTTGGCCGCATAGGCGACCTCATCGGCCGTCGACGGACCATCCTCTACGGCTCGGCCGTGTTCTTCATTGGGGGTGCCTTTCAGGCATTCTCGACAGGGATGCCCATGATGATGGTGGGACGGATTATTGCCGGTCTCGGAGTCGGCGCGCTGTCGACCATAGTGCCTGTCTACCAGTCTGAAATCTCGGTATAGTCCTTGAACCGCTTCCCCCCTCCCCCCCAAAATGTGCTGACATGCCCTGGCAGCCGCCCCACAGCCGAGGAAAATTGGCCTGTATCGAATTCACCGGGAATATCTCTGGATACGCCGCCAGTGTCTGGGTAGACTACTTCTGCAGCTTCATCGACAACAACTACTCCTGGCGCCTCCCACTATTGTTCCAGTGCGTGATGGGTGCACTTCTGGGTGTTGGGAGTTTGATTATCTGTGAATCGCCCAGGTAAGTCTACTCACCTCTCACAAATAGCTCTAGATCTTGCGCTCATTGTTTCAGATGGCTCTTGGATAATGACCATGACGAGGAGGGAATGGTTGTTATCGCCAATCTGTATGGTGGAGGCGATTTGCACAATGACAAAGCCCGCCAGGAGTATCGTGAAATCAAAATGAATGTACTCCTGCAGCGTCAGGAGGGCGAGCGCTCGTACATGGATATGTTCCGTCGGTATCGCAAGCGCGTCCTGATCGCCATGTCCGCGCAGGCTTTGGCGCAGCTCAACGGCATCAACGTTATTTCCTATTACGCTCCCTTGGTGTTCGAGGCAAGTCGTGTCCCTACTCGGCATTATACTTCGAGATAGACAACGTGCTGACTGGAGTGTACAGAGCGCCGGTTGGGCTGGCCGTGATGCAATTTTGATGACTGGGATCAACGGAATCACATACCTATTGAGTACGGTGCCGCCGTGGTATCTGGTCGACCGCTGGGGTCGGCGGCCAATTCTCCTTTGGGGCGCCGTGGCCATGATCGTCTCGCTATCGCTGATCTCGTATTGGATTTATATCGATATTGCCGCCACGCCGACGCTGACAGTCATCTTTGTAATGATCTACAATGCGGCTTTCGGCGCATCCTGGGGCCCCATTCCGTGGCTCTACCCCCCGGAGATTTTGCCCTTGAGTATTCGTGCTAAAGGCGCTAGCCTGAGTACCGCCACGAACTGGGCATTTAACTGGCTCGTGGGAGAGGTAACACCGGTCCTCCAAGCGGTAATTAAGTGGCGGCTTTACTTGGTGCATGCCTTCTTCTGCGCATGCAGTTTTGTGATGGGTAAGTGTTGTTGACGTGCGCATTGCATAGACCCCACTGAACTAATTCTCGCTCTTCTGTCTAGTCTACTTTCTCTACCCCGAAACAAGCGGGGTCCGCCTGGAAGATATGGACCTCTTATTTGGAGATGCAACAACAGCCATGCCAACCCCCGCCACGGATGGTGAGCGCGGGTCTCTGATGGGTGCTGGCTCACCTGTCCCCTCGCTCGACATTCGTCGACCGTACGGCCAATTGGGGGCCGAGAGCGCCATCCCAGGGCTTGACATCGACCCCCCGTCCCTGAGCAACTCCGGCCCCGGCAAATCTGGACGCCCAGATTCTCAGCAAGGCAGTGCTGGTCGCAGCGAAGGGATCGGGGGCTGGATCTCGAACATGGTGAACCGGCACCGGGGACCAGGCAGCAAGCCCAGCAGCAGCCAGTACCGGCGCATTGAGCAGGGAGAGGGCGATGGATCGTAAACATCATGTCCTCTTCCTTTCTTTTGTTCTTCTTTGTTGGCATTGGATGTGGCCTCTTATATTCGCTTGTTTTCTCCCTCTCCTGTATAGTGCCGACCCTCCCATTCATTTCCTTGGACTCTCCTAGCTCATAGAGGCCTTCTCCTAGGTCCTTGGTATCTAGTTAATACATCGTTATTTGCATACTAAGTATAGGTATCTACTTATAGAATTACGGATCAATGTTGTTCCCGCCCGGAAACGGCGCCCCCAACCGGTGGGCCTGTTTATCCTTTGTGGCCAGCTCGTCCGCTTCAGCCCTCCCTCTTCTTCCCTTCTATTTTCTCTCTCTCGCTCTCCTTCTATTGTTTCTTATTTCATTTTAGCCCGGACAAGCCCTTGTCGGGCAATGACTATGTGCTAGACAATTCCTTCCATTCCTTCCATTTGATTCCTTTTAACGTTTTCCCATCCTCACGGTTACCTTTCCCCCTAGGCCTCCGGTGCCAGGGACCGATTCCCGTCAACGTTCATCCGCTGTCGAACCCAACCCATTTGACTCTCTGAACAGTCTGCACCATGGCTGAGATCGATACCGCCGTCAGCACAGGAGCCCAGCGCGACTCCGAGCTGCGTCGGAGGAACGTGCCGGATGCGGGGAGGAGCCCAACAAAGTCCCCTCCGCATACCGTTGACGAAGATACAAAGAAAAGCAAGCCTCAGGTAAGGCGTGATCACCCGCCCGTCATCATGGTAGGGACATGGCTGATCTGTTTCGGAAACCGTTCCCCCCTATAGTCGCCTTCGTTTTTGCATGTATTAGCCCGCTGGGAACCGATTATTGCACCTATCCTCTTGACGGCCCTTGCCATCTTCACTCGCCTGTACCGCATTGGTCGCTCCAATATTGTGACTTGGGATGAAGCCCAGTAAGGCTGCCCGCCCCTACAGCGTATGCGCCTCCGACGATGACTGACACTCATGTTCTAGCTTTGGGAAATTCGGCTCTCACTATCTGAAACGCGAGTTCTACTTTGATGTCCACCCGCCCCTGGGTAAGATGCTTGTTGGCCTGTCAGGTTACTTGGCCGGCTACAATGGTTCCTTTGAATTCAAGTCCGGTGAGACGTATCCCGAAGAGGTGAACTATACCTTCATGCGCGCCTTCAATGCCGCATTTGGGATTGTCTGTGTGCCGTTGGCCTATTATACGGCTCGGGAGTTGAATTTCCGGCGGGCCACCGTCTGGCTCATCAGTCTCATGGTGCTCTTCGAGAATTCGTACGCGACCATCTCTCGGTTTATCCTCCTCGACTCGATGCTGCTCTGTTTCACGTTCACCACTGTGATGTGCTGGGCCCGTTTCCACCGCTTGCGACACAACAGCTTTTCAGCTGAGTGGTATGCTTGGCTTTGCCTGACCGGGTTGAGCATTGGCTGCGTTTGCAGTGTGAAATGGGTTGGTTTCTTTGCCACTGCAGTTGTTGGACTTTATACAGCTGAGGATTTGTGGAACAAATTTGGCGATTTGAAGATGCCCCAGGTGAGTATTTGTTTATCTCACCCACACGATCGGCATGGACTTGAGCTAATCCCTATACTCGGCAGACGACCCTCGCGAAACATCTCATTGCTCGCGTTGTTGGCCTCATTGCCATCCCGATCCTGGTTTACATGTTTTCCTTTTATCTGCACTTTCTGATTCTGGCGAATAGTGGCCCAGGTGATGCGCAAATGAGCTCTCTTTTCCAGGCCAATCTCAAAGGTACTGAAGTTGGCAAGGACAGTCCTCTGGAGCTCGCCATGGGGTCGCGTGTCACCTTGAAAAACATGGGCTACGGAGGAGGTCTTTTGCACTCGCACGTCCAAACTTTCCCCGAGGGCTCGCAGCAGCAGCAGGTGACGTGCTACCACCACAAGGATGCGAATAATGATTGGTTCATATATCCAAATCGACAAGAGCCAGATTATGATGCCGAGGCTGATGTGAGGTTCATCGCCGACGGCGATGTTATTCGTCTCATCCACGGACAGACGGGCCGCAACCTGCATTCTCACGCCGTTCCGGCACCAGTCAGCAAATCCCACAACGAAGTGTCCTGCTATGGGAACCTTACCATCGGAGATGACAAGGATCACTGGAAGGTTGAGGTGGTGAGCGATGCTGCTTCCAGGGACCGATCCAGAGTGCGAACGCTCACCACGGCGTTCCGACTGCGCCATCCGGTCTTGGGTTGCTACCTCCGAGCCGGAAATGTCAACCTACCTCAGTGGGGATTCAAACAGATTGAAACCACGTGTATCAAGGAAAACAACCCTCGCGACGTGTATACCCACTGGAATGTCGAGTCTCACGTCCACGAAAAGTGTAAGTCCTTGAGTGGATTCCAATTTCCTGAAATTTACTAATCTCAAATGTGCAGTGCCCCCTGGCGACCCTGGTTCATACAAGTCTCCTTTCCTGAGAGATTTCATCCACCTGAACGTGGCCATGATGACCTCCAATAACGCTTTGGTCCCCGACCCTGATAAGCAAGATGACCTGGCTTCGCAGTTTTGGCAGTGGCCCATCCTGAACGTCGGCTTGCGTATGTGTTCATGGGACGACAATGTTGTCAAGTATTATCTCCTTGGCAACCCGTTTGTCTATTGGGGAAGCACTGCAGGTTTGGGCATCTTTGGTTTCCTAGTCTTGTGGTATCTGGTGCGCTGGCAGAGAGGGTACCAGGAACTTAGCAACGACGACATCGACCACATCCGCTATTCTGGACTGTATCCGGCCATTGGATGGGTCTTGCATTACCTCCCGTTCATCATCATGGCACGAGTGACCTATGTTCACCATTATTACCCGGCGCTTTACTATGCTATCCTGACGTTTGGCTTCTGTGTGGATTGGATGACCCAAAAATTGAGTACCAAGCTCTCCGCCGTGCTGTACACTGTCCTATACGCCATCATCGTTGCGCTGTTTGTCCACTTCCGGGTGATTGTGTTTGGAATGGAAGGGTCCAATGAGCAGTGGTCTCACTTGCGCTGGCTGCCCGGATGGAGAATTTCCAACTAAATCAAGAGCGGCTTTTTGAACAAGATAGAAAGTCCGGAGTGGCGGCCTTTTGATTGATCTGCGAGGCGCCTCTGTCGAAGAAAGCCCGTCCTGGTCCATCTGTTTGCATGGGGGGATTGTACCAACAATACAATAATATGATTTGGTCATTTGCTTTATCTATTGTGCTTCGTAGACTATTGATGCACATGGAGGATGGGGCCCAGTTGGCCTCGCGGTCCAGCCGACATGTTCCATGGCTGCTCGAGTATTAGCAACAATTTCCGGTCCAGCCATTACCCTTGCGCATGGCATCATTCATCCCTAGTGTCACCGTCTGGGGCATCCCGGCATTTGCTCCACCCGAGGCGCCGAACCCTTTTACTCCACTTCGTCGGTCGTTGAGGTCGTATCTACCGGCTTCGATATTGCGGTAAATCCTCTCTGCTACCTCTAAGAAAGCCCGTTCCACTCCATCCCCAGATTTGGCACTCGTCTCCACGTAGCGCATGACGTTATTCAAGCGGCACCATGCCTCAGCTTCCTGCTGCGTGACCTGTCTTCGATTGGAATCGGAGTCTTTGCCCGTCAGATCAGTCTTGTTGCCAACCAGAATCACCACAATGCCCTCTTCTGCAATTTGCCGCAGGTCCTGAAGCCACTGGGTGCAGGATATAAAGGTCGAGCGCCGAGAAATGTCAAAGACCAGGAGAGCACCAGAGGCGCCTCGAAAGTAAGAGCGGGTGATGGATTTGTAGGTTTCTTGTCCGGCAGTGTCCCACAGAGATAACTTCATTCGTTTCTGGAGGGGAGAGGCCTGCGGCTTTCGAGGTGGGGTAGGGAGGCCCGACGTAGCAGACGCCTGCGAAGGCTCATCGCCCGTCGCAGGCGCATCGGGTGATGAGCCAGACGGTTGTCCGTCAAGCGCTAGCCCCAACTCCAGAGAGGCCGGCGGACCCACCGGCACAATCCGCGACCCGAACTCGACGCCGATGGTGACATCGTGAGAGGGAGAAAAGCGGCCTTCACAGAGTCGGATGGTGAGCTGTCATCGGGTTAGTTTGAGAAGTTGCGGGGGATGTGGAGGAAACCGTACGCACACTGGACTTGCCGGTACCGGAGTCACCGATGCAGACGAGCTTAGCGATATAATCCCATGGTTGTGACATGGAGAGCAGTAGGAAGGTGCAAAAACAAAACAGCAACAGCAACAGCAACAAGACGGAGCTGGTCTCCGCACGGCTGAGTCAGCGATCGTGACCCGCGCAGATGACGCTTGCATCACCACCTGACCTTATCTGTCTCATTTCTGTCTCTCTCTCTTTCTCTCTCCCTGTCTGCTTCTCCAACTCTCCTAGACTCTGTCTATCTCTCTCTATCTCTTCCCCCTTCACGGTGGGCCATGTTCTCAGAATGTACGTCTCGTCGGATCTCGATCTAGCTATCTATCTATCCATCTATCAATCTGGTGATCCACTGAGAGCCTACGCTAACCACCGTTGCAGATGCTTCGCGATTCCTGGCTCAGTCTCAGTCGCGAGTAGCAGCCCGCCCTGATGAGCTCCCGAGGACTGGACGTGGCCGCCCAAACCAGCAAAGTAGCTCGCGTCACCCCTCCTCGCGCTCCTTCTTACACAGAGCCGGCGATCCCTATCGACCGGGTGCGTCCCAAGTCTCCAACTTCCCGTTTGCTTCGCGGGCATCGGTTCAACCAGCCCCTCTTTTCTACAGCGCCACGGATGAGTTTCGGGAAGAAGATGACGAGACAGAACGAGAACGGGAGATCGCGGATTTCTATGCCTTGCAACGATCACGGCGGCATTTCGGCGATAGCAACTTAAAGGATTCTTCAGAGCTGGAAGATGATTCGGAACGATCGACAGGACTGGATGAAGGAATCTCATTATACGATGATCGCCCAGGTCGTGGAAAAGGCATCAAGAGTTCGTGGCGTGGCGAGAAGAGCGTTCCTGCCGCACGACAGTCTCGCATCGAGCCTGTGGAGGAGGTGGCGGAGAACGATCTTGGGTATCGCACGAACTCTAGCAGCAGGGCTAGGGGTAATCTGGTTGATATTGGGCTCGAGGATTCCCTAAGGACTGACCTTGACGAGCCCGCCGACGACCCTCCCATTCAACGATTTCGGGAACGATCCCCTGTCGGAGGAGACCATATTTTTAAAACTACCGATTCCCCAGATCAAAATACAGCATTTCTTTCCAGTATCCCTCGACCGTCCAGCTCAACAAATTCCCTCCCAGCATCGATATCCCCCCTCGCGTCGGAATCATCGCTACATGACGCCTTTTGGGGCCAGCTGTTCTTGATATCCATTGCAAGCTTATTCGCTACTGCATTCCTGGTTTACCTCCATACTTCCACACCGTCTGGAGACAAGGGGAAATGGGGTGACACCATATACTTTACCCTTCATGGCTCTTATTTCCTTCTCGGGATTTATACCCTCGTATCAATTCTCGTGTCTTTCCTTTGGCTCGCTCTGCTGCGATCCTACGTGCGACTGCTAGTCTACGTCATCGTGATCGCAGTACCGATTATATTATACTCATTTTCCTTGTACCCCTTCATCTCGAGCTTCAAAGGAGCATGGCACGGAGCAAGCATCCAAGACAAAGCAATGCGGTGGGGCTCACTTGTGCCGTTTCTGCTGGCCAGCGTATGGATCTACAACGTCGTCAGGGGCCGACGATCGTTGGGAAAGGCGATAGGTATTCTTGAATTCGCCTGCCGAATCCTAGCTGCGAATCCCGAGTTGCTCATTCTCGGCTTGGGTGTTTTGGTTTGCGTGGTCTTCTGGACGTGGACCTGGATGCTGATGTTCACGCGAGTGTTCCTAGGCGGGCATATGGCGGGTCCGCGGTCATTCATTATCGACCTCAGCAGCTGGTGGCTGGGAGTCTACTTCGTGGTGGTTTATCTTTGGTCAATGGGCGTCATCGCGGGGATTCAACGAGCGGTCACAGCCGCGACAGTGAGCCAGTGGTACTTCCACCGTTTGGCTAGCCCGGCGCCCACCTCGAGACAGATTGTGCAAGCGGCAGTCGTCCATGCTGGAACGACTTTATTTGGTACCGTTTGTCTGTCCCGCCTACTGGGCCTCCTGGTCCGGCTTCCTCTGCTTGTGCTACCTGGCCGTCTTTCTTCGCTGCTCAGTCTCTTTGCCTATTCCTTGATCCCTACACCCCTCACGTTCCTCACGAATCCTCTTGCTCTCACATATGCAGCAATTCACTCCCAGCCGCTCGCTGCCTCTGCGCGTGGGCTAAGCCAAATGTCCGTTCTCGCCCCGTCCGCGGCGTCGACGTCCCTGCATCCACGGTCTTATTCCCGCCCTCCTGGCTCTGCATCATTGCTTTCATACCGACTTTCCAAGTTGATTCTGCATGCAGTTCGTTTCATGATGTCCCTAGCTCTCGGATTTGGTGGCTGGGTAACCACCGCTCGGGGCCTAGCCACATCCGCCAGCGGAGGTACCATCCGGGGCAGTCTGTATGCGTATGTGGTTGGTCTCATTGCAGGTACAATCGGTTGGAGTGTTCTGGGTGCTGTGGAGGGAGTAATTGCGGACATTGTCGATGCCACCGTCGTCTGCTGGAGTAGCGAAGTTGGCATCTATGGCCGCGAAGCCCGATACTGCCGCGAGGCTGGATGGCTCTTTGGCGATTCGGAGTCCGGGCGCGTAAGATTTGGCGAGGTCTAACTCTTTCCGTGGCGTTCATCACATAAACCTTGCGTATTTTTCATGATTATGATCTCATCCCCTTGACGTGCATTCGGTGCATTGGTTTACAACTTACTTCATACACCTAGCGGCATGAGTTTTTCTTCCTTTTTACAAGTCCTGTCTAGTCTGATGATCTATGTGTAGGAATGAAGGGCAGATTGTGAATAAAAATCTGAACAGGACGGTACCCTTTCAACCGGTATGTGTGCTCATCTCATTGGTATATCCAACAAACCCGCCAAGTAACTACACGAAAACCCATAACTCAAGGTATCTTGAAAACGCTGGTGAAAACGCAAACCTGGGACGCCAGACCCATCCCTTCCAACCCTACTGAAATAAAAAAAGAAAAGAAATTTCCATGCACATCTTGGCCTTTTAAAGATCAAGACGCCCAGTCCAGTCCACGCCTTCTTTGGCACACCATTCCTTCAAAAGAGCCCAGGCAAAGCGTACCATCTCTATGGGTGAAGTCGTGCCGCCAAGAGGCAGGAAATATGCACCGGAATAGTCACCCGGTTTCAGCTGCGGCCTCCCTCGCTCAAAGTAGTTCCGAGACCGTCGAGACCAGGTGTCGGGGAACTCGCGAGCGAGAACATCCTCAGATAGGCCGCGTGTGCCCTCAAGCCACAGCTTCTGGGATTCCTTGTAGAACTTCGGAAGCTGGTTCTTCAGTTCGATGAATTCCTTTCGGCTTTTCTTGGTTTCGTCCGACAAAACAGTGTTGCCGTCGCTTCCTGGCGTGGGAACCGGGGTGTGCTCTCCAGGGAGTGGGATGATAGCAAGGCGTTCGAGATCCAGGGAATGGATTGCATCGTAAGACACGGCACCGAGAAGGACAGAAAGACTGTACAGGGCCGGATAAGATGCGCTTTTATTCTTGACCACGCGCCAATATGGCAAAATCGACTGCCAGGCTGAGGAGTCACCAACCTGGCGTGCCAGGGATTTGGATTGGTCATCTGCCACGAAGGCGAGAATAAAGCACATAATGGCCTCAACTGCCGTAATGGCTGCGAGCTTCTCATCGGTGGCAGTGGCGTCCTGTCTAGTGCTGTGTCGATCTGCAGCATGCTTCAATTCGCGACCAATTGCTCCAAACTTCTGATACTCATCTCGCCAGACTCTGCGCTCGTTGCTGCGATCTGGCTGTGTTGGTGATACTTTTGTGCCTGAATCACCAGGGTCATTGCGGCGAGAGACAGAAACTTTAGGGTCTTTGAGTGGCGTGATCGAGCTTGACTTGGCCTTGTCATGTGCGGACGAAACAGACGAGCTGATAGAGGGATGAGAGGCCGGAGTGCGAGGCTTCTCGGTTGACGCTTTGCGTTCCCTTGTGTGACCATCCAAAGCACCGATTGTCTCGTCCGTGTCGTGATTTGTCTTGCCCTTCGCTCGACTGGATGGAATATTTGCACGAGCCGAGGTTGTTGGCGTGACATCTTCTCCCTTCCTCTTCCTGTCCTGGAAGTCATCATCGCGGTCGGTGTCCTGACCTCTCGGTGATTCCAAACTATGGGCTTTCCGTTTGCCGGAAAATTTTAAGAGGGCTTCCACTCGTTTTCGGTTCGACTTCCCATACCGCAGTTTGACGACGCGCTGTGGCTTTGAGGAAGCGACGCGAATACGGGCCTTTGTATCAAGCAGGTGATTATCTTTAGGATACTCATGCGGACCGGGATACTTGCGATGCAAGGTATGGTGGCTCGAGCTGCTGCCGCTTTTTGATAAATCGTCTTGCTTCGGCTTGGCGGTTGTAGTAGCCTCGGGATTTGGAGAGTGGTCGCGGTTGGGTGAGCGATCCCCAAGTTGAGCAAGCTCTTTTTCAATATCCGGCGGAAGAGTAGGAGAGAGCAACCGTGGAAGCTTGGGGCCGCCTGAAGTCGGTGGAAGTGTAGGTGATAGAAGCGTCGGAAGCCGGGGGGAGTGGGACGTGGCAGGAGTGGCATCCCGGCGCGCTTCTTTCTCTGGGGAGAGGCGCGGCTTCTTTGGGGAATGGATCTCAGAATCATTGCTTTTTTGTGCTTGTGTATGCCCGACACTGGTCTCCGATGGGCGTTTTTGAGTCCCACGGCCTGGTGAAGGATGGGCAGGTGATTTTGATGGTTTTTGATGCGAGGCTATCCGATTGTCCTTTTTTACCACATCGACGTGAATTGCGGGCTGCATCTCTCCCGGATCCGCCAAGCTTGCGTCTCCAGATGTCTGACCTGCGGGGGAGGCGGCTGTGCCACTAGTCTTCTGGTTCTTGTAGTCCTTCAGGCTGATTTTTTTTCGCGCCACACCGTCCTTTGGATTGTCTGTGGTCGTTTGAGCAGAAGATCGATCTGCCATCATGCTCCCAGTTTCGTCCGACCAATCTCCCACGGCCACCAGGAGTGAATCTGCGTCCTGATGGGTCAGGAAGGTCATGTACTGGAGTTGCTGCTCTTCTGGACGAAACGGTCTATCGCGCCCTATTGCCCAATTTTCGGAGAGTCGGCCTCCAAGGCGGAAAGGCGCATTGGTGGGAAGGGCCAAGAGGAAGGGATGAAGCGGAAGGACTTGCTCAGAGAGGTGTTTCAGTCGTCGATCCAGCACAGCGAGCTCAGATGCAAATGGCGGTTGGGGCGCACGTTGGGAATTGTTTGTATCGTCGTCCGTGGAGGGGGATGGTGGTTCGTTCACCGACATCGCCGTCTTGCGCGACTCGACCGTTTCACGGCAATTCCGAAAGTCACTCTCCCAGCCGAGTCAGGATGTGGGAGCGTGTCACGGGAAAGTCGGCCAGTCGGGTCCCATGCGCCTTTTTTTTCAACGAGGTGGGATATGAAGTCGTCAACGCATCCAGTGTGAGGAGTCAATCTGCACGCATCCGCCTTTCTGGGGATTGTCGTTCAGGGCATTATAGGACCGGGGGCGCGTAGGGGAGGGTGCAATCCCACCGGGCTGCGCGACCGACGAGGGCGCGGGTGTATTGCGCAAAGGCGGATTCCGGCCGGGATTGAACGAGACGGGGAAGGGGAAAGTCGTGGCACCGCGGGTGATTCAGCCGTTATCGTCGTCGTCCGGACCCACGCGACTGGGGCTTCGCCCTGTGTTGTTCTCTCACGCTCCCCGCGAGGTACCGTTTGGGCGCAGGCGACAGAGGAGGAACAGGAGGAGGAGCAGAGTAGGGTGGGACAATGCAGAGGGCGAGGAAAAGAGAAAGGGGAGGAGGACGGGAGGGATCGAAGGGAAGAGGAAAGAAAGAAGAGAGAGACAGAGAGGGAAGCGCGGAGATGCTTGGCACAATACGGTGATTACGTTACGTATACATCAAATCGAGGGTTTCAGACTTTGGGAACACCAGTGTCATATTATTGACTGATTTGATTCTACTGAATGAAGAAAAGGTAGGCTATCCACAAGCACTAACTTAACTAGAGGGAAAGCACTCTCAACACGGTCCATTACGACTGATCGTCCGCGGCAAACTTGTCGTTCCAGAATGCCCGGTAGTGCTTCTGCCGCCCAACCTCCGAGATCTCCTCCACCTCCTTCGGTGTCAGGGAGAAGGTCATCGTCCGCAGGTAGCTGTTCATGCGCGATTCCTTGCCGCTGGTCGTGACGGCCACGCAACCCTGGTCGATGACCCAGCGCAGCAGGATCTCCGCTTCGCTGACGGCATACTTTTGCGCCAGGCGCGACAGCACAGGATCCAGCGGCCCTCCCTTAACCCGCATGATAGGGCTCAGCCCCGCATAGCTGGTGGTCTTGATGCCCTTGCTCTCCTGCCAGGCGACGAGGTTGCCGTGCTGGAGGTACGGGTGGAACTCGATCTGGTTGACGGCCGGGGTGACTGTGGCTGTCTTCAATATAGTTTCCAGGTGGCTTTGCAGGAAATTGGAGACACCGATGGAGCGCGCCTGTCCGGCCTCTTTCACTTGCTCCATGGCGGCCCAAGCGGTCTGCAGCTCGCTTTCGGTCGTCGCAAAGAATGGCGCGTGGATCAGGTACCTTGCTGGCGGTTAGCCTGACTGACATTAGTTTGGGAGCGAAGAGGTTACCTACAGATCCACATAGTCGAGCTGTAGCTTCTTCAGACTGGCTTCAATCGCCCCGGGAATGTTGGCAATCGAGGTGATGACCTTGGTCGTCACAAACAGTTGCTCGCGAGGCACCCCGCATTCCTTGATAGCGAGCCCGAGTTCCTCCTCCGTCTTGTAGACCTCGGCGCCGTCGAGGTGGTAGTATCCTAGCTTGACGGCAGTTTTGATTGACTCAACCAGGTCGCGATTGATCTCTTTATCCCCCGATTTCTTAAACCAGGCTGTGCCGGAGCCATATCCCAGCTGGGTCGGGTTAGCGGAGTGTCAACCGGATTAATAATTAAATATATGTATACTCACGACGGGCATGGCAGCACCACTGTTGAGCTTGACTGAGGGAATATTGCGGGCCATTGTTGTCAATATTTAGTATTGCAATGAATAGTAAAGAAAAAGGAAAGGAAAAGAAAAGAAAAGAGGAGCCATGGGGATCCCGTACCTCGGGCCATTATTAGTGATGTAGTTGGTTAACCGTTATTAGCTAAAGTTAGGGCAGCCAACCATGAGTAACGATGTGATGTCACTTTTCTGTTTTCTCTTTTCTTCAGCTTCAACCTCTCCATGAAGTCGTTGTTGCATCGGTACATGCACTCACCCACCAGCCTGGCTCGCAGTCGACTGGCCCAGATGGCGTCCCATGTCGCCTCCCCTGCGGGCGTTCCCCTGGCGGACCTGCCCAAGTCGAACGTCTTCACGTCTAAACTCCCCGCTGACCCCGCCTTCGAGACGCCCGAGGCCTCACACAGGGCGCCACGGGAGACTCTCGGGCCGCGCATGGTGAAAGGCGCGTTGTTCACCTATGTCCGCCCGGAGCCATCCGACGAGCCGGAGCTGCTAGGTGTCAGCCCCAAGGCTATGCAGGATCTGGGCCTGAAGCCCGGAGAAGAGCAGTCCACCCAATTCAAGGCACTAGTCGCTGGAAACAAGATCGAGTGGAATGAAGACAAGGGGGGATCTACCCGTGGGCTCAGTGTTACGGAGGTACGTTGCTCTCCCTTTAAAACAGAGAGCCGGGTCGCTAACAATTCCAAGGGTGGCAATTGTAAGCAGAATGCGAGAATCTGGGCTATACTTAGAAATTAACAGCTTCCAGCGGTCAATGGGCTGGACAACTTGGGGATGGAGTAAGGCGACCCCTAGCGGGCATGCAAATCGATCGCTAACGGACATCCTCAGCGGGCAATCAGTCTGTTCGAATGCACCAACCCACAGACCAAGATACGCTATGAACTGCAACTCAAGGGCGCGGGCAAAACCCCCTACTCGCGTTTTGCAGATGGCAAGGCTGTGCTGCGATCGAGTATCCGTGAATACATCGTCTCGGAAGGTAGGCATGGTACAACCGATTGAAACGGCAATAAACTGAGTATCTATAGCCCTCAGCGCCCTGGGCGTGCCCACCACTCGTGCGCTCTCACTCACCTTGTTACCAAACTCCAAGGTTTTGAGAGAACGTATCGAACCGGGAGCAATCGTCGCAAGATTCGCCGAGTCCTGGCTACGGATTGGCACCTTCGATCTACTTCGCCTCCGCGGGGACCGTGACTTGATCCGCAAGCTCGCGACATACGTTGCGGAGGACGTCTTCGGGGGTGGGAGACTCTCCCGGCTGCTGTCTCCCTGCGCGAAGGCCAGTCCGCCGCAGAGATAGACAACCCCACCCGGGGGATCCTGCGAGATGAGCTCCAAACGCACCAAGGTGCGGAGGAGAACCGGTTCGCACGGCTGTATCGAGAGATCGCCCGACGCAACGCAAAGACGGTGGCTGCGTGGCAGGCGTATGGGTTCATGAATGGAGTCTTAAACACCGATAACACATCCATATACGGACTATCGCTCGACTACGGCCCATTTGCTTTCATGGATAATTTTGACCCGCAGTACACGCCGAACCATGACGACCACCTGCTGAGATATTCATACCGAAACCAGCCCAGCATCATTTGGTGGAATCTGGTCCGACTTGGTGAATCCCTGGGCGAGTTGCTTGGAGCAGGAGAACGAGTCGATGCCGACAGTTTTGTCAAGGACGCCGTGACGGAGGAGATGGAACCGGAGATCGTCCAACGTGCGGAGAAGATCATTGAGCGCACAGGCGAGGAATTTCGAGCAGTGTTTTTGAATGAGTACAAGCGACTGATGGGTCGCCGACTGGGGCTGCAGACACAAAAGGAGTCAGATTTTGAGGCCCTATTCTCGGAGATGCTGGACACTCTCGAGGCCTTGGAGCTCGATTTCAATCACTTCTTCCGGCGACTCTCGGGCCTTTCGCTGTCGGACCTGGAGACGGAAGAAAACCGAGCAGAAATCGCATCCGTATTCTTCCACACGGAAGGATTCGGGGGCATTGGCTACACGGAAGAGTCTGCAAGAGCTCGCATTGCCAAATGGCTTGACAGCTGGCGCACCCGAGTGTTGGAAGACTGGGGCCCCGGCAATGATGGAGAAAGACAGAAGGCCATGAAGGCTGTGAATCCCAATGTAAGTGCCCTTGATCTCTTGTGGTTGCCGGCTAGATGACTGACGGGGACTGTACTACAGTTTGTGCCGCGAGGATGGATCCTCGACGAGGTTATCGAGCGAGTTGAGCGCAAAGGGGACCGAGACATTCTGGGACGAGTCATGCAGATGTCTCTGAATCCGTTCAACGATGAATGGGGGTTCAACAAGGAAGAAGAAGAGCGCTTCTGTGGCGACGTGCCCAAGTACAAGAGAGCCATGCTATGCAGTTGCAGCTCGTGAGGGGTTACATATAGCAAGAGCAGCATCTAGAACGAAATAGAAGACCGTCTTCGGCATTGAATTCTTTTTGTAGGCAAAATATCATGAACGCTTTTTCGTTCCTGCTCGTCCCCGAGAAAAAACACCATCTGCCAGCCAGATCGCCTGTGGCACCTTGTTGTCACTTTCCACGCGGAAGAGACACGAAACCATGATGGACCGAGTGTACAGGTGGGGGCACCGCAAAAAGAAACCAGAGAGGAACAAGAGATTGGGATCGTGAGTGAAGCCGTGATCTCATCATTAATACATGGAGGAAGGGAAAATCCAGGGGTGTCGCGACGTAGATCGCACTTCCGATATGCATGCATGTGACTAGAGATGGGATGGAAAACGAGCGTTGCAGGACGCCGTCAGCCGTCTAGTTCGGGCAGGCAGCCTGGACGTGGCCGGGCTGCTTGCACTTGTAGCAGACGCGCTCACCCCGGGCCTCGGTAGGGCAGTCACGAGAGAGATGGCCAACCTCGCCGCCTGGATTTGTGTCAATCAACGATCGAGAGGGGCCCCCGGGGGGGGGGGGGGGGGGGGGAGGAACTAACAGTTGTAGCACTTCTGGCCGTGAGTGCAATCACGAGCCATGTGGCCGAATCCACCGCACGAGTAGCAAGTCTGCGCACGGCCACCACCGAAGCCGCCGCCGCTGCCGCCGCCGTAGCCACCGTAGTTCTGGCTGCAGTTGCGCGCAATGTGTCCGACCTGACCGCACTTGTAGCATTCCTGGCCGCCACCTTGGCCACCCTGGCCACCGCTACCGTAGCTGTCGCCACCAGCCTGGGTGCAGTCACGAGAGATGTGGCCCGTCTCGCCGCAGCGGTAGCAGGACTTCTCCTTGGCGGGCAAGGAGCACTCGCGGCCTGGCGGAGGTCAGATGGGTTGATGGACGAGAAGGCGAGACAGATATCAACTTACTGACGTGGCCCTGGCCTGCAGGTGCAATTGAACTTGGTTAGCATGGATCAAAAGCACTCAGTAGTCGGGAGACAACGAGAGGATGCATACCACCGCAGTTGTAGCTACCGAGAACGAATCAGCTTAGGGTCACTCGAAGAGCGCGAGAGAGATATTACCAAGTAGGAGTACCCTTCTTGGGGCAGTCGCGAGCCTAGAGAAACCTGATGAGTATCACACCGACAGCGAACGAGCGAGAGGTGTTCAACGGAAATTACCTGGTGAGAGACTTCGCCACCTGCGGGGGAAAAAAAGTGTCAGTCCAAGGCTAACCAGTTTCTTACTTTCGGGGGATGCAGTCGCGATCGCGACGGAGGAAGATTTGAGAGCCATGGAGTGGCCTCGCGCTTGTCGCTGAAGCCGAAGGGCCATTCCCAGCAGGTTGTGGGAGCCTGCAGAGCCTTCAAGCGGAAGCGGGGCAGAGAAGGAGGAAACTTACAGTTAAAGCAGCCACGAGCACCGGTCTGGTAGTCCATGATGACTGAAAGAGGAGTGAATCAAGGAAGAAAGAAGAAAGGTGGGAAAGACGAGGGGAGTGTGGTGGGAGAGAAGAGAAAGATGATGGAGGTTGAGCAGAGCAGAAATTGATGGGGAGCGAAAGTCTTGTGGGGAGAAATCCCGCTGCTTAGTCTTGCAAAACTCTGTCATCGTGTCGGCCAGCACTTGGTTATTTGGTGAGCTATCGTTAGGTAGGATTAGGATGATTATTATTTATAAACGATATCTAGGTAGGTGGATTGCCTTTTAAACAGCCGCCGACCGCCAGGGTCCCCAGCACCGAGGACCTTGCGCTACGCCGACGGAGAAGGTATATACATCAAGACATCATCATCATCATCATCATCATCACCATCATCACCCTCCTCAGGTGAAGTCGTAGCATTCAAGCAACGGAGTGCCAACCTCTTTCTCGCGAAGTAGAACCACTCGCTCCTCGTCAAAGCCGACACATCCCTGCATCCGAGTCGTCCCGGCTGTTAGCCCTACCGGGTTGGCCTCAAGGGCCGGCCTTGGCAGCGGCGGCTTGTTCTCCGCGCTGATCTGAATACTGTTCTCCTCCACTGGCCGGCGAGTATTCAATGAGGCAACAGCCATCTCCAGCTCCCAGATGCGAAGCTCATCACCACGAGAGCTGACCGACACGGCCTTCCCGCGATTGGTCACTTGCACGGCCGACACCGACGAGGTGTGGCCCCAGAGCCGCTGGCCACCTCGCACAAATAGACTGTTGGTGGTCGACACTACCAAGTACATGGTTAATGTGTTGTCCGCATGCGAAGTCAGCAGGTACGGGTGCGAGTAAGACATGGAGGTCGGAGGTTGCTGATGTGATATGGAGGGCACACTGGGGGGCCCGGAGGCAGACGATTCAAGCTGGGCCGTGGAATGACGCCGTTTTCGTGACTGTGGTAGACCCTGTAATGGCCGCATCCCGTATTGAGAGTCTACCGTCGTGGCAAGTTGGGAATCCCGCTGTTGGCCATCTTTGCCCAAACGCAACTCTTGAATCCCCAAAGACCAGCCACAGCCAATGTGGAAGAAGCTGTAAACAATTGTGGCAGTGATGTCGAATGGAGAGACCCGAAGAGATAGAGTCATTGGTGCGACAATGTTATCCGCTCGGAGGGACGCGAGCTGCTGGGGCTCCTTGGCCGAAATCGCCGAACCTGCGGCATGCGGCGTAGGACGCAAGTTATACAATGATAGAATCTTATGTTGAGAAACCATGAGGAGATATGGTGATGACAAGGCCATGGTGGTGATGGCTCCACCGCTAAACCCGACATGAGATGATTGCAAGTCCAAATGGACTGTCTGAGGATTCCAAAAGTAGAGACTGAAGCAGCCATTTACAAATCCAACCACAATCTCAGTTCCATCTTCTTGTTCGCTCACGGCTAGAGCTGTCGGTCCTGTCGCAGATGACTTGGATTGGCCATCCGAAAAAGAGGCCCTGGCCAGACAGGACTTGGGGTCGTTCGTCGCCCAGGCCCGCAGTCCATAGGTCGAATCGGCTGTGAAGACAATACCAGCACAGAGCTTCACGAGAGTGGGAGGGCACGGCGGCTCAGCAAATTCGACTTCAGTCACTCGGCAAGCTCCTTTTGACCAGTTGTGTCGGAGCCGATATTGTCTCTTCCAGTTGGTCACCCTACCCTCCTCTGCCAAGTGGCTGTGATCGAACCATGTCGATACTTTCGGCGAATAATCTGTCTTTGATGGAACCAGTGTTGTGCGCCGGGAATTTGCCAAGCGCCGGGCTCGAGGTCGCACCCACTGCGAGTAATACTGCCTTTTCCAGAGCTCGGAGTCTGCACTGAGAGCATTGAATCGACGGGATAAACTGCGTAAGCAAACATTAGCACCAGTTCAAAGAGCCATGGAAAGATAAGCCTTACCTTTGACAGACATTCAGGGACGATATTGGAAGGAAGGACAGGATATGCAGCAGAAGTTCGTCACTCAAGGATGAGAGGCGGTCGAGCGAGCCGGTCTTCGCATTGCGTGCTCGCTTGGCCGGGGGCACACTTGGCTGGGGATCCTCTCGACATCGCTTCAACATGCTGTATCATCTAGACTGCGATGAAGTTGAAAAGAAGAACGTAACGAACATCGCCGGCAGTGAGTCAAAGGAATAATGAGGGATAATGAGGAAGAAAGGAAGAACCCCATGGCTGATTGATCGACCTTATCGATGATAAGCACCAAGGCGGTGAAGCCCCGGCAATTCCCATCAGTCGCGTTCGAGTCGCGTTGACCAACTCGTCAAGCCAAGGAAGGACATGGAGGTCCTCAAGGAGCTTCACGCCTCGGTCGCAGGGGCATGTGAGGCGTCCTTCGACAATGCCTACCGACATCTGAATTCCTCACTGGCCCGCTACGATGAGCGCGTGCGGGAGGCAGAACATAACGCACTGATGGCCAGCCAAGCCAAGAAAGCGGACGAGGACCAAATCCAAGCACTTCAGTATGAAGTTTCGGTGCTTCAGACGGAGCTGAAGCGTTATGAGGTGGGTCCGAAAGATCTTGAACTCCCCCAGAAATTCGCCAATCTGGAAGACGAGTTTTCCCCGAAACATGTTTGGGAGAACCATCTGAACCACGCCCATCCCGAGACCGACAGGCTACCAAAAGGGGTCGAGGCCAAGTACACCGCATTATATGACAACCTGCAGACCTTCATCCAGACCTGGAGTGGCCTCAAAGCCAGAGTGTTGCAGCATAAGAAGAAGCTGAGGCATTGGGATCGCCAACTGGAACGGGATGAATTCACGCTGGTGCGCAATGGTTTGCCGGTCACTTTTCGAAAGGTTTCAAGCGACCTGGACAAGAGAAAGCACAAGACCCCAGTCTCTTCTCGGAAACGATCACATTCAAAATCTAATGAGGCCTCCGAGGCACCTTCGAATGACCATAACGCCTCACCGAACCAGAATTTAGCGGCAGATAGGAATTCAAACATCAAGACTGAGCAGCAAAGCCAGAGCATAACTCGCTCAGAACCACCAGAGCCACCTTCAACCCAGTCTAGTTCCCCTAGACGTGATCTCACATCTTCTGAACCCGGCTCTTTCGAAGGTCAGGATGCCCTGCCAAGTGTGCCACCGCAGAAGAGAAATCGAATGCCATGGAAAACTCCTTCCAAAAACAATGCATTGCCCCATAGTCATTCAAGAGGTGTTGTTCCTGATCAACCGGTGTTCATTAAAAGTGAACCTTTGTCCTCGAGTCCAGTGCGGCAGCCGTCACAGTCACTTGGACAGCTTCCTCCCGGCACGCAGGATCTTGACGAGATTGGCATAACAGTACCAACGCCCACGAAACGCAAAGCCGAGTCCAGGAACGTCTATCCCCAGGACACACAGGCTTCTCATGGCGACTTCGACTTGACTCAGCCTTGCCCTCAACGAATACGGCCAGACGATCAGTTGCCCCAGCCATCTGTGCTCCAGCCTATTGATGGTAATGCACGCACTCTCAATGTTTCTGAGCATGTATCCGACACCAAAAGACGGAGACAGATGGATATGGACCAGCGCGCGATACCCAGCCTAGCCGAAGATGGTGACCGAGGCGACTGGGATATGGGGCTACCGAATGCGAAGGCGTCCAGCAATATCTCTCGGCGACGTCTACACGATCTTCTAGAGGGATCATTGCCAACTAAATCATACCTGGGATCTCCTCATACCACCACAATTACTGTCCAGGGCCCCACAGATGGACGGCCGACGCCTCCGAGAACCCGTGCGTCATGTAGATCTTCCACTCCGGTGCCTGCCCTGCCGCAATCGGAGAGGAAGACTGGTACGCAAACAAGCCCAGATGACTTGCCCCCGGAAGTGCGTCCCGAAGACGAACCATTCCGTGCTCTACCACTGGACCGGTTGACTCTGAACCATTTTAAAATCAATCCCGCGCGAAACCAGGGGGTTGACTACGCATACGACGCGGTGGTTCGCAGGAAAGATGACCGGAAATGTCTCCTCGGCTGTACTCGCCCAGGATGTTGCGGAGATCATTTCCGTGGCCTAGCTCGTCTTGGTGGTCTGCCAAATGCGATCGAGGCAAACCAGGAAGAGGAGCAGAGGATTCTTGAAGAATACATGGGCGATGATCAGCACCTGCTTGCCGGACTGAGCGGCCAGGATCGCGAGGACCTCCTGGTAGAGGCGAGGGCCCGAATCATGGCCAACCAATACGGCAGACACCGACACACGCACCAACGCGCGCAAACACCTCCCGGGTTCTGGCGGACCGAGATGCCCGACTCCCAAGAAGAAGAATGCGACCGCAAAGCAGCGCGGCGCCTGGAGCGGGAGAAGGTCGAGGAGCGCTATCGCGAGGCCATGCGGCCGGGAGGGGTATGGCAATGGGCGGATGAATAAAGGGGTTGAAGAACAACAGTCATATTCAATCATAGTTGTATATACATACTGGGGATACTGTAGTAGTAGAAGAATTACCGAAAGCAGAACAGCCTCGGTTCGCCGTCTTGGCAGACGCGGGACTCACGTGCGCCCCCCTGGGCTCGTCATCCCTCTTTCCTTCTTTCTCATCCCATCCGATGGCTCTCAGCTGTCTGTCGGTGCTGAAACCATGATGGAAACTGCCAAGAATATCCAGAATCCCTTGCCCCCCGTATTGCTACATCCTTCCAAATGGCTCTCGCTCTATGAGGATTTCGTGACCAAGAATGCCAGCTCGGTCGGCCAAGTCGAGTCGGCACTGAGATCGTTGACGTATATCATCCCAGGTCAGTCGCGCTGCTGAACAGTTGTGCTCGCCAATGTCTGACGGAGCTGCTCTCTTTTCCAGGACGATACCGTGAATCAGAGATTCCTTCAGAATGCGGTCAGTATCCCCCTGCCTGGTTGTGGAGTGTGTGTGTCTGACAGTCTCATGCAGTGCACTCTGGCGTCCAGCTGTTGTCGCTGTATCATGATTCTCTGGTGTCGCGTGTCATATCTCGGCTGCCACCCACCATCCCTCGCCCGCCGCCGAGCCCCCATTCCCGATACACGAAATACTGGACCTCTCGCTCTTCCCTATATCGCCAAGTCGCTCTTGCGCTTCAGATGCTTCAGTATACCGAATTACTCTGGGAGATGGCAGCACGGCGGCGGGGCCAGAAAACTCGGTGGCGCGTGGTGGTCTTCATTGAATTTGCCAAGGCAGTCTGCCGGTTACTTTTGCTTCGCTTGACTAACTCCAGACCACTCGTCAGCCCGCCACTCCCGGACCGCGAAGTGGACCCACGATCGACGGAGGAGGAGGACCAGAGCGATTGGAACGGCATGCAGACTCCCGTGAGTGAGCGGTCCTCGGACCTGAGTTGGACGATGCCTCGCACAGGACTCTCCCTGCCATCCCTTCCGGACGTCGAGGATGTTTCCAATTATCTCATCTCCAAGGTGCTCACAGCCGATGACATCAAGTCACCCAGCGCACTCCTTCACCGTGTGACGGGGCAGGGACAATTGGCCGAAGTCCTTTACATTCTTCGGCCGGTGGTATACGCACTGGCCATGCAGAGGTGGAGTGGGGACAAGCGGAGCTGGCGGCCATGGCTGATTGGATTTGGAATGGAATATGGCTGTCGGCAGCTTGCTAAGCGGGATTTCCGTGAACGAGTTGCGGGTGGTCTTCGGGGACTTACCGGGCTCGAGCGAGAGGAGCTGAAAAAGCGCGGGTGGTCCATGGGCTGGTGGATGATGCGAGGCGCCTTCTATGAGAACATCACCAAGTATGTCCTCCTTTGGTACATGAAGCTTGATTTAACATACTAATCGGTGGACACAGGTCATGGATCCAGAGCGTCACCGGCAAGATGAAGGGCAAGCCTCTCCTGGACCTGGTGGGCAGTGTGGTGGAGGACTATGGATACCTGTGGGACAACTACTACTTCTCGACCGCGACCTTGTGATTCTCCCATTCCCTTTCAAAGATACCCCGCTGGATCGGCTTTGCATTATTCGACTTCAACCCTCGTGAAGGAAGCATTCCCTTTGTTTCTGGCGTCTGGAGAGATTTTTTTCATGGGTATCGTCAATGTTGTATTAGTGAGGGTTCATGTTCATCTAGCTTTAATGGCGCCAGATCGTCTCAAAGAATCTCTGCCGGTCGGTGACCGTACCAGTCTCGCAGCCCATCCCGAGTAGCGCTCTTTCCCGGACCCGATGCTAGCAGGAATTCACTGAGCCGCGTGTTTCCCTCCTCTTCTTCTTCGACCGGCCAGTCAACTCGGGCACCACCCTTCAACTCCAGCATTTCCTTGGCCGTGCCCCAGCTGAATCGACACTCGCTACCCCATCCAAAGACGGGGTCCAGATTCCGCCGGAGCCAGCCAGTACACTTGGAATCCGACGGATAGCCACTGCCCCAGCCGTCCGGGATGGCGTTCGACGCGTCCGTGAGGGCTTGTGCTTTTAGCACCGACTCGTACAAGACTTCAAGCGCTACATCCCGGGTCACCTTGGCTGCCACACTAGCAGCACTGACACACGGGTACAGCGAGTCCGCCTTCTTGGCTACCGTAATCTTCAAGGAAGGGAAGATACGCTCTAATTTTGCTTGGTATGTGGCCGGGTTGCCAATTGTGTCGATGTAGACTTCCCGCACGTCCACGGCGCGGTCCTCGACCACTCCGCGGATAAGCTCAATTGTCGCGTCCATGGCTTGCGCGTTTAGGTTGTAAACGGCAACGCCTGGCCTCATCATGCCGGAGGAGATGTCGCGCGCCGAGAGTGATTTGATGGCGTACCCGCAGGACTCAAACAGTGGATGGCCCGGGGTGTTGAGGAGCTGCATCAGGTTGGCGCGTACCGCGGGGGTGAGCGCTTTACTGTCGTCGAAGCCGTAGTCTTGAGCCAGTAGTGAACGGTGAAGATCGAGGGGCAAGTAGAAGGCACCGTAGACCATTGGGCCAAGAACTGGGCCACGGCCAGCTTCATCGACACCTAGAACACATGGAGTGCTCTCTGTCTCGCTGGCGGCCGTGTCTTGAGGGGTGATTGCCGCAGGGCAAGGCGTGTAGTAGGCGTAGGACTCGCCGGCGAGCAGAGCCAGTATGTCTATGCTAGGAGGGATGAAGGTGCCGGAGGAGAACGAGTCTGGCGGAGCATCGGGAACCGGAGTCGAATGGTGATTGTCGTCCATGGTGGTAGTTAACCAACTCCCTAGGTAGTCTGTAGGTCCGTAGAAGAAGTGAAAACGCGTCGCCCAGATGGGTTAGCGGCGGGCGCGTGTTGGACTCCCCCAAATTCCTCCTTCCTCGTTCCCTCCCCCTCCACTTATCTCTCTCTCTCTTCTTCACCACGCACTTCTCGACGTTCTTTCTCCCACCGATCGCTCAATATGGCTCGAGGGCCAGGCAAGGCCCGCGACTATGATTACTCCAATGTCGGCACCGCAGGAAGGTGAGTCGTTACTCAATCAACCCGCGCGATCGGGGTCACTGATGCGATCATCCTAGGCGTACTGGCCTCACTCTGAAGGAAGGCAGACGCGACGAACATGGCATGGAGGAAGTAGATGGCTTGTTTTCGTCTCCTGAGAAGTCGCCGGTCAAGCTGAACGGATTTGGCACCGCGACAGACGACGATTCCGTTGGCTCGGAAATGTCGATGGACGAAGGTGCGCTGACAACACTCTCCCTTCCGAAATGTCTCATGCTAATTCTCCCCGATTTTGATAGGCAATGGGCCTGGCCCCATGGATTTTCTCGGCACGAATGGCTCCCGCAACTCGTACTTCCGACCACCTCTCGCGCGCTCCCCTATGAAGAGTGGCCTGACAGGGTCACCACGGAGGACTCCTGGTTTGCGATCTTCCCCCGATCCGCAGAATGAAGACATGTCGTCCAGCCCCTCTGAGGGCAGAAGTTTGCTTTCCACCCGGGAAAACACGCGTCTGGATCCCTCTCCCTTAACTGCCCGCTCAGCGAATATTTCGAACAAGAAGAGCAATGCCAAGAGAACCCTGAAAACACCAGCCGTTGCGCTGGACTTTTCAGACGACGAGAACGAAGACCAACTGAATGGTGACGAGAATGGCGATTTTGGGGACAGCTTTGATATCGGCAATGAAGTCATGGCAGGCGACAATGAAATGTCTGATTCTCCAGCTCCTCAAAACAATCTGGATGGCGACTCGTCTTTGATGGAAGCTGGTTCGCGCCGGGCTGAAAAAGCTGCACCATCTTCGACCGCAAAGAGAGGAGCCCTGTCGAAGACTTCCAGCGCCAGCAAGACTGAGCCCAAAAAGCGTGGACGTCCCCGAAAGGACCAACAGCCGGTCGACGAAGAAGTAGCCGATCTGAGACTGACCAAGAAGTCGAAGACGACTGCCTCGGCTCCTCAACGAGCGCGCGAGCCTCTGGATCCGGAACTCGACAAGGTGGTTGAGAATTACGCGAACCGTACCGGTCCTCTGAAGGGCCGCAGCTTGTACATCCTCAAGCGGGAGATACCCTCAGAGAACAATGGTACCCACACCCGCTCAGGACGAGTGTCAGTTCGCCCCCTTGCGTACTGGCGGAATGAACGATGTGTTTACGGCGATGGAGAGGCTGTCGAAGGGCAAAGATACCCATTGTCAACCATCAAGGAGATTATCCGGACCGAGGAGCTTGAGCCGGAGAAGCAGACGAAGAAAGGCAAGCGCGCGGGCCGGAAATCCAAGTCGCGGAAGAGCAAAGATGATAGCTCAGACGAGGAGGATGAAAATGCCGATGTTTGGGAGAAAGAAGGAGGTGTTCTTCATGGCTATGTTCGAAAATGGGACGGCGACCTGCAGGCAGGAAGCACTGAGGAAGAGGTTCTCGGTATGTTTCTTGACATTGCTGACTTGGGTTATTTCCACGCTGACTCCGGGCCTGCGCAGACATTGCATACGCACCGTCCGGTATCGAAACGAGAGATGTCAAAGGCTCCACCTTCCGGTTCGCCAAACTACTCAGTTCGACGTTCATTGGGTCCGGTGTCGTTGAGCTTCCGCCTGCGGGTGTCAAAAAGCCAAAGAATTCGAAGAAGATGCATATGGTCTTTTACGTGTGCCACGGACGCGTGGACGTTGATATATCAGGAGTTCAGTTCAGCGCTGGCAAAGGATCTGTCTTCCAGGTTCCGAGGGGTAAGTCTCGTTGTTGCCGTTCAAGTGTCTCGATATTGACTGGTCGAAAGGGAACTACTACAGCTTTCAAAACTCATATGACAGGGAAACGCGGCTGTTCTTTACTCAGGGATGCGTTCCAGCCGAGAGCGAAATGTCCCCTGAGGCGTCCGCGTCCAGAGATCCTGGGCCCGAAAGCGAAGTTGAGCCTGAAAGGGCGCCTCCTGCGACGAAGGGGCGAGGTCGGCCCAAAGGCAAGCAGAAGGCCAGCAAATAACTTTGCGATGTCTAGTTCTTTTTTTCTTTTTTGTCCCAATTATCTTTTTCTATACTTGTCGGCCCGAACAGTGCAATCTGATACCTACGAAATTGCGCTTCTGGAGTCCTTGGTGTGGGGTTGACTGGTTGCTTATTCTCAGCGATTTCTAGCGATGAGTACCTGGATATCGGCGTTGGTTACCTGTTTCTTCGCTTGTCGGCTGGATCTGTTTTCTTTAATTGGCGATGGAGGATATCAGAGCCTCATTCATAACAATGCACATTGTTTAACCTCCATCCGAGTTGTACATCATATCTCTTCCATCAAATCATCCAGGTCATCGTCCAGCCCCAAAGGAGGGAAATCCCCCACCTCGACCTTTTCCGGCTTCACAAATACACCCCTCTTCTCGCCGCCGCAGACAAAGTAGCGCTGGCCACCCACGCTGCCATCGTTTTTCCCAGTCGGTTCATCCAGCTCAATGCCCACCCATATTGGCCGCAGCTCTGCAGGTACCTCCGTATGTTGCATCTCACGAGGCAGCCCAGAGATAGGAATCGTCGGCACCCGTCCCACAAAGCGGACGGTACCTCGACGGATATGCGGTGGAGTAGAGGGCAGGATGATAGCCCGCTTGTCGACAGTAATGCCTGCAATTCGAGTGAGATGATGTTGGTAATCGGATGATATACGTCACTGGTTCAAGGGCTGTTTATACCTTTATTAGAGACTTCCGTCTGGTCTTTCTCAACTTGGTTTCGCAGGGTCTCCTCCGGGGAGGCGGTGTTGGGGTCGAAGCGGCCAAGTTTCTGGTTCTTCTTCCATGCCAGCACTGAGTTTGGGAGAGACTCGTACGTCTCTGCGGGCAGGACGTATTTGTCAACAGATGACAAGTCTGAGAAGTTGGGGCGCATTGCCTGAGGGCGGGTGTCGTGGACCTGGGTGTATTTGATTAGCATGTGTCTGGGATGATTGACTGTGTGAAGAAAGCATCTGTGGTCTCCTCTTCTCCCAGTTGTAGCCTATAGTGTAGGGTGGTCCTCTCATAGATGTAGTATCATCATCAGAAAGGAAACAGCCCACAGACCGAGTGCCTAACCACATGGAAGTAGAATCACTCACCTCAATCTCCGAGCCCTTCACGAGCCCCCACTCACTGACAATCCGATCATCTCCTTCAGCCCACTGGTCCGGTCGACCAGGCACTTTGATGCGCAGGCGCTGGCTTCCCGGCGGAACACCAGTCATGGTCTCCAGCTTGCCCTTGAGCTGGAAGAGGGTCCAGGTGGGCGTGATGCGACGCTCGTTGACGAAGCCGCGTTCTCCCTCGCCTCCTCGACCAGAAGCCGGGGCCGAGACAAGGACGGAAATATCCGCCGGAGTTGGTTGGAACGCCATCTGGAAAGCAGTATTAGCATCGATTTTTGTTGTGTGGGTTGAGATAGGCATATAAGCATATGGGTATTGAAGTAGGGCTTGTGGGAGGTGTTTCAATCGGTCAGAAAGGCATTAGAACATTGCAGTCCTGGATGTACTAGAAATCAAGACCGTGCCCCGTGGCCTTGAGTTTCAAGTGGAAGATGGGGCAATATCAAGCGTGCCCGTTCCCCTGAGCAACATCCACAACCGTGGGAGCTTCCACGGGAAACGTTCAGAATTGGCCGCCACGGGATATATAAATTGAGTCTTTAGAGCAAAACGAATGTTTACGTACCTTCGAGATTCACTTGACTTGCCTGTTCGTGCCTGCCCGGAACAACGGTGGACGAATCTCCCCCATTTGGATATCGGGACGCTGAGTCAGCACCTAGGAGATGAGAGCGAGGCGTGGGAAGAAGGGTGGGAAGGGAAAGGAAAGGGCAGTCGGACGAAGAATAATAGCTCAAGCTAGCTAACAAGCCAGTGGTTGCCCGGTGTTATTATTTCCGGAAGTCGATGTAATAATACCCATCTCATTCAGTCTATAGCCCGTGGTCACGTGCAATTTCTCTCACGTCTCTCTCTCGCTTATCGTTCGATTTGGGACTTGGAACTTCACCGGATGAATTAACATGGCCGCCCCAGACGCAGACGCCTATGAACAACAGAATGTGCATGAGGTGTACCAGCAGATTGCTGACCACTTCTCCTCCACCCGGTATAAGGTCCGTACACCCTGTCTGTTCCAACAACCGGCTTGTCGCTCACCACTACTATCCAGCCATGGCCCATTGTGGAACAATTCCTCCGAAATCTGAGTCCGGGCGCCGTGGGTCTTGACGTCGGATGTGGCAATGGCAAGTACTTGTCTGTCAATCGAGACGTCTTCATCGTTGCTTCCGATAGGTAAGATCTTGAATGGTTGAAGTGATTTCCAAGTATAAAATTGTTGTCTGTTTTTAGTGATCTCTAAATTATATTGCGTTCTTTCCCTCTTCTGCATTCCATGTCCAGGCTGAATCTGACCTAATTCGACAGATCTGAGAATCTGGCGCGGATTGCGGTCAAGCACCAGCCGCATTCAACCATTGTGGCCGATATTCACCATCTCCCGCACCAGAATGCCTTCTTTGACTTCGCCATCTCCATCGCCGTGGTGCATCACCTGTCGACTCCGGTACGCAGAGTCCAGGCCGTCGCGGAGATTCTGCGGACCCTGAAGTCGGGTTCAGAGGAGCAGGTCGGCGGCAAGCTCCTGATCTACGCGTGGGCTCTCGAGCAGAAAACCAGCCGCCGTGGTTGGGATAAGGGCGACCCGCAGGACATCATGGTCCCTTGGGTGCGGAAGGGGGATCGGCCAAGGAAGGCACGTCGGAAGAGCCCCAGACATTTCATCGCTACTACCACCTATACGAGGAGGAGGGGGAGCTGGAACGGGATATCGACCAAGCGGGTGGCCGCGTGTTGGAATCAGGGTATGAAAAGGACAACTGGTGGGTTATTGCCACACCCAAAAATCGCCCGTGACAGATGAACGAAAAAGGAAAACCACGTGGGAGTGTGCTCCGAGAACCAGCCTCAAAGTCGTCATTTATCGGAACGAGAGTCGCAAAAGGTGAAATGAAATCCGACACCAGATCCTCCACGTGTTTCACGCCGAAGATGCTCTCAAAAAGAAAAGGTGAACGGAAGAGCTCGCCCCAAAAAAGAAAACACCAACCGGGAGAAATCATCTATACGATTTGCTCCCTCCAAATCACGAGATACCTCCAGCCGGCGCTATGCAATTCGTAACAAAAAGGAAATTCAGAAAGCCGTTCAGGCGTGATCATCGTCGTCTACTCATCTTAGGGCAAGGTACGAGGCGGGATGCCCATACCCATATGAGGGCCCATGGGAGGTGGGATGCCGGCCATCTCAGGTGGTCGTCCAACTCCATAAAACTCCCGTGGCGGCGGCGGAGCTGGTGCGAATGCAGGAACGCCCGCCGTTAATTCCTCCAGAGATGGAAGCTGTGGGGGAAGGCCCGGGTGGTGACCGGGAATCGCACGGGAGGTCGACCCTTTCCGTGGCCGCGATAGTGAAGTGCTGGCACGGCGGGTTCTCGTGGTAGGAGGGTCGATTGCTGTGCTGGACAGGGAGAATGGCACGACGCCAGCACGACGAGCCATCTCTTGTTCGCCCAGTTGCCAGTGCATGGCTTCGGCGGCTCGCCATGGGATAGCCATTTCCTCGGCAACCTTGGACCACATCTCTGCTTTGAATCTGTCACAAAACGTCGAATGTTAGCCGGCTGCAAGCTACTTTTTCACGAACCTTTTCTTCCCGGCCGAACTTACCTCTCATATAATCGTGCCAATTTGTTCTTCTTGTCCTCATCCCACTCACTGCGGCGCTCCAGGTAGTTCTGATAGTGCAGCCGGCAGCTGATGGCACTCCGGCCCGGCAATCGTCTGCTGATGTCCTCCCACTTCATCCCACTGCCCCGCAGCTCAATAATCAAGGCATCTTCTTCCGGTGACCACTTAGATTGCTTCTTGGCTGGAGATTCGGAAGTGTGCGCCGGTTGTAGACGCTTCCCGGGGTTGCTCTTCGTCAGCGGCGGCGGAGCTGCCACGAGGCCAGGCCCCGGTGGCAGGATGGGCGCCGATGAGCCCGGATACGGTGCCGGGATGGAAATTGGTGGATAGGTGGCGGAGCTGTTCACCTGGGTGGCTTCTTCCTCATCTTGGGGCTTGAGTAGCAGTGAGATATCCACTTTGGCGGGAGGCAAGATGGGCCGATTTTGTAACGCAATCATATGCGCGAGTGGGAACCAGCAGGACTTTTGAAGAGAAAAAAAGTAAGGGAAGATAGTGGTAGATTGAAAGGGAGGCGCCTAAGCCTGTGGCGTCCTCAGGTAGAAGTGCGAGAAGAGTGAGAGGGGGGTTGGTGCTCGTGATCTCGAATGACGACAGACAGTCAAACGGGGGCAGAAGGCAACCAGGCCAGATAATCTGCCAGCAGTGGAGTCCAGCGAGAGAGGTGAAGAGAAAGAAGACCCAAAGGGATAGTCAAGCGTCTCTTCGTGCAACAGACAATGGTGAGGTCAGGGCCCTACGTGTACGGGACGGGTACCGTGGAATCTGACGAAGTGGCTGTATGAGGTGGTGGGAAGTGTATGATAGGCGATAGGATGAGGTGTATAGTAGAGAGAGAGAAGAAGAAAAGAGGAAGAGGAAGACAAGGGAGAGAAAAAAGAAGTCGAGTGGTGCCCCGACAGAGATGGCGAGAGAGAGTCCAGAACCAGATGAAACCAAACGATCATCAGTGACAGCTGGTTCTCGAGATCGTGGGTTTACCGGTAATATGCTACATATCCACCTCATTTAATTAAGAGCTCAGGGCCCTTGCAATCTTGTCTGTTTCGTTCTTCCGAACAGACCGTTCGAGGCCGGTGGGGCATCCATCTATACTGGGGTGTCAAGATGATAATATAGTACCAAGCACCGAGACTACTATAGTTGATCATATCGTGATTATTCTAGTACACTCGCAATAGGACCTGCCCGTTATCCTTCTTCGACGCAGACCCGCCCGCGCCATCCTGAAATCACGGAGGATGCGTAACACAGCTTAAAAGCACAGGCCAGCTCGCCAACGGCCTCCTCCGTCTAGCCTAGGCGCTAAGACGGGGCCCCTAATGCCTTACCGTTGCGACTAACGGTTTAATCCATATTAAAAAAAAATCCCCTTTTGAGTGGTCGCTCCGAACGGTTGGCAGCATCCACCCAACCGGGGATTTTTCTGGTCAGCTAGGGCGCACCATCCCCTGTTCTTCTGCCCCGTTCCGGGCGAACTGCTGCATAACAGCAGAGGATTCCTGGTTTGTGGCAGTGGATCAGACCCCTCGGTGGATTACTGGAGTCTTTGACCCTCGCTGTGGGCACGAAGACGACCTCTTTGTGAAAACAGCCACATCTAAGCTCCCCCAGCTCTGCAGGATGATTGCTGTCACACGAGGCAGTCAACCGATCTCCAGTTTGCCCTTGCGACGAGGTTGATCGGGGCCTAGAATTGCGTTCGTGGGAGTGGAGGCCGTCTCAGAACCCGCCTAGCGCGCCCCCCTGGCCCTGAATTTGTTACCCAGGGAACCGTGGTTTTCCCACATGGCTGACACGAGAATGACGGCTTGAACGACGGGTCAATTCTTCGGTGGGTCGTTGCCACAATGGAATTATGATTCTGTGTGTTGGATTCTACAAATGTATCTACTTATATACATTCCTTGGCGGTATATAGGAGCTGTGATTTAGGCAAGAGGGACTCCAGCTCGGCGACGATCCGTTCGGTTGCCTGAAACACCCGTTCAGCCCTCGACCGGGGGATCAGCGAGAATGCGAACCCTTCTCTCTCTTTATGTTATCTCTCTCTCCCTTTGTTTCCCTCCCCGCTGGCTGCCTCTTCTCTTCAAAAAAAAAAAAACCCCTTCCTTTTCTTTTTGCTAGCACCAAGGTCCGGTGCTCGAAACACAGAGTTCGTCAACCCCCAGGATGTGCAGCGCCAGCAAATCACCGCCGTGCAGGGCGGGCCCCATCCCGAAGATCGCGTCTGGACGACTAAAAAAATGCTGTTCGACATCTACAGCTTCGTCCGAGCAGGCGCGGGAACTGGTTGTAAATTACAGAGTATCGACAAATAAGAAAAGAAAGCAGGAGGGGGAGTCGATCGAAATCGAGGCGAGCGTGACCGACTAGTATGCGCGAGGACCACAGCCACGACGATCGGCCCAGTGCCCTAACGGTCGAGCCTGTCATTGGCGGCCGCTCCTTCGACGGAGAATGAGGATACAGGGATTGACCCTGTGTACACGGCCACACAGCAACGGCCAACCATGAACCAAAACGGTGCGGGTGGGGATGCGCACCGTTGGATCATCCCAACTAATGACACAAGTGGACGTGGTGGCGCGGGAGATTTGTGTCTTTCTATTTATTGCCTGGTGAGGATCGCCCGAATTGTCCGACACATCCACCAAAAAAACTGGGTCTGCTCATTTCCTCACGTTTCATGGCGACGCTGGGTTTAATTTATTTGGATCCCCGTCATTATTATTATTATTATTATTATTTTGCCGAGGATCGTTGCCCATCATGATTCCTTGCTCTGCTTCTTCGCAGAGCACACAGACACACATTGTGCTGCTTGACCGGCTGAAAAGTGGCTCCCGATGGAGCCTTTGTTGATGATCCGCGTCTTGATTTGCTCACGGCCCTGCGATGCGGTGGACCATCGGCAGAGACGAGGAACACCGCTGTCAGTGGTTTAGAGTCAGTGCGTCTTGCTCCTTCCAGTCCTTTTGAGTGAACCGAGAAGGAATAATGTGCGTGTCTGGGATAAATGTGACATCGTAGCGAGATTCTGGGAAGGTTGAACCCTTGTTCGACCTGTCCGCCCTTGCGATAGCAAGGGCCTCTAAATCCTCGATATGAATAATATCAACACCCCTCCGATCACCATCGAGCGGTGTGCAAAGAAAAGCCCATGGTAGGCAAACATTCTGGTCCAGATCCTAGCAGCACGGTCAATCGTCAGCTCCACAAACGACAAACCTGAAACCGCCTCGGCCACCCCACAAGGTAAAGGGCGTCCCTCGTCTAGACCCAAGCGCGGTCGACGACCCTTCTGGACTCGCTCAGTACCGAGGGTCGAGGGGCGCGGACTAGGAACCGGTTCACGAAAGGAATTCTAGGGCTCATTTAGATGATGCCGTGCGGGACGCTTTCTTCAGTGGTCCTGGTGGACCCGTCCTAACGGACAGTTGATGCCTCACACACGGGCTAAGACTCCTTCCTGAATAGTCTTGCTTAAGTCCGCACGGTCTGGACTCGCTGCTTCGCTTGTGGGCCGTTGCGGAGTCAGTTCTTCGTTAGTTAGGCGCGGGATGCGATCCAGTTTGAGACCTCTCTGGAGCTCTCCTGGTCAGCCTTCTCTATGCGCAGGACATGTATACCCGAAAATTGTCAAAGAGAGCGAGAGAGAGAATGGTTTATGTTAAAATGGCCTTTTGCGTTTGTCTCGGGAGTTTATTCTAATTCTGTAAAGGGCACTTTGAACCTCGGTTCGATCGCTCCAAGAATAACTTTGAAAGCAGAGAACAAAGCCGTAGACGTGATTTGAATCCTTTTTGCTTTATTTTGTATCAGGAATACGCATGGGGCTAAACCCGAGGCTTTCGAGGGCGGAACAAAGCGTGCCCTTGGTCTAGTCTTTGACGATGAACATACTGATTGACTACTCCTGAAAGAAGCACCTATACCTCTAAGGGCTAAAGACAGAGGGATAAATATTTCCAAATTTGCCAATGTATAGTCCTCGGCCGTTTTACCGCAACTGACTGTTCATTCACCTTCCTTTTCAAGCAGCGTCTATCCATCTGTTCGAACCTCTATAGCTCATATTACGAACACAATTAACATGTCAAAGAACCAGATGGCTATATCAATGAAATTGCTACAATTGTCTTTCAGAGGGTCATACTTTCATGGCAGATAAATTTAACGGCATGCCCTTCAACATACTCGGTTCAGAAACAGCGTCTTCCTTTCAGAGCCTCGCATTGCACTCTCCATGGTATTTTCACTACCGAAATCGTCAGATGTCTCATGAAACTGCTTCTCGGCGGGCTCTCTAGGTCCGGATAACCCTGATTTTCAGTCTCTAGGCAAGGCCGATGCTTCAGCCAACACTGAGGAAACTAACAACCCCATTCGGGTGGTCACTTCGCTTTTCACATTCTGTGGAAAGCTGCTTCGACCGTTGGGGGCTAGTTGATAAGGATGGCCAGCAAGATCTCTTGAAGCTATGAAACACCTTCTACATACAACTGGAGGACGATACGTTGAGCCTGTTTTAAGTTCCATCTTCGCTCTGCTGGTTATTGTGACTGGCATCCCAAGTGGAGGTGGATGCACGCGGATGTCCTCAGAACAAGACCTTGGACGACGAATCACTGTTCTGGTTAGCTCCGCTGAAACTGCAACTTGAGCCCCTTGAGATGGAGTAGGAACTATGTTGAGAACAAGGCTATCGGTGGTGCGACTTGCGAACACTGCCAGCAAAAGAAAACGGCCAGAACGCGAACCAACCACACACCCGAGCTCTCTTGATTCAGCTCCAGAGAAGCATTTACGATCGTCAAAATCAGCCCGTCAAAATCAAATCCGGTGCGGTTGTTCAAGAAAACTTGAGCCTCGGTCGCAATTGGTTTTACTTGCCAGGTCCATCGGAAGAAAGAGTCGCTGTCGAGTACGGGTTGTGCTCGATCATCTTCTACCTAGGGTCCAGTGCTAATGAAGGCCATTACATGGCTACCGTGAAGAATCATGGCCACCACTGGACACTTACCAATGATTACCAGGTGAAGAAAGGGGTGGGCTTCGATCAGGTTCTCGAGCAGAGCAAACCCGAAGAGGTTTTCAACCTCGCGTAAGGTCGAAGCCCCGAAGCTCATGAAACCGAATTATTAGATGGAAATTGACGACGTGCAACCGGATAAGAACAAGGGTTGGTGGGGGGAACGGGAGGAAGGGAGGAAGGGAAGACGCAGTAGAAAGTGAGTGATTGGGTGGTATAGTTCTGTATTTATTTCTGTTTGTTCCATGTTTCCAATGTTACTCCCACACTTACCATGTTCATCGATCAACTCATCAGCGAATTAGCGCAATACACCAGGGAAGGTGACAAGAAACCCCAGCCGGATACGCTCAAGCCATTGATGCTGACTCTGCATTGTCTGTTCCCCAATGACTTGCTCCTGGCACTCGACATCCTGGACCGCAGACTTGTGCGGCATTTGGTGTACACCGTCGAAGAGGACGTTTCTCCCACATCAAACCCAAACATCTTCCTCGTCATGTCAGCCTCAACAGCCCCTTCAACAGGGGGTTCTCTCTCATCATCCACCTTCACCCAGCATCAAAAGGGCTACGAAGTGCGCCTGCACGCCTGGAATTGTACGTGTCCGACATTCGCGCTCTCTGCATTTCGCGAAGCCAGACCGGCGGCAGATGCTGAAACCACGACTCCCGAGGTGGTGCAAGACCAACCCTCGGAGAAGAATCTCGCGTATCCATTTGGGGGCACTCTGACGCGCCCTACGGCGGAAGGCGCACCCCCGATCTGCAAGCATATCTTGGCCTGTGTGCTATTTGCTCGCTGTCCAGGGCTCTTTGCACCTGACGAGGATGAGCGATGTGCCGTCTCGATGGAGGAATTGGCTGGATGGTGTGCTGGCTGGGGTGGGTGAGATAGCCCCGAGTCAACGGATTACGAGTTCAAACAGGCTCGAAGGATGTGATCGATCAGAATAAGACAAGACATGTCTAGTCGGTCACCCTGAATTATTCTACTATACATTCATTGCGAGACAGAAACAGATGGCTCGAAGTGATGGTATTACGTTGATCGATTGTCGACCTAAACCGCCTAGCTCTTCTTGTTCTTCTCGGATGAGCTATCCTGCTCCTCCTTCTGCTCGCCATCGGCCGACCCATTGGCCTTCTTGCCTTCCTTATCTCCCTTGGTCGCCGCATTGAGCTCCTGCTCCCGCTTCGAATCGCTCTCCTCCTGTTGCTGTCGGTTCTGGATCTTGTTCTCGATCAAGTCATGGAAGGCCGTAATGGCCCGGATCAGACTACTGATGTAGATGGCCATCAGCTGATCGTTGGTCTTGACGCTCATAGCCCGCGCGAGCTCGCTGTTCTCGATCTGTGGTTCCTGGCCGCTGATCCGTGGGGTCATGGGCGGCGTGGACAGGTTGGGGAGGAGGTTGAAGACATCCTGGAGGTTACCCAGAATGGCGTGGTTGACAGGGAGTTCGTGATCGAGGACTTTCTGGAGGTATTGGCCGATATCGCGGAGCCGCAGGTGCAGCCCTTGCAACGACTGCAGCTGCGATGTGATCCGGGTGGAGAGCGTCCCCACGGCGACGTCTCTGATGTCTCGGAGCAGGTGCTCCACGCCAATCTCCTCGGCTTCTTCGGCCTCGATTATGGACGGGGTGTGCACGAAGGTCCTTGAGGTTGTTGTGCCATCCTACACAGACCAATCCAGTTAGCCAATGTACCTAGTTTGACCCATCGACTGCCATAGCACTCACATCCTTGATCTCGTCCACGGCAAAGTAAGCATCTGTCGGCACGCCGACCTCCTTTGGTTGCACATCAACAATGACCAGTAGAGGGTTGGGAGTGTATTTCTTGAAGAGCTCGTTGATCTCGAGATCCGAAGCCCGGAGCTTGGGGCCGGAATGGTACCACCCGACCAGCTTCTCACGGGCATTGATCTTCTTGAACATGTCCCTCATCGATTCAACAAAGTTGTGGTCCAAGAACCACACCGATGGGTCCTTCTCATCCTCCTCGAACGGCACTAGCGGTGTTTCACGAAGCTCGGGTCAGCTCCTAGCTATCCAGTGTGAATCAATGCAGAGGGGGAGGCTTGATATACCTGCAAAGCTGTTTGATACCCGGACATTCTGGCCCGAGTTCTCGCCCAGCAGCACGCCGACCACGCGTTTCCGAGTGCCCTTGGCGGTCCGGCCGTAGTGGTCGGCAACGGAGAGCAGGACTAACGGCGCGACCGTGACGGTACGCTGGACGAGGGAGAGGGTGTCTGCCGTGGTGGCAGGCATGGCGAGTAGAGAAATCAATCACGAGATGGGGTGGAGGGAGATAAGACCGACGGAGCGACAGAAGAGCGTGACGAGAGAGAGCGATGTGAGGTGTTTAGGAACACCAGGGCCATGATGCTGAGCTGCCGCAGTGGCGGTGGTTTAGTCAGCGTGGCTGGTGTGGATGGAACTTTTTCGAGAACGGAGAGTTACTACGAGGGGGACAGAAGAATATAATCATAATCATAATCATTGATCTGGTGATAGTCAAACAGGGAGAACGAATTCATCGAGAATAATCATTCTTGTCCCTGAATAATCCGCGGTAAATACAACTATATGTAGGTATACTTCCCTCCGTCCGTGCTCCGAACCTCGGGCGCTAGCCCTTCCATTCCTGCGGCCTCTTCCCTTCTTCCCTGTTCAGCCTCTCTGGTGTTACGCTACCTACTTCCCTTCCCCCTTCTTTCTTCTTTCCTTTCTCCCCCCTCTCTTCTTCCCACACTCCCAATGGCTCCCATCACGGAAGAGATCGTCTCCGGTCTGAAGGACACCATCAGCAAGCTGGAGGCCCGAGTGGTCGACTTGGAGGACCGTCTTGCCGGCGGCAAGCAGCCCAAGTCGCTGGCCGAGCAGATGCGCATCATTCTTATGGGCCCGCCCGGCGCAGGTAAAGCTGTCGTGCTCGTTGGTTTCGGGGCCGAGCTAATGATATTGCAGGCAAGGGCACTCAAGCGCCGAACCTCAAGGACAAGTACTGCGTGTGCCACCTGGTGAGCAAGCACGGGACTCTTTTCTCCCCAGACATCTGGCTGACGGTTTACCCAAATAGGCTACCGGAGACATGCTGCGGTCCCAGGTCGCGAAGAAGACCGAGCTCGGCAAGGAGGCGAAGAAGATCATGGACCAGGGTGGCCTGGTCAGTGACGAGATCATGGTTAACATGATCAAGAGCGAGCTGGACAACAACGCCGAGTGCAAGAATGGGTTCGTATTCTTCTGTGCTGGAGTGGGGGAATCCCAATTGACTCGAGCGCAGGTTCATTCTCGACGGTTTCCCGCGGACGGTCGAGCAGGCCGAGCGCCTGGATGACATGCTGGCTGTACGGAAGCAGAAGCTCCAGCACGCCGTTGAGCTGCAGATCGACGACGCTCTGCTGGTTGCGCGGATCACGGGCCGTCTGGTCCACCCTGCGTCCGGCCGGTCGTACCACAAGATCTTCAACCCGCCCAAGGACGACATGAAGGACGACGTCACCGGCGAGCCGCTCATCCAGCGATCCGACGACAACGCTGATACCTTGAAGAAGCGTCTGGCTACCTACCACGTCCAGACCACGCCCGTCGTGGACTACTACAAGAAGACCGGTATCTGGCGCGGCATTGATGCCAGCCAGGAGCCCGGTCAGGTCTGGAAGAGTCTGCTGGGTGTGTTCCAGAAGAACTAAATTCCGACCATCCTCAAAAGGGGAGGGATGGGGAGAGCTGCGGGGGTATCTTTGCCCCCGTCGGACTCTGTGGTGAATGCTTACCGTTTCTTTTGTTGGTCGTCTTCTCCTTGAGGGAAGCAATTCATCCGGCAGTCCGGGTTGGCGCTGTCCGCGTATAGAACGAGGTTGAATTCCCTCTTCACACGCCATGTATAGTATGTGTACTTCTTGAATGCACTGCCACCGGCATGGTGTACGAACGCAATTGGGTCCGTGTCTGTAGATATATATAAATGCGAAATATCATATTTGCCGCCCCGAAGGAAATTATATATATTCAGCTCGTATTTTACAGAGCCAGAGGGAACTCGGTCGACTCAATCTTCTGAGGATACATCAATCCACCCTGTCGACGCACCTCATCCATGACCTCCATGATCACAATGCTCTCCTCCCAGGGCAAGCCTTCACTCTCGAGCTTACCATCCCGCAGACAGCGGGCGACCTCATCGGCCTCCCAGTACATACCATGGCCTTTACCGGGGAACTCGTGCTCGACGGTACGGACCACGCCGTGGCCTTGCTTGGGAACAACCCGGTACTTCGAGGGACGGAAGGCGGGTCCAAAGACCTGGATCTCGCCCTTGACACCCTGGATTCGAATGGCGGGACCGGCGCTGCCCTTGTCATCTGGGTCAGTCGCCACACGAATGTTGGTCATGGCGATGCCCTGCGAGTGCTGCGGGTGAGTGTCATTGCTGGGGGTGGTGGTCGGGAAGCTCAGCAGTATGGTCGTGCATTCATCCGCTCCGGTGAGGTGGTAGGGCGTCATCTGTGCGGTGACGGTGGGAGCCTTCCGCTGGTCGCGCGGAAGAGTGTGATAGAGGGTTTGGAAGACCCAGGTGAGGGAGTAGATGCCCACTGGTCAACCCGTTAGATCTATAACTCCAAGAAACAAAGCAGCAACAGAACATACAGTCCAGTAGAGCACCACCCGCCAAATCAGGATTCACCATCCGATGCGCAGTCCCAAAATCCTTCTCGACATCATTCCCGAAGCTAGTATCAGCAACAACGCGAAGCACCTCACCAATCTCCCCCGACTGAATGAGCTGGCGGACCTGGATGCTGAGCGGGAAGTAGCGAGTCCACACGGCCTCCATGAGGAAGCAGTTATTCTTCTTGGCGGTTTCACACAGGATCTTCGTCTGGGTGGCGTTGACGGTAAACGCTTTCTCGCACAGGACGTTCTTTTTGGCCTGTAGGGCCAGCATTACGTTCTGATAGTGGTGCGAGTGCGGGGTGGCCACGTAGATGACATCAACGTTCTTGTCGGCCACGAGGGATTCGTAGTCACCGTATACGGCGCAGCCTGCGGGGATGCCGGTATCTGCGATGAACTTGGTCGCGCGGTCCTGGGAAGAAGACGAGGCCACCGCAACGACTTGGTGCGAGACGTCGGAGGCGTCGCGCGTTGTCGGGTCGATGAGTAGGTCTCGCACGAACGCTGCATTTTTGATTAGTTTAGTGAAATCCTAGCGATCCCTAGGGGAAATACGTACTCTTGGCGATCCCACCGGTAGCTGTTGCGGGGGGGTTAGGTTAACCTGTGGCTCTAGGGAGGGAGGGGAGTGATGGTTCGTACCCATGATACCCCAGCGGATAGTATGCGGTGCCATTTTTGTTGGATTGATTGATATTATTCCGTATAGTGCAGAGTCAACTAGAGAAGCTGAAGAGGAGAGAAAGGAAGCGAAAGATGAGACAGACGTACATAATCACATCCAGTGGAGAGTCCGGAGATACCCCGAGCGGGGCAAAGCAACATCGGAATGCGACTGTACCTGTCAGGTGAAAAATATAAACAATTGGATATGCACGCTATGCTATGCTAGTAGTCACTATGATACATTTTCATGCCGGCTCCGTCTTGATGCGCACTTTGTGCCCAGGGGAATCGCCCTGTAGATATCGTCAGAGGGGAGTGACTTTTGGGTATCATAAAAAAAGACTCACCTCGGCTTTCCGCTTGCCTAGAACCGAGTCGGGAGTACCAGTCCGCGCTTGAGGTGTGTCACCGCGCGCGGGAGCAGGCCCATCCTTAGTTACTTCGGCGTAGCAGCTGGCATGGTAGACTCGGGGGCCAACCTTGATCGCGTCCTGCCAGATCCAGTCCTGGACATCCTCGGACCAGCTCGACTCGAATTTCTCCTGGCAGATGGGGCATGGTGTGTTGCGCAGTGTGGCGTCATTCGGGGCGCGGATCCAATGCTTGGGAGGCCCTTGTTTGGCGGTGTCGTTGGCAGCGTTTTCAGCAGCAGCCTCGGAGTCGGCGGCGCCTTGATCATCGCCAGTTTCCCGAGATTTGATCCAATCCTGTTTATGGTCAGTCTGATACCAAAAGAGAGGAAAATGGGGTACGAACTCTTTCATCGACATACCAGCTGCGGGTCTGGGCCCGCCTGGCGGCTTCCGCCATGCGCTGGTTGGTCTTAAAATGCCAGTCAAGATGACGGGCTTTCTTGTCCTTGCCTTCTTCAGTGGCGAGGAACCGGCGCCCGCAGGTTCCACATCGGTTCGAACGGGCTTCATAGAGGGAAACTACCAGAGCAACCCTGGGTCTTTTTTTCACAGACAATTGATTAGCGGAAGGAAGGATTTCCGGGGACGCGGAACTCACATTTTTATAGATGCAGTAGTCATAGGAACTTCGGAGGTAATGCTCGAAATCTGAGGATTTTGGGCCGGGGGAGTAGACCCCATCTGCCCGGGAATCATGAATGGCAAACCAGGACCTCCAGCACCGGAGGGAGGGAGAGAAGGTGGAGCGGATGCAGGAGGCAAAAGACCACGCGCGCGAAGTGCGGCAATGAGAGGGTTGTCGGGGCCAGCAGGTCCCGGCTGCGGTGTGCCGCTGGACTGAGGAATCTGGGGCATTTGAGAGAGCGCATTAGGCGGTTGCGGCGGTGGGGTAGGTTGCTGGCGGACGGCAGTAGCTTTGATGAGCCCTGCCAGAGTTCCGGGATTGAGAAGTTGTTGCAATGGCTGCGAGACAGACTGGGTTGGCGAAGTCGACACTGGGGGAGGCGCCGACGCCGTCAGCCCATTCGCAGGAGCGTTTTGGAGAGGGTTGGAGGTCCCCAGCGCAGATATTTGATCACGGACGAGGTTCAACTGGTCCTGGGTCAGTTGCTGCCTCTGCAGGATGCCCTGGAGATCCAACAGCGCCTTCAGCCGTTGCTGTGAAGCTGGGTTGAAAGGGCTATTGGCGAAATCCGTCCGAGCCGAGGCGATCAAGGCATCCAAGTCCCGGTTCAAAGAATCCAGGTTGGGATCGGGCCGATGAGCAGGCGGTGGTGGAGTCTGGCCGAGATTAGTGACTCTCGAAATCACGCGAAATAGGACCACACTTACCGATGTATTGAATCCATGCCCCTGATTATTCGTCGGCGGTGGTTGATTGGGAAGCGGATGGCGCATGTTGGGCTGCGGGTTCGTGGTCCAGTTGGTGGGAGTGACGCTTCCCCGGCCACGCAGGATCTCGGGCTGGCGGGCCTGCTGCGACTGCAGTGCGGCGGTGCGGGCCTTGATCAGGGCATTCTCGATATTGCGGGTGGTGTCTGGAGGAAAGACCGGGCGTGTGTCGAGCGAACCGGGCACGGGCTCCTTCCAGGTCTTCAGCATCTCGTCCAGTTTGCGGCGGGTCTGTGAGTCGACCAAGGTGTAGGCGTTCATGAAGGTCTGGTACATGTTGCGGCCCAGGAACAGCGTGTAGGGGGTGCCCACGTTCTTGACGATGGAGTCGACTACATACAGCGCTGGGAGTTTCTGGGGCGGCGGAGTCTACCCGGGGTTAGAGTGGGCTACAGGATGGAATGATGGGTGGGATCACCTACTGAGCGGATGTGGTTCTCCAGCACGCGCGAGATGGCCATGGCATGCTCGGTGTTCTCCTTGGCGATGACGGTGAGGTTGCTGATCTGGAATCGGTCATTGGTGGTCAAATCCTCCAGCGAGTTCTTGTAGTCCTCCGCGACCTCGTCCGACACAAGGCCAGACATGTTTTTTGGTTCTTCTAAGTCCTCCCAACTTGGACCAGCACGGAGATGGAGAGAAAGTGGTACAATGCTTGCTAGCTAGAGAGAGACTCAAAACAACCGACCCCCAGTCCAACCCAGCAGACCCCGCGACCTTCCGGGGAGACGACCTCTACTTAATGCTGCCAGTGTTGACAACGTCGAGAATCCAGAGGCACTGAAAAGAGAGACAGAAGAGAAGGGGAGGGAGGGAAGAGGATGAACGCGAAGCGAAGAGAGAAACAGAGCGGGAAAGGGATTGATGGATGGATTACGTATGATGGACGGCCGAGGTCAGGTGACCCGCATGACGCATGTAGGAGTGGGTGACATTGCTCTCACTCTCTCCCCTTCACCATATCCATCGGACGATTATTCCGAACATGAAACTGGTGCTAACTCTGTTGGCGCTACTCCCGCTGGCGCTGGCCGCCAAGTCGCTCAAGTCCGTGATCGTGACCTTCCCCGAAGGCACGCCGAATTCGGTGATCACGCAGGCCAAAGACTCGCTGGTGGCTTCGGTATGCGCCCCTTTGGATTTATTTGACGTTCGTCTGACTGACTGCTGGTTTCTAGGGTGGCATTATCACTCACGAATACCGTTAGTCCCACTCTTCTTCACCCATCTGGGGGCAATACTAACCGTTGTGGTTCACCCAGACCTCCTCAAAGGCTTTGCGGCCGAGGCTCCCGTGAAGGCTCTCGAGACCCTGTCCACGCAGGACAGCGAGTACAATCCCAATATCGAGGAGGACAAGGTGGTGTCCATCGATGGAGACTACGAGGGTAAGGAACACTCGTTCTAGGTCTCCGATCACTCGGCTGGATCGGGGGCATTCTTTTTGGATCTGGAGCCTATAGGCGGTTGCAATAATGATTTACTTACTACCTCGTATATGACAATATTCAAGAACTATGTTTGTCCTACCACAATCATGTAGTCGCAGTAGTGGACCTCTGATCCACGAACTACCGAATGTGCCCACCCCCCGCTAGTGCCAATCCATCTTCGCCCCCCCGGAACGAACACGCGCGACTATCTCTCCCTCTCTCTCCCTCCGTTTCCTCGTCATCTCCTGACCTTTTCGCCAGTGTGTTGCGACCCAGACATGCTGCGGTCGCATCGCATCTTCTCGGCCTGCTACTAACATAGTTCTCGGCAATATGTCGGAACACACAGTAACCAAGGTTCTACTGGAATGGATCAACAGCTTCTCCCTGGGCAGGACCCTCCGAGCCACGGATGAATTGACCGACGGCATCATCCTGTGGGAAATCCTGCAGGACATCGATCCCCAGTATTTCCTCGACGAGATCCCCGAACGCACCCCCGCCGACCACTGGGTGGCCAAGTGGCAGAATCTCAAGCACATCCACAAGCTGCTACTCAGCTACATCCGCCACCAGAACGATGATACCCTGCCCACCGGTCTCGATCCGTCGCCCGATCTCGAAGCTGTCGCCGAGAAAGCCGCTCCCAAGGAGACCAACAAGTTGTTGAAACTCCTCCTGATCGCGGCGATCAGCTCGCCCAACGCGGGAACCTATGTGCAGACGCTTCAGGAGCTGAGCACCTCCACCCAGGAGGGCCTCAAGGATATCATCGAGGAGGCGCATAATGGCCAGCACGAGCCCCTGGACTCCGCCGACGAGCTGAAAGAGGAACTGGCCAAAGCAGACCGCCCAGACTTGGAACTGCAGTTTGAGGAACGCGTCGGCAAGGTGATTGCGGAGAATGATCGCCTCACACACGAAAAGAAGGAGTTGGAGAAGGCGTTAGAGGACCTGCACAATCGTCTGGCGCGTCTGCAAGAGAACAACGACACCCTGCAGAACCGCCTCGCGTCGACCGAGGATCGGTTGGTGACACTCAAGTCCGGAAAGGGCGAGGGATTCAACGCAAAGGCGCTGGAGAGCAAAACTCGCCAACAGGATGACCTGATCGCGTCCCAGGAAGCGAAACTGTCTGCTGCCAATGATGAACTCGACAGTCTCCGGATGACCGTCGAGTCTTTGCGCGTCAAGAACCAACGCTACCAAAAGCTGCAGGATGACTACGACGAGCTCCGCACCGAGAGAGATCAGCTCGCGCGCAAGGCCAACGCGGCCGAGAAGTACCGCCAGAAGCTTCAGGCGAGCCAGGACTTCGAGAAGGAGAACCAGACCCTCAAGAACCAGATCAAAGATTTGCAGCAGCAGCTAAAGGAATCGGACTCGTCACAACGATGGTCTTCGGAGCGTAATGTGGAGCTCGAAGAGTACCGAAAGCTTCTGCCACAACTGGAGCAGGACACCAACGAGATCCAGCATCAGAAGAAACAGCTCGAGTTCAACAACCACGCCCTTACGGAACGGCTTCAGAGTGCGGCTGAAGAGAATGAAAGGAATGACGCTCTGATCAGCGAGCTGCGCGAGCGTCTGCGGGAGCTCGAGGGGTCAGGCAGTCCATCTCCCGGGTCTGGGACGCCGAAGAAGCACACATTGCATAATGATTTCGAGGCCCTCGGTGTCAAGGAATCCCAGCTGTATGGCTATTATACTCTTCTATCAGTTTCGAGGCTAATCATGAGCAGCAAATCCGAAAATGAAGAATTGAGACGCGAAATGGAGTCCTTGAAGGCCCCGTCAACCACTGCAGAGGTATGTGGCCCGTGTGTTCTGTCGAAGCTTTGGAGACTAACGAACACAAGCCGGCGCCTCAATTTGAAGGCTTCTCCGAGGGCTTCAACGCGTCCGTGCACCTTGCGCGTGAAAATTCCACTCAAGGGTATGTGTATTTAGAACCTACGATCCGACCAGCTCTAATCTTTGAGTATAGCGAGGAGTACTGGAAGCTTTACGAGACCTATACCGGGTCCCTCAAGAAGATTGCAGAAGTGCAGGACCTTCTGGATAAAACCAAAACGGACCTTTCCAATGCACAGGCTGAAAGTACGTTACACTCGTTCGAGACCTGGCCGGATCGCTTACATTTATCGCAGTTCGCATTGTCAACGTCGAGAAAATTGATATGCTCCATGAGCTCGAAGAACACAATTCAGCCGAGCTAACCAAGCTCCGTGGTGACTGGGAAAGTCTCACGCAGAACATTCACAATTTGGAGGGCGAAGTAGATGCCAGCCAGACGCTTGTCCGCGAAATGGCCGCCGAACGGGAGGAGTTGCGCAAGATGCTTGACAACAAGCAAACCGAGATCAGCTCTGAGGATCAGGAGGTGATGAATGAAATGCAGATGCTGCTGGGCGAATTCGAGACCCACAACAATGAGGGTGAAACGCCTCAGAAATCGAGTTTCGAGCTTCTCAAACAGTGCGCTGGAGTCCTGGAGAAGAATATTGAGCGGCTCGCCCAACGCGCAGAGGTCGGTTTCTACTGGAATTTATGGTATTTAACATGCTAACCTGGAGGCCGCACAGTATATTCAACAACAAAATGAACTCATCAAGTCACTTCATGAGCGCATGAAGAATTACGAGGAGAACCTGGATGACGGCATTTTCAAAGAGCGCGAGGTATGCTGCCAATAAGCCTAACTTTTTGTGTTTCTACTAACACTCTTTAGCTTGAGCTCCAAAAGATCATCGATGACCAGGCCCGAGAACTCAGCCTCGTGGGCTCCGCCTGGTATCATCTACAAAGCCGGTGGCAGAGCAACAACAACACGGTGTCTCGCTACCGACACGGAGCCTCGATGGCGGAGGCGCAGAAGGGCTGGCTAGCCAAGCAGCGAACTGCAGTTGCCGGTCAGTAGGTACCTTCCTGCTGTGTACAGAACATATGGGTCTTCTGGATATATTTTTGCACTTTACGTACCATCTTTTTGTTTTATATTCCCACTACATCGTTTGTCACCTCTGTGGATATACATGTATGGCCTCGAGGGTCAATAGAATGCTGTGATTATTTCCGTGTTGATCTTTTGTTGTCTGACTTATGGTCAGCGACAGACATATTGGATAACTATATACTGCCATCTACCTTGTCCTGTATCTAGAATTGATTACTATTGATACCTTGCTTTTCAAGCACCAGGCTAGATTAGAAGTATTGACATCTATTTGTCGCGTATTTTGACTGCACTGACTTCTGATATACATTGGTTGCAAGACGACGGGATTTGTACGACAATAGATCAAAGAATGATATACAAAAGATACAAGAGATCTGGCCTATACCCATTGCCGGGGATGTCGCAGCACGTCCATCAGCTCCTTTTCGCTGGTCTTGTCTTCACCCAATTCCTCTTCATCCGTAGGCATAGTCTCGGTCCGTGTACCGGAGACGGGATCCATGTAAGCCCAACTGGCAGTGCGCGGAAGACTCATCAGGATGCTTTCAACACGGGCATTGGGCGTGCGCAGGCCAAAGCTGGTACCCCGGTCATAGACCAAATTAAATTCCACATAGCGGCCCCGACGAAGCTGCTGCCACTCCTTCTGCGCCGAGGTAAAGGGCATATCTTTTCGCTGTTCGATGATGGGCACATATGATGGCAGGAAAGAGGCCAGTCCGTCGGAAACAAAGGAGAACAGCGTCTCCTGAGGATTAGACGACGATCCGGCAGAGGCCTGCAGGAAGTTGGCGTCGAGGTCATCAAAGAAAATGCCGCCAACTCCGCGGGACTCGCCACGGTGAGGCAAGTAGAAATACTTGTCGCACCAGGCTTTAAACTTGGGGTAGTATGTCGCGTCGTGGCGGTCGCAGGCGTCCTTGATCGTCTTGTGGAAGTGTTGCACGTCTTCGGGGAACAGGTATGACGGGGTCAAATCTGTGCCACCCCCAAACCACCAATTCTTGTCTCCATTGATGGGATCTTTCGGATCCGAGGTCTCAAAATACCGATAGTTCAGGTGCACTGTGGGAGCCATCGGGTTATGCGGATGCAAGACCAGCGAGAGGCCCGCAGCAAAGAAACTGAGGGAGTCCACCTCAGCCCCGACGAAAGACTTATGGTCCGCGCGCATTTTCTCAATTGCTGCCCGCGGCAGTTCTCCATAGACCACGGAGACGTTCACGCCGGCCTTCTCAAACACGTTCCCGTCCTGCAGCACGCATGAGATACCGCCGCCGCCATTGGGACGCGTCCAGGTATCCGTTCGGAACTGCTGGCCATCGATCCTGCCGAGTTCCTCGATGATTTTCTGCTGGTGTTCCTTGATGAGCTTCTCCATGCGCAGGCGCATGGGCGAGGACTCGTTGATGGTTGAGGTTTTTTTCAGGGCTTCGTCGAGTTCGACAATGGAGGGAGAGTCGAGCTCGGTTATCTCACCTGTCATCTACACTCACAGGACAGTAAGAATGATGTGATCCAGGCAACATGGGAGGTGTATCGTACCATGGAGTATATAATCGCGCCGATGAAAGGCACCCCAACTGCGAGCCGCAGGTAGGGTCTCCAGACTGTGAATTGCTGCGCTTCGCGCTGTTTTTGCTCTGTGGCATATCCGCGCACCTGTCTGCCCATGCGACGACCAGCAGCCCGAGCATTCGGGATGGGGAGTCGGGCTAGCGATCTCCACAGAGGCATGACTGATCGGGAGGCCATTTTTGCGACTGCGTCGGGGGACGCAGGGAGGGAAGGGGAGCAGCGCGGAACTCAATCACCAGAATTGTCGAGACGGTGAGCAAGTCGTGAGGTCAAATATATGTTCAATGGAGGGTTCCGATCCTCGCGCGTCGAGCGAGTTTGCGCTGTTTGTTCCGTTTGTCTCCCCGAGTGGGTATACCAAGCATGTATGCAGGTCCGTACTCCAGGTCCAGCGTTGTCCCGAAACCAAGTCACGATACACCTGCTGCCTGATCTCTCGACAGATATGTAGGAACTAACTAAATCAATCCCACGACCATCGCATCTGACTCCAGTAGAGCGAATCAGCTGACCAGGTCGCTGACTCACCGCCCTGTTTGTCAGCTCTAGCATCATCGTCACCCCTCTCACTCACTCACACTCTCCCTCTCTCTCTCCTCCTTTCTCCTCCTCTTCTTCCCATCTCTCTCAGCCTCATCCTTCTCTCTGCTTTCCCCTAACTATCTGTCTACCTTCTTCACCCCAACCTCGGACCACTCTACTCACTACATCTCTGTCACATCTCATCCAGCTTACCGTGAGTCTCCCTCCTCCCGCTCCACCCGACCCGCTCACTTATCGCCTTATCAGCCACCCACGATGCGGTCCAAGTTTAAGGACGAGCACCCCTTCGAGAAGCGCAAGGCCGAGGCCGAGCGTATTCGCCAGAAATACGCCGATCGCATTCCCGTAAGTTTTTTTTCTTTCTGGTGTTGGATCGCCCTCGCGACCGAGAGCCTCCCCGAAACTCTTCACCGCTTCTTCGGCCGCTGACGGATTCACTATCAACAGGTCATCTGCGAGAAGGTCGAGAAGTCGGACATTGCTACCATCGACAAGAAGAAGTACCTGGTCCCGGCCGATCTCACCGTGGGTCAGTTTGTCTATGTGATTCGCAAGCGCATAAAGCTCTCTCCCGAGAAGGCCATCTTCATCTTCGTCGACGAGGTTCTCCCCCCGACCGCTGCGCTCATGAGCAGCATCTATGAAGAGCACAAGGACGACGATGGCTTCTTGTACATCACGTAGGTCACTCCGTTTTCTCCCTGCTGTCCTTCCTATGTACTGACCAGATGACCAGATACTCGGGCGAGAACACTTTCGGTGACCTCTAAGCGTTGGCCAGTCCTCTCTCTCTCTCTTCCTTGCTTTTTGGTCTACTCTGGTACGCATCAGGACAGCTTGGTCAGCAGGCACCAGGGTGCTGTGAACTGAGCAGGAAGCGTCAACCACCATCTGAGGATGCAAGTGCTCGGTTTCTTTGGCGTTTGATTCGGTGTTGTGTGTGTGTGTGTGTTTTATTTTCGAGTGTGAACTGATTTTTGCTTGGGCTAATGTACTGCTCTTTGTTGGCTGTGAATTGACTGGACTATGATGAAAACAGTCTGACTGATCACATGCTATTGGTCTTGTGGCTTTCCTACTAGTAGAACACCTACCGTAGCGACTCTTTCCGCTTCTCCAGCTCTGAATAGTTGTAGTTGTTTAGGGGATACTTGTATAGTAGTAGCAGTACTATCTATGGTACTCTGTACTTTGGTCCGCTCTGCTCCGGGATGTCCCAATCGGGTATAGCGCCCATCCTTGTGCTCCGATAAATTTTGATCCTAATCAGTTCATGATTGTTCTCGTGCTTCACTCCCTGTCCCGGATATCGTCCTCTCCTTGTTCTGCTGTTCAGCGATAAAGGAAAAAGGGAAAAAGAAGAAATGTCTCCCGCTGTGGTCCCCGCCGGTGCTGGCGCTGCCTCTAAGGATGTCAAGAAGGAGTCGGCCACTGCCCGTCTTCTCGGTTCCGGTACGTGCGCAACCACCACGGTGACTTGCGACCAATTGCTAACGTGCGCTGTCTATAGGCTCTGCTGGTATCGCCGAGTTGATGGTCTTCCATCCCGTACGGAACACCCCCCTTTTCGTCGCAGACACCGCAGATCCTAACATCCCCCAACAGGTTGACACCACGGCCAAGCGATTGATGAGCAACCAGACTCGGGTGAGACTGACCTCAAGAAAAGGGATGCGCTGGATGTTAGGCTGACAATGTGCGAAACAGATCACCTCCGCCAGTGCTTTCAAACAGGTCGTTTTCAAGGAATACGCCACCGCACCGGCCCTGCGCAAGTTCACCTCTCTCTTCCCTGGACTGGGATACGCGGCTGGCTATAAGGTTGGTAGACTGTCACAACAGTCTGTTGTCGGGTTGCTAATTTTTCTCTGTGCAGGTCCTCCAACGAATCTACAAGTACGGCGGCCAGCCTTTCGTCCGTGACTACCTGGCCAAGCACCACGGTGCCGAGTTTGATAATGCGTTCGGAAAGGGTAACGGCAAGGCCATCATGCATGCAACTGCTGGAAGGTGAGAGATTTTTTTTTCTGGTTGTCCCTTATTAGTGGATGAAAACTAATATAAATGCCTCAGTTTGATCGGTATTGGCGAAATCATCCTGCTCCCCCTGGATGTCCTGAAGATCAAGCGGCAAACGAACCCGGAGGCCTTCCGGGGCCGTGGTCTCTTCAAGATTATCTCCGACGAAGGCATGGGTTTGTACCGCGGCGCTGGCTGGACAGCCGCTCGTAACGCCCCCGGCTCGTTCGCTCTCTTCGGTGGGTCTGCGTTCGCCAAGGAATACATCTACGGCCTGACGGACTACAATTCGGCCACCTGGGGTCAGAACTTTGTTGCCTCGGTGGCCGGCGCCAGCGCATCGCTGGTTGTCTCCGCTCCCCTGGACGTGATCAAGACCCGTATTCAGAACCGCAACTTCGAGCACCCGGAGTCGGGCTTCCGGATTGTGTCGAACATGGCCAAGAACGAGGGTCTCACCAGCTTCTTCAAGGGTCTGACTCCCAAGCTGCTGATGACGGGCCCCAAGCTGGTGTTCAGCTTCTGGCTGGCGCAGACTTTGATCCCTGCCTTTGGCCAGGTCGTATAGCCAAAGACAAAAACCGGTTCTTTCTGATATTGGCGTTGACACCCCCGTTCTTACTTTTGCTTTTGTTTTCTCTTTCGGGTTCGTGTGGCCCCGGGCTTCCTGGAGGGGACCGCTTGTGTATTTTCAATAGATATGATGTTTATTTCGTGCCGAGGTCGGGTCTCGTCTACTATTTAGAACCATCTTCTCTCCATTTTCTTCTGGGATGTAGAACCGTGAATATATACTGCCAATGAGAAACCTATCGATTTCAGTCCATTAAGAATGACAAGCATGGTATAATTGACCTTGTCTTCTCATGAAACCGAGCCGGCAGCGAACACATCACGTGAGCGCATATCTCCCAGCACCGAACATCATCAAAAACCGCCAGCTTCCAATCGAGCACTCCTCCTGCATCCCCAATTCTCAAACCAAGACTCTCACAATGCCAGTCTACCTATTATCCCGGTACGTCTCCTCCTCAATCCAGAAAGACAAACACTAAACCAACCAAACCCGCCACCCTTCAAATGTCTTGTAAAGGTAGCTCAACGCTAACTTGGCGAAATAACAGAGTAGGGGACCCTCTCTTCGCCCTCGCAATGGGCATCTCGGCCGCGATGTCGCGTATCCGCCGCGACCAGCAAAAAAGTTCCCGGAGCGGGCGTCAGAGATCGGGTATGGAACTGTGCTGCAGACCGGTGGGAAGCGGTTGCAGCGGTGGTGGAATGGGGATTTTAAAGGGGTTCAATAATGAGCCCGTTTTCCTTCTGTACTTGACTGGTGTTGTTTGGTTTCTCAATTGTATATATGACATGATTTCGGAGTTGAGTGCTACAATAATAACCTCGCCTGCATGGGCAGATTGTTTTTTTGAGATTTGAGCTTCATCTGCACTGGAGTCGAGACGAGCAATTATTACAGTGAAAGGATTGATCTCTACAAATTCTTACAGGGACAGATATGAATTAAAAAGGAATTTTATTGCCAGGACTTTTTTCCGGCAGAGATAGCCTCGTATCTATGCAGCATGCGCAAAAAGAAAACTCGATATCCCATAAGTTCGTAAAACCAACACATGAAAAAAAGAAAATGTGAGCCAGAGGGGCAAGCATCATCAACCGTGAATCACAAACGAAAATCACCGAAACACCGCTCTAAGGCGAGACTTTTAGTCAAGCTCCTCGGGGTGCTCCTCGACCTCGTCAGCAGTGCGGGCACCGCCAGGAGCGGCACCAGGGGGAGCACCGCCAGCACCAGCAGCACCACCGTAGGCAGCGGAGATGATGGGGTTGGCAATGGCCTCCAGCTCCTTCTGCTGAGACTCGTACTCGTCCGTCTCGGCAGTCTGGTTGTTGTCGAGCCAGCTGATGACCTCGGAGACCTTGTCCTCGATCTTCTTCTTGTCCTCGTCGGAGATCTGGAGCTTGCCCTCGCCCAGGGTGTTCTTGAGCGAGTAAGCGTAGGACTCAAGGCCGTTCTTGGCCTGGATACGGGAAGCCTCAGCCTCATCCTCGGCCTTGTACTTCTCGGCCTCAGCCAGCATGCGCTCGATCTCCTCCTTGGACAGGCGGCCCTTGTCGTTGGTGATGGTAATCTTGTTGGTCTTGCCGGTACCCTTCTCGATAGCCGAGACGTTCATGATACCATTGGCATCCAGGTCGAAGGTGACCTCGATCTGGGGCACACCACGGGGGGCAGGGGGGATGCCAGTGAGCTCGAACTTGCCGAGCAGGTTGTTGTCCTTGGTGCGAGCACGCTCACCCTCGAAGACCTGAATCAGGACACCAGGCTGGTTGTCAGAGTAGGTGGAGAAGGTCTCGGACTTCTTGGTGGGGATGGTGGTGTTGCGCTTGATCAGAGGAGTCATGACACCACCGGCAGTCTCGATACCGAGGGACAGAGGAGCAACGTCGAGCAGCAGGATCTCGTTGGTCGACTTGGAAGAAGTGTCACCCGACAGGATAGCGGCCTGGACGGCGGCACCGTAGGCAACAGCCTCGTCGGGGTTGATGGACTTGTTGGCGTCCTTGTTGAAGAAGTCGGAGACGAGCTTCTGGATCTTGGGGATACGGGTGGAGCCACCGACCAAGACGATCTCGTGGACGGAGGACTTGTCGATCTTGGCATCGCGAAGGACACGCTCGACGGGCTCCATGGTGGAGCGGAAGAGGTCCTGGCACAGCTCCTCGAAGCGGGCACGGGTGATGGAGGTGTAGAAGTCAATGCCCTCGAAGAGAGAGTCGATCTCGATGGAGGTCTGGGCAGCGGACGAGAGGGTACGCTTAGCACGCTCGCAAGCAGTGCGGAGACGGCGGAGAGCACGAGCGTTGGTGGTCAGGTCCTTCTTGTGCTTGCGCTTGAACTCGTTGACAAAGTGGTTGACGAGACGGTTGTCGAAGTCCTCACCACCCAGGTGAGTGTCACCAGCAGTGGACTTGACCTCGAAGATACCCTCCTCGATGGTCAGGAGGGAGACATCGAAGGTACCACCACCCAGATCGAAGATCAGGACGTTGCGCTCACCCTCAGCCTTCTTGTCAAGACCGTAGGCAATGGCGGCCGCGGTGGGCTCGTTGATGATACGGAGAACGTTCAGGCCAGCGATGAGACCAGCGTCCTTGGTGGCCTGACGCTGGGAGTCGTTGAAGTAGGCAGGAACAGTGATGACGGCGTTGTTGACGGTGCCGCCCAGGTAGGCCTCGGCGGTCTCACGCATCTTGACCAGAATCATGGCGGAGACCTCCTCGGGGGTGAACTGCTTGGCCTCGCCCTTGAACTCGATCTCGATGACGGGCTTGGTGGCCTTCTCAACGATCTTGAAGGGCCAGTGCTTCATGTCGGCCTGGACCTCAGCGTCCTGGAAACGACGGCCGATGAGACGCTTGGCGTCGAAGACGGTGTTGTGGGGGTTCATGGCGACTTGGTTCTTGGCGGCATCACCGATCAGACGCTCGGTGTCGGTGAAGGCCACGAACGATGGGGTGGTGCGGTTACCCTGGTCATTGGCGATGATCTCAATGCGGTCATCACGGAACACACCCACACAGGAGTAGGTGGTGCCCAGATCGATACCGACAGCGGGGGCAGACATGATGGAATGATGGGATGGGGAGAGTCGTGAAGAGAAAGAGGGATGAAGGAAATTCGTAGCAGGTGAGTAGTGTTACAGGGAGGAGGAAGAGTGTAGGAGAGGAAGAAGAGTTGAGTGAGGAAGTAAGAAAAAGAAGAAGAAGGGGAATGTGGGCGAAAAAACCGCCTATATAGGGAGCGGTGAGGTGCTCAGAAGCTTCTAGCATGTAGCTTCCATCGGGTTCTTTGCGGTTCCATTACCCTCCGTGCCCCAGCAACAGAGCCACCTCGCCCCTTCGAGAAGCGAGTGGACCATTGGCGAAGGACCCAGTGGATACGGTCATTATTACGCCAATTGCCTTTCTTACTACTCACTGGCAGAATCATTTGAAGCTGGTTCCTCCCGACTGAGAGAGATTTTTTGGCGGGGCAAGCTGTTGCATGATGTAATCGAGTGGGATGGCCGTGTCTGGTCCGAAAATGGACCGTCATGATGAACGCACGACCTCCACTACAAATAACTATGCATAATATGGATGATGATGGTCTTCTAGGTAGTGGACTCGGATGTATAGCTACCGAGCTCTGAGTCTCGTAAATGAATGATTATTTACTCGGGTATGAATGGAGGAGATCCCCATCTTACCCCATCGAATGGATTGTTGTCTTTCCAGCAATCCATAAGATCATAATCATAATGGAATCCGACTGACTTATTACATGGGGGTTTGCTCTCCAAAAGCAACAACAACATCCATTTGTCCCTACTAGAAGCACTCGTTAAGGGCAAGCTTGGTCACGGGCGGGATCGCAGCCAATCAGGTCACGCGATCGGGTCCCTTGCCTGTTGTTTTGATCGGCTCTTGCTCACCTCCATTTCCTTTCCTTCATTCATCCAACTCCTTCCTCCCTTCTCCTCTTCCTCTCCCACTAACCAATCAGTCTTCCCTTCTCTCTCTTTCTCCCACTACCACACGTCTACCTCTATCCACAATGGGCGACCACGACATGAGCATGGACCCCGCCGCTAATGCCCCCGATGCCGCTTTCGCGGACAAGGGCAAGGGCAAGGCCCAAGACCCGACGCACGAGATGAGCATGGACGAGGAGAGCTCTGACGAGAGCGAGAACGAGATTGTGCGTCTGCCTGCCTCTCGTCCCAAGCGATTGGACTAACTAACATTGTTCATTCTAGGGTGACAACGGTACGCTCTCCTCTACCCTAGTTGCTGCGGGCAACGCGAAATGGTAACTCATGTTAATATTGCCTTGCGATAGATGACGAAGAGGACGGCGCGGACAACCTCGAGCCCATTTCCACATCCAACATCATCACTGGCGGGCGACGTACGCGCGGCAAAGCCATCGACTTCGCCGAGGCCGCTGAGAAATCCAAGAACGAGGGCGACGAGATGGATGATGACGATGATGATGATGACTATGAGGCTGCTGACAACAACAACCACCAAGACCACGACAACGACGACCAGATGCGGGACTAAATCTGTTTCCATCAAAAGCTTCCAGACGACATGGAGATGAAGGGGACTGCTTTTAACTGAAGGACTGGCGCCATGGCTTGGGGGGTTTTCTTTTCTCTCTCTCCTCTCTCTCTCTTTGTGGATCGGAGGCACAAACAAAATGCATTGGTGCAGTCTCTCGAGCACTTTTTCAACTGTAGACTCTAGAAATGCGTAGCCTCGTCCACTATTTATTTATGTATTGACGTGATCGACGCACCACAACATAATTTTACATCATTTGACTTGTTTTCTCAACGATTCTCTTTGTTTATTCCTTCCTGCTGGATATATACCTCGGGCGAGTCATCACGTGCCTACCCGACCGCCACGGCCACCTGGTGTTTTTGTCTCCGACAACTACTTACCTCGACTGTCAGGACAGCACCATGTCGCTCGCCCACGGCTGATCAGCTTCATTCCCGCCATCTTTCTCTCCAGTCCGGACATCCCCACTCCGGCCGCAATTTGCAACGGCCACCATGGCCTCACGGTATAGTTCGCCATCGTCCGACGCTATCTACAGAGCAATGCTAATGAAGTACTTGCCACAAACCAGATTCCCTCGCCAGCGCGATCCCCGCGCATCCTCCTCCCTCTTCGACTCGTATGGCGGTGGCGACTCCCGTCCCGCGAGCAAGTCACCCGCTTCAAGCGGATACGGTTACGGAGGCTACTCCAGTCCCGCAGGAGATGGGTACACGAATGGCAGTGCTTCCGCTGGGCCCTATAGAAGTGCCACGCCTGATAAGAAGTATGTTCTTGTCCTTCCTCTTCCTCCCTTTGGCCTGTCGCTGACTCTTTCCCCTGCAGGGGCCACTACTCCGATGCTGTCCTCTCGTCACTTGAATCGCAGAATGATGCCGAGGTGGAGGGTATCTCGGCCAAAGTCAAGATGCTGAAGGATGTGAGTACGCCCCTTTTTTTTTCTTGGTTCGAAGATTGGTTACTTATACTGTCCTTGCCAGATCACACTAGCCATCGGTGACGAAATCCGCGACACGGCCCACCTCACAGACCTCGAGGGCTCCTTCGATAGTACGCGTGTACGAATCCGCGGAAACATGACCCGCATGCTGCGTATGGCCGAGAGCACTGGCGTCGGCTGGCGGGTGTGGCTGGGTTTCTTCTGCGCCGTGTTTCTGCTGTTCTTCTATGTGTGGATCAGCTGAGGCCGTCAGCCTCGTGGAAACACCAGATTTAATTATTTCCCGTTCTTGTTCTTGGTATTGGCAATTTTTGCAAACCTCAGGGCGTTCATTCCACATTTTGTCACTAGTACCCGCATGGTTTTCTCCGGCTACGGCGTTTTGGGGTGGGGGATGTTTTATATTGAAATTATCGAACCCGTCTCCGTGTATGTTGTGTCCTTTTGTCTGACCCTAGGCGCTTTTCTTTCCATTACGGATTGCTTTGGGGCTTGCTCGTTTCAAATATGTACAAGTACGAGCACAACACGGGTTGTATATAGAGCAGTCACTACGGATGCAGTAGATGTAATGGCATTGGCCCGTCCCGAGGCTTGAAGAGATCTCGTCATGCGATTGCATAATTAAATAAGGCTGAAATGCAAGGCACTCAGGTCATTGACAATAGCAAATGAAACATAACAATAAAATCCGACGTGTGTATCGTGAAAGCTGCCCGTCATCATCAAAACTCCATACACGATGCAAAATACATAATCCCATTCAACCAAGGCTGTCTCTGGGTCCGCCTACCCGTCGCGGTAACCGTCGCCCAAATCCGCTTCGACGGCTGCCCTGACTTGTGATTGAGGCACGGAGATCATCGTCGTCAAAGAGCATACTGCTGGAATCCAGCGCGTCGCCTCCCCCACTCCAGCGTTGCAAGAACCGGCGCTGTGCGTCTGTCTCACGGTCTCGCCGGACCGGCGGTGGAGGGAGGCCGCCGTGGGTGTTGGGCGTGCTGGTGCGGAAGTTCTCTGCAAATCGATCGCGGACAATACTTGACTCGTCTCCTTCGTCATCATCATCGTCGTCCAGCTCATCCTCGGTATCGGTGTGCTGCCATTCGTCTTCCTGGGCAGACCCATCTTCCGCAGCGTCCGGGATCTCGTCGTCCAGGTCGCGAGTCATGCCTTTCCCCTTCTTCGCTCATTTCCTCGTCTCCAGTAGCAGAAGGGATCTCCGCGTCCAGATCGGGCTGGTTATCAAAGTCCACATCTTCCTCGTCGACGTCGTAGAAGCCTTCCTCGCCGTAATCATCATCGGGATATCCTTCGGGAATATCATCGTCCAGATCTCGCTCCATATACCCTGCTTCATCGGGGATATCTTCCTCCTCAAGCCCTTCCTCTCCTTCCTCAACAAGACCCTCCGCCTCGGCATCCGCATCGGGGATCTCATCGTCCAAATCGCGCTCCATGATCTGTTCTTCTTCTTCTCCCTCTTCACCTTCCGGACGCGGCATCCCCGTCTCATCATCTACCATTACCTCACCCTGTGCCGCCATTTCTGCCTCTGCAGCAGCAAGCGCCTCTTCACGCTCTGCTTCTGCCTCTTTCATACCAAGCATCGTCTTCGCGCATCCTGCCGGTCGAATCCAGGAGTATCCGAAAGTAGCAATATTTTGTTTCCGCGCGCGCAAGGTGCGTTCTTCGATTACCAGTGCGGAGAGGGTATTTGCCCCGCGAGAGGGCATGAAGCCGCGGTGGTGGGTGGTGTTGGCCTGGGCATTGCGGCGGGAGAGATGGCTGGGTACTTGGTCACCAGGGCCGATGTGTGGTGAGGAAGAACGGTATGGTTGAGAGGACCCATCCCAAAGCTCATGGGACTGCGGTGTGTTGGTTAATTTTTTTGCCAAAGTCGCTGACGCTGCAATGCACTTACACCGTGTGGGGTGATGAAGGGAAGGGAGAGCATTGTCTGTAGCGCAAGCTGTATCTGGCGCTGTGGACAGGTTTGGTCGGTGGTTGACGTGGGAGTGTTTGTTGACGATCGACAAGCTCGGACGCTTGCTTAGGCGGTGGATCAGCCGCCAAGGACTCCATAGTAGGAGGAGTAGCTGGACTGCCCACGGTTGCACTCAACCCCAGCATTTGAATATTTATACAAAGATTCCTCGCCCTATAGACCCCTTGGTCTATTCTATACTACTTTGCCTGTTGATACTATAGATCAGGAGACCTCAAGTGATTCTACCTGAGCAGAGATTGGACCGGCCCGCGTGTGAATGAATTGAATCATGATTGAAGATGAGCAATGTTCAATATTTATAATAAAGAACCCTTGGATTCGCACGGAGTTGAAGGGGAAGGGAGCCCAACCATATGCAGTAAAGTATATTCCCTTCAGTCATGAAAACATGCCAAACCATAAGTAGCAAGGCATAGTCTGCCATATTAGGCAAATTAGAGTAACGCTTCTAGGACTAGGGCTATGCACTGCCTTTCGGGAGATATGGAGTGAATCAACTACTTTAAAATTGAATCCTACCTTGTATCCCACTTAATGCAACCACCTGCTGAATTGGATGACAAGCCACAGCGGTGTCGGAATGCTACCCACAGCTGGACGCAGGGACAGCTGCAAGCCACCAGGTATGTCTTCGAGTGGGCCGTATTATTTGACCCGACTCGAGCGTGCCCCGTTAGAAGAAGCAGTGGTCGTTGGAGACGATGTATTGTAAGTCTCACCAACGGCGGCCGGTATTCGGCCGATTGAGAGTCAGTCCCCCGACATCCCCCGAAGGTTGCCCGTCGACCAGCCAGCACCCCGGTGAACCAAAAGCGGACAAGAGGAATCGGGGGAAATAGGAGCCAAGTCATGTGATTTATATACTCTGCTGTGATTTACTTTTGATGAGCAGGCTATTTCTTTCACCCGTCAGAGGCAAGGCCAGGATGGGACTATGTCCGGCCGAATCATCATTTGAACCTCGTACTCCGGGCAGACAGATCGTCTGTGGACCACTTGGCGAGGAATGATCCCTCGACACGGCAGAAGGCGTAGACAACCAACCGGCCAAGAAGAGGTTCACTAGTATGGATTCACTTCACATGTCGTAGTAGTTGCCGGACGACGCCGCTCCGGACTGGAGGACAGACAGCCATTCAAAATACCCGAGTTACCAAGCCAAGCGACGAAGAACCCCGGGGTCAAGCAGCAGGGTGATAAGCAGTTGTGATGACCTCAAGGAATGAGCTGGGGAAATCCCTGGGACCAATCCGCAAGCAGGGCTGGCATGCCTGAGGGCGGCAGCAGGGCCCCGACTTCGGCGTATGGTATGGGACATTCCGTGACCATACGCGGTATACGGCGATTTGCCGATCGCTGTGGGGTTTATTGTAGAGGTGAATCGTGCATAATAATATCAGTGGAATCATCGGTCTCCTGGTGATGTCTGTTGTCGATCCCATCGACTAGTACTTCAGAGGAACAGCTACTAGATGGTCCACAGCGCGATGCCTACCGAGTGACGAGGCCTTCGCGTTGAGACTCCTTGACCGGCAGTACCTATGCTGGATCAGTGCTGAATCCGCCCCACCAACTCTGTAGACATTCATCGGGTCAGCACGCATGTGAGTCGACTGCTGCACTGCGCCCACGCTATTTTGGTCCGTGAGCTCCAAACCGTCCCTACTACTAACCACCGGAGCTGGCCCCGAAAGGACCCCGCGACCCTTTCCTCGCGGTATCGATGTGTACCATACGGCCATGATTACGGAGACCCACCGAGGATCTTGACGTCGTTGAAAGCTAATCGTCGTTGTAACGCAGGAACTCCCATTGGCCGGCCGATGCTTATCTCGACGGAGCGCCGTAATCAGAACGATTGTCATTACTCGATGATTGGAGAGCTCAGCATGCCTGTCTGTTTTCGTCAATGCGTACCCAGACTTCTTCATTGGTACCTAGGAGTCTTGTGCGAGAGTTACTGAAGAGAGAAGTCAGATGGTGGTGAGAGCTGTGAGCGCGACATGATTCTTACGATTCTGATCCACGCGTCCCGGCTCCGAGGGAGGATGTAGGGTTGGCAGCATCACTCAGTATTTGCCACGAGCAACAACACCCCACAATTCCCTGTCCCGTTGTATTTTTCCCATTTCTGCCTTTCGAATAGGCAATTCTTAGTTAGTTCGCGCTCGGAGAAAGCCTACAATCCCCGGACTAGCCTGCCGTAATCGCAGCCCGTCTTTTTTTTTTCTGCCCCTCCTACTTCTTCTTCCTTTCTTCCCTTCCACTTCCTCCTTCATCCGCGAAACTATTTTCACGCAGACGCTGGGATTCCCTCTTGACTGTCCCTCCCTCACCCCTGCGCTGCGACCCGCCAGTGACGACACCCACTCTCCCTATCGCTCCCGATCGATTTCCCGCCCTACGGCGATCACCCCTCCACCCTGCCTGTCCGTTCTCTCTGCCACCGGCGGAAGAATGGGTCTTAACTTGGAAGAAATCTATGGCAAAGAACTAGACGACCAGACTCCTCAGGAGTATTCGGAGTACCAGCCAAAGAAGGGCTATGGCTGGGCGGGCACTCTGCCCGAGCGGCAAGGTCTGTATGACCCAGAGTATGAGAAGGATGCCTGCGGTGTAGGCTTTGCAGCGTGAGTGAATCTAGGAAGGCACAATTGATCCGCTACTGACCCGCCGGCAGTCACATCAAAGGCAAGGCGAGCCACAAGATTGTCAGCGATGGTGAGTGATGGCGAGCCTGATGAAAGACCGATTCACTGACGAATGCCTAACCAGCCCGCAATCTGCTGTGTAACATGACCCACCGGGGCGCCGTTGGCTCGGACGCGCGCGATGGTGACGGTGCTGGTGTGATGACTAGCATCCCGCACAAGTTCTTCATCAAGAACTTTGCCCGCGAGGTGGGCCTGGACCTGCCCCCGCTGGGTCAGTACGCTGTCGGCAACCTGTTCTTCAAGCCAGACGAGGAGGCGCTCAAGCAATCCATAGCCAGCTTCGAGGAGCTGGCCACATCCCTCGGCCTACGTGTGCTGGGATGGCGGGAGGTTCCCCGCGACTCGACCATTCTGGGTCCTGCAGCCCTGTCCCGCGAGCCCATTGTCATGCAGCCATTCGTCGTGTTGAAGTCGGCTTACGGCGAGGGCACCAAGCCCGAGATCACCGACCCAGAGAAGTTTGATGAGAGAACCTTTGAGATCCAATTGTATGTGCTGCGGAAGCGCGCAACTCATGTCATTGGCCTAGGCAACTGGTTCTACCTGTGCTCGCTCAGCAACCGCAACATTATCTACAAGGGCCAGCTGTCTCCGGTCCAGGTGTATCAGTACTACCATGACCTGGTCAACGTCGACTACGAGGGCCACTTTGCCCTCGTCCATTCCCGCTTCTCCACCAATACCTTTCCCTCCTGGGATCGTGCCCAGCCCCTGCGGTGGGCCGCTCACAACGGTGAGATCAACACACTCCGAGGAAACAAGAACTGGATGCGCGCGCGTGAGGGGGTCCTGCGGTCCGAAGTGTTTGGTGATGAGCTGGACCTGCTCTACCCTGTCGTTGAGGATGGCGGTTCCGACTCGGCTGCTTTCGATAACGTTTTGGAATTGCTGATGATCAACGGCGTTCTTTCTCTGCCCGAGGCCGTCATGATCATGATTCCCGAGGCCTGGCAGGACAACCCGGCCATGGACCCGGCCAAGTCCGCCTTTTATGAGTGGGCTGCTTGCCAGATGGAGCCCTGGGATGGCCCGGCTCTTTTCACCTTCTCCGACGGACGCTACTGCGGTGCCAATCTGGACCGCAACGGTCTGCGTCCGTGCCGTTTCTACGTTATGGATGATGACCGCATTGTTTGTGCCTCGGAGGTCGGCGCTATTGACATCGACCCCGAGCGTGTGGTTCAAAAGGGTCGTCTGCAGCCCGGAAAAATGCTGCTGGTCGACACCTTGGCCGGGCGCATCATTGACGACTCGGAACTGAAACAGACCGTCGCCCACCGACAGGACTTCGCCAGCTGGCTGGACAAGGAGCTCCTGAAGCTGCCCGCAATCAACCAGAAGCTCCTGGATCGGAATGTGGACCTGTCCTTCACCCTGGATGACCACACCATTCAAAATGACCCCCGCCTTAAGGCCTTTGGTTACTCATTTGAGCAGGTCAGTCTGCTCCTCGGGCCCATGGCTGCCGACTCGAAGGAAGCCCTCGGCTCCATGGGTAACGATGCCCCTCTGGCATGCATTGCTCAACAGCCCCGCCTGCTCTACGAGTACTTCCGTCAGCTCTTTGCTCAGGTCACTAACCCGCCCATTGACCCCATCCGTGAGGCTGTGGTTATGTCCCTGGAGTGCTACGTTGGCCCTCAGGGCAACCTGCTGGAGATGGACGCTTCCCAGTGCCACCGTCTGCTCTTGAAGTCCCCCATCTTGACCATCCCGGAGTTCAATGCCCTGAAGAATATCAACGAGGCCCACCAGGACTGGACTGTCCGGACCATCGATATCACCTTCGAGAAGAAGAAGGGCACTGCAGGCTACCTCGAAGCCTTGGACGCCATTTGCGATGCGACGACCGATGCCATCCAGAACGGTGACAAGATGATTATTCTCTCGGACCGTGCTACCAGTGCGGAGCGTGTCCCCGTCTCTGCTCTGCTGGCTACCGGGCTGGTGCACCACCACCTGGTTCGCAACAAGTGGCGATCGCTTGCCGCTCTGATCGTTGAGACCGCCGAGGCTCGTGAGGTGCACCACCACTGCGTGCTACTCGGCTATGGTGCTGATGGCATCAACCCTTACCTGGCTTTGGAGTGCATTCTCAAGATGAACCGCGAGAACCTGATCCGCAAGGATCTCAGCGATGACAAGGTCATTGAGAACTACAAGGCTTCATGCGATGGTGGTATTCTCAAGGTCATGAGTAAAATGGGTATCTCCACCCTACAGTCCTACAAGGGTGCCCAGATTTTCGAAGCCCTCGGTATCGATGACAGCGTTATTGACCGCTGCTTCGCTGGTACCGCGAGCCGCATTCGTGGTATCACCTTCGATCTGATTGCTCAGGATGCTTTTGCCTTCCACGAGCGTGGATATCCTTCTCGTGAGATCATTGAAATTCCCGGTCTCCCAGAGTCTGGCGAGTACCACTGGCGTGACGGCGGAGAGTCGCACATCAACGACCCTGTCAGCATTGCCAACATTCAGGATGCCGTTCGCACCAAGAACGACAAGTCCTATGAGGCCTACGCCCGTGCAGAGCACGAGCAGATTAAGAACTGCACTCTGCGCGGTATGCTCGACTTTGATTTCGATCAGCGCACCCCTATCCCAATCGACCAGGTTGAGCCCTGGACTGAGATTGTTCGTCGCTTTGTCACCGGTGCCATGTCCTACGGATCGATCTCCATGGAGTCTCACTCGACCCTGGCTGTTGCCATGAACCGTCTTGGTGGCAAGTCCAACACCGGTGAAGGTGGTGAAGACCCGGAGCGCAGCAGGCGCATGGAGAATGGCGATACCATGCGGTCCGCCATCAAGCAGATTGCCTCTGGCCGTTTTGGTGTGACTTCCAACTACCTCGCGGATGCCGATGAACTGCAGATCAAGATGGCCCAGGGTGCTAAGCCTGGTGAGGGTGGTGAACTGCCAGGCCATAAGGTCGTTGGCCCTATTGCCCGCACGCGTTACTCTACCCCCGGTGTCGGTCTCATCTCCCCGCCTCCGCACCACGACATCTATTCCATTGAAGATCTGAAGCAACTCATCTACGATCTCAAATGCTCCAATCCCCGCGCTCGTGTTTCCGTCAAGCTCGTGTCCGAAGTTGGGGTCGGTATCGTCGCCTCCGGTGTCGCCAAGGCCAAGGCTGACCACATCCTGATCTCTGGTCACGATGGTGGTACTGGTGCTTCGCGCTGGACGGGTATCAAGTATGCCGGTCTTCCTTGGGAGCTGGGTCTCGCCGAGACTCACCAGACTCTCGTTCTGAACGACCTCCGTGGCCGTGTTGTCGTCCAGACTGACGGTCAAATCCGTACCGGCCGTGACCTCGCTGTCGCCTGTCTCCTTGGAGCTGAGGAATTCGGCTTCGCAACGACCCCTTTGATTGCAATGGGTTGTATCATGGTAAGCCGCACTCTCCCTTCCCCATCTACTCTTTCTTGAGTCCTACGCTAACACAGTACCTCCAGATGAGGAAGTGCCATCTGAACACTTGCCCGGTCGGTATCGCGACTCAGGACCCAGAACTGCGCAAGAAGTTCCAGGGCACACCTGAACACGTGATCAATTTCTTCTACTATGTCGCCAACGAGATGCGTGCTATCATGGCCAAGCTGGGCGTGCGCACTATTAACGAGATGGTCGGTCGTGCTGAGTTGCTTCGCGTCCGTGACGACATTCGGAACCAGAAGCAGGAGCGTGTGGACCTATCACTGATCTTGACTCCGGCTCACTCGCTGCGTCCTGGCGTTGCTACATACAACGTCCGCAAGCAGGATCACCGCCTTCACGTCCGTCTTGATAACAAGCTGATTGCCGAGTCCGAATTGGCCTTGGAGAAGGGCCTACCTTGCCGCATTGAGTGTGACATCGTCAACACTGACCGTGGCCTTGGTGCAACGCTCTCCTACCAAGTTAGCCGACGCTATGGCGATGCCGGCCTGCCGCAGGACACGATCCATGCCAACATCAAGGGCTCTGCTGGTCAATCCTTCGGTTCCTTCCTTGCCCCCGGTATCACCCTGGAGCTTGAGGGTGATGCCAACGACTATGTTGGCAAGGGTCTGTCGGGTGGTCGTCTCATTGTCTACCCGCCTCGCGGTGCCGCTTTCAAGGCCGAGGAGAACGTTATTATTGGTAACACCTGTCTGTACGGTGCTACTCGCGGTACTTGCTACTTCCGCGGTCTCGCTGCTGAGCGTTTTGCTGTCCGCAACTCTGGCGCCACTGCCGTCGTGGAGGGTGTTGGTGACCATGGATGTGAGTACATGACTGGTGGTCGTGTCCTCGTTCTCGGATCTACTGGCCGCAACTTTGCTGCTGGTATGTCTGGCGGTATCGCCTATGTACTGGACATGAACCAGGACTTCCACTCCAAGGTTAACCTGGAGATGGTTGAAATTTCCGGCATTGAGGACCCGTCTGAGATCGCTTTTGTTCGTGGTCTGATTGAGGACCACCACCACTACACTGGTTCCGAGATGGCGGCCCGTATCCTTCTCGACTTCACCCGTGCCCTCCCTCACTTCGTCAAGGTCCTGCCGACTGACTATAAGCGCGTCATGGCCGAAGAGGCCGCCAAGGCGGAGGCTGCGAAGAAGGCAGAGTTCACTCTCCCCAAGCTCCCCAGCACCCCTGTCGCCAACGAAAAGGTCGAGGCTGAATCCAAGAAGGCCGACCTTCTCGACATTGAGGACAGCATCAGCGACTCTAAGAAGGAGAAGAAGCGCTCTGCTCTGATCTTGGACAAAACCCGCGGCTTCATGAAGTACAGCCGCCGCAGCGAGAAGTACCGCAACCCTACCACTCGCACCCGTGACTGGGCGGAGCTGTCCAACCGTCTCAGTGAGGATGAGCTCAAGTACCAGTCCGCTCGTTGCATGGACTGTGGTGTTCCTTTCTGCCAGTCTGACACTGGCTGCCCTATCTCCAACATCATCCCCAAGTGGAATGAGCTTGTCTTCCGGGACCAGTGGCAGGATGCCCTTAACCGTCTGCTGATGACCAACAACTTCCCTGAGTTTACTGGCCGTGTCTGCCCCGCTCCTTGCGAGGGTGCCTGTGTTCTGGGCATCAACGAGGACCCCGTCGGTATCAAGTCGATCGAATGCGCCATCATCGACCGCGGCTGGGAGATGGGCTGGATGGTTCCCCGTCCTCCCAAGACCCGCTCTGGCAAGACTGTCGCCATCATTGGCTCTGGTCCTGCTGGTCTGGCTGCTGCTGACCAGCTCAACAAGGCTGGTCACACTGTGACTGTCTACGAGCGTGCCGACCGCATTGGTGGTCTGCTCATGTATGGTATCCCCAACATGAAGCTCGACAAGAAGGTCGTCCAGCGCCGTGTCGACCTCATGGCTGCCGAAGGCGTCAAGCTCGTGACGAACACTGCTGTTGGTCCCGACAACGAGGTCTCCTCCAATCCCTCCGTGCCACCCACGACTCGGTCATCATCGCCACCGGTGCCACCGTTGCTCGTGACCTCAAGGTTCCTGGCCGTGAGCTGGACGGCGTGCACTTCGCCATGCAGTTCCTGCACCAGAACACCAAGTCCCTGCTGGACTCCAACCTCGCCGATAACGCCTACATCTCCGCTAAGGACAAGCACGTTGTTGTCATTGGCGGTGGTGATACCGGCAACGACTGTATTGGTACCTCGGTCCGCCACGGTGCCAAGTCCGTCACCAACTTTGAGCTGCTGCCCCAGCCGCCTCCAGAGCGTGCCGGTGACAACCCGTGGCCCCAGTGGCCTCGCATCTACCGTGTCGACTATGGCCACTCCGAAGTCAAGACTCACATGGGCAAGGATCCGCGTGAGTACTGTGTCATGTCGACCGAGTTCACGGACGACGGCAGCGGCCATGTCAAGGGTATCAATACTGTTCGCGTCGAGTGGACCAAGAGCGCCACTGGCGGTTGGGACATGAAGACCGCGGAAGGTAGCGAGCAGTTCTTCCCCGCCGACCTGGTTCTTCTCTCGATGGGCTTCTTGGGACCTGAGGACCGTCTCCTCGGTGAGGAGATTGAGCGTGACCCTCGCAAGAACGTCAAGACTCCTCCTGGGCACTATTCGACCAACATCCCCGGTGTCTACGCGGCGGGTGACTGCCGACGTGGACAGTCTCTGATTGTCTGGGGTATCAACGAAGGCCGTCAGTGTGCGCGTGAAGTGGATGCTTTCCTCAGCGGCATCAGCTCTCAACTGCCTGTCACCGGTGGCATTGTCCGCCGCCCTGCCATGGACGCTGTTCCTCAGCCCGCGCAGGCTTCCGTCCCGGCCTAAATGATGACCTAGCCATAAATAGGGAGAAAAGGGCTATGTTATGACCATGATGGGCATGATAGATGATGACATATTGAGTTTTTCACTGGTGGAAAAGTTTTGTGATCTCACGCGGGAAATCCCCCCCAAATTGTTGATCTTTTACATTTCTCCATCTTCACCGATCGTGAAGTTAGTGAGGTATTTCTTTCTTCTCTTTGTTTTGTTTCTTTCCTTTTTTTTTCTTTGCCAGCAGCGTTCGAAGTGTGCAAGGTGTTTAGAGTCTGCCACCGTTTAGTGATATCTCATGTGCTGTACATAGCCTTTTTTTTTTTTTTTACCTGCTCTCCTGAATTGCAGTTTCTTCTTGTCTTCATATGTGCATATTCTAGAATTGTACTTGGTCTCTTTTATCTACATCCCTTTCACTCGAATAGCAAGCCTGATCCAGATCCCATCCCGCCGGGGGCATAGTCGTGCTTTTTCTCTAAATTCTTGATCAAGTTTCATAGGTGGGTTCTTTGTCACTGAGTCTGTTCATTGTACGGATCTCATTGGTATCTTCCATAATCCACAGGGTTCAGCAGGAGAGAAATAGGCAAGTGAGATGAATGGATTCATTGGACAGAGTATCGTACAATTACCTGCACCAGGCAGAGAAATAGATCATAAGAAAAAAAAAAAAAGGATATCAATGCGCCTGTTGTTTTGCCTCTTCTTCCGCTTTCATCTCCCGCTCTAGCGCTATATAATCTCCCAGGAATGGTTTGGGCGCTGGCTCCTGCCGCACATCCCAGACATCTTCACTGCTGGGGCCTGTCTTGTACTTGATGGCTTTTTTCCGGTTGTGGTCTCGGATGGCCGCCTTCTTCTGGTCATCGGGCCATTGCCGGGTTCTCATGCACATCCAGAAATTATCCCAGTGCTCGCTGCACGATCGTAATTCGCCGTACCGATAGACATTGACGAACTGGCCGCCGAAGGACTGGCAGAAGAAGGCGTAGTCGAAGGCGTCGCGACAGGACATGGTATCGGAGTAAAGGGACTCGGGGGCAATAGACGAGGTTGATGATTGGAGGGCGGCGGTGGTTGCGCCAGTGTTGGAGGCACCATCTGGTCCTGTGGATGGTGGTTGTGGTGACTTGGACTTGGACAATGCCGCGTCTTCTTGTCGGAGGTCGGCCAGGATCTGACTGAATTCCAGTTCGGCTTGTTCGTCCGGTGTCAATTTCCTCGGAGCAGCCGGAGGAGTCGCAGGGGGAGCAGCAGGAGCATTGTCCTGCTGGGGACTCGATCGCCACCACCAGCCCATTGTTGTGTTGTTGCGATGAAGTTTTTCGCCGCGATCCGATCACTGCGCTGCTTGCTTATGTACTCACGTACCTTAGCCCCGTGACTGCCCGACGTCATTTACTTCCAAGTTCCAACTGTTACATTTCCTTTAACACGTTCCAACTTTACCCTGACAATAATGTATGCACCGCAATAATGAGGCCGGTTTCCTTCGTGCGTGCACCTGCTACTTGGGCTCAGGTATCGCGCCCTAGTGCCAGCGCCTACTCGGCACGGCGCTGTCCTGCAGTCGGAGTGCGTTGCACCTCCTCCATTCAGTCGGGCCACATCAAGCTTGGGGAGAATGAGGGCATTCTCTATGTGAACAGTATGCTTTATTAGATTGTCAATTTTGTTTCTTCGACTGACCCACAATAGATATCTTCCCACATCGGCTGCAATGGTTCCTGCGGGGTCCGCTCAGCCATATCCAGCCGTTTGAAGGACTGCTGAAGCGAATCAACAACCCTGACCTGGCCGCAGCTGATCCACAGCGCATAGTTGAACGCGCATTACCCAAGGGCTTGGATCTTAAAATCAAAGAGGTTGTCCCAAGGTATAAAGAAGGCGGCGCATTCGTCAAGTATGAACGCAACCCAAACGTTAACGATGAAGATGTCCATTCTGCGGCAAAAGAACACATGGCGAAACATCCCATCAAGCCATGGTTCAATCCATTCCAAAGAGCCGACGTGGACGTTGTACGGGGCAAGCCGTGGATCGAAGACCTTTACCGGATCCCCAGTCAGACCCTGAAGGTGGAATTCTTGCCAGCTACCGCGGAGTCTTCGGCGGTGGAGCTAACTCAGGAGGCGTTGTACAGCCTCTTTAGTCCATATGGGAAGATCATCGATATTCACCCACAGCCTTCTGATTCCAAGGTCGAGCCGAGGTATGCGATCTTGGGCTTTAACCGGCCCCGTTTCTCGGTTATGGCACGAAATTGCATGCATGGATTTGTCGCCGGTGAAGAGAATGGCGGGGGTAAAGCCGGAACCAAATTCAGGATCAACTACGAGCGCAAGATCAAGCTCTCCGTGATTAAGGACTGGCTCCTGAACCATCCGAGGATCGTCATTCCAGCTCTGGCGGCATTGGTCGCAGCCATTACTGTGATCATATTTGATCCTATTCGCACATTCTTCATTGAAATGAAGATCAAGTCCACTCTTCAGACATCAGAAAACCAGGTGATACAGTGGATTCGCAGGCAAGCCAGCAAAGCCAACATAGCCTATTTTGGACACAGGAAGACAGACCCTCGTGGTTTGGCAGCGATCTGGGAAGACCGCCAGAAAGACATATCCCAGGTGCAAGCCTGGTTGACAGAGACTGCCGAGACTTTTATTGTCATTCACGGCCCGCGGGGCTCGGGGAAACGGGAGTTGGTTCTGGATCAGGCATTGAAAGACCACAGCTACAAAGTGGTAATCGACTGCAAACAAATCCATGATGCGAGAGGCGACACAGCCAAAATCTCCCGAGCAGCTGCCCAGGTCGGCTACCGACCCATCTTCTCGTGGATGAACAGTATCAGCAGTTTCGTCGATCTTGCTGCTCAGGGAATGATTGGTACCAAGGCTGGCTTCTCTGAGACTCTCGATGCCCAGCTCAGCAAAATTTGGCAGAATACAGCCGTGGCAATAAAGCGAGTTGCCCTCGCCGGACGACGCAAGGACGACAAAGACTTTAACCTTACTGATGATGAATACCTCGAAGCTCATCCCGAGAAAAGGCCTGTCGTCGTTATTGACAATTTTGTCTATGATTCGGAACATACCGTTGTGCTCGACAAGATGACCGAGTGGGCCGCCGGCCTTACAACGGCCAATATTGCCCATGTTATCTTCCTGACCACGGACTCCTCCTTTGCAAAACCCTTGGGCAAAGCTTTACCAAATCAGGTCTTTCACACTATCAGTCTAGGTGACTGTTCTCCTGAAGTTGGCCGTCGCTTTGTGTTGAGTCACTTGGACGCGGACGCGAGCGATGATGGAAATGGAAAAGCGTCGAAGGTAAAGCGCGGCAAAGATGCACTCACAGGCCTCGATGATTGCATTCAAGTTCTCGGTGGCCGGGTGACAGATCTTGAGTTTATGGCCCATCGGATTGAAGCTGGCGAGACTCCTCAAGGTATGACCACCAAGTCATTCTTCCGCAATCGACTAATCTTTTTTTCCCTACAGCTGCCGTGGATCGCATTGTCGAGCAGTCAGCCTCTGAGATCTTGAAAATCTTCATCTTGGGAACCGACTCCGTCGCACCGCAGTGGACTCGTGAACAAGCATGGCATCTCATTAAATCACTCGCGCACGCCGAGGATGGATGTCTGCTTTACAACAAAATTCTTCTCTCTGACCTGTTCAAAGACAACGGCGAAGCGACTCTCCGAGCCCTGGAGCAAGTGGAGCTCATTTCCGTAGGGTCGGAAAAGGGATTTCCACGATGGGTCAAGCCAGGGAAGCCAGTCTACCAGGCCGCATTCCAACGACTGATCGAGAACAAGACACTGGAAAGCCGTCTGGATTTGTTGGTCCTCACGCAGTTGATCGGGAATGAGAACGTGAACATCCACAAGTACGAGGAAGAGCTGCAGCTACTTGGTACCCTGCCGAAATATCCCTGGGAACTCACTTCGAGGATTGAATGGCTCCTGGGTAAGATACATAACTCGCAGTCAAAGATCCTCCAGTATGAGAACGAGAGTGCGGTGTTGCAGAAGGCTTTGCACAGTGCAAAATAAACGACGGGCGATGATGCACATAGTACCATGATATATCCAGATATCTCCAATTGTAACATGTTTAAGAGATTATGATAATAACGATAAACAGAAGGAAATCCCAGAAATAAACCAAAGTTCCATCGCTTAACACTAGATTCGCTCATATGTTAGTAGACCAGATTGTGGCTGATGAGATAAGCAAACTAGGGAACCGCGACCCTCTGCAGCTTCTTTTCCTTCGCCCTTCAACTCTCGACAACCGATTGTGTCAAACGCCTTTTTGGACGGATATTTAAATGTCGGCGCGTTTTATCTTGTGTAGGCGTTGAACCTTCATTCCAACCGTCTTCCCCCTGTGTGGCCTGTTTCTCTATTGCCTCAAACAGGCATGGAGAAGTACGAGGCTTCGCCGCATGGACTGATACAAACCGTTCGCGATGGCCTTCCTCAATTGACTTGGTCCACATTTTTTGCTGTTCTGGTCTTTTCATGCATCGCAACCCGGATTATCACAGGGCTTCAATGCAGGCATCATGAACATGATCCAACGGAGCCGCGTACTGCCAGGCTGGCGCCTTATTGGGCTCCTTGGATTGGACACAGTCTGTCCTTTGTATGGGACCATGTCAAATTACTCTCTGGGTTTCGGTTGGTGATCTATCTACGATAACTCTGACTGCGCTGCTAATGCAACCTCCAAGGGATTCCATGAATGAGCCTGTATTTGGCATTTATCTACGCGGTGTCAAGCACGATGTCGTGGTGTCACCCTCGATGATGAAGACAGTCTTGTCTTCACAGGATGCATCCAGTACTGCTACCCTTGATCAGGCACTGCAGAACGTCTTTGGCAATCGCGGTCTCGTGCGCAATTTGAATCTGAACAGGGAGATTCGTGATGATGTCTCCAGTATGATCGACCGAGAACCATTTGCCAGTGCAGCTACCACAAATATTTCCCGTTTGGTGAAGCGCCATGTCCCCGATTTGGTCACCTTCTCCCACAGTGTGGTTGACCAAATGCCCTGGGAGCGCGCAAGCCAAGTAACGCTCCTCGACAATCAGGATCAGTCTGTCTGTAAGGTCAAGCTGTTTTTGCTTATCAAAAACTTTGTAGGCCACATAACCACTTCCATCCTAATGGGCGAAGCCTTTGTGGAGGCCTTTCCAGGTCTGTTGGAAAACCTTTGGACACTCGACAACAACTTCGTGACACTATTCGTGGGCACTCCCCGCTGGATTCCATCACCTGGTGTTTCCGCGGGTTATGCAGCGCGGGATCGTCTTATTCATATAATGTCGATCTTTTCCCGGGCGTTCACTGCGTGGGATGATGGAGTCGACCCAGGGATTGAACTTCGCGACCTGGACGATGTGTCTGAATTGGTCAAAGAACGAATGCGAACTTTTCGAAAGCTGGAGCTGTCTCCCGGGGCTAGCGGTGCAGCACTCTTGTCCCTGTACTGGGACACGATAGAGCACACAACGAAGATCATTTTCTGGACCGTTCTCCATATCTTCTCGGACCCTGCGCTCCTCAAGGATATCCGCACAGAGATATCTCTGCACACGAGGGCATCACGGCCCAGTCGCGGGGAAACTGGATTTCCGATTGATTCACCTCCTCAACTCACTCTCGACCTCGAAAAAGTCCTCGAAACATGCCCGATGTTGAAATCATGCTATTACGAGTCTGTGCGTTTGCACTCAGCGGGCATTTCCTTCAGGAAACTAGAATCAGATTTGACCCTGTCCGAATCCACCGAAGAAGCCTCCCACCACTCGAGTAATCCTCGCACGTACCTCCTCCGGAAGGGCGAGAGGGCAATGGTGCCACATGGTGTCTACCACAACGACTCTCGGCATTTTTCAAACCCGGACCAGTATGACCCCCTCCGGTTTATCGTGACGGACCCCGATTCTGGAGCAAAACGAGTAAATAAGAGCGTCCTTGCGCCATTTGCGGATGGACTATACGGGTCTAAAGGAAACAGCTTCAATGAGAAGGAAATACTGGCTGTTACTGCGGCGATTGTGTCGATGTGGGAGATTGAATCCGCCGACGGGAATGGCCTCGCCATCCCGGGCCATAAACCCACTTGGGGGGCTTTTCGACCTGCAAAGGATGTGAAGGTGAAATTGAAGCTGCGGGTATGATGAAATTCGATATTCGCGTTATGAGCCGAGTATTTCAGCCTTTGTGCTTCTTGTTTACTGTATGTATAAAGTGGGAGTGGAGAATCCACGTGTTCACTAGTATCATGTGGCAATGATTCAAATCGATGGTATTCCGGTCTTGCTATCATGTCCATACTTATAGTAGAGAAACTCTATATATAGGTGAGATCTAGCCACATCGGGGCATAGTCTCCTAATTAGGAGAATGCTAAGTGAGTCGGTGTTAGGATGCGGCAGGTAGATAAATTGACCAACTACCCACCCGAGGATAATTATGCTGACATATAATAAGAGGCCATGTCGGGCTAGCCCTTAGCAGATGATCGATAAGATAGCTATGCCCGACCAGGCCGTGATCACCACTGACGACGCGCCATTCTTCTTCACGTCTTCCTCTGGTTCTCTTAACTATCTTCTCCGACTTGACCACCCCCGGCGCCAGCATCACACATCATGACTCTCGCTGGCGCCCAACGCCGTCAGATCTTGACGGTGTTAATGACCTCACTGCTCCTGGACCTGGTAAGCTGACTCGCTTCTTGTTTACGCTTCTTGTTCTCACCCACATCCGCAGATCTCCTTCACCTTCATCCTCCCGCTCTTCCCATCGTTATTGTCCTTCTACCACGCCCAAGACCCTTCCCCCGACTCATTCCTCAACCGCATCTTCCATTACCTGAACGCGTACAAGAACTCCTTCGCGCGCCCCATCGACTCGCAATATGACATCGTCCTCCTCGGCGGCGCCCTGGGCTCGCTTTTCTCCTTGCTTCAGGCTATCGCCGCCCCCGTCATTGGGCGCTTGTCAGACCGTGTCGGTCGTAAACGCACTCTTCTCTACTCGCTGATTGGCAACATCTGGAGCGTCACACTCTGGGTCGCTGCTATTGATTTCCGGACTTTCCTTGCGAGCCGTGTTGTTGGCGGTTTGAGCGAGGGGAATGTCCAGCTGGCGAATGCCATTGCCGCTGATATCAGTGATGAGTCCCACCGCGGCGCGACTATGGCGCTCGTTGGTGCTTGCTTCAGCATCGCATTTACATTCGGTCCTGCTCTCGGTGCGGCGCTCTCGTCTGTCAAGATCGTTGAGGCCAATCCGTTCATCGTGGCGGCAAGTGTCTCTCTGGCACTGATTCTGGCCGAATTTGTCTTTGTCTATGTGTGTTTACCCGAGACACATCCTCGATTTACTACTCTCCGCGAAGGAGACCCAGTGTCGTGGATTCATTGCAAAAAATCTCCGGCGGAGATACGAACCCAAGTTCAGGCCCAGACCCCAAACCAGGAGAACAAGCCCAAGGACAAGTCTTCTGCTCAACTCAGTGCGACCAAACATACCAACAACCCATCCTTCCTGAACGCAGTGCACTTCCTCTTCCTAGTCCCCTTCTCCGGCCTAGAATTCTCCCTTCCATTTTTGACAGCCACCCTCTACGCCAACACAACAACCGCCGGCAGTCCCGCCGCACTGAATGGCCGTCTCCTCTCACTGATGGGCCTAATCGCCTCCCTGTTACAGGGCACAGCCGTGCGCCGTCTACCGCCACTTCTGACAGTGCGCGCTGGAGTAGTTGCCTGCGCCATCTCCTTCTTCCTCCTTGCCCGCGTTTCCTCAATTGCAGGCCTTTATGCCGCCGGTAGCTTGTTGGCCGTTACATCTGCCACGGTCGTAACGGGACTCAATAGTCTCGGCAGCTTCGAGGCCCGCGACGCCGACCGCGGCGCTGTCATGGGCCGGCTGCGTGGCTGGGGACAGGCTGGCCGCGCGACTGGACCGATTGTGTTTTGTTCGTTGTACTGGTGGGCTGGACGCCATGCTGCTTATACTGCTGGCGGGGCGGCTATGGTGGCTGTTGCTGGTGCAGTGTTTATTTTATTGAAGTCTCCTGTTCCGGAAAAGAGGAGCGAGAAAAAGGCTTAGATTTTGGGTCTGTATACATACTTTAGAACCACCCACTTTTGACTACGAAAAGAGCTTTAAACAGTCTAAAAGGGAGCTGATTTTTAGGATGCTTTTAGTAGGGATATGGCATGAGCGACAACCTTAAACATAGGAGACATCGGTAACGAGCTTATCGACCACGAGGGTAACGGCTATAGCGGACCATACAAGCTGATGGACTGGAGGGTGCGATTATCACAACCCTAGACTTTATAGATCACAGCATGCTTGCACTATGGAAAGAGATGGGTTCATTTGTTCATGTTCGTCTACTCAAGACAGGGTATAGTACATGCGACGACATATGAGAACAAGTCAGGAAGAGCGGCGAGATATGAGCTTCAGAGCACAGCTCCAAAACACCCGAAGCAAAGAAGAGAATCTCAACACAAACCAGAAATATTACAAGAAAGAAAAGCGGTCCCCCCCGGGCCAAAAAGTCCAAACTTCGCAATTGAAAGAATCAACTTCTCCGCGTCCGAAAACGCTCCGTACGCAACCCGCAGTTATAGTTCTGATAAGACTCCATCGCCAGTCCCGGACTCGGGTCTGGAGCAGGATCAAGCGAGTTGCGCGCCTTTCCAATCAACCAGTCGGTTAGTGTGACAAATTTCGCCGTGCGGTCCCAGCCGTTGGCGTCGTCTGCATGCTCGATCGTATGCGTGAGGATGCGGCCGTCTTTATCGAACGAGAAAATGAAGAGGCCGGTGAACTGCTCTTCCTTGGCCAATTTGAAGATCGGCTGGTCGCCGCCAAGGAGCACGCTGAGGCCCTTGTTGGTGCCCGTTTTTGAATTAGATAAGTGGTGGGTATGGTTATTGGCACCGGTGGAGGATTGGGGGGAATCACCACTAGTCGGCGATCTGGCTCTCGTATCCGGCTCCGGATTCGAGGAGAACGGCGTCTTGTCATGGAATGGCCTACTCTCCGTGCGCGGCTCAGTCCGCCATCGCACGACAAGTCTCTCATCGCCGCAATCGTGTTGGTGGCCGCCGCGTGGCTCTGGGTCCGGTACCGTGCCCGCGCGCACGATCCGCTCGCTCAGAATCTGGAGCTTGACATTTCCCAAAAGTGGTACACTGCTCCAAGCTACCGGGACAGTCCACAGCGCTGCGCGGTAGAGAGTTCGACCCTTGACGGTGGGGAGATGCTGGTGTGTCGATGGGAAGAGGTGGAGGTTGATGGCTGGGGCGAGGATCTCAGGGGGAAGCGTGTTGTACAGGATAGTTGGGAGGAGCGGCGAGAGGGTACGGAGAGCTAGATTGGGGTCAGTCAATTCAACGCTACTTGATGCTTTACTCACTTTTCCCGAGTTTCAGCACCCGTTCATCCGGCGGCTTGTGGTCGTCTTTGGGTGGCCGCCCGTCTAGTCCATCGAGGTCCCAGCGCCTTGGACTTGGTGAGAAGCGTGTGATCGGTGGTGGCGAAGAGGCTGATGGTAGCCAGGGCTCGGTCAGGATGCCATGGCGTGGTTGCGCGAGCGGGCGACGCCGCGAGGACGCGAAAGACTGCCGGCCGACGGCCTTGGGAGTTGGTGGTGGCAGGCGGAGGAGAGAGGTGGTGCACGTTGTCGCATGGGGACAGACCAGCTTCGGCATTCTGCCTGGACAGGCGTGGTCAGGTCATGCACATATGTCCCTCAGTGGTCAGTTCAAGCGATGCGAAGAGGAAGAAACAGGAAGTAGCGGGTTGGGAAATGACGTTGCGGCCAATAGCGGCGCGGGGATTATCGCAGCAAACTATATATACGGCCACTGGTATATACAACAGACGACATGGATTATTATAATAGAATAGATGATAGAATGACATTGCTGTTCGTAAAACGACCTCCTAAATCTGCCCATAGCCCAGTCATGCCAGCTCGTCGTCGTCGTCCATGCCCATTACACGGCGCTCCGCCAGGTCGCGGATCTTGTCCTCCAGCACACCTCGCCCATAGCGCTGGGCCACCTTGGCCGCCGCTTCGACCATCTTGCCATTACGGTCAGACATCATGCCCACCAGCTCCAGTGCCTTCATGCCGCGGTCCTCGCCCTCCCGGCACTCGTTGGCCAGCATCTGGAGCAGGGTCTTGTTCATCTCCAGCTCTTTGCGCGCCAGCTCGGCGCGCTGGCTGGCGGTCGCGTTGGTCGAGGCCAATAGATCCCGGTAGAGAGAGAGGAGGACATTGCTGCGCACAAACGCCTCCTCGAACTTGGCAGTCTCGTCGCGCGCGTCCGCACCCTCAGGATCGCTAGAATCTTTCGGCGGGACGGCAGACACAGGAACCTGGAATTCAAATTCACTGAGGAGTGGCCGCGGGAAGTACGGGTGCTGGTCTCCGCCCTTGAGGATGATGCAGTGGAATTTGTCGTGCGCTACGGCCACCGGCCAGTAGGTTTCTTCTTTGCGGCCACCAGCCAGACGGGCGAGCTGCTTCGTGTCTAGAAGAGGCACCCACCGGGCTTGACCGGGCGTGCGCCAGTGCTGCAAGACGAGCAACACCCCCGTCGTGTCATAGATACAAGGGTCCTGGGAGACTGTCAGTTGTGTCGTACAGGTACATCTTCAATATCACATACCCCAGTGTCGGAGAAGAAGACATTCTTCAATTGAACGCCTTCTGGGAGTGCAACCTCGTCCTCGTTCTGGCATATCTCGTCCCGCTTGACATTTTCAATTGTATATCGTAACGTCGTGTGGCGGCCATCAGGTCCCAAGGGGCCGTTACCAATGCTCATAATGTAGTCCCTCCAGGCGGCACAACTGACGCCCTGACTCTTTTGCCGATACACTTTGAATGGTGTCCCAAAAAGTGTGTATACTCGGACGTAGCCTTTCGTCGTCACGGCGACAATGTATGAATCACTTAGTGCAAGAGCTAGTAAAGTCAGTCACAGGGAAATGAAAATTGGTTCAAAACATTTACCTCGGACCATTTCGCCCTCGGGCAACTGGGTGCGCCAATCTGCTCTCGTGGTCCATGTCTCATGTGGCCGGTAGAAGATAGTGGCAGGACTGCCATCATCCGGACTGTTAGCGAAGAGCGTTCCGTTCTCATCTGTATCATGTCAGAATCAAATTCAAATATGGCAAATCTAGTCAAGCTCACTGAGGCAGGCTTTGTCGTATTGATACGGATCTGTGAAGTGGAAGTCCCGATACAGCTCGCGGTCGTAGAATTCCACGGTCACGGTATGGTGTGTCTCTTGATCGACAGTCCAGACGGCGCCAGTCAAGTTCAGACCTGATTAAATTAGCACACAACACAACTTTTCCTGGAGAACTCCTCATACAGAGATATCGCCGATTTCCAGCCCATGGCGTACTACCAGGCTGAAGAGGTGGGTGGGGATTGGGCTGAAACGAGCCAGAGTAGACACGCTTGCTGTCCGGGCCAAGATCTTCCAGGTGGCCGTTTGTCCGCTTGCCATACGGGTTGAGCCCTTCGGCATAGCCTGCCCCATCGTCATCATCGACAAAATCCGGCATTTCATCGTCCTCGCCGAGGATGTCATCTAATGAGTCTGGTGATCCCTTTCTAGCTGCCCGCTGGATGGCCTCCTTGGACCGATCCGCTAAGGTCCTACTGACATTGTTGGAGATCTCAGTCAGTGGGCCTGGGAAGATAGGAGCTGCCTGCAACGGCTTCTGAAGCAACGACTCGTGTTCCCTCGGCACAAAATCATCATGAATGAACAGTTCGCCATCAGAGGTGGTGAAGGACAGCGAGTTCTTAGTCGGATGCCAGGCTAGGTTGATGACATTCCCAAAGTCGTAGCGTTGCAGGATCTTTTGAGTTTTCGTTTCCCAGAGGATGATCTGACCATCTGCGGCCGCCGATGCCAGAAGGGATCCATTCGGCGCCCAGCTGAGGGCCGTGATGTCGCCGGTATGCCCACCAGCAAAGGTCTTCTCTTTCTTCCACTCCGAGACAGAGTAGATGGAGATATCCCTGGTGGCCTCCGCAGATGCAAACGCCGTGCCGTCCGGGTGCCACACGGCTCTCGATGTCGCCTCTGCATCCGGCTCGAGTCTTCGAATCACTCCATCGAGCTTGCGGACCAACTCCGGTTCTTCCTCGTGCAGGGAATAGATGTAGATAATGCCGTCCGTGCAGGAAACTGAAACATAGCGCCCATTGGGATCGAAGGTGACGTGCTTAGCTCCTTTGGGCTGTTCCCGGAGGTATTTGACCTGGGTCATGTCCTCGATTTTGACGATTTTCACCGTGAGTTCACTTTTTCGAGCATGTTAACCAAGTCATTGCCTGATCTACACATCATAGCTGGACTTACTCGCTTGCCACGGCGGCCCATTCGCCGTCCCTGGACACCGCAATATCGCGCACCGGCAGCGCGCAGCGTACCAGCAAGTTCCGCATCTTGCCGGATGTGATATCGTACTGCCATACCGTGCCGTCCTCCGCGCCCATAATAAAACACTCGTTCTGGACACGAGCTGTTAGCGGAGTCCGCTCGAACTACCACCACCTCGAACATACCGTGGCACCGATGCCGTGATTCGCGTCCACGCCCTCGTCGACTGTCCGGGGCTCTCCATCTTGGCCCACGGTGTAAATTCGAATGGCGGAGTTGGATCCGCCGGTGATCACGCGCTTCCCGTTGGGCGTGTATGTGAGCACAGTCGTCCCCGGGGTGTCTGGAATGGGAGAAAATCCGGTCAGTGAATGGGATCGAATACTGATAAAAAATAAAAACACGCCGACGTACGCGCTGGCCGCCCCCGCGGGCGCATTGCGTCGAAGCTCATTCTGGGAATGTTGCGACCGAGAATTGGTGATTGGGAGGTAGTCAGACAACGTTGAGTGAGGGAAGACGCGTCTCCAAGTTAGGGATACGCGTTCTGGGACGGGATTTAGCCTATTCGGGCAAGTCCCTTTCCGATGGACCTAATTACTATGGAGGTAGTCTACTATACACCTTTTGCAGTCAGGAAATCAAAGTCGGCCCCGTCCTGCGCTTGGTTCACACTGCGCTCGTACAGTCCCCGATATCCTCGTCGTCGCTGTCGCTGCTCTACCTCTCCCGCCACCCTCTGTTTGCGCGCCTGAATCCGAGTCTGGATAACTTGGTCGGGCACATCCAGATGTAATCTACGAGTTTCGATGTCACAGGTGATCAAATCGCCCGTCTCAACAATCCCAAAGGGGGATTCCGGCAATGCAGCCTCTGGCGAGATGTGCAGGATGATGGTTCCTCCCGCCGTGCCGGACATTCGCCCATCAGACAGGCGCAGCATATCTTTCACCCCCGCGCCGGCCAATTTCTTGGGAATGGGAATCATTCCCGCCTCGGGCATACCGGGATTACCCACGGGCCCAATTCCCTTGAGAACGAGTACAGAGTCCTTGGTCACTGCCAGATTCGGATCGTCAATTCGTTGCGCCAGGTCAGCGGAATTCTCAAATACTACCGCGGGCCCGGTGTGCGAAAGCAATGATCGATACTTTGATGCAGATGCTTTGGTGACCGCCCCATCAGGTGCAAGGTTGCCATAGAGCACGACGAGAGATGACGAAGGGAAGAGAGGATCGGAAAGCGGCCGGATGATCTTTTGAGCAAACGAGGGCCTCTTGGACTGAGATGCGTCCAGCACTTCGCCCAGCGTCTGCCCAGTGATGGTCATGACTGACAGGTGTAAGAGCGGTCGAAGCTCCTGCAACAATCGCAGCATGCCTCCTGCGTTGTGGAAATCGTCCATATAGTTATCCCCGCTTGGTTTGAGATCTACCAGCAACGGGGTCTTGCGGCCTACTTCTTCAATGGTCTGCAGTGTGATCGCGCCATCGAGAGCGGGATGTCTGTTTGCGATAGCCAGTAAATGGACCACGGCATTAGTCGAGCCTCCGATGGCTTGGAGGACTGTGATGGCGTTGAGGAAAGACTCCTTCGTCAACACATCCTGTGGTTTTCTAGCAGTTTTGGCAAGCATCACTGCATTTTTCCCGGTCTCCTCGGCGATTCTCAGCCGTGCAGACGATACAGCTGGGGCGGATGCGCCTCGGAGAGGCATCATACCCAGTGCGGCCGTCACGCATGCCATCGTGCTGGCAGTTCCCATGACACCGCACGTTCCAATCTACACGTCTGTTAGTCGGTCCGAGCCTCGGACTCAAATGTGAATAGATTGACACGAACCGTCGGGGCAAGCTCTTCATTGATGGCAGAGATCTCCTCGAGATCAATCTCGCCCGCTCGAAACGCCGCCCAGTTATTGCGGCAGTCGGTGCACGCCCCAATTCTCTGTCCTCGATTACTGCCCGGCAGCATGGGGCCCGTAATCAAAGGCAGGATTGGTTTGTTAGCTGAGATACCGCCCATCAGCTGTGCTGGAACGGTTTTGTCACAGCCTGCTTCTTGTCAACTCAGATGATACTAAGAGGAAGACTTATACAACACTAACCTCCAATCATAATACAAGCATCCAACGGCTGCGCTCGAATCATCTCCTCGGTATCCATGCTCATGAGATTCCTCAGAAACATGCTTGTCGGGTGCGAGAATGACTCATGAACACTGATAGTAGGGAACTCGACTGCTAATCCCCCATTGAGCTGCACGCCGCGCTTCGCAGCCTCGATCAACTGGGGCACATTTGCGTGGCAGGGATTAAACCCCGAGAAGGTGTTGATAATCCCCACAATCGGTCGTGAGAGAGCATCTTCCGAGTAACCCAGTGCCTTAATGAATACTTTGCGAAGAAATAACGAGAAATGGGCATCTCCGTACGAGGTGAGACCCTGGCGGAGTCCGGAGGTGGATGTTATAGGCTTGGTGAGATCGTAGTCGGAGTTGGGCGGTTCTGGGTCGGTGTTGTTCTGCATTGTTGTGTGGATGAGTAAATAATCCGCGTATAGATTGAAGTTGATTGACCCCTGGCTTGCTTAAATATCGCGCTGTCCCGAGTGGATGATGCCATCGGTCCACGTCCGACCCGGATATTATTCCGCTTCGACAACCCCGCGTTATTTGGAGATCGAATGGAGCAAGCAATTGTTGTCGCAAAACTGGATGAAATTGGTAATTGAGTCATTATTGTCTTTGAAATTATCGGCTTGCGGCTCTTCAGAACAAGGCGAGGCTGTAGACTGCCTTGCTCCACGGTGGTAAATTCAGTACTTAGTGATATACTGTACATAGGTCCCTACTTAGTCTCATATGGATTGTTTCAGTGCACAGGGCCTTGATATTAGAGACCCTACTACGTTCTTACGAAAAGAAAGACTCCTGCGATCCCGTCCATTGCCACAAGAAAAAGATTAGAATACATAGATGACATGGACAATCGGGAATATGCACGCTCAAATACACACGGTCAGGGGGAACTTTTTTGGCAAGGGCCACAGACATCCTTAACCCCTTCCGAAAGAAATTCGTTGCGATCGTGAACCATACACCGGAACAAAGTGATGACAGCATAGCTTTTCCAACTACCATCCGTCAGGCCCAAACCCGTTGGTCGAGGGAGTCTCTGCCGCAGAAGAAGTGCCGTTCGAGTCGTTGACGCCGTTAGCACCACCGCGTCCACGACCACGTCCGCCTCGACCACGACCACGACCCTCACCACGGCCTCGGCCTTCGCCACGTCCACGGCCCCGGAATCCCTCGCCACGACTGCGTCCACCACGTCCGCGGTTGCGGCCACCGTTCTGACCTTTAGCACCGGAAGCATCAACAGTTGTAGTGTCGAGAGTAGCGGGAGTGGCCTGCAGGCCAGTGTCGGTCTCAGCAGGGTCACGAGGCACCTCCACCCATCCGTCAGTGGTGGCCGAAGAAGTCATCGAGGTCGGGTCATTAGCATTCCAGGTAGTCTCCGCCACCTGGTTAGCGGAATTCACCACTATGCTCTGGGCGGGCGGGGCTGTCTGGTCAGACCGCGCGACTCTGTTAGCACCGATGCTGGTATCCTGGAGTTCGGTGAGGCCTGCATTTGCCAGAGTAGGGTCCGAGACTGGGGCAGCCTGGGCGGTGGTCTGCGCAGTGATTGAAGTGGTTTCATCGTCCTCAAGCGAATACTTGGTGGAAGCAACTTTCACATCCCCATCTGCAGAAAAGGGAGTCAGCGAGCAAATCACAAATGAGGGTCAATAACTGACAGGTCATCTCAAGCGCATCGCCCTCAACGGCGAGCAACTTCTCATCCGAACCATCAATCAGCTTGATCATCGAATCCACCGCCTCCTGAGAACCACCATAGACCTGGAAGAGAACAGCCTCGAACGATCGGCTCTCAAGGGAGACCGAGTCGCCAGAGCGGCGGATGTTTGCCGCAGCGCATAGGAACTTGCTCAGGGTCAGCAGACGCTCGCGCAGGGCCCTGTTCGAAGCCTCCGTCGCGTCAGCAATCGCGTTCCCACGAACGGCGTCCAGCTCCTCCTTGTGGGCCTTCTCCAGCGCGGTCTTCTGGCTAATTAGGCGCTCCTCGTACTGGGCGGCGAACTGCTTGTAGTGGCCGATCTGCTCCTCGATCTGGGACACAGTAGCTTGCAGCGCAGGCTTCTTCATCACCTGGGCCTTCTGGTCGTGGTTGATGATCTTGTTTGCGACGAGATCATCGAGGGACTTGCCCGGGTTTTCGGCGATGATAGCGTCGACCTTGGAGGTGGCATTCTGCAGGGGGAAAGAAACGCGTCAGTCAGGCTGTGCTAGCTGGTTATCGCAGAATACGTACCAGTTTCTTGATCGCGTTGCGGAGGCCCCTGTACGCGAGGGTGGTTAGCTTGCTCAAGTTGGGGTTGGGCTGGATCACGATGTGGCCAAATTTGCGATCGCGAGGGTCACGTACTTCTGCAACTCCTTGAGGTAGTTATTGTCAGCGCCATCAGTCGAAGCATCGTTGCCAGGGCTGTCGGGGTCCGCTTTGGAGATGCTGGAAGCTCGCGAGGCAGGCTGGTTCTTGTCGGAGTGGGAGGCCTTGGCCTTGATGGCAGAAGCGGGAGACATGATGGAATGTGGGTGACACAGCCGTCAAAGTTAATCTGGGAGGCTGTACAAAAGGAGGCAAGAGGAAGTAACAAATGCCACTCGGGAAGGGGGACACCGATAGGGGAAAGGAAAGATCGAGGGAAAGATGCAGGGCAGAAGCAGAAGAAGAAAGAAAAGAGTCGCGGGAAGTCGCCCGAACCTTTTCCTGATCGGGCGGCACCGCAAAGTATACGGCGAGACAGAAGCAGATCTACAAAGTACACAAATCAATAGCCAATGGTAAATGAATATTTGAATAACTCGTCTATCCGGGTATCATTATACGTCCAGCACCATACGCCATAAACCAAAACATGAAACATAAACACAACAGCTCCCTATCGCCAACAAGCACTACACGATCACCCTTGGAACTTGCGGAGGGTTTTCTGTATGAACCGACGACCAGTTAGACCAATATCCCCCTGCAAAGAGTCGATCGCAATTACTATACGCACCTCTGTAACCTTGCGCACCGAGTTGGCCGAGATGTTCTTCTCCCCGGTCTTTCGCGACCGAATCGAGGCTTCGCGCATCAGTCTGCAAGCTATTTAGCGGGTCGGATCGCTGGGACGGCCACCACAGTCGCGAGAATATGAATGAGGGAAAGAGAACGAGGACGCACTCTTGCATGAACAGCATGTAGTCGAGAAAGATCTAGGGCACAACGCGAGTGAGTAATGCGGCAGTTGCAGGACAAGAGAGACGCCTACCAGGATATCTGCATTCTTGCTCACGTTGCGGTTGGAGTGAGCCTTGACGATGCGCTTGACGGTGCCCCGAGGATACAATTTCTGAGTGACTGCCATGTGGTCTGTTGTTGGAAGTTGGAGCGGGAGGGAGAGACTCGGGTTTGTTTACAGAGGGGTTCTGTTATGTAATCATCTTGTTCTAGCTATACAATTATTGAATCATATCTATCGGATCACCGCAGCTTTTTCATAAATCGCCAGACAGAGACAGCTGCCACAGACCCAAGAGCCATGCGCCAGGCCAGGAACACATAGATCGCCGTGCGTAGTCGTTGGTAATACCCGCGCAGCATGATGCCCACCGCGTACGAGGGCCCGTCGGGCCGATCGGACGGCCCAAAGTATCGTCCGACCCCAAGACCGCCGATGCCAACCTCGTTATGATCGTGTTTGGGATCGGACTCTGGGGCGACGGGCAAAGCGGCTGTCTCACTGTCCAGCGCCGTCTCATTGGGGCGGGTGCCCAATCTCACTTGGAGCGCATTGCGTTTCCGCAGGTTATATGTCAAAATGCTCACGATCAAACGCAAATCTGGGGCTGTGAAGGTGGGGTATTTCCACAACTGCACAGCCGTGTGAGGCGGGAGCATATCCAAGAAATCGGCCAAGATGCCGAGGGTCAAGCCCCAGAGCAGAAGTGGGCGGTTCGTGTCGCCCGAATTTGCTTGGTTGCCCAAAGACCATGTTTTCAGGCGTTGAATAGCCGATCCATCTGTTTTCTCGTCGGGTACAAACCCCGGGATAGAGCTGCAGTGCACACTTTCTGAGGGAAGGAGTCGAATGGCAGAGAACTGCATCCAGCCCATCACCGCTCGGATAGCAAGGCGGGCCAAGAACCCACCTTGTCGCATAAACCGCTGCGACATATCCACATATTCCACGGTACGCAGCGATGGAGACAATAGGGCTCGAAGAGGGATCCAATGCGTCGAAGCTACCTCGGTGGGTTGTAACCGGAGCGTGGGGGGAATCGCTTCGGGTCGTGAGGAAAACGAACGGACATAGAACCATCAGTCTGGGCAAAGTTAGCCACAGATATTGACATCGCAGTTAAATCAGACCTACGGTACAGAACCCCAACTGGTAGTCACCACCCGCTCAGGCAGATTGCCCACGCTGATGCAGTCCTCCGTCGTCAGATCCAGCCCGATTTCCTCCACTGCCTCTCTAATTGCCGCAGCGCGGTCATCCGCATCCTCCGGGTCTCGTTTCCCACCGGGCAAGGCAACATGACCCGTCCACCGGTCCCCGACCCGTGAAGCGCGCTTTATAAAGAGAACCTCGGGATCGCCATGCTGAACCCACGATTGCGAGAAGAAGTTTTCCAGTCGCTGGTCGACAGCCAGAGAAGGGTCTTGTGTGGGTGTAGCTGGAGAGCTGGGCCAGTAGTCAAAGGTCGGTCGTACTCGGAGGATCAAGGCGACGGAAGCGCGCTTCTTGCAACCCGGTGGATTCGGAACATGCGGGTATGGCCGGCGATGAAGGTCCTTCAGCACGCCATGGAGGGACTGGGACAGTACCATATCAGGGCGGATAGAGTCCATCTATACAAAATCGGCGTTATACATCTCCTGATTGAATGGATGAATGACTGAAGTAGCTACGGCGGATGGACCGAGGTAGATGTTTGTCGTGTTTGCATAGGGACTAGCCCGGTTGGGTGGTTGTATAACTTCGGAAGACCAACTGATCTACTTATTGGATTCTTGGCCCACTACCATAGTGGTTTGCTTTCAAAGACTAAGCTCTTGCTTACAGAGCGAACTCGTGAATCATGATTTGCATACATACACTTGCGATGTATGCTCCTTATCACTCATGCGATGGTCAAAAGCTTCGAGAGACGCCCATCCCTTGAAGCCTTTCTCAACAAGTCACACCCGCACAATTTCAGTGACATGCATATACCCACCCCAAGTTCACTTAGAAAGGAAACGGTCGGGCATGCTATGACCACGTAAACTGAGGCGCCTCTTCTTCCAAATACCAAAATACCCTGGACGCTCTTGAGAAGATGGCGGATTAAATATCTCTCTACCAGGTCGCCGCACATAAGAAGATCTTCTCGATTGGGCGGTGGTCAGCAATTTCGCTACAGTCCATGTAGGATTGCTGATCTCTTATAGTCCAGATCCTACTAACTAAACATGAATCTGCCGTATACTTTGTTGGATCATCGTTTATCCGGGTAGCTCCACTCCCATTGTGATTGGCTGCAAGCAGCTGTCGCAGGGAACCAAGCATTGGCGCACGTTGCGGCGGGAGCACGTGATTGTCACTCTGGACGAAACTCGCCGGTGATTTCATTTCACTTCCACTTGGTCATTCGGGTCCTTGACCTTGTGAGACACCGTCTGGAGCTCTATTTCGACTACTACAACAGCCCCATAGCTGCAGCTCACTCCCTTTTTGCATCTTCCTTCTATCCTCCACCTGGCGGGGTGTACGACGTTGCTGCGGGGACCCTGCACGAGCTGGCAATTCACTGCTGAGCAACCATGCGATTCGGGAAAACACTACGCAATGCGGTGTACCCTCCCTGGAAAGGGAAGTACATCGACTATACCAAGCTCAAGGCGCTCTTGCGGGAGCATGATGTCACCGGAGAGGACGCCAGTGACTCGGAGGACAGCCAGTGGACGGAGCAGGACGAGGAGAAGTTCGTACAGGAATTGATCAATGTGCAGCTGGACAAGGTCAATGCCTTTCAATCCGAGATGTCGAAGCAGCTCCGGGAAGCCACCTCCGCCTGCGAGCTCAAGCTGCGACCGTTGGCTCCCGATGCGGAACAAGAGGGCCTCGACGAGCAAAAGAAGAGGACCATTGCCTCTGAAGTTCTGCATGAGCTGGACAATATCACAAAAGAAGTCAACGAGCTAGAGAAGTACAGTCGCATCAATTTCACCGGCTTTCTCAAAGCGGCCAAGAAGCATGACCGCAAGCGCGGGGCTCGATACCGCGTGAAGCCCTTGCTTCAAGTGCGTCTGTCGCAACTGCCATTCAACTCGGAGGACTACTCGCCGCTTCTGCACCGACTGTCGGTAATGTACTCCTTTGTGCGCGAGACCCTGAGCCAGGCTCCCGTTCAGCGGGATCTTGCAGACCGTGTCTTCGGCCAAGACTCCTACTCGTCCCACAAATTCTGGGTCCACGAAGACAACATTTTGGAGGTGAAGACATACATTCTCCGTCAACTCCCCGTCCTAATCTACAACCCCGGGACGTCCAAAGATCTGGACACCTTTGCTGAAGACCCAACCATCACCTCGCTTTACTTCGACAATCCTCATTTCGACCTCTACAATCAAAAGGTGGATCGTGCGCCCGAAGCAGGGTCTTTAAGATTACGCTGGACTGGTCAGCTAAAAGACAAGCCTTCCATTTTCCTGGAGAAGAAGATCGTCACCGACGACGATGCCAGCCGGGAGGTGAAGGTCCAGCTGAAGGAAAAACATGTCAAGGAATTCCTGGAAGGCAAATATCGATTTGACAAGAAGGTTCATCGGATGGAGGACATGGGAAATGGCGAATCAGCCCAGGCCGAGGACTTGAAGAGCAATGTGGAGGAGCTGCAGTCGTTTATCAAGGAAAATGATCTGCAGCCTATGCTCCGGGCCAACTACAAGCGCACCGCGTTCCAGATTCCTGGTGATGATCGAATTCGCATTTCTCTGGATACCGACCTGGCCCTGATCCGCGAGGATTCGCTCGACAGCGAGCGTCCATGCCGCGATCCGGCCGACTGGCACCGTGCCGACCTGGACGACGCCTGCTTGAGCTACCCGTTCAGTACCATCAGGACTGGTGAAATTGTTCGCTTCCCCCATGCTTTGCTCGAGATCAAACTGCGCGGCAAAGCCCACAACGCCGAGTGGGTAAGTGACTTGATGGTTTCCCACTTGATCAAGGATGCCCCACGCTTCTCCAAGTTTGTTCATGGTGTCGCCCAACTGTTTGAAGATCATGTCAACAGCTTTCCATTTTGGCTGGGCGAGTTGGAAAATGACATTCATCGCGATCCCGAGACTGCATTCCATGAGGAGCAAGAACGATTGGCCAGGAGAGCCGAAGATGACATGGCAGTTGGGAGTTTCCTGGGAACAGGAAGCCCCTCTAGTCGTCCGCTTGTAGGATCCCCTTACCAGCGATACTCGGAAGGAGGATCACCTTCGACGGTGAGGAGGCCGTCGGGCCTCACTGAGCCCAGAGCACTGCCATCCCGTCCCTCGATTCCAGAGATTCGATCTCGAGAACCCGAAGTACTTGCGAAACCTGCTGAAGATCCCGGAAAGCTCTCTCGTTTTACCTCGATGCTGCCATCATTTGGTAGTACACGCCATGACGGACGGGAAGCCGTCGCTCTTCCACCCGGCGTTCGCCACCCCGGCACCTGGATCAAGGACTCAGGACCCGTTCGTGTGGAAACCAAGGTCTGGCTTGCCAACCAGCGAACATTCATCAAATGGCTGCACATCAGTATCCTGCTGTCGAGTCTGTCATTAGGTCTCTACAATGCCGCCGGCAAGCACAACCGGGTAGCCCAAACATTGGCGGTGGTGTACACCTTCTTTGCACTCTTCGCAGCGGCCTGGGGCTGGTTCATGTATGTGAAGCGTGCGCGGCTCATCAGCCAACGCAGCGGCAAGGATCTGGATAACATGTTTGGACCGATCGTGGTGTGCATTGGCTTGGCGGTGGCTTTGGTTTTGAACTTTGTCTTCAAGGTCAGTTCGTTTTGAATCGTTGCAAGTGGTTTAGCTAAGTCCTGAGGGTAGTACTCGTCGATGCTGGAGCAAAAGCGAGGACATCATTCGCCGCTTGGAGGTCCCGTTCACTCTAACTCATCGACTCTGTTTGATGGCGATTCGAGTGCCTTGCGAAGGCTGGTCAACCAGGCCGAGCAGCAGATCCTACACTAAAGTTGTGCTGTCTTTGTACTTCTGACGTGATCAGCAGATCGTGGGAATTGTTTAACATTTCAAAATCTTTGGCCCTTGGACATACAAAAATTTCCAATCTATCTCTCAATGAGGCCTGGGCATCGTCCTAGTTGTGTGATATATTGTACAGTGAGATATGTTCGTCAGTCAGGTTGTGTATCTAGATCACGAATGAATTGAGAATTGATTTCCTTGGCATAGAGAGTTATCATGTCCATTAATGTACATGAAATTACGGCTATATCTACGTGTGCTCACATATTTTACGCATTCATCTCTCTGTAGCTCTTGTTCCATCTCATCACTCTATTCTATCACCAAGCGTATTTAAGCAATGGCTTGATCGGCGCTGACAAATCCGTTGTTAATCCAAACGAGACGGCGGCAAAAGTACATCCCTCATCCCTAAACCCCTCAATCTCCCTTTCAGCACCATCGCAGACATCAAAAATGACCAACTTCAACGTCCAAATCATCTCCGACACCGTGTGCCCTGTAAGCTTCTTTCCTTCCCTGTATATCAACATCCCTGTCTGCCAGGGACATACATCCCCACCTCCGGCACAATGACATCACAGCTCATGCAAAGGAATTATCACTAACGGCATGCAGTGGTGCTATGTCGGCTACCGACGCCTCTCGCGCGCCATACAAGCCCACAAAACCAGCTACCCAAATGATACATTCAGCCTCACCTGGCGGGCATTCTATCTCAACTCCGCCTCGCCCGGGTTTCCGGGCGTGGATAAGCAGGAGGCGTACAAGCTGAAATTCGGTGCGGCCCGCACGGAAATGATGCAGCAGCGTCTAGCTTCTGTGGGTGAGGGAGATGGAATCTCGTTCAAGTTTGGCGGGAAGACGGGCTCGACGAGGGATTCGCATCGCCTGCTGTGGTATGCGCATCAGCAGGAACAGCAGCAAGAGAAACCCACTGCGCCTACGACCGGTGCTCCCGGCGGATTGCAGACTCGCGTCGTGGAGAATCTTTTCCGGGCTTATTTCGAGGAGGAGTTGAATATTACGGATCCCGCAGTGCTGGCTGATGCTGCTGTGAAGGCGGGACTGGGTCGGGATGAGGTGGAGAAGGTGCTTAAGGAGGATGTTGGTGGGCCGGAGGTTGATCGGGAGGCGAAGAGTGCGTCTCAGCAACTTGTTAGTGGGGTGCCGTATTTCTCGATCCAGGGGAAGTATACCATTGAGGGCGCGGACGAGCCGGAGAGCTTTTTGGAGGCGTTTGAACGAGTCAAGCAGGAAGAATAGTTAGTCACTTCTTAGCGTCTACTTATTTCAGAATCTACTTGTTGTGGATTGAAACATTTCATAGCCATTGCCAGTATTATCGATCATAAGAGCATAGTCACGGAGCAAGCAAGGCCCACCGTCATTCGATCTGCTCAATGTACACAGTTGATAGAGCATGGTTGGGCAAACGCCAACGAACCATGCAAAGACAGCGAGCATCATGAGGTAGGGAAAGCAAAAATAAAAGTGAAAAACGCCCGTTATGCACCGCGCATCCACAAAGCAAGCAGCGAAAAAGTTCCAGCATGGTAATACACAAGTGTAGATGGAGCAGAGATAAAATCCACACAAACACTGGAGGGAAAGAATGAAGCAAACGTCAAGGGTCATAAGCATGTCGTCAAGTGGGACATAGGGTCCAACTACGAGGCCGGGCGACCGCTGACCTGGTGCAGTTCGTAGTCGGGAAGGTAGTCGAACCAGTCGCTGTCAGGGTTGTAGCGGTATGCCTTGAACTCCACTCCATATGGCTTGGGCTCCAGCATGTAGAGCATGCCCAAGGGGACATCGAGGTCGGCAACCTCTTCCCGCTTCAGACCACGGAAGTATGCCAGGAGCACGCGGCAGATCGATCGATGGCTGACGAGAAGGACATGGTCAGTGGTGCGCTCGATCTCGACGATCACCGTGCGCAGCCGATTGATGATGTCCAGATATCCTTCACCACCCGGTCCGGGGTACCGGTAGTAGAGCTTATCCCGTTTGCGATGCGCATATTCCTCTGGATACTGACGTCGAATCTCGTCGTATGTCATGCCCTCCATCTTCCCGGCGTGAATGTCATCCAGCATTCTCATCTCCTTAACGTCATAGTCTTCCTCGTTGAAATACTCCACCGTCTGAACAGACCGCCGCATCATGGACGACCACACACAGAAATTGCGCGGCCGGTCTCGCGGGATATAGGACGGGTTGGGCGGAGTGCTGTCGCCAGGTCGCGGAGGGAAATGTTTCAATAGATTCTTCTGTTGCTGGTATATCTCCCACTGGCGCCGTTGATGATCAATGAAGCGATTCAAAGCCTTGCCGTACCGCCGACCATTGTCGCTAAGATCGGCATCTCCACCAATGCGGCCCGCCTCGTCGTCCGTACTCTGGCCATGTCGTGTGATCCAAATCTGGCGGGGAGAGAGATTGAAGTTCAGTAGGTAATAAACGACCTGTGAGGAAAGGAAGCCGTGGGTCTGGTGAGAAACGATCTTGCGGCCGACGTCGATCATCTGGATATAGGCCATGTCGTGCTGCTCCTCGTATTCACCCAGAGGAACATAGGAGTTTTCGTAGAGAGCCACCCGCTTTTTGAAATCCTCCAACGCCTGGGACGGATCCTGGCCCTTGTAGTCCGGTCCGGAGAGCTTCAGGCGCATGTTGGCCTCCAGTAGGCCTTCATCCACACATCTGCTTTCTAGAAACAGGATGCCCAGTTCAGGACCCGCGCATGCGCGAATGTGATCAACGATGGCCTTGCGTCGCTCCATGGTGCTGTTGGTCGCATCCAGGATGCCAACACTGCCGCCCTGTTCTAGAATGTAGTCGAGCAGTTCATCGAGAGTGTCCAGCGCGACCTGCTCTCTCAGCTTGACGGCACGTTCGTTCTGCGGGTCAAAAAAGCTGGCGGACTGGTCCATAGGTTCCGGAGACGATTCCCTCACGGCCTTGTCATTCGGCTGGGCGGATTTGGCTGGGCCGGCATCGGTAGACGGTATAACAATGCTTCCATGCTCAGAAATAGAACTGGGTTCTTTATCATTCACGAGGATCTTGGCTGGAACCACGGGAGGCGGCAGCGTCGCTTCATTCTCGGACAGCGCGGGCTCCGAGTTCACACTGACGCTCAAGCGCCGCACGGAGTCGACCAAATCCTTGTGGATGGCATTGGGGCTCTTATCCAGGCCAAGGTTCATCTTGGCAGGCGAGGGAGACCTGCCGGCCGCAACACGGCGGCGTTCCCCAACGTTGAAGATTTCGGTATCATGCTGAAGCCAGTTCAGGTACCGGGCCAGCTTCTTGGTGATGTAGCTTTTGCCTCGTGCCGGCAAACCGACCATAACAATGACCAGTTTCGCGCCGACATCGCGCTGGGCAATCCGGCCATCGGGAGAGACCTTGGACTTGGTCAGGCCGGGGATATCAAGAGTGGTCGCTCGCACGCGGCTGGGAGTGCCAGGCTGAGTCCGGCCCGATCTGCAAACAGCAACCAGTTAGATCAGTTAGGGTCTGAAGCACAAGTGGTCACCCGAGTCAAAAGGTGGCTTGGGGGTCTACCTCGGGCGGACAAGACAAGAACTTGACCCGAGGCCCAGCCCAGCACCTTGTCGATCCACACAGCCCCTGATAGGCTCGGAGGAAATGACAGAGACTATAAAAGCGACGGTCTGGAACAAATAATAAATCATTCAACGGGACTTACATCTGTGGAGACGGGGGTGCGGTAGAAACCGGAGTGTCACTCAGGGCGGCTCCGACTCCGCCCTTGGTCGCAAGCTGTGTTTTGTGGGCATCGGAATGCAGGTCATTCCCTAGCGCTCGCCCGACAACAGTCTTGGGCGGAGGCATAAGGCTTGTTCCATCGTTTCCCGGGCTAGGCCCATTGGAGCTGACACCGTAGGGTCGCTGGTTTTTATTACTCCTCTGGTCAGGATCAGAGGTGGCCGACGTCATGGCCGACCGTGCGATGTTGGAATGCTGCGCCATTCCCCAGCCGCGGGGGATTCTGATTCAGAGTCCGAGTGCGTGAGGCAAAGGAAGGAAATGGATGAGAGACAGAATCAGGGGTGATGATTCAGACAAAGGAGGACCGTCTTGCCTGCTCAAAGACAAAAGAGAGGTGGGAGCAAAAAGAGGAAAAGTCGTGGGAGTGTGGATGACTCAACCGCCCACCTCAACGACACAGCGACAACAACTTGGCTTTAGAAGTAAACAAGCCTTGGTAGGGAGTAGTACTGGCGAGTAGGAGTTCTTGAACCCCTATTCACAGATGAAATCACCAACTCGCCCTCCTCTAACTGGAGTTGAGAAAAAAGAAATATTTTTGAGAACGGTATGGAAGGCAATAAACAAGAGATTGCATTTGATGGCTCTTATATACACAGTCTGCGACCACTAAATCTTGTACATCCTATCAAATTGCATCCATCTTCAGCGGAGAATGCGTCCCTGGCATGGATGGCCAAGAGCAACGAGCCACAGAGAGAGCAAAAGAGGATATCTCGGGAATATCCAGCAAGCTTCCAGGTTGCTCCCCGTCTAGGCAAAGAGTGAGATATCAATGCCAATACTATGTGACTTGGATCCGGCCATGATCCGGGCTGGTTTGGGTTCAGGTGCTGGGTCTCACGGATGGAAAAGCAATTGTTGGGACGCCTTGTGCGATGGATATTCCATAGTGTACTCGGCAGCTTCTGTACTGATCGGCAGCTTCTGTACTGATCTCGGCTCGGCTGCAGGTTTCCGCTAGCCCCAACACAACCCTCGGAAGAGGAAGACCGCAAAAGTACTGTCGCACGCCTCGCACTAGAACTTGAGATGGCCAATAATTGAGTTCATATGTTGCTCCATCGCCTGCTAAGAGCCGGAGGAGCGGTCGCAAGCTTCACACTCGGTGTTAGAGTGGTTCAGGGCATTCATATGCGGGTCTTCATACTAACGCCTCTTCCAAGGTCCCTGCCATTGCCGTAAAGCAGGAGAGGGCATCTTTTGCTCTGAGGTTTCCTTGCTCTAAGAAGGCAGGCATCAACTTCCCTGGTTCGTACGTGGCCAAAGGACGTGAGGGTCGTTCTGGCCACAGAAGCATCTCATTGATCGACTGGGTAAATGACTTCAAGAGTATATCTCATTGCAAGTGTCACGAATATCGGGATCAATGTCCCAAGTTGACCGTCAGGCCAATCAAACATACATATGCAGCGACACTGAGGGCGGTTAAAACCAACACAGCATTGCCACTGGTCCGGAATTTATGGCGATGAATCCCATCGTCCCCCAGCTCGGAGAAAAATTGCCGGTTTCCTTGCGAGCGACGAAAGAGGCCGATGATCAGGACGCCCGTGCCGTAGATGGCGAACAAGGCACCGATGCTGTAGAACTCGGCTGTGAAGATTTTGAGGACGACGAGGGCAAAAGAGAATTGAGAGAGGGCTGTGCGGACGTAGGCGCCTTCAAAGGTGCGCTGAGCGGCGCGCACTTCGACCATCTCATCCGAGGTCAGCACTGCCGACCGGGCGCGGTGCATTCGAAGGTGATAGCGGTCTGCCGCACGTCGCTGGAGGATGTTAGATTCGGTGACGCCGATAGAGAGGAGATCTCATACCTCGAACATGTCGGCGGTTTAGTTGTTGATGTGAGTTGAAGGATTTTGTGTTGTTGTCGAGGTGGAAGAAGTTGGGGGAGGGAAAAGGGCCAGGGCTCACGTGGACGACCGGGTGTTGCACCAATACTTCATCATTCCTCGCCCATCACCTGCTCAATAATCATCATCTTTCGACGTCCATATACTTTCGTTCTCAATAATCGTTCTTGTTATCAAGAATAGTTCTTGTTATCTGTAACTACTACACACCCCCGACATGATTTCTCCACCAATGACACCCGACCCTCATCACGGCTATCGAACTTGCCTAACCCGGCGTTTCGGTTGCCGCCCTTCCCCACACCCCCCGTTCCCCAAAAATGTCGGACAAGAGGCCGACAAAGTTCGGCCTTGTCTTGACCGAGTTTTCCCACTCTTCTCTTTTCTCAACCCTCCGTGTCAGCAGCCGTGAGAATCGGTTGTCTCTGAGTCCCGATCACGGATTGTTCTCAGCGTTTCGCAGTGGGAGACAATGGCGAAAGTATTCGATGCGGCAGAAGGTATCGTTCCCACCGGTTCGACTGGAGTAGAACTCGTATGAGTTTTCTCTGACTCAATCTCATAGTCGCAAAACATAATACCCCCGAAAGTTGCTGGGTGATTCTCTATGGCAAGGTCTACGATGTACGACGTCCTCAATACATACAGCTCTCGGAGCGAGATTGACCCAGAGACTAGGTGACCGACTTCATTGACAGCCATCCCGGGGGCAAGAAGGTTATCTTGAAGCTAGCAGGCAAAGATGCCACCGAAGAATATGACCCGATTCACCCTCCCGGCATCCTGGAGGAGGAGCTCAAACCAGAGCAGTGTATAGGCACAGTGGACCCGGTCACATTGCCCAAGAACGAAGCGCTAGCCGTGACGCAGAAACCCGCCCAAGGACCGCCACCAATGGAGCAAATCCTCAATCTGGACGAGATTGAAGAGGTGGCCACCAGGCAGGTGAGCAAACGAGCTTGGGGATATTACTTCTCCGCTGCCGACGACAAGATCAGCAAGGAGTTCAACCGTGAAGTATACCGATCCATCATTCTGCGACCACGAGTTTTCGTTGACTGTGCCCGATGCGATTTGGACACTACAGTCTTGGGGCATAAGGTGGGACTTCCCATCTACGTGTCTCCCGCGGCCATGGCCCGTTTGGGCCACCCTGCAGGCGAGGCAGGCATTGCAGAGGCATGCCGCAGCTTTGGGGCCTTGCAAATAATATCAAACAATGCATCCATGACCCCAGAACAAATTGTCAAGGATGCGGCTCCGGACCAAGTCTTTGGTTGGCAAATCTATGTCAATGTGGATCACAAGAAGAGCGAGGCAATGCTGGCACGCATCAACAAGCTCAAGGCGATCAAGTTCATTGTTCTCACGCTCGACGCCCCCGTTCCTGGAAAGCGAGAAGACGACGAACGAAGCGGTTTTGCATTGGCGCCACCGACTCCCACGACGACACAGGACACGGAAGATGTTTCTAAAACATCCGGTGGAGTCGGCCAGCAGCTGTTCGCTGGCACCGATCCGTCTCTGACGTGGAAGGATACTCTGCCATGGCTTGCCAAGCACACGGATCGGCCTATTGTCTTGAAGGGTCTGCAGACGCACGAGGACGCATACATTGCTTCTCTTCACACTCCCCAGGTTAAGGGTATCATCCTTTCCAACCATGGCGGACGGGCCATGGACACGGCCCCGCCGGCCGTTCATACTCTGTTGGAAATCCGGAAATACTGCCCGGAAGTTTTCGACAAACTTGAAGTGTACGTGGACGGAGGCATTCGGCGCGGCACAGATGTGATCAAGGCTCTCTGCCTGGGTGCCAAAGCTGTAGGCATTGGACGACCTGCTCTCTGGGGCCTCGGAGCAGGCGGAGTGAATGGTGTGCGTCGCACTTTGCAGAGTATGTGGGACCTATGGCTGTTTTAGATGCACCGTACTGACTCTTTTCGATAGTTCTGGCCGATGAAAGCAGGACCGCTATGCGGCTGCTCGGGGTAGAGAGTGTGGATAAACTCGGAGCCCAGCACGTATGTACACGAGATATAACTCATCGAGCAAGAAATATACTAACTGCCACAGATCAATACCCGCATCACTGAGCAACAGATCTACGACGGACCTTCAGGCCTTGAGTCCTTGCGGCATGTTTTCCGGGCGAGGCTGTAGATGGTGGGCCAAACGTAGACAGTCAGTGCCGAGTGTGTATAAGCATTTCTTATGATAATAGCATGCCACATATTATTATTGTTATTATGTGTATAGCGGAATCGATGATGTTCTCATAATACAGCGTGCCAAGAATCTCATTCTTTCTTTCATACTCTTCGACAACGCAACGCGGGCGGTAAGCGCTAGCTCGGATTTAACGGAGTGAACAAACAAAGGTGAAACTGGAGACGCTCGTACATCACCACGGTGTCCTTTTCGGGTCGCTTTCGCTGTCATCCAACGACAATTTACTCCCCGGGCCACGATGGCGGACAACAAGGATGCCTCGACCGGCCACACCAAGGAGAAAACCTTCCGCGCCTACACGAACGAGCAAGGTGCGACCTACTCCCAGGTGCGGCCAGGCTACCACCCCAACCTGTTCAAGCGCGTGTTAGACCACCATGTTTCGACCGGTGGCCAACTGGGCACCCTCATCGACGTTGGCTGCGGACCCGGAACGGCGACTCGGCCCTTGGCAGCACACTTCACTCATGCCTTTGGACTCGATCCATCCGAAGGCATGATTTGCACTGCTCGTCAGAACGGCGGTACATCTTCCTCAGGCGAGCCCATCCAATTCGAATGCTCGGCCGCTGAGGACCTAGCCGCGGGCCAGAATCTCATTCCCGACGGCACAGCCGATCTGATCGTGGCCGCAACAGCGGCGCACTGGTTCGACATCGCGAAATTCTGGCCACGCGCCGCCGAGATCCTCCGGCCCGGCGGCACGGTTGCATTTTGGACCACCAGCGCCATGGAGGCGCACCCGTCCGTGCCGAATGCCGAAAAAATCAACGCGGCGATGGCGGAGCTGCGCGAGCGCGAGCTGAAGCCGTATATCGAGAATGGCAATCGCATCAACCGGTCCCTGTACACAGAGATGTTCCCCTTACCCTGGGAATGCGATCCGCCAGTGTCAGAATTCGAGCAGAGCACCTTCTTCCGCAAGGAATGGGGCACACCGAATAACGACGATGCGGAAGTGCAGGGCGGAGAGCTGTTTATTCATGGGCAGCGAGAGTTGTCACTTGATTTGATCGAGAAGATGCTCGTGACTGGCAGTCCTATACACCGGTGGCAGCAGGCTAATCCAGATAAGGTGGGCACGGATCAAGATATAGTCAAGCTGATGGTAAATCAGATTGCCAAATTGTTGCAGGAGGCCGGTGTTCCTCCAGAGAAGGCGACATTGAAGGGGAGTATTTGTGGAGTTTTGATCATGGTCAAGAAGAAGGCGTAAATACTAAGGGTCATTCTTTATGTTAATAGTTCAGTTTCATATAGCTACTTAGTTATTATGTCTTTGATCAGAAATTATCACTTCTGTTAAGCCTTGTTGCCCCGCATTTTTATCGGTCCCAATCGAAATCCGAAACAAGTCCTACCCTAATCACCATATTGACTTGATGTCTTCTCCTAACGTTTACTGCCCTCTCTGTGGAGTCATTCTACTGTCTAATACCTACACTGACGACACTCGCGTTCGCCCTTGGTACGCACAAGTACGAGGCATCTACTCAACCAATGCCGCTGTCGGCGATCCTATCACCACAACCGGGGTAGGATTAGTACGTTACCGGAACAAACTCTACGCACCGCTTGACAGTGACAGATCCTATTTCGATGTGGGGAATGAGCCGCTAGAAGAGTGGAAGCTTTGCCAGTCATCTGACCGTTGGTGCTTCGGCTTACACGACTCGTGCTGGTCATTGCTTCTCCTTAGGCTCCGCCACTTCCAGGACAAGGCGGTCATTGCAAAGTCAGTCTTCTATCAGCTCTATTGCACGCCTTGCCTCTATGCTTCCACTTTCCAATTTGGCCACGACTATGAGGGTGCTGCGCAAACACACGAACCGTTCGGGCGGCCCGCAGTGAACCGGATGTCGCAATTCTATGCCGACCCTTATGAAATCCCGCACCACTTGGAGGACTTTGGTCGCTTTAAACCCTATGTTCTATACTCTGGGGATCCGACAGAAGAAAGACGCGAAAAGCTGGAAAGAGATGTCTTCAATGAACTCTCTCCTGAGCTGAAATTTGAGATACTGTCATATTTATCCTTTGACGAGATCCTGAATATGAGACTCGTATGTCGAGATCTAGCTCAACTTGCAGCTGTCGAAAGTCTCCCACTGTCGTACTGGCGGAGCAGGTTTCTCCTTGGTCAGGAGTTTGACTTTCTGTTCCCGAATCTCTCAGATACACAAAACTGGTTTGGGCTTTTCTTTGGGACTAGGGCTTTTCTAAGAGCCGGCTACACAGAATTGGTCAATCGAAAAAGAATACGACAGCTATTAGAACCCATTGCTGCTCTTGTGGAACTAGAGGCTACTTTGTGCAAAGGTCCATACGGATCGGCCTTTCACCCGACGCAAAGTCAAGGCAGCTATTTCCAGCTAATTGATGAAGAGACGACTGAAAATCCGCCTCAGTTCATAGAGATAGCTGGCTCGTTTTCTGGTCAGCTAGCCTCTACTACCGCGAATAGTCTCTTGAAAGAAGGATGTCGTGTGCTTTACCACAGGGCACAATCACTTATGGCCCCGTGTCAGGAGCATCGACAACGAATAGGTATCTCAATCGTCAAAATCGGCGCACGGGGCTTTATATCGGGAATAAATCTCTTTCCGTCGGGGGAGCACAATGACGTTGATCGTCTCGTTGGATATCGCATTCCAGCTTCTGAGGTGTGGATAGATATACCGTCCACCGTAAAATCTCTTTGTGTGGCATTTTGCTCAGAAGGATTGACGGGAATCAAGTTCGCATTCACAAATTCGGATTCGTCAGGCTGGATTGGCAGTAGCAGCGGTCCGGGAATTGCTTATGGCACCATAGACATTCCGAATAAGTTGGAGCAATGTCGCCTGCTTGCAGGCTTGGATCGATACAAGATTGTTTCACTCGGCCTCGGCGAATTGACATTGACCCCCCGCTCCGGAACTTCTCCGAAGCTACACTCTCAAGACGCAATGGATTCGCTTTGTGTACAGTCCTATTTGTGGACCTCGCATCTTCCAGGGCACGATGGTTTAAGAATCAGCCCTCTTCTGCCATACAAGAGCTCGCGGGCCTTTGAACCGCTGACCAATATTGACTTTGGTGGCCCAAGAGGCCTATTTCTTAGGTCCTTGACGATGTTTACGTTCTACATGGCATCCGGCCCCTATCCAATCACTGGAATAGAGATATCCTACTCTGACAGAAGGCCTATGCTTTTCGGCTCTAAAGATGGTTGTGGGCTCTCTTTTTTTCTTGATGGCTCAAAGGGGGAACGTATCAATCGAGTCGGGATTCTAGAAGACAATCGATGTGACTCAATCGGCCTAGGTGGCTTACAGGTCTTTCTACAGAATCCCCAAGTATCCGTATGGGTTACTAAGTTTGACCTAGATCTCAACAAACTATAGACGCAGTACCACTTTCGCTCCTCTTCGCTTTCGACTCAATGCAGCGATTAGTCGAATACCAATTTCGCCGCCCGGTAATATCATCACGGGATTGGTTGCTCTTGAACAAGTATGTACCTAAGTAGCAATACCTTGTGCAGACCCTAACGGCAGCTGAATAGGTACAGACAAACCAGACCGGCTTTGCACGAGTCGGCATTCAGTCCCAACAATGTGATGAACAGCCTATGCCACCGCCACCGGATATTCTGGATCGTGAATGCCATCAGATACCCGAATATCAGCTACAATACGATGATCAATTCACTCATTTCATAGACAGTTCGAACCCCGGCAACTATCAGACCTATGCATCACTAAAAAATATCCGGAAAATCCAAGCATCTATGGGCATCAAAGGTCGATCTAGAACTTCGAATCGCTTATCCGGTTTGAAGTTTGAGTATTACAATCATCCAAGTCCTAGCACAGTAGGACAATGGATGGATGAAATTGATGATGGCTTTGAATTCTCGCTAGATGAGGCAGTTCAATCGTTAACTATCTGGCTCACTCCAACGGGTCACTCTACTGAACGCGGGTTGGTGGTTAGCCAAGTCGCAGCCATCCACATTGAGACGACTCATTCTCGCAGTGTGACATTTCGTTCTCCAGAATTTCGCTCCCTTCCGCCCCAAAAGCTGCAGCACCAGTACCAAAGTGACCGTGACGAGAGACTAACAGGTATCTCATGGATAATGAATGCATCTTGTGATTGCGTCCGAGCAGTCATTTCTGCTTCTACGAGCGAATGCCGGAGAGCTCAGATACTGGTCCCAGAACACCCTCCCCCTTTTGACCAGGTACGGAAACTTTACTTCGCGACGCAGAATGACGACGGTTGTAGAGACACCATAGCCACAGCCGAAGCCTTCTTCCGAGACCGGGCGATTATCGGACTTGTTTTCGTCTACACGTCGGCTGCAAAAGCGAGTCTAGGCGATTTCGATACCAATGCCCGTCAAACAATTCGTTTTCCACGAGACGCTCGGGTTGTTGGCTTTTCGGTTGCGACCAAAAAGCGTGACATTGTGGAACTCGAATTCGAAGTTGAACGAAACGAGCAGCCTCAGTACAAGAAGCTTAGGCTCTCCATCAATTATACCGTCGGATATGACAGGCGAGATGTGTGGTGTAAAGACGGGTCGTCTGGGGAAAGCAATCAACGACTCTTAGCGGGTGACCGTGTATACAAACCCCCGAGCGATTCGACGCTAGTGGGTATCTATGTGGGCTGTCAGGAGTTCTTCCGTGTTGGAGCACTGTATGAGCCCGAGGTTTCTCAATAGCTATGTGCATTTTATTCTGCATAATTCATTTGCAGACCCATGATCAATGTGGTTTTTATTCAAAATAAGTGAAGATGCCACAAAGAATATATGCGAGTACTGTTCCAGGTGGATATCAATCGGCCAATCATGGTTATGTTCCGGCAAACTAGCTACAACCCTAATCCCGCCCATCTCCGTCCCACTGTGGCACCGGGGAAAAAAATTTTTACCCGCAACCATTCACGATGGGCAAAAAAGAACTGACCAGACTGGGGCTCGATCCCAGGACCTTATCGGTGTTAACGATACGTGATAACCAACTACACCATCCGGCCGTTGTTGAAGAAGGGAATTGTTTTTGGAATAATGGCTTCCTTGTGACAAGTAGGATGCAACAACGGTAGAACGGGAAGCAAGATGAAGTTAAGGAGAAGAAATGTGTGACTGACATGCTCATATGCTTCATTAATAACTATAATTTTGGAATATGCATATGTACAAATGATAGCAATCGGAAGGATTGGAAGCAAATATATATTTCGAGATTAAAGTCTGGCCTTGCCTGTTAGAATTCAAGTAGTGAACAACTACCTGAATGCATCACAGGAAAACAATAACTTTAGCTTCAGGTAACCGAAGAGATAAATCAAGAGTGTACACAAGGAACAACAAAACACTCACCCCAAAATTCCGGAACCCCGAGCTTCCCCTTGTCACATAAACCCATTGTCGATCAATCTCTTTATGCTTTCTCCTCCGCTCAGTCCTCAGGGAGCCGCTGGAGCATGCCCATTGATCGTTCATGCGGCACCTATGGGTCTATATTCTTGATTACCTCGGGGCGGAAGTGTAAGGGGAAAAGAGAAAGGAACATTTTAGAGCGGGCAGAGTAGAGCTATAAATTCAGTTGACAAACTTTATAGGGTTACCTGGAGAGCACAGACACAAGAATATGTAAGGTTATTGAGCATTGATGATTGGATGTGAGAAGTAATATAGCAAGTTGAAGAAAGCCGTCAAAGGAAAATATTCCAATATTGTAACGGGAGGTCGACATCTCGATTAGATCTCCACCTGGCTAGTGTGAACACGAGTCGAAATGTACAGTAGTAGAGTTAGAATTTTGGTAGTGTTCGTTGGGATCAGGCGCCTATGGAGAGAAAGAGAGCTTGTGTGTGAGTTACATTGATATTATACCCGGATATAGCTCCCGACTGCAGGCCGCCTTCCGGGTCATCCAACGCCTATGATCTTAAAGGTCCACCATTTGTCCGAAAGACGGAGAGACGATATTCAGTAGGGCAGTTGCCATGGAGATCGACTTTAACACTTTTGAAGAAAAATCGATGAACAATGCGAGGCCCATTAAATTTCTGATACAAAACGAGGAATACAGTTAAATTCGAAAACAGATTTCCCTTCTTACACTTACAAAGATACCCAACAACGCCTCTCGAGCGATCTTTTGGTCCTCCTTAATCTAGTTGCTAGAGAATTAGCCTGTGTACGTATAGCTCTTCAGCCACACCTGAATACCAAAGAGCGGGTTCTAATATTATCACGGCCATTTTGGCTTAATAGGACCGTCCCTTATACATCCTAGCCTTCTCAGTTCATAGAAGAATCTAAGATTACCCACATATGGAAGATTGATCACTGTGGCAGAATTGTATACCATTTCCAACTTACGTGCCTACCATCTATACAAGAAATATATTCTATTTATAATAGTCCGAAGTGCTGAGATGCCGACACTGTACAGTCTCGATATACGAGGAAGACAATTCAAAGAAAGATGACACAGTAAGCTCTCATAAGGAGCATGCATATCGATGGGGGAAAATCAGTGCACCTGTAAACTGCGAGACTGAATGGAGTCATGCGTTTTAGGATCCGTCGGCCGACGTGATTTCTGCATTATATGTAGATACCTTCTATGCAGGTAATATGCTGAAGATAAGGATTATTATACGTTCCATGTACTTAGTATAGACCGAGCAAGATAGAGATACCTCAGGAAATATATTTCTACCCTCTCAAAAAAATCATATGTTTTCGCATTTTGACCACCTTCACTGTGCCCCTCACATCCTCCCTTCCTTCCCCTCTTTCCTTCTTCTGCCTCCTTCCCTTTCTCTCTTCTCCCATGCGACCTTCGATCGCACTTTCACCCCATTTCCTCTCTCTTCGCCCAGCACGATTCGCCGTATTTGGTACTCGGTCCCGCAGTCGGGACCTTGGTGTTCCCTTCTGAGTTGTCGATCGCGACCCGGTTTCCTGCACCGCGACGACGCGCAGACGTCACAGCGGCTCCCCATACCAAGCTCCCCCTTTCCCCTCGGCGCCCACAAACCTTTGTCGACCGTCACTCGCGACGTCCATTTCGCCATGAACGAACCCACTCCCTCACCCAGCCCGGCTACTGCACCAAAAGCCTCACCCCCTCCAAAACAGCCTCCCACGCCCACCGCCGGCACCAAACGCAAACGCAGCGCCCCTAGCAAATACTATGCAGTCAAGGCGGGGTTCAATCCAGGCATTTACTTTGGATGGCAAGACTGCCTGGCTCAGATCACGGGGTACAAGGGCGCAATTTGTGAGTGCCTTCATTCCCAAAGCCAAGTTGGTCCGAACACTCACACCAAGAATCTCCTGCAGTCAAAGCATTTCCTACACACGAAGAAGCCACCGCATTTATCAAGGGTGACAGCCTACCTTCCGCTACCGGGGCTAGCTCGAATGGCGGACCACCCAGGTTCTACGGGATACAACGAGGTCGAGTGCCAGGGGTGTACACGGATTGGGCAACAGCACAAGAGCAGATTCGCGGGTTTACACGGCCACGGTATCGGAAGTTTCCCACTCGGGAAGAGGCAGAGGAGTTCGTGAAGGAAGGACAAGCTCAACGGCATGCCCCTGTTGGATTTGGCGAACCTTCGAAACTTCCTGGAGGTGCGGGCATGATAAATGGGAATCCGAAAGATGCGGACGGTGTCGAATATCCAGCCGGCGACGGCCCTTTGCCACAGGGTGCGGAGGACGGGTTCGATCCCAATGTGTTATTGGATCCAGCGACGGGCAAAGTGGTTTACAAGACGGCGTCTCAGAAGGCGGTTACAAAGACACAATCCGCAGGGATCCCAAGCATGTTACGGATATACACAGACGGGAGCTCGTTGCGAAATGGGACTCCACTGGCGTCGGCAGGGGTGGGCGTATATTTTGGGCCCGGAGACTCAAGGTTTGTCTTACTTTTCCTGAGATGCTCCATCTTTTTCTTCCGACTCACATCAATCATCCTAGCAGAAACGTTTCGGAGCCATTGAAGGGCAGTCGCCAGACGAACCAGCGTGCGGAGTTGACGGCGATTCTGCGGGCGATTGATATTGCACCCCGCCATCGCGATGTCACCATCATCACGGACAGCCGGTATGCAATTGACTGCGTGACTGTGTGGTTCATCAACTGGCGCCGCAACAATTGGATGACCAAGGATCGTAAGCCGGTAGAAAACAAGGACCTGGTCGAGTCAATCCTGGTCAAGATCGAGGAGCGCACCGAACTGAAGGTCAAGACGCTGTTTGAATGGGTCAAAGGCCATAACAAGCACCCAGGCAACGAGGCAGCCGATCAGCTGGCCGTTCAAGGAGCCCAAGAGGGCGTGTTTGCCAAGGTGGAGGCGCGAGACGCTAGCCATGATATCCCGGCCGAGGTGTTAGAGGAGGACTTTTAGTGTTGGATATGTAATTGGCAATTAATGACCATTCGACGACCGCAAGGTACTTATCAGGTAGTCCGGATCTTGGATCTCGGCTTCGGTCGGGACTAGCCGGTTTAAGGGATCTCTCCCACCTCGAACTTTTTCCTTTCCTCACCTCACAAACCCGTTGCTCAGTACGATTCGGGATTGATTCTCCGACTAACCCAGCCTGGAACTGGCGATCAAACGCGTTCATCTGCCAGGCACATCTCCAACTTCACCCATGATCGCCCTGCCCCGCGCCATCCCGATCCGCCAAACGATGATTCGATAACATTCACTGTTGACCTTGTTTTTCACTATCGAGCAGAGACCCAGAGAGTCATGCCGACTCTCTCACTCATCAACTTCAATATTGTCTGCGCGACACTAGGAGGCTTCATCTCCCTCTTTGGGCTAGTCTCCTACTTATGCAAGGAGCGCTTCTACCTCTCCGAAGCTCGTATGTTTTTTTCCCCTGTGCTTATTTTTATGCCGTCCGTCCTAACTGAGGTAAAAGTGATCTCCCTGCTTGCAGGCGTAGCCTTCTCCCCACATGCAGCCAATCTTATCCGACCAGAAGACTACGCTCTTCACTCAGAGAAGAACCTCGAGGCCATCACCCTGCACTTCGCCCGTCTAGTCCTGGGCGTACAGCTAGTCCTTGCGGGTGTGCAACTTCCCAAGCGTTATCTCCAGATAGAATGGAAGAGCCTGTCCTTACTTCTGGGGCCGGGTATGGCAGCTATGTGGATTAGCAGCAGCCTGATCATTTACGCCATGGTTCCGAATCTCCAATTTCTGCATGCCCTGATAGTGGGTGCATGCGTGACACCCACAGATCCCGTGCTGTCCAATTCGATTGTCAAGGGCAAGTTCGCCGATAAGCATGTCCCGCGTCCGCTGCAGAGGATCATCATCGCCGAGTCCGGGGCTAATGATGGACTGGGATATCCGTTCCTGTTCTTTGGGATTTACTTGCTGAAGTATATCGGAATGGGAGGGGAAGGATATAGCGGGGGTGCTGGGAAGGCGATTGGGCTGTGGGTTTATGAGACTTGGGTCTATACTATTCTTCTCAGTGTCGCTTATGGCGTTGTTGTGGGATGGCTTTCGAGGAAGCTTCTCCACTGGGCGGAGGAGAAACGATATGTTGATCGGGAAAGCTTCCTGGTCTTCGCTCTCGCTCTCGCAGTGAGTTTCGCACCGCGGTTGGGGTAGATGAGGCCGTTGCTGATTTTGATTACAGTTATTCATCGTGGGAACCTGCGGTCTGATTGGGACAGATGACCTTCTAGCATGCTTCGTCGCTGGAAATGTGTTTACCCAGGAGTAAGTTGTCTACTTATGGCACATGGCGCGAACCTGAAACTGACAGGAAGACAGTGACTGGTTTCGCCTGGAGACAATGGACGACTCGTTGCAACCGACCATCGACATGCTGCTCAACCTAGCGGTCTTCATGTGGTTCGGCGCAGTGTGCCCGTGGGCTTCCTTCTTGAAAAATGACATCATCCCAATTTACCGGCTCATCTTCCTCGGGATTCTGATCCTCCTTGTGCGCCGACTCCCCATCATTTTCGCCATGCACAAATACATCCATCAGATCGAGCATTTACGGCAAGCCGCATTTGTGGGATTCTTTGGTCCTATCGGCGTTGGAGCCATCTTCTATCTGTCTATCTGCCGAGAGTTCCTGATGGAGATCACGGTTGACGGACACATCCGAGAAGACGCAGAGAAGCTCTCCGAGACTGTGAAGGTAGTCGTCTGGTTTCTGGTCATTTGCAGCATTGTTGTTCATGGCCTCTCAGTCCCGCTTGGAAAAGCCGGATACCATCTCCCAAGGACAATATCCAGTGCGATCAGCACCAGCATAGATGAGCCGGAGGCAGTACCCATCGATAACTTCCAACACACGCACAGCACGGCGACTCCGCGGCCTGACGGTGCAGAGCCGAGCCGTCGGAGTCGTAAGTACGATAGCGAGCGGGAAGAGCCTCCACGGCCGCCTATTTTCCGGGTCGGTCGCTCGGTTATTCGCACTCATTCGCCATCGAGCCAGCTTCAGGTTGGTGTCGGTCAGGAGGATGAACCGGAAAGGCCTGTTCATTTGGTTATTCGGGAACCTGAGGGCGGCGTGCACAATGGGCAGCCAGCGAGATCACCGCCTGACCCTTGAGGGACTGTTGAGTTGAGAGTTGGATATGTGATGTGAGAGAGTTTATTTGTGATTTAGAGGGGGAAGAGTTATGGATGCGAGAAGACGTTACGTTTACGTCGATGAGAGGAGGAAAGAGTTCATGGATTTATAACTGCATATATGTGTATACCTAGCTCAGGTCTGAACAAATGCATTCCAAGATCTACTCCCGTCTAATGTGTAAACCGAGCGGGGAGTACATAGACTTGGACGAATGCACTATTCTCGTCAACCCGACAAGCAGAACAGAGACGGAATCAGGGAGGCTATGTGCTAGGTATTCAAAATGAGCATCGAAAGGGACGAGCCTATGGTCATAGAAGAATAGACAGGATAGTGAAAAAGCAAAGAACACATTCATCGTAACCGAACTCAACCCCGAAATCAAACTGCGCCAGCTAGATCCAGCCCATCAATGCAATTGTCCTAGTCAGATCAAACCCCAAAGCCGGATATCCGTAGAGATTTCTCCCAACGCGGGCAAAGAGGACAAAAAGAAATAACGGGGAAAGCACAAAAGCACCTTGACTATGGATCGTGGCAAAAATACTCAAAAACAATGCACTGGGTCAAGGCCGACAGCACCTAATCCTCGCCGTTCACTTCTCCATCTCTTTCACTCTCGACTCACATGCATCCCTTCCCCCTATTGAGTGAATGCTTGGATATCGTTAAACATTATGCTGGAAAGCAGATATGGTGACTTTTGGTATGGACGTGTGTGGACGCGTAGATCGTAAAATTGAAAACAAAAGCTCCTCAAGAAACGAGCTTACTTGCTCTGATCATGCAGCTCGCGCGCACGACGCGAAAGCGGCGCAATCATTCGGAGAATGGGGTCATGGGGGTTGCGCTCGGCAACAGCCATGTACAGGTTGTTGAGACGCTGGCTCAGGATATCCATGATCCGGGGCGCGACTTCGCGGAGGTCGGTGTCCTGATAGTGTTAGTAACTGGGATTGAAAGGGTAGGTGGACAGTAACATACCCTAGCATCGACAGTCTGAAGAACCGCTTCCAGCCAGGAGAGACGCTGAGGAATGTTCGACTGCAGAGACGTGGTGACAGCGACGCCGACGGACAGCGTCATGATTGGCGAGAGGCGGGCCAGGTAGGACGGGGGCACGTGGACGAAGAAGTTGTCGAACAGGTCGGCCTGTTGCGACGATTGCAGCCACTGAAGGGTCAGTATTAGCGACAGCTATGAAATAAAAGAGGGGCGTAACAAACTTTGATAGATCCCTCCTCGAACTGCCCGGCGTTGATCAATTGCATAATCTCGGCCAGTTCAGCTTCTTCGGCACTCCTCGGTGGAGCAGACAGGGCGGCAGCAGGAACTGGACCAGGAGCTGCGGGAACCGGAGCAGCTCGGGGTACCGCCTGTGGTGGAGTAGCGCGTGCTTTGGTATCGCTTGGACGGGGGACTGAAGCGGCGACTGAAGTGCGTTTGACACTTGCGACTGAACTCTGGCCCTGTCCCTGGCGCTGGCTAACAGCCAGAGAAGCCACAGTGTTCGAAAGATCCCGTAGCATGACCGACATCTCCTCAATCTTCGCATTATCGCTCTGGCGCTGCGCCTCGTAGCGCTTGATCTGGGCCTGGAAATGATTTTCCATATCTGTCTCGACCTTCTTGGTGGAGCGCGCCAGGCTCTCGATCAGAGGAACGATAGAGCTCTGCACAGTCTTGGACACCTCAGCCTCAACACGAGGTGCAACCTTCTGTGCCACTGAATCCGAGACGGATTTCATCACCGCTGGCTGCTGCAAGGCATTCGTCACCGCCTTGGGAAGAGCCTGACGAAGTTCCTCCGTGATAGTTGCGCCAAGTTGCTGGGAGACAATGTTGTTCAGCTGCTTGCCAACCGCTGTGGAGGTAGCGTCGGTGATGGCAGGAACCACATCAGTCTGGATGCTGCTGGAGACAATGCGAGCAAGATTCTGCTCGACATTGTCAGACAGCGTACTGGAGACCAGGCGCAGGACTTGATCCTGCTTTGCAGATGAGGCGGCATCCCAGCTGCGACGCTCGTCATCAAACCGACGGTACAAGTCTTCAAACTCGCGACCAAGGCTCTTATTGAACTCGCTAGAAACGCTGTTTTGGAGCGTCTCGAGATGCTTGTTCAAGGTGTCGGCCGACAGACCACCAGGGAGCGCAGGGACGGGACCAGTGGGCATGCCACGGTCCGCCGTCTGAGTCGCATTCATAGCAGCGGTGGACGAGGCAAGTGTTTCGTTCTTTGACTGCTCACTGGGCAGCGTCTCGACGCCAACAGTGGTGGTAGGTTCTTTTGCCTTGGCTTCGGCAGCGGCTTTCTTTTTCTTCTTCTTTTCAGACTTATCTATTCCGCTGGGTGCCTCAGGTTGCTCCTCGCCACCCTTCTTCTTGGGTGGCTTGGTCGGCGATGTGTTGCGCGAAGGAGTAGCACCGCTAACTGATTCGACAATCTCCGTTTTCTTCGACGGCTCTTTAGTGGTCGCACGAGAAGGCGTAGAAGCCGAATCACCATTGATAGACGGATCCTCAGTAACGTAGCTGGGGAAGGACTGAAGTTCGCTGATTTCGATACGACCTTCTCCCAATGCATCGACAGGACGGATGACCTTGTTATCGGACGTCCAGCCCAGGTCTTCCTTCTTGATGGTCAGGCAGGTGACCCCGCGAGAATGCATCACATACAGCTCAAATAGACCGGTGTCCTCGGTGCCACGGCTGGATTTGGTGATGGGAAGAATCTCCAAGCTTCGCAGCTGGCCCTTGGAGCCGAGAGAAATCTCACGAATGCCGCTCAGACAGGCGGTAGATTCGGGCTTCGGAAGTGTACTGTCCTTCTCGCTGGCGGCTCTGATATACGCCGTCTGCGTCATCTGTCCCAGGTTATACCGAGGCGCTGACAGGTGAACAAAGTATATCGAATTGCGAGTGGGATGTCCGACGACAATAATACCCGATGATGGATGGTAGTTGACGCTGCAAATGGCGTCGGATTCGTTCTCGTGCGGGAACTTCAGCTCTTGCACAGCCTTGCCCAGCCCAATATCCCAGAGCTGTAAGGTGTGGTTTTGCTTGAGCCCGACCAGAACATAGCGGAGTGCCATGTTCTTTGAGTAAGCGCGCAGTTTGTCGATGAACAGCACGGACGTGGGCCACGACTTCTCCGCGGGAGAGCCAGTCACAAACGTATTGAGCGGGACTCGGACCTCATTCAGATTCGACGCGACACCGTCGATGAAACTAGGGTCATCCAGGACATCGGAGATATCCCAGAAGCGCAGTCGGCCGGTCTTGTCGAGCGAAGCGACGACGGTATCATCGTCGCTGAATGTAAAATCTTTACCGGCTTTGCCAGTGGAAATCTTCAGGGAGCGCTCCTTCAGGAACTTCTCCGTGTTGACCGTGCGCTGAGAACCAGTGACGCCGTAGTTGGAGTTCATCGCAGCCCGGGGAGACACGACATAGATGTTCTTTCCCCGACCAATGGCGAACAGATCAGGATGACGAGTGCTCCGCTTAGCCCGCGTTTTCAGCTGGCCGCCGGAGGTGTTCTCGTCAGAAGCTGGAAAAGGAGGGAATATCAGACTCTCGCTCTCCAGAGCATCCAGATCAAACAAATCTTTGTCATGGTGAGAGATTAAGGCCCAGTACACGGCGCCACTGACTCCAATTCCAAGGATTGCCTGCACCTCAGAGGCGCCCGTGGCAGACGGCGACGTACAGAGAGCGACATTGAATACCCGGTCACGAGTAGAACGGAAAACCTGTCGGTCACTGCCATCGTCCTGTCGAATAATTCTGATACCCCCAGTCTTGGCGAGGGCATAAACGATGTATTCAGAAGTTGCCGCAGTCAGGGACCGATCCAGCTGATCGAACTCCTTTTTCAGGCGAGCAATGTCCATGACTCCATCATCGCGGAATGTCGGCAGCTTTCCGGGTTGCGACTTCACGGTGATGGTTATGAACGGCCGGAGAGGGAAGTTGTGAACGGAAATAACGCGTTCTTCATCCTTTTCAGCACTATCCTCGGCACTCTCCCAGCTATCGGCCAGGGCTTCGGCATTTTGATTCACATCTTGTCCAGCCGGGGTTGCAGTGGCATCCGTCGCGGGTTCTGCGGCTGCCTTTTTCGCTTCACCCGCAGTCTCTCGCAAGTGACTGGCAACAGACGACAGAACCCCTTGGGTCGACTGCTCCTGATTAGTGGGAATAGAAGCTTTCGCTGCGGGCTTAGGTTCACTGCCGCTGAGCGAACGGCCAATCTGGTCCACGAGACGACTGACGACGTCATTCACAGCCTGCTGCTGTCCCTCATCCAAAACAGGGGACTCGCTCCTGTCTTGACTCTCGGCAGGCTCATCCACAGGCGCGGACTCAGCAGTAATATTCTGCCTCTTGGTCTTCGACACCTTCGGCGGGGACTCGGGGGTATGCTTGGGCTGCGGGGACTTGTTACGAGGCGAGACGGCGGCCAATTGATCAAAGGGGTTGACGTAGGTGAACAACGACTCCTTGGAAGGAGGAGACGCGACCCTTTCGGGTTTCGCAGGTTCCACTGGAGTAGACTCCACGACTTCCATAAGGGCGTCCTTAGTTTCCTGAGGATGCAGAGCTGCAGCAAGGGCCGGCGATTCTCCTCCATCGAATCCCACAGGCTGGTGCCGGTTGAGCAGACGAAGCAACATCTCCTGGGTATTTTCGCTAGGACCAGCCGCATTGGCGGTGGTTTGACTGGGTTGCATCGGGGTCACAGCAGCAGGGGCTGCCTGCTTGCCGAACAGAGAAGCAACAAAGTCAGACGCGGAAATGTTTCGTTCGTGCGGCGAGGCAGCTTCCTGGCCCGGCAGGGACCGAGCCTGTTCGATCGGCGGCTGCGTCTGCGCGGCAGGGCTGGCGACCTGTTTGAATTTGAGGAGATTCAACAAGTTTGCAGCGCGGTCGGGCTGGGCCTGCTGTGGCTGCTGCGGAGGCCACTCGCTGCGAGGCGTCGGGACATTCGGGCTCAGAATGTCAGAGCCGTGGTGAGGTGGGGTATTGACAGGCGCAGGGCTGTGGATATTCGAGGAGACCGAAGGATGGTGATAGCCATGAGGCTGGGGGTGGGCGAAGCTCTGCCCGTCGTACGGCTGCTGCTGCTGTGGGTGCGGTGGGAACAGACCCGGGTGGTGGTACTGCGACGGATGCTGGGGCTGGGAGGTATCCTGGCCGGCAGCGTTGGTCGGAGAAGGACGAGGCCGGATGCTGGCCAGCAAAGCCTGAAGATCGTTGGGGGTGGACATTTCTGTCGCTCGCCTGGGATGACAGGCGACCTCCGCACGATCTGTAGCTCTGCAGCAAAAGCTCCCGAGAGCTCTCTTTCGAGAGGGAGATTGAGGTTGAAGGGGAGCGGGGCACAGGAGCTGGGCAGTAACAGAGAGCGACAGGCAGAAGGTGGAAACGAGAGATGGAAGATCAATGAAGGGGGTGAGAAGAAGGAAGGATGGATGGAAGAGGAAAGGCCAGCAGTTGGAGAAGCACAAAATGCAGGGCTGGCGGTAATTCTGGGTTACCGTCAGGTTACCGTCACAAAATGATGACTGTTCACTCACTCGCCTCTTCGTGCCCGGCATCAGCGGGAATCAAGTAACTACCAACCTTCGATACTTATAACTGACGACCTATGTACCTCCTGCCATACACACCTGATATCTTTGCGCGCGTCATCCTGTCCCATCCCGCGGGCTGCCAACATCCACCACCATGTTTTGCCTCCGAAGGTATGGTCCTACACTCGTCGTTCCAACAAACCTAACTAATCTCTTGCTTCCCAGCTGGTTACCACTTCTCTTCATTCCAACCAACGCATCCCCTCTTTTCATCATCTCCTTCGTCGCCCTGACCTATATAATCCACCGGCCATGCATCTACTGTTCAGCCCTGCTGCTGATTCTCTTCATCTCGTCCTGCCACTGGGCAGACCGCTGCATCTTTGATCTGCGCAGCAACTGGTTTGCGCCGCGCTACAGCTCCACTCCCGATTACTATTCCTCAATTTCGGGCAACGGCACCTCTGCGGTAGTCGATCCCAATGAGAGTCTGGCCGGTTTTGTTTTTGAGACTATCAATTCAACAGCCAAGACGTTGGCGGGCGCCGCGGTCGATGGTGTACAACAGCAGCTAGCTTCGCGCGGACTGGAGTCCAGACCGGAGGAGTGGACGGGCGTGGGCTTGGAGTGGTTGCGGAGTCTACTTGGACGTCGGGAATGGACTCTTCCTTGCGTGGATGTCAAGGTTCGCCTATGAGTTGGTTGGATAACCCCAAAACCCTGACTTATGGGGGGTAGGCAGGGCTGGTCTCTTCAATCCCCCGTTTTGATGGGAGGAAAAACGTGCATTTTTCATGTTCTTGGGCTATTGGGTGGTTTATCTTTGGCTAGGACGGAATATACTGCATATCCTTGCGAGTAGAAATTCCTTTACACCCGTCCATTTCATTACTACTGTATATACCTTACAACCACTGTATTCATTAGACTGCCAGAGAACTGCGAAATAGTTTACGGCAGGATCCCGATGTGACTCTTGAATTTGTGCTACAAAGAATGCTTGGCTCAGCAGCCGAGGTGTACATGGAATCAATCACATTTCAAAGGAGAGTGTCGTCAATCATAATAGACAAAAGACAGCAAAGGAAAGTTATAGCTTAACCCTAGCTAAATATAACATCCTATCTCGTGAATGAATGTCCTGTTCAACAGCCTCAAGCATTAACCACTGGAGGAGTAAGTGTAGAATTCGTCGCCGAGCAAAGGCCCAGTGCAGACAGAACGTTAGCTACCAGAGGGATACAAGCAGCGCAAGTGCAGATCTAATTTACCGAATATATCAGCCCCCGGGCACATTGTGGATATAAGAGATTGTACAGGTATGTAAGCATACCTCGCTGACTCCATTCGAAAGACATTTCTGCAAAGCAGTGGGATCGCCGCTCGCAATAGCTGAAATGATACAGGTGATCTCGCCGGTCAAGCCGAGACACGAGTCCAAGCTGCAGTTGGGCGGAAGGAGGTTGTTGTTGACGACTGCCCTGTTCTTCTCTTGCACTGAATACCGCTTGGTTAATATATCCCTCAAGAAAGCCCCCATCAGGATGATATACAAGTAGCTTCGTGAACCCGTTCCACCAGCACTGGGGGTGTTGCCACGGCGGAGGTCAAGCCCGAGGCGAGGATGAGAGCAGCGATGTTGAAGAAGTGCATTGTTAATTCTCTCTTCCTAGATGTGAAGCGTGGCAAGCAGGTTCCTTCTTCCATGACCTGTCTGAGAATGCACTTTATATAGCGAATGCCCGGTTCCACTTGAGTTGGCCGTCTGCTCAAGCGCAAGACCAAAGGTAGATCTGCGCAGCGAAGAAGCTAACCTTGTAATCAATGTCACACCTTCTCCGGGAGACGACCTGACCAAAGGAGACGAAGTGAGGTCGAGGAAGGTCACACCGGGTTGCATTGGAAACTCTTCGACGGGAGCGGATGCTACCTGTGAAGTAAATCACGGAGGAATGACCAGGATAGAATTTGATTTTCGAGTGCCTGGGTACCTAGGGAGACGGCAGTGAGTGCTGTTGATTGGCAGCACTTCGGTACACAACGTATAGACATTGGTGTAGCGACGACGCATTTAGGAAGGAAACTCCATGTGAAGATAGTTATCGGACATCAATTATAACCTAAGTACATGGCGGAGAGGTATCTGACAATTGCACCACACAAAAAACATGCCAACAGGGTCTGGTGGCTCAAGCAAGCACACGCCAGGCAGATCACAACACCCCAACGTATACTTGAGGAACGATAGATCATGTGAAGAAGAGCTAACATACAAGACATGGCACCCGCGGAGGAACATAGCAGAAGCAAAAGGTGAATCGTGAAACATGACTCGGAGAAATGGTATCACAACGTCGAAGGCTCTGGTCATCATAACGTAAACCAGCTGAGCGTCTCGAAGACTCCGAAGGAAGAATGGCGTATGTATGGGAAAATAAAATAATCAAGCAAGAGGAAAACACAAGCCGGGGAATCAATCAATTAACTTAGTTGTAGCCACCTCCCACGGGCAGGGGCCAGTCGTCCTCGGTGATACTGCTCCAGAAGATCCAGAGCACACCAACCGAGAGCAGCGTAAAGAGCGTCTCAAACAGGGTGCCGTTGATTTTCCCATTTGTGCCCTGGCACACATGGGTGCTGACCACGTACTGGAAGACCTGGCCGATGGCGAACAACAGACCAGCGCCGGTCAAAAAGACTGAAGCATGAACCGTTAGCAAGTTAATACTCTCACTTGCAGGGGGGCACACATACTCATTGGCCGGAACTCGCCCAGCACCGAAAGTACCAGAATGGCCTCAAGAACGAAGAAAAAGACCAGGCAGACCAGCGGGAAGAGCTGGTACAAAACATAGAGGCCAATATTGCGGTTGTCGCCGAAATGGCTAGGCTCAAAATGACCGGTCCAGTTGAATCCCGTGTCCAGCGCAATGTACCCAGTTCCAATGAAGAGGACCGCGGCAGATGCGCAGATCAGACCGAGAGACATCGGAGTGCCATCGTCAAGCAACTGAAAGCCCACCAGCGCATTCAAGAGCAGAATCCAACAAGTGGCAGCGATCGCCGCGACATGCACCGCCGAAAATCCCTAGATCAACCCTTTCATCAGCCAAGAGTTCCCCCTTATTTTCTTTTAGGCGCGAGGAAAATGCGCCGAGATAATCTCCTACCTTCCGAACCGCATCCTGGAGCGGGAAGCCGCCGACCGTGAAGATCTCGCAAATCTCGATGATGATGAATCCCAGCAGAAACAATTGCATCTCACTGTTGAACACTCTCGCGTCAGTTGATCTTGCCCGTGGCCAAAAACACAGTGCCCTGTTGTTTGGGGAAGGGGGGTGGGGGGGGTTGCATACCGTCGCCCGACGGCGGCGTGCTTCTTGTCCGACCTCCAAATCAAAAACAGCGAGAGCAAGATGGCGATGAAAGCCAGCAATATGGAACCTGTCGCCCATATCAGCCGACCGTCTTTCTTCCCAGATCTTCCCGATCCTACCTAAATTGCTGAGATGTCTGCCCCCGCTCAACTCGATGCCGGTGAGCGCGCAGCCGCCATAAGGGGCACCCGGCGGAACGTTGACTTTGAACAGCTGGAGCGCGAGGCGAGTCAGTTTTGATTCTTTTGGAAGAGGAGAAGGGTCTCACGGACATTGCAAACGGGTAGTGTCGAGTCGCGACAAAAGTCCTGTCATACCCAGCGGCGGTCAGTCTCTGTTGATGGTGGTATCTCGGCTGATCCCGAGGGGCACTCACGTGGAAATTCCCGAATTGAGTCGACCCCATGGTGAATGCAAGCGACCAGGAGGACGCGAGAAAGCGAGTGGTGAGAGGGTGTTAGGGACGACCAGAATGAATCAAGCCCCCTGACCCGCGCGGAGAGCCAGCCACGGCCAGTAGAGAATCGCTGGAGAGAGTGTGGTGGTGCGACAGACGATGATGGGAAAGGAACGTCTTTCAGGCGGCGCAAGAAGAACAAGAACGGGATGTGAAGCGGCACAAAGAGTGGAGAAGAACTAACGAGGCAGAGACAGAAAGAGACAGAGAGAGTGTGGTGAGGAGCCTAGACTGGCACTAAGGACGAAGAGCGTTAGTGACCGGGGGGGGGGAAGGAAAACAAGGACACTAGCCTAGTCAGGGCCACCACCCATGGTACCGTAGGAATTATTAATAGCAGACGATGGACTTACTTCCAATGTACTACATAGCTGTAGACGTACCTACCTGAATACTAAGGCGGTACTAAGGAGGTACTAAGGAGGTACTAATGAGGTACTAGGGAGGTGCTATGGAGGTACTGAGAATCATGTTGACTCCATTGATCGGGACGCTCTCCATGCTGCAGGACCGCACAGACAGTTAGGGTAAACACTCCGGCCACCTGCAGAGCGGATCATCCCTAGCCCAGATCCAAGGCCCTTGCGCCGAGGATGGTGGCGCCAGTTGTGATCTGGTAACTTGGAGGGAACAACAAATATAGATAGATAAGGAGGAGAGGAGAAATGCCTCCCAGTCGAGTTTCTGAGTAGTAGTAATTCTAGGGGCTTTGTTTCTCTCTCTCCCAGCACCCCTCATTAATTTCTATGATTCCTTTGAAGCAGTGAATTTGGTCTCGTTTACAATCCACCGCATCCGGACTTGAACCAGGGGCCTGGTGGGATGTTATGCATGGCTGGGAGACTGTGGAAATGGAGACAAGACAATGCAAGATTAAGCATGCAGAAGAAGAGCCAGCCGAGGAACTTGCATGATCCTATGTCTTAGAAGCTGTCGAAGCACAGCCCGAGAAAAAACTCCCGGTAATTCCTGAAATCAAATTTTTGTGTTTCATCCAGCGCATCTATCCCCACCTAGAATATCCACCTCACTTCTCTGGTTCAACCAGTGTAGTAGGGCGTGGAATAAGGCATGGTATTCCCTTCCACCTCTGTCTGCCCCGGATTAAAGCATTATATTATGATACATGTTTAGGCGAAACTATGCCCAAATGATTGGATGCAATTCCCCAAAAAGAGAGAAGACCTACTGCATTGTCCAAATTATATTTCTTTCGTAGGTACTACATTCCGTTCGACTCGGTAGCCCTACTGTGCTACGTAATGGGTCTACCGGGTCTAAAAAGACAACGAGGAATAATACTAGGAAACCACAAAGTAACGGAAGAGATCGACCAAGTCATTGAATAATATACATTGAAGCCAACAAAAAGGTTGAGGGAACTGTCACCCCGAACTCTCCGGCGATCAGAGGAATCCAAAATGACGAACCAAGGTAAACATTAGAAGAAAAGAAAATAGCTCGGGCTATGTGTAAATGATATCCCGGTAAGTTTGGAAACATGGGCAATTTTAGTCGGCTGTGGGCTAACAGACAACGACCTCAGCCGCTGTACAGGGATTAAGAATGAAAAAATACAAAAGGCCCCCGGTTTTATATTGGGGTTGCCATTAGAAGACATACTGTGTCATGATGTTAGTAAGACGGCATTTTAAGTGCTTCATGAAGATGTCATCACTTACGGGAATGAAGAGGTAGGGCACCTGCTTCTCATACTCGAGCCAAGCCTCACCGTACTTGGTCCGACACCGCTGGATGTCACGCAAGGCGCGATGGCTGATCATGCAGGCAAAGAAGACCGGATAGAACCAGGGGAACGGGCTCGAGAAACCGGTGATCAAGCCCCAGTTCAAGGCGAAATAGAGATCGCAGGTGTAGTGGATCTTGCGGGCCTTGCCGTACCACCCATCCACGAGAATCTTGGAGCCATCGGCCGCGGTGATGGTCTTGGGGTTCTCGACGGTCTGCCAGGGGAGCTGCGGGAACGTGTTTCGGGTCACCATGGTGCCGCGCTCCTGCTGGCGGAAGCGGTTCTTCTGGCTGTTGGTCGTGTCCCAGACCCAGTACACGAACAAGTATGCAATATAGAGGAAGGCAAGGAAGAAGCGGTTCCACTGGTAAGTGGCCGGGTCATGGTTGGCCAGGTAGATGGTGCAGTGGCAGTAGCTCAAGGGCACACCAGCCAGGTTCCAAAAGATCAGCATGAAGCCCCATTTCTCGTAGTACATGTCCCTAATGGGGGTGTTAGTGAGGATCAAAGGACCAAAACCAGGAAACGCACCAGGTGGATACAATGCACTCCTCGCCTTTCGAGCAGGCGTTGGCATAGAGGAAATGCGCCATGACGAGGAACATGACCTCGCCGGACACATAGCCATAGACCTCCCACTGGCGAGCGGCGGCACCCATGGACAGGAACAGGAGAATGTACCAGGGGAGGCGCACCTCGAAGAACATCTTGAAATCGAGGATCTCGAACATGCGCGGGTTGAGCTCAGCGCCCATGAAGAAGTCATAGATGGGGTAACCAGTCATGCGGTGCTGCGCGCCGCGGTACAGGGCCGAGAAGTAAGCGGCGAAAGAGACCAGGTATCCCGACAGGATCGCGACACTAAGCAGGGGTCCAAATTCGTCGATGATGGTGTAGAGCTTGAAAAGACCCGTGAAGTGCAGAGCCAATGCCAGCGCAATGCTCGTGTAGAATGACCACACAGCAGAGCAGTAGTACGGCAGCTGCTTGCCGCCCATGTGCGGGAGTGGCCGTCCCATCATCGACACACCGGGAAGAAGAACGTAGCAGGCACCCTCGAAGACAAAGAAAACCCAATAGATGGTCCAGGCCTTAAGCGACGGGAACGCACCCGTGTATACCAATTCACCCAGGTGTGCGAAAAACTCCGAGTAGCTCTGGCCCTCGGCGGGACGAGGGAACTTGCCATTGTAGTAGGTCGCGCCAATCCACATGTAGTACATGAGCAAGGGGAACCCAATCATCATGGAAAGCACGCCGATAGAACCACCGAACTCGAAGTGACCACTGTAGTCGATCTTGGGATCGAGTCCTTCCTCCCAGCCGTCCACAATACGCTTGGCCTTGGTCGTCGACGACTTGGACTTGGACTTGGGGGCAGCGGCCTTGCCATTGGTCGCGCTCTTCGGGGTATCCTCCTCTTCCTCAGCCTTGACTCTGCCAGACGTGCGACGGCGCGTGGCCGACTTGGATCGGCTCGCTGGAGTGTCGGACTCGCTGGCCTCGGAGGCACGGGTGCGGCGGCCAGGCGTCTCAATGAACCCGGGGCGATCCATTTTCCTGGGTAGAACAGCAATTGCGGGTTAGTCGTGGACTCTTTCCAGAAACCGGCGCAAAGGAGGTACATAATATAGCTCGCGCAGGGTGGGTATTGTTTGTCGCCAAGGGGGGGGGGGGGGAGGGAGGGATCCATGAGAACCAGACTTACTTGGGAGTTCTCCCCGTTTGGGAGCGTGTCAATGTCATGGTCGCGTATCCGGAAGATGCGATTCCGGGTGATCGGGGGTATTAATTGCGCTGCCGTGTGCGATGCGAAAGGGAAGAGAGAACGAGTTGTTGCGGGAAGGGGCAAAACAAGAATGTTTACTATGGGCCAGGTACTCGCCGAGTACCACGCCGCCCACTCCAGTATGGGCCTGGTACGCAAAAAATACATTGGGGACAATAATACGTGACCTGCAGAATACAGGTCCGGGTCGTCGCCTCTTCCGTGGATCCCCACAGTCTTCGCTGTGCCCTGCCTTTTCCAGTGGAACATTACAATATTGAAGTGCTCTGTAGATGAGGAATTGGACCGTGGGCAGAGTCTCGGAGGACTTGAGTTCCGTGGTGGCGTGTGTGTGGGCGTGTGTGCATGGGGGGTTTGTGTGTGTATGTGGGTGGGTGTACGTGGAAATTGTATATTTGAATCTACTGACTGCCAACGAGTCTGGATATTACTCTGGAAGTAGACACCTATATAAGTGACCTGTCACACCAACAAAACTTCATTGATGTCTTATCTATTAGTGTTCTCATTCGTGTATGAGTCCAATGCTGCCCCAAACAAGCTGGGATGGAATGTGGGCCCCAACAACCGAGATTCAAAAAATCCGAACATATGTGGATGTGAAATGTGATCGAAAAACAGCGAAAAAACTCCAATGCATATAATGAAACATTGTATAGAAAAAGATGGTCACGCCGATGCTCATGCCCCTCTGTGGCTGGTGGTCGACATCAATGTGATCTTGTTCTTCTTCTTCTTCTTCCCGCCGCCGCCACTACTGGCCGCACCAGAAGGCTGCTGGCTCTCGGCAGCACTCTGGGCCAGTACTGCAGATTCTTGTTGAGCAGATTCTTGTTGAGCTAGGAGCTCGTCTTCCCATCCCTGTCGCCACCCGTCGTTGGGAACTTGAGCCTCCACAATTGGAGGAGAGGTCGAGGCCACTGCTGTCGTCCCCCAAACAGTGCGAGTGCCAGGGCCTGGAGGGCTGGTGGAGGGTGACGCCAATGCTCCAAAGTGCGACGTGGAACGTGGAGGAGAGGCAGATGAGGCGCCAGCGTCAAATAGCGGAGGGTCTGCGTGCAGAGGCTGAAAATCATGGGCGGAGAAAGGCACTTCGCTGGGTTCTCCTCCAATGCTGGGCCTCTTGCGTCGCGCGGCCGCCCATCGCTTGTCATCCTCTTCTTTCTCTGCTCGAATCCGGTCTTTCTCCTCGCGAGCCTCTTTCTCCCGATTGCGCTTTCGTCTCCGTTCGGTTTCGGAGCGGAACCGATCCAGAACCTCGGGAACGACCACATCTCTCCAGTCACATTCAAGAAAGCTCACTTCGCACCCGTGTGGGAGGTGTCCCAAGTATTTGACTCGTTTGCGAAGCTCATCGTCAATGATATGGCCGCTAGATATGCGTTCGATCCGAGGAAGGATGGTCGTAGGGAACAGAGAATATTCACCGAATGCAGCCTTGAGGATACGGATGTCAAGAGAAGAGAGGTAGAAGTGAGGCAAAGCTTGGTAAAAGTAGTAGGGCTGATCCAGCGCGTGCGAAGCTTGCGACTCTTTGTCTTTGCCGCGACCCTTGGGTTTAGATCGGGAACTGGGACCAGAACTCAAACCGGAGCTCAACGTAGAATCCACTTGAACCTTGCTCAAGGCTTCGGAGAGATGTTCTGCTTCAACTGATGTTGCAGGGGTGGATATAGCTTCGACCGCAGGTTGCACCGATTCTGTAGAAGTAGATGAGGTACTGACGGATGCGTCAATGGGGGGTTTCACGGCCTTCGCTGGTCGGTGGGCTGACGTTTGCCGTAAAACATCTGGGGGGTTGCCGATCCCTTTCAGCTTATCTTTCGCCTCTGTGATGGCATTGATCGCCTTTCTGGTCCAGGTGTTCTCATCTCCGAATAAAAGTTCGTCTTCCACTTCTTGTCGGCGGAGATCTTCGATCTCTGTATCGTATTGAGATGTCATGTAGTCTTCGCCGCCTTTCATCATCCGAGAGTAGTCGGCAACCTCTGCAACATGGTACCACGGAATATCTTCTTCAGGGCCAAAAGTTTCGGCACTCTCATGAGGTAATGCAAGGGTACTTCCAGGCTCTCGTTTCACCAATCGCAGCACCACATCTCCACCTTCAAATGGAAGATCGCCCTCCTGGCCGCGGAACCATCGAACTGGCCGCGTTTCCGAGATGTAAACTAAATCCCAACAAATGGGACACTTCTTCCATCGTGCTTTCTTTTCAGGCGCGGAATTTTCGTCATCAGATGAGTGCATATACCGAATGAGACATGACAAACAAAATATATGACCACAGCGAGCCATCCGTGGCGCCACCGGTGTTGATAGACAGATGGGGCAGCCGGCGGCTTGGGTTTGAGCAGACACCAACACCTGAAGAACGGAATCCCAATCCAAATGGACATCGGCGTTGGCGGCTTGGGCATGGTAATTCCGATTTGGTGTCACAATGAACCGGTAGTTGGCGTGAACATAGCGAGCCTTGTCAACCACATCTCCCCTTGATGTATAGCGCCGACGAGGCTGCGGTTGATACTGTGGACGAGGAGGGAGGGAAAAGTTCATCAAATGGGTAATGGACGTCTGTCCCTTGCGGCTGGTGGTTGATTTCATGACTGCCGACTCACTATACTCGTCGTCATCCCACAGCCGCGGCTTCCGTTGTCGTTTGTGTTGACTCTTCCGAGCTTGATTGTTCCTCGCCGCTGGCGAGCTGCGAGAGAATAGCCCTGAACCAATGCTCCCCGAACCACCGGAACGTCGTTGAGACCCGCTATCGGTCGAAGGGGTGGAGTGGAATTGCGCAGACGAGACTGAAGCGTTCGGGATATTTACCGCTTTCGACGAGACCGGGTTCTGTCCTGCATTGGATGACATCTCTTTGTGTTGGTGTAAACCGGGAACTGGATGGCGACTAGAGACGTCGGTTCACTCTCTGACTGTGAGGCTATCGTTCTCGAGGGATGGGTGTATTCGGACCAAGAAATGGGGGGTTCTGACGATCACAGTCTGCCCAGCATCCCAGAAGGAGCCAGGAAGCTCGTCACGGACCAAAATAAGAGGTGGGAGAAAGGACAAAACTGGGATCACCGAGTCAATGCTGATAACAAGCGTTGGAGGGGTGGGCGAGCCATTACATAACCAGGGGCCCGTGCACACCGGCTTATTCATCCCCAATGAGGGAATCAATCCATGCTGGGAAGGAAGCAATAATTCACTTCTCTCTCTCTCTACATGAGCTGCGAAGACTAACAACCTTACCCTTTTCTTCTTTCGCACTTCTCTCACCTCATCTCAACCCACCCCTATTGGTCCTACCTCGCCCTTCACAGCCGCTGTCTAGGTATCCTAGTCAGTCTTTTTTTTGAGGCTCTTTGTTCCAACAGCGCATTTTGATCGATCCCCAATCCCCTTCCAAGCAGCCCTTCCAACCCCCGTCCAACTGCTCCGTCCGCCGCGATCTACCACCTCCTACCGCCGTTTCCTTCCTTGTCCAAAGCCGAGATGGCTGCATAAGTGCGCCTGAGTTTTGACTCATCGTGATTTGACCTCCGCGCATGGCTCCCATTTGAGGCAACGCGTGGCTAAACCGTCAAGGCGACTTTCTCTCCCAGTCCAGTCGAAATGAATCACCACTTGCCCGCGATGCCCCATGGGCAGCCGCCGATGCCTCCTTCGAGGCGGCAGCATGACTACTATTATAATCCAGCACCTCCCAACATGCGCTCTCCGCCTTACATGGGGTACCCTCCGCCCATGAACGGCCATATGGCTCCCGCCTACTCGCCGCAGCAATATCCCCAACAATGGTATCCGCCTCCTGTTCATATGCAAATGCCTCCACGTCCATACCAGCCACCCTATGGACCGATGATTGTGTCCTCATACCCTCAACAGCCAATGATGGCTCCGAACCATATTCCGCCTCAACCGATGCCGATGCAACAACGGACCTCGACTCCACTGCAGCCGAGTATATCCCCGTCGATGGCACCGCCGCCCCTGCAACCTGAGATGCTCGAACACCCTGCCGCTGCTTTGCCGGTCCAGGTCCAGCCTACCCAAGCGTATCCCATTGCTTCTCCGCAGCCCCAATGGGAGCCCAAAGTCATTTCAACCTCGAGGCCTCCATTTTCTGCACCGGTAAGTTCTCCAGACATGCGATCTTTGTCTTTGGTCTGACCCATGATATAGCTCCCTTGGCTCTCTGTCCCTGAGTTTGCTTTCCCAGCTAGAACTCCACACCGACGTCGAAGAGCTCGTGCTATGAGATCGGGGGTTGAGCTTCCATCTAAAGACGGGCTGCACAAAGTTGAAACCGAGCAATACAGTGATAACAAGCGCCTGGAATCGGTGGTTCAGGAACATTCCGAACCGGAGACCCCAACTACTTCATTCCTTCCCTCGGACACTGATTCGACGCAACCTACGACACCTTCTTCCACAGCAAAATCCCAAACTCAAACACGCAGCTCCAAACCTGCTATTCCATTGGCCCCGCCCATTCCCGTTGTGCCGAATGCCCCTGGCACCCAAAGACAAGCCAAGGATAGTTCCAGTACCGCATCAGAAATGCCCAAGTCCACTGCAGCAGCTGTCGACGAAGCCGACCCCGAGAATATTCCTGCTATTGAATCCGAGACCAACCAAGCCTCTCCCCTTCGCGCCCCCCCCAAATCATGGGCGGACTTGGTTCGTGCAAAGGCTAGCGCACGGCCAGCCGCCGCCTCCGGTGCTGCAGCAGACTCTTCTATCTCTATGCAGAAGAGTGAATCTCTTGCCGACGTCCTGAGCAGCCTCGGCGAGGATGTCACCCAATACAGCAACAAGATTGCTTTTCTTGAGCCCCGAGGCTTGGTCAACACCGGCAATATGTGTTACATGAACTCTGTAAGTCTAGGTGGATCACGGACGAAAATGACTCACTAACCTTGTCTTCAGGTGTTGCAAATATTGGTTTCATGCGTGCCATTCTATCAGTTTCTTGACCATATCGGCCGACGAGCTGCACACAGCTTCCAGAGTGATCTTCCTCTGATCGATTCCATGATCATGTTCATGAATGAATTCCGTGTCATTGACGCGGCGGCCTCGGAAGACCAGCTGCGGCTCAGACTTAAACCCAATGAGCTGGAGCAGTACGGCGAAGCTTTCATCCCTGAATTTGTATATGAAATGGTTCGGCAGTTGCCACGCTTCCGGGACATGAAGCGTGGTCACCAACAAGATGTCCAGGAGTTCCTGGGCTTCCTTTTGGAAGAAATGCACGAAGAATGCGCTCGAGCTGCTAAGCATACGTCTGCGAAGGCCCTCGAAAACGAGTATGCCAATGGTCCTGCTGCCGCTGACGGATCATCAGGTGATGTGTGGCTGGAAGTTGGTCACAAGCAGAAGGCTGCCGTGACACAATCATCTGGTGCAATCGCCACGGAGTCACCGGTGACCAGAATTTTTGGCGGCAAGATCAGGTCAGAATTCAAGGTGCCGGGTAACAAAACTTCGGTCACTCTGGAGCCTTACCAGCCTCTGCAGCTCGATATTGGGTCGCCTGATGTACACAATATCATTGACGCGCTTAAGGGGCTTACCAAGCCGGAAAGCATTCAAGGCGATTTCAACTCCTCCCGCGGCCCCAACGTCACGGCGACCAAGCAGATCTTCATTGAGACTTTGCCCCCTGTCCTCATACTTCACCTCAAGCGCTTCCAGTATGACAGTCTGACTGGAGCAACCCAAAAGATCTACAAGAAAGTTGGTTACCCACTGGATCTGGAGATCCCACGGGAGGTCTTCCCTGCCCATCGGCGCAACGCCATCTTATCTCAAGGAGGGCTTCCAAAGTATCGCCTTATGGGAGTGATCTACCACCACGGCAAGAACGCCAGCGGTGGTCACTATACAGTTGATGTTCGCCGTCAAGACGGCCGCGAATGGATTCGCCTGGATGACACTGTCATTCGCCGTGTCCGAAGTGAAGATGTAGCGGAAGCTGGCGGCGAGGAAGATCCCAAGGTCCTTGCAGCGGCTCTCGAGCAACACAAGGACAAGAGTCCTAGCGCCAACATCTTTGAGCACATTGACCAGAGCGATATGGATTCGGCTGACAGTGAAAAGGGCTGGAGCCAGGTCAATGGCACTAGCGGTGGACATGCAAGCAAGAAGTCCGTTAATGGTGTCACTCCCTCTTCCGGACCTTCGTCCGGCATCCGAACCCCTCTCGGCAGATACAGTGCCCGGGATAATCGTGTCGCATACTTGCTGTTCTACCAGCGAGTGGCTTGATTTGGCTCTGGTGGCGTTCAAGCAAATTTTTTGGCTTCTGTTTAATGCCTCTTCATACCCCGGGAGGTTGCTTTTCCTGCTTTATTCAACACGCATTTCAACATCAGCAAACACTTCCGCCACTTACATTGATTACCTGCATTTGATCCTTCTCCCCAGGGATGCAATACTTCCCCTTTTTCCATCGACTGTACATACCGTGCTGCAGTGCTGGCCGGCTTGGAATTGGCCAAATGTGATTTCGACGACGAACCTGTGACTCTCGACTACGAGGCAGAAGACTGGGATTTAGGACCAGTCCTGGATCTCTTGGATCTCCGTACCTAAGTCTGACCATTCATCCGCCGTCACCGGCCTTTCGGTTGTGTCATACCTCATGTCTACTGCTCAAGACACATGAACACAACCTACCTTTGTTTTTTGTTCCTTTTTTTTTTCTTTTGCCAACAGGTTTCCTAGGATTACCATGATGCCTGGGACTCTACTACCCCCTTTTCATCCATTCGTGGACCATGTGCCCTGTTGTTGTTTCTCGGCTCTTTGATTTCCTGTATTGTTTGCTTGTTGCTGGGCTGTATCTTATGGGATGTCGACTCTGGTATATATACCCTGCTATTGCTTCCGTTTTTCTCATTTCTCATCAGGGATACACGCGTTTCCAGGCCATCGTGCTTCCCCCATTCCACACACGGATCTGAACACAGACAGGAGGAACCCTACCCTTTCCTTCCCCTTTGTTCCTTAACTGGGACCTTTTTTTTCACCGTGTGTCGTGTGGGACCGAGTCTGTGACGATGTCATGAATTTTCTTGCTTTTGCCTTTCTGCTTCTTGTATTGTTGATCATAGACCGTGGTGGTTGGAGCGGCGTTGCCTGTCATCAGGCTCGGGGGATTTTCGAGGGTGTTGTGAGAGGAGAGAGAGGAGTGAACGCTGGAGATGTTTGAAGAGAGAGCAGGTGTTTCTCGGGAGACCAGGGGGGTCGTGAGGTTTCAGATGTGGTCGGGGGTTGTGAAGTAGTTATTTCTGGTGATTGTCATTTGTAAAATGATTGAAGAGAGAGAGAGAGAGAGAAAGATCTATCGAAGAACGAGGAAGAGGAGGACGATAATGGATAAAAAGCGTGTCCTTACAGAACCCAAACAAATTTTAAAAGGAGATTCATTTCGATCTTTATTCTTTTTTTCTGCGCGTAGACTTCGTACAGTAATTCATACATTTTGTTTGGTCTGGATCGAGAGGAATGGTCTCGATCAAGCATGGAAGACAATACCCGTCTTTTCTTCCGATGCATCACCAGCACCCTCTCCCTCTTCAACAAACTCAAAGCCCAAAGCCCGCCAGTTCAATTCCTTCCGCCAGTGCAGACCGTAATACATCCTTTCCTCCGTGCTCTGTTCCTGGCCCTCATCAACAGGAGTAGGAACGATGACGGGCTCCGAGGCAAGACCGCCACTCGCCATGCGGCCCTTGCGAGGGAAAATCACGGCTCGGAAGCGGGAGAGGAGCATCCCCATTGAACAGCAGATGCATGGTTCGTGGGAGACGTAAACGTCCAGGTCTGTGCAGAGGTAACCGCCTTGGGATGGGGCGCGGATTCGGGGGTTAGTAGTAGTAGGATTTGCGGAAGGTAAAGTAGAAAAGGAGCACTGGGCCTCAGTGGGATGGAGGGTTGGGTCGGGTATGGCGGTGGTAGAGGGTGGAGGGGCTGGAAGAGGTGGTGGTGTTTGAGATTGAGATGGCGAAGGCGAGATGGCGGTTTTCAGGTCAGGGACAGCCACAGCCCAGGTGGATTCTGGGTTCGGTTCTTCGTGTTTCCTCTTCTTTGGTGAGGAGGGAGACTCGCCCAGAGGTGCCGGAGTCGCAGAAGAATCATGATGATAGTGAAAGAAAGCCTCAAGCGGACGAAGCTTTGCGCCTCCTCCAGCAGATGCGATAACATCTGTCAGTGTAGACTGTGCGCGATGCTCCTCCTGTCGGCGCCGATGAGCCACCAAATCGATCGCTCTCATCATAGCATGTAATTCAGGTCCGCCCTCCAGATCGGAATTGTACGACTCGCTGACCGGGTTTGGTATCTTCCCTCCATGCAGCTCAGCCTGCGACGGCTGGCCGCCCTCTGGGCGTGAGTATCGCGCATCACCTGCAACAGAAACCACAGCCTGGATCCACTGATCAGGACGGTCTTGGCCATCCTCACGGCAGGCGGCGTCGATGCTAGCCTCAATGGCGGGGTCGACTATGACGGCACCGACGCCACGGCCTAGACCCGACTGCTCTGCTTCCGTGGCGACCTTTCGTGCAAGAGATAGATAGTAGCCAGCTCGGGGCTGGATAGACTCCCGCGCGCGATTGAGCATCTGTAGAGGCGGCGCGACAGTCGAGCGTGGAGCGGCGGGGTTGAAGATGACCGGCCAGAGGGTCTCGGTCCATGTTTCGGCTTGGTGGGAGTTGAAGGGAGGCTGGAGGGAAACTTTGATGGTATGCAAGCGGATTTGAGGCGGTGGTGGATTGTCAATTGCTGGTGTTTCTGGCGGCGTTTCTGTGGTCGAGCTGGGTGCCGGTGGTGTAGAAGTAGCCGCTGGGATCGGCGCGAATGGTGCAAGGAGGGTCTGTAGTTTGTCGACATCGGGCAACGGGGGCGCGATCAGCACGAAGATTGTCTGCTCTGTGGTTGGCGACTGTCCATCTTCAATTGCGGCTCTCACGGGTGCTGGCAGTCGTTCTCGTTTGACGAAGCGGCGCAGGTGGGAGAGAGTAAGGGAGGGGTCCTTGGGGAATGCAGAATCCAGAGCTCTACCCCATTGATTAGTATCTATCCGGCAAAAATAATGAAGCTGCTTACTTGACCACCTTGGAGGCGGCTTTGAGGTTGACTTCGGCGACATAGGCGTCGGCTGCGCTCAAGTTAGGCGTGTTAAAAGACTAGCCAGAAGCGTAGATGGAACATACCGAATTCTTCAGGCGGTCGTGTCTCCTGGACTGTGCGAATGGGGACCACCTCTCCAGCTAGGGGAGGTAGGTCCCGAACGGACTGTGGGATGTCCATATGGAGATCCGTGGTGGGTGGATGTCAGGGAAAGAAGGACTTTCAAGCTCCCGCACTAACAAATTCCGCATTGGGAGTTTACACATCTAGATCTACAACCAACGGGATCTAACCTCCACAGGTTGGATCAACAACAAGAACAAGAAAATAAATTGGTGGTAAATAGCACTACCCGAAAATAAGGAATAATCAATCAAACGCCGCGTCGTTCGTTCCGCTGGAAAATGGATAGATAATCGCTGAAATGGAACAAAGCACCGCCCTCGGTTTATGCGATAGCCCTCTAAAGCGCCGTGCCCGGATGCATCTCTCGGGGTTAGTTATTCTGCAGAATGAAAAAGTATCGCGAGATCCCTGAGCTGATCGTATGGACCAGACTGTCCTTTCAACGTGCTCCCTGGAGTCCAGCCCCAGCGGGGAATCTCCATCACGAAAGAGAGAAAACTGTGATATATGTCGGTGACACCATTATGCGGGAGGAACATCCGACGTGGCTACTGAGGAGCTGGCATTTCCACCGGGGCGCTCGATCTCAAAGCTGTCGCATCGCTCCACCAGACTCCGGTAATAGTCTACCAGAACCTCGGGTTCAGGCACAATCCGCCACTGTACTCGGAAGAGAAATTCCAGTTCCAGCATTGCCAGTTCTGTCATGCCAATACCGCCTACCCGGGCATATGTTTTGTTGGTCCAGAAACTGTCGCTCAGCCCCTTGCTGGCAACCGTGGCGCTGGTTATGAGGAAGCGGTGGATAGTCAGGCTGGAAACGGTAAAGGCAGGGTACAGGGCACAGAGTCGATCAATATAAAAGACCATGCTGAGTAGGATCGGTGGCGACAGGGTGGCGTGGGTCGTCAATCGCTGCAGGTAGTCCTGCACTGATATTCGGGGCGGAGAACGCGAATGGAAGCGCGTCAGGCGCCCTTGGTGTAATGGGATTTGATCATTGAACCGAATCAGCTCCAGCAGCATACTGGAGATCAGCACCACCATATCCTTGGTATCGGCGTCTTCATATTTCGTAGGCAGAATTTTCACATCTGGCTTGGAGGACCGCAATCGTTTTGACTGCGAGCTCTCCAATTCCGAGCCCGCGGATTGGCCCGCCGGCGTGACATCCGGCGGGTGATGGTCGGTCTGGCTATTGCGCTTGTTGGAGCCCGAGCTGCTGGGGGCGGGCATCGAGCGGGCCACGGACGACGCCGGTGGAGGATTCGCAGGCGACGCAGGCTTAGTGATAGGGATAGTATTATTGGCAGCGGGAGGTGCGGCAGAAGGGTCCGAGTGTGACGAGGACGTGGAGGCGGATAAGGCGGATGGATTACTAGGGACCAGCGCTGAGGAGGATGCAGAACGCTTGCGGTGAAGTTCCCCAGAGGGTTCAGGGGATGAAGGATCGACGGTATGCTTGTTTAGGGCCGACCGAAGCTCCTCAATGGCCTGGCGCGACGAACGGGGACTGCTGAATTGTGGAGCGGGACCGGTGGCCGGATCATAGTGGTGTGGATGCGCCGATGGGGAGGCCGAGAAGGAGGAGCGCAGAGGGGCCGAAGATGGTGAGGGAGAGGACGCTAGCATGGCGAGAAGGTTCAGTTAAGTGCGGTATCGCGGCGCCTGGAATGCTGGAATCTGCGAATCGACCGACGGGATTGCTACCACGTGGGCGCACGAGTCAACGGGACGCTGACGCTGCGGAACCTGGGTGGCGCACGGTCTCATCCTCACGGCGAGGATAGATCCAGAGGCTGGAATGGTCTCCGGGCGATTCAAGGAGAAACGAGATGGGGAGAGACCAGAAGTAGGTAGGAAGAATACTCCGAAAAGGGAAGACAGAAGAGAAGAGAGAAGGAAAGGAGAGGAGCAACACCCAACGGGGAAAACCCTGTTTGCCAATGACCGCGAGGAAGGCGGTGACGGGTATCTCTGCCGGTCATGGGGGTGGGGATTATGTAAGTGAGCGATTTAGGCTGCAAACGCCTGTTGACCTATTGAGAGAGGGAGTAGGATACTCCGCAGGTTGCCGACAGGGACTCGATACGAGGTCCAATGTACGTACTACTCTACTACTATTATTATTGTTGTTGTTGTTGCTTCACAGCTGCGGCTATACCATGTCTGCCTCAGGCATATTTATTACGTAACAACGAGGTCATCTCGATGCGGAGTCGCAAACGTCTAGATTCATCTCGGCCACTCTTTTTGTTGGTTGATTTGCAGGTACAGACAGGTAGGTTCGGACCAACTACTCCCGGGAGACCTCAGATCACACGACCCCGTCGAGAGCATCGTCGCTGGCCGTGAGACACACGACCCCTCGGTCGCCCTACCGACGGCAGCCCACATCGAGTCACGCAGCTGCTCAGGCCATCTAGTGAAGCTCCTCCCTCCTACGGGGAGGCGGTGGTTTTCGGACGATGACACGAGCTTCTGCGCCGCCGATTCTGCTGCAGCTCCACAGCCCAGAGTCGATCTCCGCGCAAGTAGCATCATTGCGCAATCTCAAGAATGAGTTGATCGGCCATGACCAGCGCAAAGAAGCCTACGTGAACGCGGGCATCATCCCTGCTTTAGGGCAGGTGCTCAGCGCGAGACGACCAAGGGCGATGACGACCGAGTTCAATGGATCAACACAAGAGAAATCAAAACCAGAGGAGTTGGAGGCCTGTCTCCAGGCGATTCTGATCATTGGAAGCTTAGCACAGGGTATGTGAGAATACCCGCTCTGAAAAAGTATCATAGACTCACAGTGTGGTGCACAGGTGGCCCGACATTTCTTGCTCCCATATTCGCCAGCAATATTCTTCCCACTCTCCTCTCCATCCTTTCTTCCCAAGAATGCCCACTGTCGTTCCGCCTTCCTATCCTCCGGGTCCTAAGCACGATTGCGGATCGTCTGCCGCTGCAGAGTCAAGAGCAATGGCCTCGGGACACACGCTTGGCCGACCTTCTCTTCGCCTCTGAGCACATTGGATGCCTCACTCGAATTCTTGGAGAAGACTACGGATCCGCACAGATCCAGACGTCCATCGAGTTGGCCGCTGCCCTGATTGGGAAGCTATGCACGGAGGAGAGCCACAAGACAGCACTAGCAGAATGTGGAGTGCTGGATGCCCTGGCGGTCAAAATTGCCTCTTTTGTGGTGGCACAGGGATTTGTGCTTCCCGGTGCCGAGGACCATCTCCAATATCTAGGTGCTTTGGAGGCGATCCCGTCGCCAGCCCCTGCATCCGCCCATCTGGCACCGATTCTCCGCGCTGTTACGGTGATCATTGAGCACTCGAAATGGCGTGCGGAGCATCTCCTCTCGTCGCCCGCAATTGTGACTGTATTCCCCAAGCAGGTGCCGGGCTTTTCTCCATCCGACATTAAAAAGGGACCATGGGGAACACCGTATCTCGGAAGTTCAGCGGTGCCACGGCCCATTGGCCCCAATCCGGTCGATGAGCTACTACCCTCGGTCCCACTGGCCCATGCCAAAGCGTCTCCCAACGCCGCGAATTTCCCGCCTCTGGGGCATGGAGGCTCGCAGCGTCGGCACAGTAGCCACTCTTTCCCCACGCCGTTCTCCCTGACGGAGACGCCTATTCCAGAGGAAGACGAGAACTCCATTGTTCCATGGCTTCTGTGCATTCTGCGTTCGGAAAATGGCATGGCTCGGCTGATGGCTGCCCGTCTGGTCACGGCGCTGTTCCGGCTGGGATTGGCAAAGAAACACCGCGTCCCTATGTTTAGTTATCTGCTTATCCCCATCCTCATTCGAATGCTTGACAAGGACTTTTCCGTACCCAATGAAGGTGGTCCCAACTACAACGGGTTGATCTCGCCAACACAGTGCCTGAAAGAGGAGGCTCCGGCAGTACTGGCCAATTTGGTAATGGATGATCAAGAATTGCAGAAGCATGCGGTTGATGGCAGCGCGCTCAAACGGTTGTCCCAACTTCTGAAGGAGACATACAATCCAGTTCCAGAGAGCTCGCGACCAATGTGGCAGGCAGAGAGTGATACTTTAGCTGCAGATTCCGAGTCCGTGTCGGCGGAGTGCCGCCTTGGGCCTCCAGGCTACTCGCCAATATTGTGCCATGTTATGCGGTATCGGGAGAGCATTCTCAAAGCTTTGGCAGCCTTGGTTCCGTTCAAGGACGAGTATCGCAAGGCGGTCTGTGAGAATGGCGTGGTTCCCTACATCATTGACTCGCTCAAGCCGCGGCCAAGTGATGCACCGGCGGACGCTTCGATTCCCAAGAACACGGCAGCTGACGGCAACCCGACTCCGACGCTGCTGGCTGCTTGTGGCGCGGCTCGGATGTTGACGAGGTCGGTTAGCGTGTTGAGGACTAGCCTAATTGATGCCGGGGTCGCCCAGCCTCTGTTTGCTCTTATTAAGCATCCAGATTTAGAGGTGCAAATCGCAGCTACAGCAGCAATCTGCAACCTGGCATTGGATTTCAGTCCCATGAAAGAGGTCAGTTGAAATCTTATCTTGGTCGGCGATGCATATCTAACACGGTCCCTGTAGGCAATCATCTCCGCGGATATTATTCCGCTTCTGTGCGAGCATGCTCATTCGGCCAACACCAAGCTTCGCATTGAATCTCTATGGGCTCTGAAACATGTAGTCTACAACACATCGAACGACATCAAGATGAAAGTCATCGCGGCACTGGGTCCAGCCTGGATTTGGGAAGTCGTCAGCCAAGACCCGGTCAGCAACTTGACCAAACGGGGGATGGAAGACGAGATGGAGCAGGGCGCTGGGATTGCCATGGGTCGAGCTAATTCAGCCGGGGAACAAGTCGACATTTTGAATCCCATGGAGGAAGGCGGCTCACGGGACGAAGGCTTTAAGATGACGGACACCATGCCGCCGTCGAAGATGAGTTTGGAAATGTTCCTCCCGGATGCTCGACGCCGACGCAAACTGGTCCTTCATGGCGATTTGGAGCAATCCACCCAGGCACGACAGGATGATATTGCGGTTCAAGAACAAACATTCGACTTGCTACGCAATATCATCTGCGGCCCGGGCGCCCCCGAGATGATCGATCATTTGTTCAAAGAGATCGGGCAGGATGAACTCCTTGGTGCGCTGGCAGATAACCTGCGGCCACGCAGCATCCAGCTTCCTCATCGCCGCGAGTCCTCTAGTCGGTCCCTGCAAATCCCCGTGGAGATTCTGAGCTCCGTCACGGCGCTGATTATCCACCTGGCTGCGGGCCTCCCCCGCCACCGGCAACTGCTCGTGTCGCACCGCAACCTGATGCGTTCGCTGACCGACTACTTCAACCATACCCATCGCGAAGTACGGGTGAACTGCGTATGGGTGGTGATCAACCTCATCTACGAAGAAGATCAGAGTGACCGTGAAGGATGCCGTGAGCGCGCTGCCAAGTTGCGGACGTTGGGGATCGCAGATCGGCTGGCCAGTTTGGCGGACGATTCAGATTTGGATGTGAAGGAGCGCACCAAGACAGCGGTGCACCTACTGAATTCCCTAGCGCCGGCATGATTGGGATTCGGATTGATTTCAAGGGAGAAAACAAAACTGGATGGACATTGGCGTCGGAGTAACTATTTGAGTCTTGTGTATAAGCTTCCCTGCGAGATAGTTTGTGTTATCTTATCGACTGTGGAGAAAACAAACGTCATTGTATCAATTGTGCCAACTGGAAGCATTTTACTTCGTTTCCTTCCCTCAGCACATACACAATTAACTCGAAACCATGTCTCCTGTCCCCGCCTCCATTCTTCGCGCCCTGTCTCTATCTTCGGATCCGTCAAAAGTCAGCCTCTCATCTTCCGGCCTGGGGTCCGGATTCACCAGCACAGGGGCCATTCGAGCCAAGGTAGCCACAGAAAAAGGCGAAGAAGAAGAGCGCCGGTACTTCGTCAAGACATCAGCAGATGGCAAAGCTGCAGAGGAGATGTTCCGCGGGGAATACGAATCTCTCAACGCGATTGCAGGCTCGGTGCCGGGATTCTGTCCGCGCGCTGTGGCGTGGGGTCCACTAGACGACTCGGACAATAACAAGAAATTCTTTCTCGCGACGGAGTTCCTCGACCTGGGCGGCTCAATGGGCCGCAGTAACTCTGGTGATGAGAGCACGCCAACAACTCTTGCGCATCGGCTGGGAAAACTGCACACCACGCCCGCACCACCAGATCCAGAGACGGGGCGACGTCGATTCGGGTTTTCTGTTCCTACATTCTGCGGGGATACAAAGCAGCCGAATCGATTTTACGACAGCTGGGCCGATTTCTACGCGAACGAGCGCCTACTCACCATCCTAGCCTCGTCAGAACAGCGCAATGGTCGCGACGCCGGACTGCGCGAGCTAGTCGAGAAAACAGCGCACACTGTTGTTCCCCGATTACTAGGCGATAGCCATTTAGGATTTAATTCCCGTGGAGAGGGGGAGGGGATTGTCCCCGTCGTTGTGCATGGGGATCTATGGAGCGGGAACGCAGATTATGGTCGGATCGTGGGTACTGGACGAGATGAAAAGCCTGGAGATGTGGTCTATGACCCGTCGGCGTGCTACGCGCACAGCGAGTTTGAGCTAGGGATCATGCATATGTTTGGGGGCTTTGGGGCACGGTTTTTCAGTCAGTATCATCGTGTCGTGCCCAAGACGGAGCCCGTGGAGGAGTACGAGGATCGGGTGCGATTGTATGAGTTGTGAGTTTTGTCTGATCTCCCCTGATGCCCAAATTTTAGGCTAATACCTTATATGTAGATATCACCATCTGAACCACCATGCCATTTTTGGAGGTGGGTATCGATCTGGTGCGATGTCGATTATGCAGAAGTTGGTTCGGAAGTATGGCGATGCGAAGGCGTAGATCAGTCGTGATTCCCGAGTGAGATGATGTCACTCATTAGAAATAACTACTTATTCTCGCTTTTTCCCACTCTGTTCTTTCCTCTTCATTTCTATTCTCATACTATGTCCCATCCCGACTCGAATCTTCACCCCGAAGCCACCGGTCCCGCCAAAGCGCTGGTCGACCGCCACCGCGCGGAGCAGCCCTTGAAGCTGTATGCGGGGTGGTTCTGTCCGTAGGTTAACAATTCAAAAACATAAAACAATATAACTGACTACCTCCAGATTCGGTGTGTTCTATTCAGCTAAATTCTTACTCGTTTGGATATTAAACTAAACTGTCGATCTCCAGTGCAACGAGTCTGGCTTGCCCTAGAAGAAAAGCAGATTCCCTACGAATACATCGAAGTAAACCCGTACAACAAACCCGACTCCCTCCTCGCCCTCAACCCGCGTGGTCTCGTGCCCACACTCTCCTGTCCGACTAGCCATTCCCCGCGGCCACTGTACGAGTCCACCGTGATATTGGAGTACCTCGAAGAAGCGTATCCAAACCATGGCCCGCGTCTCCTCCCAACCGATCACTACGAGCGAGCCCGCGCAAGGATCTGGATTGACTACGTGACCTCGCGGATTATTCCTGCGTTCCATCGGTTCCTGCAGTATCAACCCACGGGTCCACAAGATGGAGGGCTGGACAAAGTCCGTCAGGAATTTCTGAATCATCTTAAAGTTTGGACGAAGGAGATGCATTCGACCGGTCCGTTCTTCTTAGGACAGGAATTAAGTGCTCCCGATCTGGTGCTGGCGCCGTGGGCGGTGCGATTGTGGGTGTTTGATGAGTTTAAAGGTGGGATAGGGATTCCGTCTGGAGGACCCGATGAGGCGGTTTGGGACAGATGGAAGAGGTGGGTTGCTGCTTTGGAGGAGAGGAAGAGTATCATAGAGACGACGAGTGAGAGGGAGCATTATCTGCCTATCTATAAGCGCTATGCGGATGATCAGGCGCAGAGTGAGTTGGCTAAGGCGACGAGGGCGGGACGGGGTGTTCCTTGAGAACATATCAGAGAGACACGATTTATCTTTTCCACAATAATAACCGAGACACGAATGAGTACCTACGAAGTAAAAGAGAGAGAGACTCAAAATATAGTCCCAAAGGTATAACTGATATACCGTGTTGACTTCGCTGTTTTATAGGCCATCAGATTTCCTGCCTGGTCAGGACAACACTCTTTCTGTATATATATCCCTGCAAGTCTATGCCTCTTGAAGTAATAGCTCGACTCCCGTGGTGCAACGGAGTGACTCGCTACGATGGTCACTAGCTGCCCCATCGGGGACTGGCTCGCTCTCTTACAGTCCCTAGTGGACAAAAGTGAGCCGGTATCAATTGGATGCCAGAGATAAGCCCAGTCGGTCTCTCTATATTTTAAAAAAAATTTCCCCCCCTTTTTTGGAATTTCCCTTCTTACTACAATAATAGTGACATACAGGAAGAGGATTGACCGAATGGTTGATCACAACCGCAACAACATTCTTCCGACTGACATAATCCATCATCGCGTCCCATTGCCCAAGTCCGCTTCTTCTTCCGCGCCAACGACCTATCGGGCCTGTCAATCTTGCAATGGCGCCAGAGACAAAGGACGGGCCGCTTCGTCGCGGCTCATTCTTAGAGCCCGGCGCCCCAGAGACCCCCGCCATCCACCCGTCATTCATCCAGGTGGCCAAGCCGTATATCTTCGAGCAGACCATCCAGGACTGTATCGAAGCTATGGGCGTCAATCCAATGCGCGAGGAATCGCTGCGTCTCCAGGGTGTGACCTGGATTGATAATGTGCGGAAAGTGCTTCGTCTGTAAGTTTCCCCCAGATGTCATGAGAAGCAGCAAGTGTTAATTGAATGGCTCAGTCCCGTTCGCACTTTCAACACGGCTGTGATGTATTATCATCGTTTCCGGTTGGTGCACCCGGATAATGAATATAACTACGTGGTAAGTTTCGTCGTGCTTGTCACCGAGTGTAAGGCTAACATTTGCACAGGATGCAGCGGCCGCGGCTTTATTCGCTGCGTGCAAGATTGAAGACACACTCAAAAAATCAAGAGAAATTGTCTGCGCAGCTTACAATCTGAAATTATCACCATCTGAACATCTGTCGTCTGATGATCCAGTAAGACATATGATTGTGGAGTGTGAAGAAGTGGCGCTAACATATGGATAGTTCTTTGAAACAAATGCCCGAGGCATCATCGGCCTAGAAAGGCTCATGCTAGAAGCCTCCGGATTCGACTTTCGGACTCGCCATCCCCAAAAAACGCTGATGAAATTAACCCGAAAATCCGGCCTGACACACGACTCCGAGGTCTCTCGCCTGGCCTACCGTATCTCACTGGATCTCTACCGGACCTTTGCCCCCGTCAAACAAGCATCCTCAGCCATGGCATTTGCCTGCCTCGAGCTTGCAGGGCGACTACTGGATCAGCGCATTGAAGCCGTCGAGTCTGGAGCGGAGTATGACCAGTGGAATACAAATCGTGAAGAAGTCATGGAAACACTCTTCGACCTCCTCGAACTTTATACCGACCAGCGCTCATCGACGATCGTGGGACCTCAATTCCCCCCTGATCGCTTCTTGACAGTCCGCATTCCGCTTAACCAAGAAGCAGATGCGCAGCACATCCCACGGTACACGCGCTGGATAGAACGTCCGCGCATGTCCAAGACCTCGCCCAGGGAATCCAATGGTGCTGGTACGGTGCTGCGGCCTAACCATCCGCTAACCCCGATTGCTGCAAACGGCGACCGCCTGAAAATGAATGAACGTGGCTCTGACGCTGCGGTCCGGTTTATGTTGGATCCTGCTTGTGCAGAGGAGGAGAAGAAGCAGGTTACGCAGTATTTTACTGTTGAGATGGAGGAGTTTGAGGTTGAAGAGTAAATGCTGCAGTCGATATTCAGGTCCTCTGCTTCGCATCTTGGACCTTTGACATAAGGCTGGTGTCTTGTTGTGCTGAGCTAGCATGGCCCTAGATGTCCCGGCCGTCTTACATTATCTGTCTTGGGCCCTAAGAACCCATGCACCCGAGTGCTATCTACCGAGTACGGTTGAGCGGCGAGCCACTTAACCCGCTCAGCCCCCCTGAACGGACCTACCAGCTCCATGGCCTTGGGGGCTTCTTCGGCAGGACAGGAACTGAACACACCAGTTGTGATCCTTTCACTCAAGTTCTCTAGGGCATATTGTCCTTAACGTGCTCACAGTCTCTCCTGGCCCTTTGGCTCCCTCCCTCTCGCGAATACATTGTCTCTCGGAGAGACATGAAGAGATAAAAACGACAGTGATCATCCCTGCGGAGCATGCCAATGAGGATAGATTACTTCGAAATACCCCTCAGAAACCACATTCTGTAACTAGAAGAAAACCACACCATTTATCTTGACTGTCATCTTACCGTACGTCACAATCTCTTCGCCCATACGGTTTATCGCTTCAATACCGTAGGGAATAAGGAATCATAAAAGGCTCGGGTTTGATAATATTAAAACAATTTTCAATACTTCTAGAATCTGGAACTTCTCTATATATCTTACATCCAAATCCTAATCTGCTCGTTGTCAATCCGCGATTCGACCAATATTTCTCAAGACTTGGGAAGTAGCCCTTCCTTTGGCTTGTCGCTGGTTTGGTGTACGTAATCAATGTACCTTGGCATTGTCCCTTACGGACAAGCAAGCTGAAATAGTTGTAGCGAATGTAGATTCTAGCTATTCATCTCTAATCGGATGTTTTGAAGACTTCGGTTATGACTTGACATATCCCATAAATCTTCAACAATTACGGGCTTATGGTCTAGGGGTATGATTTTCCCTTCGCATGGGAGAGGTCCGGGGTTCAAATCCCCGTGAGTCCATAATTTTTTGCTTTTTATCTTTTTGAAATACCCGCCCTCTGCAATTGGGCCCTCACCGCTTTCACTGCCTAGCGTTTAGTTTGTTTGCTTTGTTCCTTATATTTGATTGCAAGCTCGTCCATCGTCTTTCGAACTAGTAGTGGATTACTCGACTCCTTGTCCCATGCGCTAGTAAAGGAACTCAAATAAACTGATCAGTGAGAAAAGGCTGTTCATCAATCACCACACGTCTAACGGGGCAAGGTTCTCAGTAAGAAGTTGCTCATTAACCTCCCTGTTCGTGGTCTCCCACAGTCCTTTGACCTGTCGATCATCCTCAACAACTGCATTGGGAGACCCAACTTTGCCAATAGGCACTAGGAACTTCCCCTTATACTTCTCGATATTCTGTCGGACCTCTGTTGCGGTGGCAGCGAAGGCAGATGTCGCAGCACCTTGCTCGGACGCGACGAACAAGAGGCGGGCGATAGTCCGTATGAACAGGTTGTTGATCGTCATTACACCCTCAGTGGCAACCTCTCCTGGATGCACGGAAACAGTTACAATAGGAAGACCCTGCTCATCCAGCCGACGCTGTAATTCCTTTGTAAATGAAGTAACGGCGGCCTTTGAAACGGCGTAGCGGGGCAGATCATAGCCGAACATAAGTCTGCCGATATATTTCCATTGCCAAGGGTGTGAACGAACCGGGTTGCTGAGGCAATCGGTAGAGTCGAAGTGAAATTCAAAGTCTTGCGGCAGCATTGTAACCTGGGCGAGTGAACTGAGATTTATGATTCTCACGTCGGCGTCCTTTGCTTTCAGAGCATTCTTAAGAAGCGTCATAACACGATTAATGAAAAGGAGAGGACCGATATAGCTGAAAATATCAGTTGGGTGCCGGCTCGTCTTTAATAGAAACCTCAACTTACTTGACCGCCATGTGTTGGTCCCATCTACCATACACTAATTCGTTGGACGATGTCGAAAACGCAGCATTATTAACTGGCAGGCAGATGTCAGAAAACGAATAGTACGCCAGAGGTCTTAGGGAACATACTCAGAATGTCCACCTTGCTTTCCTTCTCGTTCAGCTCATGAGCGACAGCATCGATGCTCTTTAGATCGGATAGGTCCAATAACAGCCATTCGATGTTTTTTGCGTCGGTGTCCGGATAGTTGGTTAGGAGGGTGTCCTTTGCCTTCTGTGCCTTGGATTCGGATCGTGATGTGAAGTACACCTTTGCTCCACGCTGAGCGAGAAGTCGAACTGTTTCAAAACCAATGCCACTCCTACAAGTTGGATTCATTAGTAAGAAATGCTTGACTCCACGTTTCTTGTGATCTCTTTGCCGTGTGGACCTACGTTCCTCCTGTCACGACAACCACTTTCCCGTGGAGGTCGGGAATATCCTTTAGCGCATCCCACTGTTTCTCCATGATGCACCGGATAATTGAGTTGACACGCTGGTGCAGGTCTACGGTGTACGAGGTGATTTGGGGTCACACAGGCAGCATTTAAGTTAGGGGATTGACTGCTGACTGCTGACAAACTCTAATATGAATGTTGCAAATTTCGGCAAATCTCACGTCATCTCCATTCAAATCAAGTTCATCTTCAACTCCTTGATTTGCAGCGTGTTGAGACTTCCAGCCTTGTACATATGAAATTATTTATTACAGTTCAGTCTTTTCGAGTACAAAATTGTATTTCATTCAAGTACATAAAATAAATAGCAATTTGGTAAGCACTGTACCAAAAGTCATTTCAATCATTATCGCTCCAATGAATATCTTCCATAACTGCTTCACCCATCTCATCCACGTCTAAACAATGCGCTGCACACCAGCGTTTCGATTGTCGAGGTCAGAGTCCACGCGGGGATCAAGCTTATTGGCTGTATTTGAGGCATGAGGGCCTGCAGTCGCACCAGCCAGAGGGTTCCCATAGCTACTACCAGCAATAGCTTGATGACGGGCTCGGTTGTCAAGATCAGAGTCAACACGAGGGTCTAGCTTGTTGGCCAGGTTGGAACTGTGTGGTCCTGCATTGGTGGAGGTTGATGAGACACCAGTTGGTTCGTAGGCACCGCCTACACGGCCGTGGGGTTGAGCAAGATTGTCCGCACCGGGACCAGCTCGGGAGTCAAAAACTCCGCCGTGAGCTCCAGTTGTGTGGCTATAGTTACTGCCAGGAGCAGCTTGATGACCAGCTGCGTTGCCAAGTTCAGAGTCGACGCGAGGGTCTAGCTTGTTGGCTAAGTTGGAACTGTGTGGTCCTGCATTGGTGGTGGTCGATGAGACACCAGTTGGTTCGTAGGCACCGCCTACACGGCCGTGGGGTTGAGCAAGATTGTCCGCACCGGGACCAGCTCGGGAGTCAAAAACTCCGCCGTGAGCTCCAGTTGTGTTGCCGTAGTTACTGCCAGTAGCAGCTTGATGACCAGCTGCGTTGTCAAGTTCAGAGTCGACGCGAGGGTCTAGCTTGTTGGCTAGGTTGGAACTGTGTGGGCCTGGATGGGCGATAGTGGATGAGGCACCAGTTGTCTCGTAGGCACCGCCTACACGGCCGTGGGATTGGCCGTGGGTTTGAGCAAGGTTGTCCGCACCGGGACCAACTCGGGGGTCGAGCTTGTTGGCGACATTGGAGTTGTGGGCCCCAGTTGTCCCAGTCTGATGACCACCGGAGCTATTGAATTGAGCAGCGCGGTTGTCTAAGTAGGTTAGGTCATAGGTCCAAAGTCTTGGTGAATTCACGGAGATGACACACCTCTGTCACTATCGATTCGAGGGTCAACTTTATTGGCGACGTTGGAGCTATGCGGGCCAGCGGCGCCTCCCATGGCCTCGTGACGGGCACGGTTGTCTGTGGTTAAATGACTTAGCCACCTAGATAAAGAAAATGGAACTTCTTTTCCACTGCATACCATGGTCGCTATCGACTCGAGGGTCAAGCTTGTTCGCTAGCTTGGAGTTGTGGGGTCCGTGGTTTGAGGTCTGGGTCGAATCTTTATGATGACCCGTCAAGACCTCTTCAGCTTTCTTTATGAAATTACTCATTTTTGCAGGATAGGTTGCTTCGAGATTCTGTTCTTAATGAAGTGAATTTGTAGATTGGTATAGAAAAAGGACCAGGGTGTTCGTTAAGGGGCTTTATATATTCCCCAATTCATAGGGGATAAGCTAACGCCATAGCAAGCAAATGACGTCGTCCTTGCTAGCCATGATGCAGTCATTGTACAGTGTCCATATCAAGAATGACCCTTGCCAGGTACAAACTGGATTTGTGATATTGGCAGGTGCCTGATTGTCAGAACCTTAGGCATGTGGCGTCAAGCTCGTTTTCGCCACCACAAGTGGGTCTTGGAAGGGGGTGCAGAAACAGGACTACACCCATGTTACTAGGGTCCCATGTAAAGAAGAATAATAGATGGAACTTGCACTGTGTTTCTCTTTTAAGCAAGAATGGCGTCAATATTCCATCATTCCTCCTTGAACGCGTCCTCGCATTGTCAACAAGCAACTCTACACCATATTCTCACCCAGTGTCTAGGGAATACGAGGGATAATTGCTGGTCTGGTTAGTCTACAATCAAACTTGATCGCGTTTCGAGGGTTATCATCCCTTTTGAAAGCGATAATGAACCTGCCAGTGCTAGTCAAGCCGGTAGGGTCCTTGTGAATGACCAAATTCTGCCTTATAATCTGATATGAATTTTTGCTGGCAAAGAATGCTATGATCAACCAATAGAATGAATTTGCACATGTCCAAATACCATTCACGAAGCCTATATCATACTAATAATATGAATAGATTAGAGAGAAATAGTAGTGGACTACATGTACCCATGAAAGCTGATGTCATGAACGCACATGCGTTGATAGGGACTATAAGCGAGATTTGCCTAATTAGAGCACCTGACAAGCTAGCTAAGAAAAGAAAGAACAGAGTGGTTTATGTCTACCGCGCTAGTAGCGTAGCGACTTGGCTCGTTTCCTAAAAGATTCCTGGCGGTGATTGACCCTAATGTGGTTGGTAACTTTTTGGGCCCACTTTTAAAATTCTGATTCCTATGTCAATCTAAATCAGAAGCTTAACATCAAATGGGCTTGTGGTCTAGTGGTATGATTTTCCCTTAGCATGGGAGAGGTCCGGGGTTCAATTCCCCGCGAGTCCATTTTTTAATTTTTTTTTACTTTTTGGACAGTTTTCTAAAACATAGTAATTAGTGGTTTGTTTTATTATGCTAATGACTTGAAATCTGGTTTTTTTATGCGTTGATGTGTGGGTGATGATCCGCGCTACCCAAATATATATTTTCATGCTTAGGACCATCGTCCCAAACTAACAAACAGCAAGACATGCAAAAAGTAACTAGTTACCTGAAACATCAGTCATTATAGACAAAAGTGAAAACTATCTACAATCATATTTTCTATGTGGACAATGAGGTGCGCATTAACATCACCCTTACAAACTAAAGGTGGACGGATCATTGGGGAAACTCGACAAGGCCCAAGAATCAAGCTGAGCCCACCAGATAGAGCCCTCCAGATTCTCCAGAAAGCCTTGGTCATCGCTTGGAGGAATGGATGAGGCACCGAGTTCAGAAGGCTGCAAGACATCAGACATGGCCGAATAATCCATGGGAACAGCGTCCAACGAGACAGGCCGTTCGGGTTTCGTTGACGGCAGTGTCTCTTGCACGGTAGCATTGTCATGATGGCCAGGCTCCTGCCGGCACGTAGACGGATCAGGACCCGCGGATCCAATCTGTCGATGAACCTCCTGTCGAAGCTCCTCGAGGATGATGCTATACCGCCGACTCGGGCAATTCTTGCGCGTAGCCTCAGCCAGATGCTGCTGGCACGTCTCTGCAAGGGAGAAAAGGTAGCGCAGCTTATCGGCGTCTCCGGGGCTGGCGGCCGACGATGTGGATGATGAAGGGCTCGGCGCGAGCGCTTGACGGTGTTGTTGGATGGTATGTATGTAGACCACGAGGATGGCACAGAAGCACACATAATGCGTGAACCAGAAGGACTGGATCAGGATGCCCTGTTGGGCTAGATCATCTACGAGAGTCATCACGTCCTCGGCGGCCTCGATGCACTTTTGCACATATGTGCTGACCATCGGACGCGATACTTTCGGCCTGCGGCTGAGATCGGTGAAATCGTTTAGGAGGAATGAGCGTGTGACGTGGATCATTGCATGGGAGTATGCGAGTTGTAACACTTGGCTTTGTCGACAGAGTGGCGGGATTAGGCTGGTTGCTCTGACGCTGTTGAATAACGGCGGGGCGCTCTCTTTCCATTTTTCTAGCTCGGAGGTGAGTCGGACGGCCGTCTCCAGTGGCGAGTTGCGGGACAGAGGGTTTATGCTGTAAAGTTGGCGCGAGATTTCTCCCATAATGCGTCCGAGGCTACAGAAGGTTAGTTCAGATGGTCACGCGAAGAAGGGAGTGGATGCTTGCCGGTAGTGAAGCACAGATGCAATCATCATACTGTCCGCCGACCCCGTCCGCTTTGCTGGATCCTCTTCTAGCAGGTCATCATCTTTAATCTCATCCGGGAGCTCTTGGTCAATATCTTCGTCGTGCAGGAGTCGTGGTCGCCCGAACATGACGCTCAGGTATTTGTCCAAGGTGTACGCACTCCAGAAGATACGTTTGCGCAGCTCCAACTCGAGGAACGAACAACCTTTCGCCAGTTTCGACGGCCACTTCCGGTGTAAACCAAGAGCCGTGACAACTTGTAGGGCTGTGCCAAACAGATACCAGCACTCGTTGGCACGAGAAGTCGATAGCAGGTAGAGGCATTGGCCTAGTCGAGCTTGAATAGTCTCCAGCCGCGGTGGTCCTGATTCAAGCGAAGACATGTACTTCGAAGCCACATACCAGCGTTCACTGTCAACGTTTAGATTCGTTCTGGGAGAAGGGGAAGTGGCCGAACACTACGCACCTTTCATTGCGTCCATCCGGCATCCCCGGCCGCATCTCCAGATATAAAGTACTGACAGCGAAGACCATCAACACGATGGCCGTCCTGGCCACCATGTTTCCGGTGGGAAGATTCGAGAGCGACGTATCATGTTGATACACCTGGCGAACCCATTGCTCGACGCTACCCCGGTGTAGGAAGCGGTAGGTCACGATGGAGAAATCAAAATAGATGCCGACCAGCTCCAGCGCCTTCTCAAAGGGAGGGAGGGTGAATTCAATCTTCTGAGAGTTGTGAAATGGCGTGTCACCGAACATGAACACGGCGGCGCTCTTGGACGACTCATTTTGCAGCTCGTCCGGGATGGCGGTGGTCTCATCCTGGTGCAGGCGACTCCATACCCGATTAAGGAACGAGACACCCGACGACGGGCCGAGATAATTGCCCTCGAACGTAGATCCCGGCTCCGGGGAGTTCCGCGGTGACAAGGCACGCTGGCTGCGGGCCGGTTGCTGGAAATCCTCATTTCCGGCGGACTCGGTGGCACGCCGCCGAAAGCTGTTGGACGCCGAGCTAGCGATGGGTGGAGAAGCAGTTGCAGGCAGAGGCTCCGGTGGCAGACCTCGCGAGTAGGCGGCGTTGTATTTGCAGTGCAATGACAGACGGGTGCAGCGGGTGCAGGGCAAGGTACCCGTACACCGCGTCTTCTTCCCCTTGCACGAGTCACAGGCCCGGGTGATCTTCTGGCGCGGGCCCTTGGCTGACATCACCGAGTCGGACGATTTTCGCTTGCGGGTCAACGCCTCTCTATTATTATTATCTAGTGCGAGCATGGCTAGGAATCGGCATCAGTCCCCTTGCCGAGACAATCAATCATGGTAATAAAGGGGAAGATTCCGAGTCAAAGTGGGGGGTTCGGGGAGTCTCCGCGCGGGGGGGTTTTCGGTCCCCCGGAATCGTCTTGACTCAGCGACTACGCTGCCCTCACGATGCTCTGTTGGATCGTCGGATCGCCTTGATGAAGTCATCGCCCGCCGGCTACTTGCATCGGATCTGCAGCCAAGGGAGACGATGACATCAAGGCCAGCCATTCGTACTTTAATTTTACGAGTGTTATTCTCCGACCCTGTCATACTAGAAATCCGTGGCGACAGACGAGGCTCAATCATCCATCTGACAGGACTGCTAGTTCGGTCGTGAGATGTCTACGTAAAAAATCGAAATTGGCCATGGCAAATTGCTGGCCAACCTGAGGTCTGTTCATAATGCTGCAGTGTGTGCCCGTTTAGCTCGGAATATCCGAAACGGAAGTAATAACAGGACGGGACGGTGACAGGTCTGTCACCGAGACATTAAAGGCTGGGACCAATAGCGATGTAAGGCACCAGGACGGTAGGAGAACATCCATGGCGTATATAGAAAAAGCACCATCCCACCCGTGAACCGTGTTTCTATCACAGGTGGATGCACTCGAGAGACAATGATACAGAGACGGAAATGGAAGTAGGTTGACTTGAAAAGAAAGAAGCAACAAAGCGGGTTTTAAAAACTGGTTTTGTAGAGTGCATCAAGTCCTCCCGTCACCGCGGATATCGGGAGCATAACAAAACAAACAAGGACGCAACAAAGCAGATATCAACGCGAGGCACAACCAACCAATTGAATCAACCAGGCCTTCCAGGCCAGTCCACACGCACAGCCGCTATGCAGGGCAAAGGCGAAAAGCCACAAGGCACTCCAATCGTATGCAAATAACGGTAGGTGAGGCAGTGGGAGAAGGGGGGGCGGGGGTGGGAGGGGGAGAGTGTAGGACAAAAGGGAACAGGGACTACCGGTAACCAAAGAGATTGTGCATGGGATCTTGATTGCCCATGCCGGGGTCCATCTCGGAATCGGGATTGGTATCGGGCTCAGAGGTGTTTCGACGATCGGTCGGTAAGGGGAGAGGAGTCCGATTTAGGATATGAGCGACCTCGGCGGCCAGCTGATCCTCGGGCATGCCGGCGCGGATGATCTCGATGAGATGTTGGACAACGGAATATTCGCTCGTGCGGATCGCCTCGAGCAGGAAGTCGACGAACTGACGGTAGTAGCGCAAATCTTCCTGGGTGCGTTTCGCGGATATTTTCCGTCGTTTGTCGGAGCCTTCATCAAAGAAACATTGGCGGCCATGCGTCTCGCATTCGGAACATGGCTTGCCCGGCTTGCCATCTGCGCACTAAGAGAAAGAAAGAGACGGGACGGTCAGACAAGAGGCAAGGCAAATGACGAGGAGTGAAGTCAATCCCAAGGCAGATGGGAGACGAGAGCGGGCGGATGTACCCTTGTCCGTCGTCGTTTGCATTCTGTACATGCGGTCGATGCTCTCTTCATCCTCGGCTCTTCTGGTGGGAGCGGGCCCGGTGGCCCTTGGCCTGGCGGCGTGAGTCCCGGCATCACGGTGCGAGGAGCAATGGGTCGGAGACCCCGCGACCCTAGGTGGTCCATTGGCGGGGCGGGGATGATTGGGTCTGGGGGGAGGGCGGGCAGGGATAAAAGATGATAATTAAGAGATGAGGATGAAGGGAACCTAATCACGTTGATGAGCCAGACCAAGACCGGCAAGCCACCTGCAGACAAAACATAATCGGTCCACTACCAAGTTACGTCTAGGGTCAACGGCTCATGTTCCTTTTTTACCCTAGGGTGCGTCAGATGGAGCGGAATGGGCCGAAAGCAGTCAATCAGACTGAGAGCTGCCAGTAGCGCCGTGCCTAGAGTCTGGCGGAAATGTCAAGAACAGAATAGAAGAGAAGGAAGAGGGTACGAGGGTGGGAGGCAGGACTCGGAAAGAACGTGTGTGGCGTGTGTGGCGGAGGGAAGTGGAGCGAAAGCACAGGAATAATACTGTCGAGTGCGCACAGCAAGGGTGGTAACTGAACTGACCAAGAAGGAAGAGTAACTAGTAATTAACACTCCACACACAGATCATTGCCTGATATACTAAAGCATCGGCGAGGGACCGAGGAGCGCTGTGTATCCAGGATGATTTAACAGACCATCATCATCATCGTCATGGCCCGCTATTCACCCCTTCACTGCTGGACCATCGTACTATTCCAGTTAGAAGAGGAAAAAAACAAAACAAAGTGGGACGGAGTTCTCATCCGCCACCTTCTGATAGGGCATGCCGTCATTCCATCTTCGTCTTCGATTTCGCCTGTAGTTCTCGACATGCTCATTGGCGCATCGACTGGATCAGAACCTGTCAGCAGCGAAACTTCCATGGTTAAAAAGATAGTGTTGTGGATCCACCATCTCTACTATGGGTGCTACCGCCCAAAAAAGGCCCGGAGAAAAGAGAGAGACAGAACGTGCAGAAAGTCAATACCAAAAATGGGGCTGGCGATGACATAACCTAACGCTAACATGTTTCCCGATTGAACGTGTCAGATCTTGCAGAAAGTAGTTCGCTTAGATCTACATTATTTGACAAACTTTCCGTGTTTAAACCAATTTACATCCCACTCTCTCTGTACTACGTCACTGCCATGATGGGAAGACTAGGGAAAACAGAGGCACGGCAGGGTGCAGTCTAGCTCGAGGGCGGCGCAGATGTGGTTGGCTGGAGACGAGGCCCGTCCCCGGCGGTCGAATGAGACGCACACGCGATAAGACAAAGAAAGAGGAGGAGAATCGCCGCCACCGTCGCCGTAACGTACAGTAGTCACTCCTAGTCTAGAAGGTCCTCGTCATTGTTGTCCCTCCTTCTTTCCCGAAGCTCGGCGAAAAGTTGTCCGAGTCAGCTCGGCTGCCCCCGGACTCTCAGCCCCAGGGAAGGGGCCTGAGCAGCAGGTGGAGCGCGGGCGTGCCCTTTGACTGGTGCCGGAGATGCATTCCAGTCTGGGGAGCTCCAGAGGCTTTCATGAGTCACTGGTCGAACACGGTGGACCCCGAGCAGAACCAGTGACATGAATCATGGCGGCGTTCAGAGCGTTGCCTGTTTATGGATATCGGCCCTCGGGGCCTTGGTTTTAAGGCGCACAAGCTATGGGAATAACGACATCGGATCGGCCCTGTTGCGCCGCCCAGAGCGGCGGCGAATGACTTAGTCGTGCATTGGGCATGCCGGAATGATACCCTCCGTGCCGCTTTCTCCTCCAACTACCTATTTGAACCCTTCAGTACGAGAGGGTTGGCTACGTGTTCGGCATATACCGAGATTTGTCAGATAGGATCCGTCCGCTCGGAAACGGCAAGAATAATGAATCATGCGCGGAGGAAGACGACTCCTACGCCTAACCCTGAATATTATTAGATAGCAGGGCAAAACCCCAAAAAGAATAAAAGGACTGGGCGTAGGTCAAGCGTGATAACCGCTAAATTACTAAATTACTAAATTACTCCCGAGTCCACGGATCACAGCCCTCGCAGCGGACGATCTACACAGCGCATACATATCATTGCTGGCATGCAGACAAAAACAAGCGGTCAAACGGATCTGCGGTCAGCACGCGAGAAACCCAATGGTTTGGGAAGTAAATATAGGTGAATTGGGATCGTTCCAATATCCACCTAACCACGTATCCCTCGATCTACACATGCCTAACATTCCTAGACAGGCAGGTGACCTGCAGCTGGGGCGCCAAGGGATCTACTTTGATGTGTGCGCGTTTGCAACATCCCACGGTATACGTCCATATACATAGCGTGCAGGTCTCTACAATCCACTTCTCTCGGAGACCAAGGATAAAAAGATGCAATGGTCTAACCGAGCCCCAAATAGAGTTTTGGCAAGCGAGGATTCGGCTTTAACGGAATGGGGAGCCGAGCATGGGGAGTTAGGACCCCGCCTCGGCTGCGCAGATTGAGAATAATAGAGGGACGGGATAGGTAGATTCTAGTAGCGGGAGCTGCAGCTCAGGCTACACAGCCAGTGTATGATGCTTCACATAGAACGAATTGGTATGGACACAAGAAAGAGAAATATGTACTCGAAACAGAACAGCAGGGAAAGAAAAAAAAAAGAAAGCACATCTCATACACGAGAGAAAATAAGGATATCAAAAATAACGCGACAGTTCAGAGTCGGTTTAGGGTTCGGTTCAGTTAATAGATCGGGCGTCCCTCATCCCACCGACGGGACTCCCTCCTCGGGCTGGTAGTCGACGACTCAGCTTTGCCGGCGTCGGGGGTAGACACGTGATGGCCCGCAGGAGAAGGGAGCGAGAACCTAGCGCTGTCGCGACGGTGGGCGCTGTTGAGATTCTCAGGGCTGAGGGCGACACCGCCAATACCACCGATCCACTCCCAGACGCGAGAGACGTCGCCGCTATGGCCCTCACGAACGGCAGCACGGACATTGGCATTGCCTTCAACGACGTTGCGGACACGGCGCCACAGTTCCTCGCGCCGGGAGCCGTGTAACTCAGAGCGCAGGACATCGTCGCGCAGCTGCCCGATGGGGATGTATGGCTCTCGGGCGTCGCTGCGGGAATACAGGGCTGCTTGGGTGGCGAGACGGTCAAGGGTCGTGGCGACCAGTTCGGGAACACGGGCGATATCTTTGCGGCGGGCGAGAACTCGGGTACGAGCGTAGATGATAGCACTGACTCCGAGGGCTAAAAGTGAAAGAGGGAATCTATACGCGAGGAGAGCGAGGCGTACATATCGTCGGAAGGCGCAGGTGAGTGGGAGTCGGGAGATGGAGTTTGAGCCGAGGACGAGGACGGCGGAAGGTCTGTGATTGCGATGGCGCCTCTGTTAGTTCCAGCACATAAGGTCAGAACCAAGATCTTGTTTTTATGAAAAGTACGCCCGGGATCCATATCCAGCACGACGAAAGAGACAGGAAGATGCCCGAGAAGATATGGGGGAAACTTACTCATCGGTATGGCTCACAACATCATCTTTGCCAACAACCTCGCCAATCGCTCCCTTCCAGAGATCGTCGAATTCGGTGTCGCTCAAGCCCTTGCGGCGCTTCTTTGCCACCTGTTCCTTGAGCTCCGGCTCACTGATCTCAAAAGATCGGGCCTCTTTGCTATCATCCTTCAGCTGACCACATTCCCATTTGGCTCTCCGATCCCGCAGCTCCTCTACAGCTTTATCAGCGACAGCCTTCACGCGGCGTGCTTTCTCGCTGTCTGGCTCGCATGTCGGCGGCAGGGGCACCAGCCCACCAAGGGAGAGAGGATGCGGCTTGAGAATGAAGTCATGTTCGCAACGAGCCTCAAAATGAGGATAGCAGAATGCATGTGACGGGCAGGGCTCACAGCGCGGCTCCAAAACGTGTACCCTCTCAGGGACATTGGTTTCTGCCAGCGACCAAGTGGGTTTTCCGAGGCCACAAAATCCAATCTCGATCTTCTCCTTGCGCCAATAGGCTCCGAAACTAGCCAATAGCACGAGAATCATAAATAAAGGCGCCATGCTGGAGGACTTCTTTCGAGACCGTCGAGCTTTCTTGGCTGGGTACAGGATATCGGCCTGTTCATTCTCTAGAGCGAGCTGTTCCTCAGGCGTGAACTCTTCGCCAGCGCTCAGTTCATCTTCTTCATCCTCATCCTCGTCTTCTTCTGACTCCTCTTCAGTCTCTTCCTTAGTAGGCTGCAGCCGGGAAGCAAAGTCGAAGCTGTCTCTTGTAGGGGCCATCACGCCATCTTCTTGCTTGGTGCGCGTAGGAGTCTCGGACTTGCGTGACCTCCGCGCGCCTCTCACAGCAGGGCTTTCCGTGGACAACCGTCCACCACTCTTCCTCTTTCCATCATGGCTTGTCCTCCGGCTGCTTGGCATCTCCGAGGGGCTTCCACTTTGAAAGGGATTGTCATCGGTAAACACACTCAAATCCCGTGGCTCAGACTTGATAGTTGAGGAGTGGTCTTCAAACTCAGTAGAGGGCAGAATCTCGCTGCGTCGCAGCTTGCGGGCTGTAGACTTACGCGGCGAGGTACCAACAGCGACAACGGGAGTCGCAAGGCCGTCATCGCCGGTCTCCGTATCAGACGCACGAGGGTGTTTACCTACTGATCGCGCGGCGGTGGTCTTCCGTCGCGATGCAGCGGGGGTAGCAAGGCCGGCCTCCTCAGTGTCAACAGTAGAGGCACGAGCACTCCGTCTAGGCGCAACCCTCCTCGACCCAGCCACAGATGAGGCGTCGCTGGCTATCGAGCTCGCGCGACTGCCCATATCCGTGATTCCATCGCTTGTTCTCCGTACCCTGTCGCGATCGCGCAAGAGCTTGCGTGCCTGCGGGAGGACTTCATCCTCTAAGATGCGGATGAGCTGGGCCTTTTTCGCAGAGGCAGGGTAGGAGATGTCGTGGTTGACGAGGATGGAGCGGAGGCGCGGGACAGTGAGGGAGTTGAGATCGAAATCTGCATAAAGGTAATCCAATTCGTCGGCCATGGTGTGCGACGTGCGACGTGGTCGCTTTTCAAGTCACGCACACACCGCTGCTGAAAGTTCGGCGACTAAAGCTGGATGGACGTCGATAGACGGATGAAAAGGGGACTGCTCAGATTTCCCGGCCAGGTGAAGCGCTACCGATTTTCGTCGTTTGGTTTGGCGTTGTTTGAATCTGAGCGAGCAGTAAAAGTGGCACGAGCGTTGTTGCCCTCAGGCCGAACAGGGTTGGTGGGCCGGTATCCAGGGCAACAGGCGGATCGTGAAGCACGACTAACTTCTATCACGGGAGAAGAAGGAGGGTGCTGAGAGAATTTAGAGACAAGGAGTTCTTTCTTTGGCAAGATCGTCTGATGGAGTCGCGTTGCAAGAAGTCAGAGGGAAGTGAATGAGTGAGTGGGCGAGTTGAGGGATAACGATGACGACAAAAAGAAAAAATAAACAAAGCGGCGTCGCACGTGATCCGCCACATCAAACTTCCTTGTCCTTTTGTCCTTGGTCCTTTGTCCACAGACTGTTTGGAGAGATTACCCTATAGCTTGGAGAAACACTATAAACAGATTATATTCATAGTATCGAATACAAACCGAGTCCCCGAAGACCCTAAAAAACCAAAGGCCAAACCCCATAACAAAACCCAAAATACGAACAACGAAAGAACATGGAATGGAACCAAAAGAAGTCAACTCGGAATAATTTCAGGATTCCACCATGGCTCCACGCAAATGCTTTGCAAGGCAAAGGAAAAAGGAAAACATGTTGACTGGAAAAAAGCCTCCTTCCCACCAGACGAGTGAGACGCTCCAAAAGGAAGGATGGGATGAAGGAAAGAGGATACAGAACAGAAAAGAACGACGAGATGGGGATTATTATAGTGCGTGATATATGTATAGGTAGAGGTAGGTGTGTAGAGGGCGAGAAGGAGGGCGGAGAGAAGTGAAGGAGGAAGATATAGGTAGGGAGGCAGGCAGGGTGGAATGACAGGAGCAGCAAAATCTAAGAATTCTTTCGACTAAGGACGTCGAATGACCGTGGCGTATCCAAGGAAGCACGAAGATTCTGGAAAGAAGACGAGGCGGAGGTAGCCATGCTGTCGACGCTGTCCGTGGCGTGCATGGGCACGCTGCTGTACTGTGATGGTGGGAATCGACCGCCGCCAGGCATGCCTCCTGTGCCGACACCCAGCTGCTCCTTGAGCGCGCTGTACTCGGCGAGTTGGGTTTGCAGTTGCTGCATCACCTCCCCAATGGGGACTGCGTGGTCCTCGAGGCGGTCGCCGCTTCGGAAGGGACGCATCATGTGCCGCATGGCGAGGGTGTTTACCGTGAGCTATTTGATGAAATGGATTAGTATGAAATAGTAGAAAACAAAATAAAACGGGAGACGACTAACCTCAATGCGGGTGACCTGCTGATCGACCAGGCTGATCACCGTTGAATCATTCAGTTCACCGCCATGATTTTTGACCATGTTGAACAAAGCCACGTTCGGCTCTCGGAGCTTCGGGTTAACAGGATTCTCCAGCGCGCCGCACAGCCGTTCCAGACGAAGGGTGATGTCCCAGAGATGCCAGATAAGGTCGGTCTGGATATTGAGCTGCGTGTTCCTGCTGAGCTTGGCAGGGTGCCTGTCTGGCTCGACGCCTTCTTCCAGTGTAGACAGTCGACCGGCCAACGCGTGGGGATATACCAGATACAGCGGTTCCGGGTTCTCCAGACCCTTCAGCTTGTGCTCGCCTTGGTCCTTGATGACGAATCCCTGGCTGTTAAGTTGCTGCAGCTCGCGACGGATATTGTGGCCGAGGCTATCACCGCGCGGGTGACTCTCGTCAGAGCCGGTAGATGCCGCGCGTTCAGTGTCGGCAAAGATCTCGAGGTTCCGCTGGATGTCAGTCATAAAGTCCGAGGAGACGAAGATTTGCCCTCCATCAGCGACGGCAGAAATCCGAGACGCGCGATTCACCATGGGACCGAAGTAATCCATACGGTTGGTGACCGGATCCTGTTCACAGACGGGCTCGCCCCAATGACCGCCCATACGAACGGACAGACCGCGGAAGACGATGTTGTTCTCCATATCACAGACAACCTGGCATTGTGGCTGCTCGAGGATCTCTGTGGGCCACTCAGCCTCTAGAAGCTTGTTCTGGCAGTTGAAGCACCAGAGCAAGGCAGCGGTCGTCGTTGAGAAGGCCACCATAAAGGCGTCACCTTCTGTCTTGACCTCGTAACCACCCACGATACCCAGCTGCCGGCGCAGAGTGTCATTATGGATCTGGATGGCAGAACGCATTGCCTCTGGACACGTCTCCCACAATCCCGTAGACTTCTTAATGTCCGTGAAGATGATGGCCAGTTCGCCAATGGGGGCATCCACATAATCAAAGCGGGCCAGCCGAGAGTCGATAGGACCGTCACGAGGTTTCTTAGCACGCTTTGTGCTCGGGATGATCTGATCTTCAGCAAAGGAAGACGAACCCATGGGCAGATTCGGTCGAGACAACTTGGGCTGCCGTTTTTTGAGTTCGCTGACTCCAAGAATCATGACCATCAGCTTGTTCGTGGCGCCAAAGGCAATGGCTAGATCGCGCAGTTTTTGCGCGGCAATCATCAGATCGGGATGCTCGGCTCTGGTGATATCAACCACCACATCGGGCGTCACGTAATCCCACAATTCTTTGGAAGCCAGAACGACCATTTCGTCCTGCTCTGTCAAAGTGACATGCGCGGTGTGAGGGGCAGCAATCACAGCCGGCATCATTGGGAAGTGCCCGAAGCATCGGGACACTGGGAGCATGTCATTCAGCTTGCCGGTGCGGGACACAAATCCCCCAGCGGCACGGATGCGCGCGCGCTCGTTGGCCTCCGCCGGATCGTGAGTCTCTGTCAAGTATCGCAGTGACCCATCTGACCGAACAAGAATAGCCTGGACATCGCCAACGTTCGCGGCATACAGTTCCATGTTATTCAAGTAAAGGACAGTTGCGACTCCACCCGACTGAATGTCATCCGGGTTGATGATCTTCGAAGTCGTAGAGCCGCGGTGGAACTGCCGAACTTCGCGGTCGCGGTCACCAATAGACCTGTAAGCTGAACCCGCCATATTCTTATTCAAGGCGAGGAATGCGCGACGGAGTGCGTCGAGCGGCGTATCACCCTGATCTGGATTAAGCCTCTTCAGCTCGACAGTGAAGGTGGGGGTGAAGTTCTCGTGCAGGTATTTGGCGACTCGCGAGCCACCACTGGACAGAGTATTGCCGTCAAACATGCCGACCAGGGTTTCCACATTGTCCGGTTTCAATCGTGGAACGATCATATCAATAATGGACAGGTGCTCGGTCCGGCCGAGTGTATCGGCCATACCATAGGCGAGTGAGCCGGCAAGCGAGGCAGACGTTCGCACACGGCGGTCCTCTGACTCCTCCGGAATGGTAGGAATAGTCAAGGTGACGTCCATTAAACCCAAGATCCGGAGGTGGGTCAACGAATTGAAGTCGGTCAGGTCAGCGCCATTCGTAGATGAATGACCCAGAGACGCAATATTAGGCTTGATCTCTAGACGCTTGTTGCCCGAGAAGTTCAGGTACTTCAGATTGCGGTTCCAGTTCCAGTTCCAATCGTAAGGCCAGTTGGAGACGTTGTATTTCAACCCATTGCTGCCCACGTCGAGAATGGAGAGCCTGCTGACCTTGCAGAGCTCGGCAGGCAAGACCTGGAATCGGTTGCCATTGATGTGAAGGACCCTGAGATGGCTACCCTCTTCCAGGTCATCCGATGGGAGCGAAGTCAGCTCATTGCCAGACAGATATAGCTCTGAGAGCAAAGGCCACCGTTTGAGGAGTCCTTGTGGAAGCTCGGTCAATTCGTTGTACGAAAGATTGACCACACGCAGCTCTGGAATCAAGGATAGCTCGCGGAAAACCTCATCCTCCAATCGGTTATCAGCAAGATACAGGTTTCGGAGGGACCCTGCAAACGTCGTCGCCACATGCTGGGAGAAATTTGAGTCCTTCCGCGTGGATGCGCTTGCATCGGTGGCTCCCGACCGCGACGCCATTGAGACTTTCCTCCCGCTCTGCTGAGACATCGATTGCGTGCTCCGAGAGGGATCGGGAGGGGAAGTAGCAGAACCCAGACCACCACTGGACGCGTGGCTTGGTCGGCGAAGGTTGTTGTCATCGGGCACAGTCCAGTCTTCGTAATTGGGTGTTCCAGAAACACCAGGAGTCGTCACAGGGGTCGTGGGTGGTTCGCCGGGTACCTGCGGTAGAGACGCACCATGCTTGGGGAAACTGAACAGAACGTTCGAGGATACATTGAGAGTTTCCAGCTTTGCACAATGCCAGATCTCCGATGGCAAAGCCTTCAGATTGCACTCCCGCAGATTGAGATATTTGAGCTCGACAAGACATCCGATCGTTGCAGGCAACGAGGCCAGGGGATTCTTGATTATGCTGAAATACTCCAGTCGACGCAGTTTGCCGATTTGCAGGGAAACAGATGACAAATGATTTTTGTCGAGGATAAGCTTGGTGAGATTCGGCAGGTTTTCAAACATGCCGTCTCGTAATTGAGAAAGCTTGTCGGATGCAAGATTGAGGGAAGTCAGGGTGGGCATGGGAGCGTCGAGGTCAAATTGCGTCAAGAGGCAGTGATCCAAGTGGAGGCCGCGCAGTCTCGGAAACGAACCTTTGAACCGCGAAATCTGATTATGACCAAAGAACAACTGCTCCAGCCGGGGAAGCCGGGACAGATTGTCAATGTTGGTGATGGAATTGAAACGTGCGTCGATCTCTTTGAGGTGCAGAAGCTTTTGGAAGGACTCATCGAGAGAACCGCTCAGGTTGTTATTCGTCATCCAAAGCCGTTCAAGAGTGAGTAGACGGCCGATATTAGGGAGCGTCTCGATGGTGTTGAAGCTGATGTCGAGATCAACTAGGCTTCTCAAATTGCAAAGGAATTCAGGGAAGGCCTTGAACCCATTTGACGATATGTTCAAGCTCCTCAGAGACTGGAAGTTTCCAAAGTAGCTTGGCAGCTTTTTTAGCCGGTTGTTGGCCATCTTAATGCTAACGAGACCAGTCAGCCGATCGAGATTGGCGTGATCCAGCTGTTCCAAGCTGTTATTGGATACATCCAGATACGTCAACCGGCCAGCTAGGCTGAAGCTCGCCGGAAGACGCAAGGCTTCATTGCCGATGAACTTGATCTCGCGCAAGTTGATACATCCTTGGATAAAATCCTTTGGCACATCCAGAGACAGATTCCGAGACAAGTTGAGGGAGATGATTTCCGAAGCTTTCTTATACAGGGTAATCGGGATGGTGACAAGACTGCGCCCCTGGAGGTCAACATGGCTGAACTTCTGCATCTTGTTGAACCCCGGGTCACCTTCCAAACTGCTGTAGCCGCTCAACTTCGTTGGCAGAAAAATGAACCGACAGAGATAGCTGTGATCTTCACGACCAATGTCTTCGATTCTATCTTTTTCTGTGTAGCCAACTTGTTCAAGCAGTTTCTTCTGCATCAGGATTGGCTGTTCCTTGTGGTCAAGCTGCCGGGAAAGATCGTTCTTGCGCAGCACAATTTCATAGTTGTTGAGGTGGTCCTGTAAGAAGGACTTCCTTCCGAGCATGAGGAGAATCTCGGCAACGGTGGCGTTCAAGCCGGCGGATAGGGTTGCAAATGTTGAATCGATTCGAAACACTCGTATGAAGTATGAGGTGCCATCGCGATCGCGTAACCCAGCGGTGGGTTGCGACACCGCCCCGGAGTGCTCCAAATCAAGTTCATCGTCAAACCTCTTGACTTGCCAACTCTCGGGGGCATTCCAGCTCTCATCCTGCTTGCTTGGAATTTCACCCGGAGTAACTGTCCCTGTCCCGTCCCCTCCGGATTTCTGGCGGTTGGGATCGGCCGTGCGAACAATGTCATTCATATCTCTGAAATTGGTGTCCAGCTTCCAAACGTGATCGCCTTCTTCATTATGGCCGTGATTATGTTTCAGAGTATGGAGGTCACCAGCGAAGCTGCTAAGACCTCGACCTTTGCGCATAATACCAAGGCCCTTGCCGGTGTCTTTCTTCCGATCTGAATCGGTCACGTCCACATTCCTTGAAGCAGGGCTTCCTTCCAGGCTGCCTTGTCGGCCTCTGTTTCCTGGAGAAACATCACGCGGCTGTCTGGGCTTATCATGAGGCTTATGAGAACCTGGCTTGAGATACCGAAGCTTGTTGAGAAAATTCTTTTTGTTGGGCTGGCCATGCGGGGAATTGTGGCCGTTTTCGCGATATACCGCACTCCGCACGCTCGGAGTAGGGCTGGTAGAGCGTTCACCGAGGGTTGTAGTTGAGCTCATGGGAGTCGCCGTGTTCAGATAATTATCTTTTCGAGGTCGCAACCCAACATTAAAGTCGTCTCGGCCGGTTGACGGACGGTGATACCCAGCTAGGTTGTAACCAGCTAGATCGCCCGCAACAGTCGGTTTTTCTTCTTTACTGCGAGAATGCCGGTGACCATTTTTGTGTGGTCTTTGAGTGTAATCCCCGGAAGGGGGAGCATCGTTCGGGGGGCCAGCACGGTTTCCGTCCGGTCCGATGGGCACCTGACGCACGGGTGCCTCGCCGTATTGCGGGATGTCTTTGAAGCTTTGGTAAACCCATGGGGTGATATCCCTTGAGGGTAAAGGTGTTTCCGTTCGCTGGCGGGACATACGTTGTGATGCGGCCTCCGAGTTGTCACCCATGTTCCGCCCTCCGCCATCCGAATTTGCTCTTTCCCGTGCCTTGAGCTGATCGACAGGTCCCAGGTGCTTACTGACTGAGTGGCGCTTGCCACTGTCTGCCGCGGGAAGGTCCCCTGGTGAAGTGTAATCGTCGCCAAAGAATCCCTGAAGCTTCTTTCGACGCTTGCCACTGGATTTCGATCCTTGACTACTTACAGTAGTTGCACTTGCAACCGAGGGCCGTCTGTATTCGCCATTGTCATCCACCTCCGCCGGCTCGCTGGAAATTGTATGTGAGGTTGGCGGGCGCTGCAAGGTGTGGAAAGTGGGCGATGCGGGCGAGGCTTCGTGCTCGGAAACGTCATTGAAGAATGTACCACGACCTTCCGTCCCACCCGTAATCACCCAGGGGGCAATCGATTCCAGATCGTCATTCACAATGCGAGGCGGATTGATAGGCTGGGGTCGTGGGCTCGACGAAGTCGATTGGGTTGTATCATCCTCGGGACCTAACGCACCCAGCCCTTTTCGATGTTTGCCGAAACCGGGCGTCTTGCGCTGCTCAATGGGAGAGGTCTCTGGAGAGCTCCAAGACCAGAGGGAGCTCGTCCAGTCGATCTTTGGAGCCTTTGAAGATTCAGGCCTGGTGGCGAATTAGCATCCATGAAAACACACGCCCCGAATTCTCGATCATGTCATAGAGGGACAAAAGGGCGCACTCACGGATCCGTTCTCAGGGTACCTGGGACTGGGCCACCACCGCGACCTCTGGAGGAAGCAGAGTTGGTCCTGGGACGTTGTGTCTCGTTCTCGCGAACCGTCGCTTGCGAAATTCTGCTAGTACCAGAGCTTTCAGAGCCCTGCCGCTGATCGGGCTGCAGTTCAGTCTCGCGCACCGGCATCCTGGTGTCCAGAAGGGTCCGGTTCCCTTCGCGGCGGTCAAATCAAAGCTAGCTTTGTTTCGCGACGATACGACAGACAGTCGAGCTCCACTATCACAAGTGTCGGGATATCGAACGAAAACACGGAGGTTAGGGGACGCGGCGAGGGGCAGGGTTTGAGATTTGGATTGTCTCAGGTGTAGGCGCCACAACCCGGTTGAGGCGGGAGCGAGGTGCACTTCGAGACACACCCACGACGCCGGGCCAGAGATTGCAGATGAGACGAGCTAGGGACGGGGCGAACGCAAAAATGACGCGACCGATGTCATCGATGGGCGGAGCGTGCGGACGCTGGGGGATCGAAAAGGTGTAAATTGGCAGAGAGGGGGGGCGCAAGCTTAGCGTCGGGCGCGACGGCAAAAACGGCATGCCACTATTGCATGTTCTCATAGGAGGGTTCTATCACAGTGGGGAAACCATATGCTGCATGCTGATCGAGGAGGATTTGGGCGTTGGAGGGGGGAGCAGCGTCCGCAGGTGAGCTGGTGAGCTGACGTGCAGGGTCGAGCAGAGGTGGGGAGTGGCCGGATCTGTTTGACAAGCAGGTGCTCTCGTGTGGGAGGGAGAGGAGGCGAGGGGCGGAAGAGAGGAGTGAGTCGATTCGGATGTCAGGATATTCGAGATAAGAAAGGGAGGGAGGGCGGGAAGAAGCGTCGAGGGAATGCCCAAGTGGTGAGTGAGTTGGAGATGGTGGTTGAACTGGAGTTGCGGGAAGAGGGAGCACTGACCCTTTTCGTGGGCACTAGCCATTCATAGCCCACTACGTACGAACTCGTTCCGATGATCTCAACCATCACACATTATTATGCTGTTCGTTCCTGTTGTCGATTCTGCGCTGAGACGGGGAAATGAAACTTATACACATACATATACTGGAGGATACAGGAGCGGGGTTGGGTATGTGAGATCTATGTAGCTTCAGTATCAAAACCGAAGAGCTTGGACCAGTACTGCGGGAACGAATAGGAAGTGGGATCTTCGTCCCTCTTAGATAAAAGGGTCACAGACGGATCATAATAATCATCTCCTATATAATGACAGCTCCTATACCACAATTCCTGGAGCTTCCGGCGGGCGCTCAAACACTTCCATCGCCGGATCCACCAGCCTGCCATCGGCCAGCATCTCCGTCCACAATTTGTCCTTGAACGCTTGACCCGTGTCCTTATCCAGGAATGGCGCATATCCTTCCATCTCGCCACCCATCGACAGGAATTGCCCATGGCTCTCGGCACCGACTACCGCCGCCGCGTGGACAATGCGCTGACCACCCACCCGCATCGGCACAGCCTTGAACTTGAAGTAGACATAGATAAGCGGCTGCATCCACAGCGGTAGACGCGACATGATCCTCGTGCTCACTACCCCGGGGCAGACGCTGTTCACAATGACCTCGGACGCAGGTTGCTGCCTGGCGAGCCGCTGCACGAACGCGATGATGGTCAGCTTGCTGTTCGGGTACCGCCGCACACCACGGGTGAGTGTGTTGCTATCGAAATAGTCTAGGACCTTGCAGCCCGGTGGGATCGGAGTGCGCTCGAGATCATGAATGTCGTGGCTGTAAGAGCCTAGGAAGGTCACTCGCGTGGGAGAGCCCCGTTTGGCGGCGGTGGCTCGGAGCAGACCCAGGAGTTCGAGGACGATGAAGAAGTGCGTGTAACAGTTGACTGGTGGGGAACATGGTCAACAAATACAAGCAAAAAAGAACACCCATTGGTTTCTTCTCATACCTTGCATCACCCGCTCATGGCCGCTCTTGCTCATCTCATAATTAAAGGTGGTGGTGCCGCCATTGCACAGCAGGAGATCCAGCTCCGGGACTTGCTTCTTGACTTGCTGGCAGAAGCGCAGGCCAGACTGGTAGTCGTCCAGATCTAGGTCGAAGAACTCGATCTGGGCCGCCGGGTTCGCGCTTTGGATATCTGCATCCGCCCGTAATGCGGCGACGGCGTCTGCGCCTTTCGCTTGCGAGCGGGCGGTGATGATGACCCGCGCGGCTTGCAAGAGCAGTGTTTGGCGGGCAACCTCGAACCCAAGCCCGGTGTTGCCACCGGTGATAATGACCGTTTTCCCAACCAGATCGGGGGATGGTGGAACCGGATCGGGCATGGTGGACGCGAGAGTGTGGGAGAATGAAGGATCCGCCCACTGACACTGGGCCGACTCGAGCCGTAGACACTTGACTTATAGGCTATCCGACCGGGATCACGGGGACTGACTGACTTGTTCCTGTGGCATCAGGCCCCCAATGCACCAACCGTACGAGTAATTCGAGTGAATCATTACCCCGGCGTGGACCCTAAGAGGCATTCTTGCTGGAATGCCCGAGCCAATCAATAGCCCTCGATTCCATTCTCGAGATCGGCAGTCCATGTGGCATTATGTCCTTTGCATTGGACGTTGAGTTACGGTGGACCGGGATGAAGGGGAGTTGGGGAACAATGACATTGATGTTCATGGTCTTGGTTGGCAACCATGCGATCGACCAAATCGTGCGACCGGGCATTTTCATTTCAATTCAATTCAATTCAATCCATTTCATTTCATTTCTATTTGACTACTCCGTAGGTATCATCCTCTGATTTCCTCGTCCCTGGCTGTCGTCGCCAGCCGTTGTGGGTCGTAGTGGAAACGGGGAGGCTGGGGGTGGATCGCGCCCGGCCACCACCTTTTTGGGAAACACCCCCAGGGACTTCGGATGCAGAGATGAGATAGAAAGAATACACAAAATATCTTCGATGGCAATGTCCCACGCGGCCAGTGTGCGACCGACATTCAACCGCATGGTTACCGCGACATCTACGGGACTGCACCGATCGCTTCGGTGGGATGGGATGGAAGGATCCACGATCTGCCCGATTAGGCAGGGGCCACGGAAATTGTCGAGGCTGGCAGTTGCCCTGACGTGACGGAACTGAACCTTTATTTACTTGGACTCTTGCTTTTTCTTTCTTTCTTCTTCACATCTCTTCCTCCCTCCATTCTATCCCATATTCACCCATCCCCAACTCCCCGAACACCGCTCACCTCACGCATCTATATATTCGGCCGACTCCAAGTCTTGACGTTGCCAACCACGCGGTGCATCATGCACTTGGTACTGAGTGCCACACTGGGCCTGCTGGTCTCGTCCACGTTGGTGTCGGCGCAGACCTACACCAACTGTAATCCTCTGTCGCAGAGTAAGATCTTCTGATCTAGATGGAACGACAGGGTGAACTGACCTGGCTCACACAGCATGCCCCGCTGACCCTGCACTGGGAAGGGCCGACCAAACTTTCGACTTCACACAGGGCTCCTCTTCTGACTTCACGGCCCAGGGAAACGTTGAGTACGACAGCACCAATGGGGCCACCTTCACCATCCGTCAGGAGGGCGATGGCCCGTTGATCCAGTCCAACTGGTACATCATGTTCGGGCGCGTCGAGTACCAGATCAAGGCGGCTTCGGGACGGGGTATCGTCAGCAGTGCAGTGATGCAGTCCGATGACCTGGACGAAATCGACTGGGAATGGCTGGGCGTCAACAACGCTCAGGTGCAGACCAACTACTTCGGCAAAGGAGATACGAGCTCCTACAATCGCGGCGCATTTCATGACAATGCGGGAAACCAGGACAGCTACCACACGTACGCTGTTGACTGGACTAGTGAACAGATCGTCTGGTCCATTGATGGCCAAACCATTCGCGTTCTCACTCCGGACACTGCGGATCCCGGCCAGTATCCCCAGACCCCGATGATGGTCAAGGTTGGCGTGTGGGCAGGCGGCGACCCCAGCAATGCGGCGGGAACTATTGGTATGTTTCTCCTTGCACCTTTCTGCTGTGTCCATGCTAACAAGTTTGTAGCATGGGCGGGCGGCGAGACGGACTACAGTCAAGGCCCATTCACCATGTACATGAAGTGGCTGAAAGTGACCGATTACTCCACCGGAACGTCGTACAGCTACAGCGACAAGAGCGGCTCGTGGAAGTCCATCACGGCCGACGGTGGCCAAGTCAATGGAAACAGTGCCGCAGAGCCCAAATCGACCCAGTCGGCGCCCACCGTGACCGAAACCGTTGCCAGTGTCCCGATTCCATGGAGCGGAACGCACAAGGAGACTGCCAGCTTTGTTACCCCCGATGTCTGGCCATTTGTGACCACCGGAGCACCCTCGGGATCCTCCTATCCCTCCGGCTGGGCCAATGGCTCCGGACACGTCAAACCGCCTGGCGGGGGTTCAGTGAGTGAGCACTTCCCTGCACCTTCCACCCCCTACCGTATCTCCAACTCGATCACTAAGACGGACCCTCCCCTATTGCAGTCTACGCCCCTCTTCTTGTCACCGTCCTTGCCTTCGGCATCGGCTGTCTCTTCCCATTTCGTGCATAAAACTTCGCACAGAATCACGACCCGAACTTTGACCACCAGCACTTCCTCAAAGACCACGACCACACACACGACCAAGACTACTTCATCCACGGCGAGCAGTGCTTCCTCGTTGCCCACAAATACAGCTGCTCCTTCGGTGAATGATGCGAGTGTCTTCAGTCCGCAGGCAATTCTGGCTGTTTCTTGGGTGCTTCTCGGGGGTATTATGGTGGTCATGCTGTGAGGAAGATAATACTTCCTTGTATTATTATTTACGATTAGATGGGCAGGGCATGGCGTTTTTTTAATGCTTTTTTTATGACATTGTGCTCCAGTTGACGACGCATGAGCACTGATTTTCGACTTCACGATGATACAGGATTTGGCATAATGGTGTTTACGGCTTTTCTTGTTCATGCTTTATTCTTATGCCGAGCAGTTTGCTACTGGCATCATGTACTTATTCTCATTGCAGACGTCCACGGAGGACTAGACCGTATAAAATACACCCCCAACAGATGCACCTTTCCCAAAGTCCAGTACATTTAATGGAATATCCGAAAGAAGCCCGTGGAGAATCTCTGGACAGGAAATGTGTTCCGCCCTGACCTCACTATGAAGTAGCCCAACAATAATGCAATGATGCGCGGCCGTATCACCAACTACTTACCTGTCTACCTAGGTGGTTTAATGATAATCCATCCACCAAGCATGCCCTCATCGAGTGCTGGCTGATACATAGTTTATCTTTGAGATCCACGTCGTCTTCTTTGAGATGCTATCCGCCTCCGCACGCGTGTTCCTCATCCGTCACGGAGAGACTGACTGGACCGTCGGCGGGAAACACACCAGCACCACTGATGTCCCGCTGTCTAAGGCTGGAGAGCACGATGCTGAGACTCTGAAGGAGTTGGTTGTTGGTGAGGGGAAGTTGATTGATCCGAAGACCGTGGCGAAGATGTATGTTATGCCCCTCCCAATTCTCCCAGTCCCTACCATGAATCCTGCCATCCATTCACTACATGTACAATGCTAACATCTACCCATGGTATTAAGCTACTGCTCTCCTCGCTCCTCAGCCCGGCGCACAGTCGAGATCCTAGGCCTGGGCGTCCACAACCACCAGGACTTTTTCAACCGCGAGACCAAGTCAACAAGCACCGTTACGTCCCAGTCAAAGACCGAGAGCGTGGACCCGAACATTCAGCTTACAGCGTGGCTCAAAGAATGGAATTATGGCGAGTACGAGGGCAAGACGCTGACGGAGATTAATGGTCTGCGCAAGAAGCAGGGCATGTCCGAGGAGAGTGCCCCGTGGAATATTTGGACTGATGGGTGCCCCAGAGGAGAGTATGTTCTCTCTTTCTTTCTTGGATTTACTATCATCGTTATTCAAACATATCTCGCCCCCTTTTTGAGGGGAAGGCAATACTAACTCTGCGGTGGTAGGTCCCCCCAAAGCATCGCCGAACGCCTCGACGAGCTCATCGTAGAAATCCGATCCGTGATCGCTGGCGAATCATCCAGCTGGCCGAGCGGCAAGGTCGCCGGTTCGCGGAGCCGCCTGAAGCAGGATATCGTCTGCGTGGCGCATGGGCATGTGCTCTCGGCATTGGCGCTGAGGTGGGTTGGGGCGCCGTTGAGCCAGGGGGTGATGAGGTTGATTTTTGAGTCGGGGGGTGTTGCTGTCCTAGGGTATGTATACTTATAACTCTTTTCCTGGTGGCCGTGTGCCTTTTTGCGCTGGTCGTGGTTTGGACTGTAATACTGATATGCGGCACTAGATTCGAGGAGGATAATTTGAACAAACCGGCCATTGTGCTTGGGAGGAGGCCGGGACGATCGGATCGGACGCTGTAGAGGTTTCATCGGACGTTGTGATGGCATTGTAGAGCTGCTGGGAAGGGCAATTGGCATTGTTATGCAGGGTGGGCGGTATTACAGGTAAGAATAGTACTTGATTCTATTATCAACAACTGTGTTTCCTATCTACCAAAGTAAGTGTATGTCACTTAAAGATACCAGCTCAGATCTGATGGTGCAGCGGAATGACCTGCTACGATGTTCACCGGCTGTTCCATCAGGGTTGGTTTACTCCCTTGCAAGTGAGATGGCCCTTTTTCATGCCGGGGGTGAACCCGACGGTTGAGCATTGTCCATTTTATTCTGTTTCTACTCTTGCTTCTCCTCTCAGTATCAAGAGTTCTGGATCCTTGATTCTGGATATTCATTTTCATAGTCCATGTCTGCTGCGATCACTCCCACCTCGAACCGGGTTCATAACAAGTGTTCCTTGCTACACATCAATAGTCCGGCCCGGACAAGAAGCGGCTAGTGGCCAGTCTGGGTTCAGAAAGTGATACTTCTCCACATCCAGTCGAAAGCCGTCGCTACGATGTCCCTCTCTGAGCTGTTTAGCGAGGTGGTTGTCCTCGATACCGATGTCGGCCCTGAAAGTACCTTGTCAACAGGATACGATACAGGACATGGCCTTGTACCACCCACATTGAAACCTTAGTCTTTATAGCTGGCTCATTCAGGATCTTCTTCCAACTCCCATGACACCTAGCAATCCGAGACAGGGCAAAATTGCGATTAATCAGTCTGTTGCTGCCATCATGTTTCCACAAAAACCCACTCTCTTCCCTTCAACTCCCCATTCATGGCAATTTCATTCTCCCCCTTCCCTTCCGGCACTTTGTATAATCGAAACCACACCTGCATAGTCGCCAAATACCCAGGCATGTGTGTCTCGACATCACTGATGTCATTTAATCGACCGGCTAAGGGATTAGTCGTGTCTACAGCGACGACCTTCCAGTCCGTTTTGCCTTCGTCAAGGACTGCAAATGTGCCAAGGACTTTTACGCGCTTGATGTCGCCGATTTGTCCGATTTCGCCGGCGAGTTCACACACGTCTAGCGGGCAGGAGTCACCACGGTGACCGGTGTGAGGGTCTGCGATGCTAGGGTCTTCCCATGTCTAACAGTCGCAACATTTAGAAGAAAAATCAAGTTTCTGCGTGGTTTGGCGCTATACCTGCGGCAAAGACCCATAGTTCCAGGGAAACCCTTTATGCGGAAAGATATTCGGGACGTAGCGGAGTTTGTCGTTGTGGACATCCTGGCGGATCGGAGTCAGGAACTCGTCTTTGGCAATCTGAAAAGTATTAGCACTGTCGATCGACCTATACGCTTCTGCAGGGGTGACATCTCCGATGCAAATAGGTAAACGTGGAGTCGTCGATCTGTATCCACTCTTATACTGCACATCACATCGTGACCCACCTCCATCTTGACGTTGCTCCACCGGGGGGTCTCCATAACCATGTTCACCACCTGTGGTTCATCCTCCGATGGGAATAAGGGGATTGCGTGCCAGGGGGACACGATATCGTCGCCCGCTGTTATATACACGCGAAAGTCCTTGTCACAGGGCTCGCCGGTTTTGCGAGCGTTGTACTTGGCTTCCGGGCCGTGGGACATTTTGGCTTTAAAATAGTGGTTGGTGAGTAGATTAGATTTGGTGATATATCTAGGAGCGCGCAACTGAGAGAGAAACTTGTCCGTGTTTCCTTTCTGGTGAGGTTGTTCGCCTCTGGGCCATAGTCACCATGACGTTAGGGGCTGGATTTGGTGTGGGTTTCTTGAGCAGATAAGGTATTAAAGTATTGGGATAGTCTGAATTTCACTGTTCTTCATGAGGCATGCGTCTTTTCGAGTAACGTATCAAAGGATGCCGAGCTCCATCCTCTCAACGTACACGCTAAGATCAGCCCTAACCAATCTATGTAAACGCCCAAGGTAACACACACTCCGTTACATCCATCGCCGGTCAGCGGAAACTAACCCAGTCATGTGCCCGGTGTTCGCGTGTTGCAGAAGATTTATCACGCCCCCATGCAGCCCAGATAGAGAGTCATCCTGCCATGCAATGTATTTCGCGATGGCCCAGTAACAATGCACGCTGACATGAGCCTGCAGGATGACATGATGACATGACAACCCCAAAGCGATCCAGGAACTGCTACTGGCCAGTCTCCGAGTTGTGTCCTGAGTCTAAAATAAAATATCGTCTCCAGGTGCTCCCTAATGGGCATAGCAAACAGGATATAACTCAGTTTCTACGCGCATAATGACGAGCTGGGCCGGAAGAAAGAAAAGAAAACAACACGCTGGCTAGTGAATATCTCAATTGGAGGCTAATAACAACAAAATCATATGACGATCCCCTCTTTACACATGACCAGAGACCTCAACTTGCCTATTCGAGGTACCTCTGAACGTCCCCATCTCAACCAAACAAGTTTCTACACTGGGCTCGGCATGACCACTCGCCTCTGGTGAAGAAGTCCAAACAACCGCTTGACCCCAATCCATGGCGTATTGATCGGGCTGTCCAGTCCCGTGTAGAGGAACAAGTCATAGATCCAACCACCAAACGTGCAGCCCAAGAACGGAGCGACCATCGGGACCTGTTTGGGCAGATGAGCAAGGGCCGTAGCAATAGAAAACCCAGGACGTACCCAGAAGTAGTGGTTGCCTGCAGCCCACACTTCATGGCCATAACCCAGCATGTAAGACACGAGTCGTGGGCCAAAATCTCGCGCCAGGTTGATCGCATAGCCCGTTTCCCAGCCAAAACAGGCGCCAATGCCAAAAATAACAAAAAAGAGTCCAAGGGGTGTCAAGGGCCCCGCGCCCAAATTGTCGTTATCTTTCAGGGCAAAGATCATAAACATCAAGATAGAGCTGGCTAGAAACTCGGAGAAGAACTGGCCCGTCTTGGTCATGAAATCGGCCGGGTACGTGCAGAAGATGCCTGCCGTGGCCGTGGTAGAGTACCCAGGTACAGTTCGAATGCCGGGTCCCCCTTCGAAGACGTCAATGGCCGACTTGTAGTTCCCGTAGACAATGGCTGCACCGCACATCGCGCCAAGAAGTTGGGCCAGCGCGTAAACGGGGAATTTTCGCCAGGGAAACCCGCGGAAAACGCAGTTGGCGAATGTTACGGCTGGGTTGATGTGCGCTCCTGATGCACCGCTTGTGTACACACCGAGCATGACACCGAGTCTGAGGAGTTGTTTTGTTAGATGATGATGTGGCTTCTAAAGAAAGACACTCACCCCCATCCCCACGAGATTGATTGATAGTCACCCTTCTGGCCATTGCTAAGCAACACTTGCGCGACCACTCCATCTCCAAATAGAATCAAGATCAGGGTCCCGAAGAACTCTGAGAAAGCATCGCGACCATACTCGCGAAGTCGGCTCCAGAGCAGAAGCTGGTGGATGCTGTGAGTATCATCGGTTGCAGAGTGGATGGAAGCTTCATGCTTGCTATCAAGGCACAGAGTAGGATATTCCCTATCCCGGCTGTCCGGAGAGATAGAGTCTCTAGGAATCTTTGACATGGGGAATGATTGACGCGATTGGAGAAAGGTCAATGTTGATACTGAGGGTCAAATAGAACTCCTGAGGGCCTCCGGTGATATATCACCGAGCAGTCAGGAACAGCAGTGTAACCCTCTGAGCTCAAACCTGCCGTCTTCTTCTTGTCGAGTGGCCCCTATGGAATAATGCAGGGTTCTGGTCGAGGACAGTGTGCTTCGGTATCCCAGAAATGCGTGAACATGCAGGAGGGAAGCACTCAAGTCAACGCGGCCCTACTCGGAATAAGCTGGTATATGTAGCCACGGCACACCGTCAATTTCCCTTTTCTGCGCAGTGGCCAAAATATGACAGCGCGCTCTAGCGATGATGTATGCGTTTGTACCCTTGCCCGTTTGGCTTAAGCGGACGGGAAGTGCCGGCTCAATTGGGATCTTTTTTTTCTTTTTCTGCCTCTTCCATAATAACTATATGACACCGCAAGTTGCGGGCGGTTCCCATTCGTAGGGGGCGTTGTCATGTTGGCGTTCGCAGGAAGCGGAAAAGCTTCTTTGGCTTCTGTTACAACTCGTCGGGCAACCGCAAACCACGCAGGTTTCAATTCCAATTTCTAGAAGTTCCAACTGTGCAACCTGGACGTAGAGATTGGGAAAACGACGGTTTGCGAAGGGGCAGACTAGTGCCAACTTGTTTCCTCGCCCTCTGCAGCAGGCTTGTCGGCGCTGACGGTAGCATTCTCTTCGCTTGTGGTCGAATGGCACACCTGGCGGGTTTGTCGTGTGACATGACGTGCACCGGTAGCATCGAGCAAGGGTAATCCGGAGGCAAAGAAGGTGAGGAGGAGGGTTGTAGAGTGACAAGGGCTTTTCTTGTCCTCCGCGAGAGCGACATGGTGGGCGGATTTCACCGAACGCGCCAAGAACAGCGACTGCGCAGCATTGCGAATTTGACCGGAGACGAAGCAGTTGGAACTGGGTGTTTAATAAAACGAAGTTGTTAGTCTCCACCGTGAATCCACATGTGGACCTCGATAACCCAGCCGAGTCGTCCGATGTTCTTCTCCCCGCATTTCCTCCGGCATTAGCTGTTTAGTACAATGCGTCGCACAATGCCCATTATGGAGATTTTTGACGGGGCTGAGGGGAGAGATGATTATTGGAGGAAAATCTTGTGTAGAGAACAGAGCTGCCTCCTGCAGAGAGGAAAAACTCAAGGTTTGAGTGCTCGTGCCTTCCTTGCCCTAACTCACTCAGTTAGTTGTTAATTATGGCACCCCTGAATGCCCCCACGAAACCCCGCGCGGACTAAGTGTCACTGCGTGAGCTTTGATCTCTTGTTATTTAAATGACCGAAATGACCCCTCTGACTTTTCCTCCTGTGAGCTGACACTAGTAGCTACTGTGCAAGACACCTGTCAGAGCTATGCAGCCCTCGGAGATCTTCGTGGGCTCCATCGACCAGGGCACCACCAGCACTCGTTTTCTCATCTTCAACCGCGATGGGGAACCTGTGGCCTCACACCAAGTCGAATTCAACCAGATATACCCAAAGCCGGGGTACGTAGCTCGCTCAGATCGGACCTAACTACGTACTAATCAACACAGCTGGCACGAACATGATCCTCTAGAGCTAGTCACCTCAGTCGAGACGTGCATCGAAGAAGCTATAAAGGAGTTCGAGTCCAAAGGCTACTTTCGCAGCAGCATCAAATGCGTCGGCATCACCAACCAGCGCGAGACAACGGTGGTTTGGGACCACAAGACGGGGGAGCCCTTGCACAATGCCATTGTTTGGACCGACACACGCTCCCAGGCAATTGTAACCGAGCTCAAAAAAAGGCCGGGTGCAGATAAACTAAAAAATATTTGCGGCCTGCCGCTCTCAACCTATTCGTCTGCGACAAAGCTGCTATGGATGCTGGAACATGTTCCTGGGGTCAAGGAGGCGTTTGATGGCGGCACGCTGGCTTTCGGCACAGTAGATGCGTGGCTTGTATACCGCTTAAATGGTGGCGTGGCCGCTAATGTGTTCGTATCCGACTCGACAAACGCCTCGCGCACGATGTTCGCCAACCTAGAGTCGCTTCAGTACGATGATACCCTCTTGGACTTCTTTGGAATCAAAGGCAAAGTCCACCTTCCTCAGATCGTGCCCTCGTCAGATCCCACTGCATACGGTGCAATCGCCTCTGGTGCCTTGGCGAAGGTCCCCATCATGGGCTGTCTCGGCGATCAGTCCTCTGCGCTGGTCGGACAAAAAGGGTTTTCGCCTGGTATGGCCAAAAACACTTACGGCACGGGGTGCTTCTTGCTGTACAATGTTGGTGACAAACCCGTGATTTCCAAGCACGGTCTCTTGGCTACCGTCGCATACAACTTTGGTGGAAAACCCGTCTATGCGCTTGAGGGCAGCATCGCCGTAGGGGGCTCGGGGATCAAGTTCTTACAGAACAACATGGGCTTCATCCAAGACTCTAAGGAGGTGAATGATCTTGCTCTCTCGGTTGAGGACAATGGCGGCTGCGTATTCGTCACTGCCTTTAGTGGACTCTTTGCGCCATATTGGATTGACGACGCAAAAGGCACAATATGTAGGCCCTTTGATGCCATCTTTCCTGTTTCTTGCTAACATCTAGTCCAACAGTTGGCATTACACAATACACTCAAAAGGGACATATTGCGCGTGCAACACTGGAAGCAACCTGCTTCCAGACCAAAGCAATTCTCGACGCAATGGAGAAAGACAGCGGCAAGGCGCTCTCTGAGCTGGCCGTGGACGGAGGCATGAGTAACTCCGACCTGACAATGCAGGTAGGCATTCAATTTCAACCTTCCCTCCTTTTTTTTTAAAAAAAAAAGCCAACACTATTATCTCCAGACGCAAGCAGACTTAATCTCCATCCCCGTCTACCGACCCAAGATGCGTGAGACTACAGCTCTCGGTGCCGCCATCGCTGCCGGTCTAGCGGTCGGTATGTGGCGCAACTTCGCCGAGTTGCGCGACATCAACCGCGCCGGCGGAGCGGTCTTCGAGCCCCGAATTACGCGTGAGGAGAGTGCACAGATGTTTGGTGAATGGGAGAAAGCCGTACAGATGAGCAAGGGCTGGATTCAAAGTGGTTCATCTCAGGATAACACAGGGAAGGCATCCTCGCTTCCCGATGCAAAGGCGAATGGTACACCTGGAACGGTCACACCTGCCGAGAACCGCAATCCACCTACTACTACTGTTACTCAGCCTGAGCAGCCTCTCGTCTCGGACATGGTGAAGAATCCCAGCGTCACTGCGACTGTTAGGGCGCTGGCGCCGAATGGGGAGATGGAGTTCCCGCCTGCAAGAACGCCGCTAATTAGTATCTCCTCTGATTTAGATGGGGCTGATGAGGAAGATTTGTTCCTGGAGCTGCGGAAGGTGGAGATTCTGCAGAAGCTGAAGAAATTGCGGAAGTTGAAACTGAGCTACTACTGAACTCTGGCTGCTTGTGGAGGTTTACAGTAGGTGTTTTGGGTGTTTTCCTTGGTTCTAGCTACTTGGCGATCGTTTACACCCACTGTGGTAAAGTTCTTGCGCTGATACCTCTTGATATAAAGCGTTGGTCATTTTTCAAATTCCTAAATCATACACGTAACAAACAGCCATGTAAGGCTTTGAAGGAATAGTTTGTGTTTACAATCTCATATACATGGACGCCTAGAAAAGCTTCAGCGACATAATTCATAACCCTGACCCAGCAGTGCTCCCTTTTTTCAAGCAGCGACACCTTCTTTAGACGTATACCTCGTCACCTCCTCGCCCTCCTTGACAAACACACAATTGAACTCCGACCCGGGACTCAGAGTAACCTCAAACTGCAACACGGGATCCTCAACACGATCCTTTCCGCTAACAGGCAGGGCAATAATTTGCTCATACGTCTGCAAGATCCGGATAATGGTATACCCCATCTCAATAGTCGCAAACTGTTGCCCGATGCAAATTCGTGGACCGCCGTTAAATGGAACAAAGTGCCAGGGACGAGGATTCCAGCCTGATGTCCAGCGCTCGGGAATCCATTTCCCGGGATCGAGGTAGTTGGCCGAGTCTGGCCCATCGTATAAATCGGCATCGCGCTGCATTAGCATCGTCGAGTAGATTATGCGCGTGTTGGCGCGCACGCCGACAGGGGCCATTCCGTCTGGTCCACCACCGCGGGGGAGTGTGGTGTCCTTCAGTGAGTAACGCACGTTGAATGGGACGACTGGGTAAACACGCATAGTCTCGTTGAGTACGGCGTTGAGATACTTCATGTCTTTTAAGTCTGTGTAGCTGGGTTTCTGGGCATTGGCGCCGACGCCTAGACGCTCCCGGATTTCCTCGCGCAGTTTGGCAACTACTTCCGGGTGTCGTGCAAGTTCGAACAGACAAAAGGATAACGTGCCTGCTGTGGTATCGCGGCCAGCGAGGAGAATTGCGACCAGCTGATCGCGCAACACTCGCGGGTCGCGGGTGAACCGTGCGAGTGCGTCGAGGAAAGTATCCCGCTTCGAGAGCTGCTGGTCCAGTTCCTCGGGTGTGAGTGAGAGAACATGCTGGATGTAGGGCTGGATAAAGTCATCCATCACTTTGAGATCCCTGCGGAATTGCGTGCGAGACAGGAAAAAGCCGAAGACCCTGTTTGTCATATTTATAGATCAGAGATTGGCCAATAGCGAAGCAAATCAACATCGCACAAGATCTTACCCAAATCGGAAAAACTGCGACTGCCGTTGTTGCACATATCTAAACGCCTCCGCAAATTTCGTAGCCGGGTTCTCAAGACTATCTGTCCCATGGCCAAGCAGATAATCCGTCGCTGCATCGAGGGTATACCGATAGAACAGCGAGCCGACATCGACCACTTTGCTTCCGCGCGGGGCATTACTCCCTCCGAGCAGGGGAATCAGTTTTTGCACATGCTTCTCAAAGATCTCGGTATCGACAATGCGCTCACGCACGAACATCGGCCGGATGAGCTGTCGCGACCGAGACCACAATTCCCCGTCCGTCGCGAAGATGCTATCACCCAGAAATTCCTTCCACTCGCGGTGGAAAGTCTCGCCTTTACCGTAATCTGCGAACTGGCCCGTGAGCAGCGCTTTGATGTTCTCTGGATCCATAGTCATCACGATGCGGGTGGAGACGCCGGCGTCTAGCTCGGCGGTTTTGCAGTTTTTCTGGCCGCCTGCGGTGATGATAGACTCATTCCAGAATTCGATATCGCGGTGGACCAGGTTTGCTTGTTGGCCCTTGTAGACAAAATCCAACGCTGGGTTAGAGGTCAGTTATGACTTTTTTTTGGAGTTGCTGGTCATACCATAAGGAAGACGGAATTTGATCTTGGGGGCCCTGGCTCCAAGACGTGAAATTTGCGTAGAGGCCTGGATCATGCGATATAAGCAGAAGAGAACGAAGAGCCCTAGACACCATAGTGATGCCCGTCCGGGCGTCATGCCCATGAGGATATCTTCCATCATGGCGGTCGGTGAAAGAGTATTGTTAGGGGTCGTTAGAGATACATTGGCAGGGTATAAGTAGTACCCCAGACGTTCTCAAAACGGGAGGGGTAGCTGATCATAATCCAGCATTGCTAGGGCGCATCATACGAAGCTAGTGATTACTGATCCAGGTATGCTTGCGAGCCCCGCTTTGATGGCCATGACTTCATTGGATGTTAGAAGATCCACTTTCTACGTCCTCAGTTTGTTCATCCTATTTTATTTTGTCGGTGTCAGTGGTGAACCTCCCCCGCGTTAACGCTGCTCTCCAATGCATTCTGGCTATGTACCGGGGACCTCGGTTTGGCCCCGGCTGCATATGATCTCGAACTTCCCCACGATCGACCCTGGATTGTGGTTGGTGCAGAAGACGCCACATGAAGCCTGAGAATGGCTATTTGTTCTTCCGTCGGTCTCAAAAAAAGGGGGCTGAAAAAAATGGCCCGGTGAAAGGTATATATTAGAGGATGGGTAAGAGGCTAGTTCGAATTCTGTAGGAGCAGCGCTTGAAAAGAAGACCGTAAATGAAATATAAAGTACGACATGCAGGAATATATATCTCGAAAAGCTGAGAATGTGTGTTCGTAACCCAATCCGACTAGCTTGTTTCCATCGCTTGTGAGATCCCAACCAGAATGATATCATCAGCAAAATAAATGAATCTATATATTAACAGTCCAGAGAAGAACTACTAAGCAGACACGCGCATCTGCTTTGGGACGATTATGTTTGCACCATTTGCACTGGTATCACATGACCGCTCCCAGACCCATTTTGGCGCCTCCGGACTTCCTTCAGCGCAACAACTCAGTGTCGCGACTCTACTCGTCGGCAGCAACCGAATTTGTCACCCTCGATCATCCTGACGGATACCATCACTCATCCATTACTTTCCCCTTCCACACAGCCGAGATCCACTGTCCGACCGAGCGCTCATACTGGGTGGCGTCGCGAAACATCTTTCTCGCCCGTCCTTGAGCTTGTCCTCCACGCCTCCCCTCCTCCCTTACAATGCTTCCCACCATTACTGTCGGCTCGCCCCTGGCAGAGGCGATTGCTAATGTCATCCCGCCGAAACTGGTCGAGTTTGGCTGGAGTGAAGATGGAAATGATCCGGCTTTGATCGAATACGTCGTCTTGATGCTCGCCAACGGCAAGTCACAGGAGCAGATCGCCACCGAACTTTCGAACGACCTTCTCGGCCTCGAGGAAGGCGACACCCAGGCCCTCGAGTTTTCGAAATGGCTGTTCGGCCAGGTTGACATGCTCAACCAGCAAATCAATGGTGTCAGTGAGCCGGTGCAGGCGATTCCTTCCATGGGCCAGGAATCAGTCATGCAAGAGGCGAATGGGCAGGATGCAGATATGATGGTCGATGGTGCAACCGACGCGATGTGAGTTTTCTCACACTCTTCCGTCACAAAATACAAGTATACTAATGACGATTCATGAATAGACCCACTGGACCTAGAGCCATGCGCGGCGCAAGACAGGGCAGAGGCAAGATGCTCAACCAAATCAACAAGAGTCTCGATCGTTCTGATTCAGCTCTTCATCGTGTTCAGGGTCAGCGAGGCAACGGACGCATCGGTGGGCAAAACCGAAACCAAAATCAAATGCGAGGCCGTGGCCGAGGCGGCCGAGGCGGAATGGGCATGTATGGCAACAACATGGGTGCTGGAATGCAGATGAGCCCCGAAAATCAGATGCAGCTCATGTCCATGATGGAGGAACAAGCGCGGATGATGTCCCAACTAATGCCCGGTTTTGTTCCCCCTGCAGTCAACCCGGCTTTCCATCAAAACGGGGGCCAGCAAGGACGCTCTCTCTTCGATCGGGTGGAGCGACAAGGAGGCCAACGCTTCAATAAACGTGGACCGCGATCGAATGGCGCCGGGGACGGAGCTTCCGCAGACGTGGATATGGACACTACTATGGATGGAGAGCAGGATGAGAACAGCACCTGCCGCTTCAACCTTCGATGCACGAAGAAAGATTGCCAGTTCGCGCATCAGTCTCCGGCTGCTCCCGAGGGCGTGGCGATTGATGTATCTGATGTCTGCTCGTTCGGCGCTGCCTGCAAGAACCGCAAATGTACCGGCCGCCACCCGTCGCCCGCCGTGAAATCGGCTCACCAGGCCGAAGCGATGTGCAAGTTTTTCCCTCATTGCACCAACCCCCACTGCCATTTCCAACACCCAAGTATGCCGGTTTGCCGCAATGGCGGCGACTGCAAGACCGAAGGATGCAAGTTCACCCATCTTCAGGCCATGTGCAAATTCAACCCTTGTCTCAACGCGCACTGCCCGTACAAGCACGCCGAGGGTCAGCGAGGAGCCAACGTGTGGAAAGCCGGAGGCCATGTCAGCGATCGCAAATTTGTGGACCACGAGAATGGACCTGAGGAGCTGATCAAGCCGGAGGGTGAGGGCGTGCAAGGCCAGGAGCTTGCGATCTAGGAAAGAAAAATGATGCCATGTACAATCTGAATTTGTGATGACGACTTGGGAGATTTCCGGGGAGGGCGTTCCATTTTGTTTTGGAATTTTGCTTGTCTGTAGGCCTATGTACATAGAAGAAGATATTATTCCCCTTGGTGCGACAACCAGAATCGTTTCTTCATGACTTCTCATTTATGTAACTAATATTGTACGTGCTTAAGTAAGCCCGTAGTTTATCTCTCCATGCGGCGCACTTCCTTTCCCAGCTTGTTTGACCTCGTCCCGCCGCGGACATGCGACCATTATGTGTCTCTAACCATACACTAAGAGTAGGGCAGCGACCATTACTAGTCTCTGTCCTCAATGGCCACCGACGCGCATACAATGTCGCCGTGCTCGGCGGCGGCATCACCGGCTTGAGCGCCGCGTGGATGCTCACACACCAGCCCTCCTGCACCTCGGTGACCCTCTACGAGAAGTCACCGCGCCTGGGGGGTTGGATGGATAGTGAAACTATTCCTGTGCCCGGCGGAAAAGTGGTGTTTGAGTATGGTCCGAGAACACTTCGAGGCGCGTCGCCGACCTCGAAGCCTCTCCTCAACATGGTATGAACATTCGGCTTGCCATCACCGCGCGCAGACACTAATTCGACCTGCAACAGATCGCAAGACTAGGCCTGTCCGCTGAAGATTTTATTATCACCCCGAAAGACCATCCCGCCGCGGTCAATCGCTATATATACTACCCAGACCATCTGGTTCGCCTTCCCACGCCTATGCCCGGAGCCGGCTTAAGACGCAACATATCCAACCTTGTTCAAACCATGGCAGAGGAACCATTGTTCAAATCGTTTCTTTCGGGCATGTTCTCGGACCTGACCACGCCACCCCGAGAGCCAGCGGAGTGGACACAGGACGAATCCATGGCTAGATTCATTTCTCGCCGATTCAACTCCACCATTGCAGATAATCTCCTCTCCGCGGTCATGCATGGCATCTACGCAGGTGATATCGACCGATTAAGCGCCCAGACTCTGCTGGGCGGACAGCGCAACCTCGAGGCGCATGGTGGCGTCCTGGCCGGTCTTTTCAAATTAGCCACAGGCCACCGGAAGATTGTGCAAATAGATGATTATTTGGCATCTATATCCATGGATGACTACATTCTCGGTACTCCTTCCTCCAGTGGCTCGGATCTGGCAGAACGCCTAGGCAAGGCTAGCACGTTCGCATTCAAGAACGGTAATAGCAGGCTGGTCGATGCGTTGGAAGCCTCTTTGAAGGAATCTCCCAAGGTCAAGGTGGTTAAAAGCGCAGATATCACTTCTCTGCGGAAGAAACCCGATACTCACCAAATCAACGTATGCTCCGTTCACTCCGTTACTACCGTCCTCCCTGGTTTCTAACGTGCGTTTCCAGATCACATCTCCAGCAGAAGGTCACCAAACCTTTGATCGTGTCATTGCCACAATACCAGCGCCTGAGTTGGCTCAGCTCTTGGCTTCAAGCAACCACAGCCAGGGACACGCCCCCACCGAGACGATCAAACGACTTCGGAAACAAAACTACGCCACCACGGTGAGGGTGGTGAATCTATATTACGAGAATCCCTCTCTACTGCCCCCCGGAATCAATGGTTTTGGCTACCTGATCCCCCGCTCTATTCCCTTCGAGCAAAATCCAGAGTGCGGACTGGGAGTGATCTTCTCTGCCGGTGTCGCCAACGACGGCAGTCCGCTGGGCACGCAGCTCACCGTGATGTTCGGCGGCCATTACTGGGACGGCTGGAAGGACAGTGACTACCCAGATCACGACTCCGCCGTCGAAATGGCTCGCACCATGCTGGAGAGACACCTAGGAATCAAAGAGAAACCACTCGTCACGAGAAGTCAGCTGCAAAAGAACGCTATTCCCCAGTACACCGTCGGCCACCTGGACCGCATGTATCTGCTGTCAAAAACGGTGCGCGACGAGTGGGACAAGCGCCTCACCCTTGCAGGGAACTGGTACAACGGTGTCGGCGTGCCTGCCTGTGTCAAGCAGGGTGTTCTGGCCGCTCAGTACGGCATCCGTGCAGGTTTGTTTGACCACCACAATGCTTACCCTTTGAGGAGATATGACATCCGCAACTGGGAACTCGAAGGGGGCCTTGTCATGCCTCCCGTTCGACTTGATGAGTGGGACAAGAGTGAGACGTAAACCTAGCCAGGGTCGCGGTTTCATCACTTGTTTAACGTGGCGCCGGCTTGTTCTTGTTGTGTATACTAGGTGGATTGTACTAGGAGACGAAGATCGGTATATTGTATCTATTTCGGATCTCTGAGAGGTAAAAACAACTTATAAATGGAATAGAAATGGAATAGAACTAGACCATAGTGCCTTAGCCCGATATCTTCAACGCCATTCCCAGCTCGAGTCTTCACCTGTTATCCATTTGTCTATGCATTTCAGATGGACGCGTGTTGACAAATGTGGTGCTGTCCACTCATCGATGCAACGGCCTCCATAGGCCGAATGCCGCGGTGCAGGTGATGGTGAGAAACGCAGTGCTCGCTCGGAGAACTTGATGGGCCCATGAGAAGCCGGTGAGTTTGTCGGACATTCGTTCAAGCGTGTTTTTGAAACATTGAGTGAAGATGGGCTGTGCCTGGGACTGGGAGTCTTTCCTGGATGGGATTCACAGCGTGGTACCTAGGCAATCGAGGATGAGGCGGACGGATCGGGATTTTCGACTCGAACGATATTTGTAGAGTCCTGGCTTGGTCAAGAACAGAGGGAGATCAGACACTCTCCTTGGCATCGTTCTCCTTGTCGCCATTGACATCCACCCCCAGCGCATTCAGCTGACGCACAAGCTCCTGGATCTTGATCACTTTCTCCAGCTGCTCAGGCAGCAATGCCTCACCCTGGTTCTTCTTGTCGCGCAGATCTCGCGCCTGGCGGAGCTTCTTCCTGAGATTGCGGGCTTTCTTCTCCTGCTCAGCCTCCGCATCCACAGCCGATTCTTGTTTCGTTTCCACAGGAGCAGCGGCAGGAGGAGCGCGCCAGTTGTCTGACTCTGCGCCCTTCTTCTCGCTCTCCCTATCTTCCCCCTCAGCTTTGGCCTTCTTTCGCGCCTCCCGCCGCTTGGCGTTCTTGTTGCTGGCTGCGGTCCCGGGGCTTTGGGCGGCCGTCTTGTCGTCTTCGCTACTCAGCCCCTCTGCGCCCGGCACGCCACCCTTCCCGCCGCGGTTCTTCCAAGCAGCTGCAGCACGATTCTTGTACAGCTCCACATCCTCGGGGGGCTTGTAGCCCGGACGGACACGAATTTCGCGGCGTTTGGAGCCATCGGGTCGCACGGAGGAGGGGATGTAGCGCTCTCCAGTGGCGGCGTCGGTGGTGATACCTGATTTGGAGATGCTGTCAGGCGAGGCCATCTTGGAAGAAACCAGTGGACCAGAAATTAATGCAGGAGGAATAGTTCGTAGTAGAGGTAGGCACTGAAAAATACTTCGTAGTAAAGAGGAAGAAAACAGTCAGGCGGGCGGCCAATCACGGGCGGAGAATGCCGGCAGTTTTCGTGCTTGCAACTTCTTCCGTCGTCTTCCTGGTCTCGTCTCCCACCCACTCCATATCCCGTCTATCCCACTCGCCTCCCTCCCTCCACAATGGCTGGCTCAGTGAGTTGCCCTCAATTGATTTCTGCTCGACTAGCCGTGCTGACTGTTGCAATCACAGATCTCCAACGTGATCTACCAGTTCGTCCATCTGTCCCCCGACCCAGACCCAGACCTCCCCCGACCACCGATTGCTGGCCGTATATGTGCCAATGGGCGCTAACCATGCTCTTTTGTACTCTCCAGGACCTTCATCCGCAAGAACGCGGTCTTCGTGACCTCGATCTTCGCCAGTGCCTTTGCCTTCGAGCTGTGCGTTACATCCCGACCCGCGAACTCTGTTGTGTCATACAGGAAGACACTCTGGCTGACCCTGTTCCCTATTGCGAAATAGTGCCTTTGATACCACCACCAACAAGATCTGGGATGCTTTCAACCGCGGTGTATGTCTGTCCTTGAATTCCCGTCTCGATCACGTTCTTCCCTATTACACCCACACCCCTGATCTTTGGCTGAGCCTCTGCTGACTCTTTTCTCCCTTTCGGTGGCTCAGCGGCAATGGAAGGACATCAAGTACCAGTATATGAATAAGGAGGAGGAGGATGAGGATTAAGCCTTGAGACGATCTGTGTGATTGAAGATGGGCGCAACTCAAAGGGAAGCGAAGCTGTCCAGTCATTAGTGAAGAGAGTCTGTGTTAATAGAACTCGATTGTATTTTTCTCCTTCTCTTACTATTAGTCTCACTTGGATGTAAATATAGTTGCGGTTCCTGTAGTTAGGGTACATGGTGATCACCATAGTTAAGTAGGGTATCGGTCTCAGTCATCAGTGGCGTGGAGACGACCGATGACACCGATGTCATAGCCAGATCCTCTCCGCCTCGACTTCTGCAAAGATTCCCCAATCCTCCCCCTGTCTCGGTGCACGACAGTCGACGGGCCTTTCCGATCTACCGCGATCATCTAATTATTCCACTCTCATCTCCCTCTCTCCAGTTGTGCCCGCGTCAACCTGCCAACGCATTCTCAGACGACCCCCCACTACCCAGAATCCTATCGAATCCTTGAGACACAACAGCAACCTGCATTGACCGATCATCCTCACCTCGACCTGAAACACTCGCATTCCCATTTTGACCGAATTAACCCTCGAGACCACTGTTCGCCTTCGTTTCCTCCACATTCGAACTGCCTCTGTTTCCCGCGACCAGCTCTTCTCTCGGCGCCTGTGACAGTCGACCGGCTGCGGCAACCCACCCTTCGCCCGCCGCCGAAAGAGCCATGCTCATGCTCGCAGAATGTGAGAAAATCCTCGGTAATGGTCTCCTGAGCCTACCTTCGCAACACAACTTTCGCTATGGCCCGCAGGCCGAGCGCGCTCTGCTAGAACTGCTTTTCCGATCGCTCGTGGGACACAATGAAGAGCTCATCGCCCACCTATTTCCCGACGGTGTACCGACGGGGTCTTGGAAGCTGGCCGAGGCACAGGGAGCCCGTGAAGGCGCTGAGTATAGCGAGGCCGCGCGGGGCAAGCGATGCGGGCATATCTTCCGGGCTGGCGAAGCTACCTACCGATGCGTGACCTGCGCCGCGGACGATACATGCGTGCTGTGCAGCCGGTGCTTCGATTCATCGGATCACACCGACCATCAATATCAGATCTCGCTCTCGTCTGGGAATTGTGGCTGCTGCGACTGCGGTGATGAGGAGGCATGGAGACTACCGCTTTTCTGCGCCATTCATACGGACAGTGGCAACGTCAAGGGGAAAGAACGTGCAAAATGCGAGCTGCCGCCCGACTTGGTCTCTTCTATCCGGCTAACCATCTCGCGCACCCTCGACTATTTCTGTGATGTCATCTCATGCTCGCCGGAACAGTTACGCCTGCCCAAGACTGTCGAGGGCATCAAGCAAGATGAAGTCGAGTCCCGACTGAGCCCCAGCTGGTATGGAGCGGGGGACCCGGAGGAGGAGGAGCCCGAATTCGCACTCATGCTGTGGAACGACGAGAAGCATGCCATCAAGGATGTTGCGGAGCAAGTTACTCGTGCCTGTCGTGAACGAAACAGCTTTGGTGTCGCACGGGCCCATGAGACACACGACATTGGCCGCAGCGTCGTCAAATATTCCAAGGACCTGCAACGATTACTGGCTGTCTCGAAGATTATCGAGGAGATCAAGGTCACGGTCACCGTGCGCTCTGCACGCGACACCTTCCGCGAGCAGATGTGCGCGACGATTGTCGAATGGCTAGCCGATATTGCTGGGTGCAGCATTCTCGATGATAACGAGATCTTCAGACAGGTTGTTTGCGAGGAATTGCTGAGTCCGTGGCGGAAAGGGAGCGGTGCCTACAATGCGGATATCGGAATTAAAGGCATTGATGACCACCAACGATACGACACCCTATCTGCCCGTTCCATTATGCTCACAGTGTCGCCCCAGGGCGGCGTAATCGTGACGACTGGTGACGATGGAGACGAAGATATCGACGAAGCCAACGACCAGGACATGGATGAAGACTGGGTTGAAGCGCATGACGACGCGGATGATGAAGATGAAGATATGGAAATTGAACTCGCTACGCAACTCCAAGCCGAGGACAATGAGGACGAAGATATGGACATGGGCACTACCGACGAAGACATTGCTACGCGCATGCGCATGATATCAGCGCTTGCTCGTGCTCGCGTGCAGCGGATGGCCGCCCGATCTCCTGAGACGACGGAGCAGCCTCCAGCGCAACAAGATCGGTCCACACCGTCTCGCGAGATGGAAAACCAGGCTCCTGCCTCCGATAGTTACGTGGTTATTCCTCGGACTCCGTCTGGTGTAGTCAAGCCCGCTCCCGCGCGGACAGAGAGTCATTGGCAAGTTCGACCGCCTATGCCTGTTCCAGGCGAGAAGGTTCCAGTTTACGAAGATCTGTGGCAACGCACTCGCTTAGATTGCCTGGTCCTTTATGATCTGAGGCTATGGAAGAAGACACGGACCGATCTGCGGGATCTATATATCAGCACCGTCGTCAACGTGCCCCAGTTCAAACGGATTATGGGTCTCCGCCTGTCGGCGTTGTACACGGCTTTGGCCCAACTGTATCTTATTGCGGATCGGGAACCAGATCACTCCATTGTCAACCTCTCGTTACAACTTCTGACTACGCCTTCAATAACCGAGGAAATTGTGCTGCGAGGCAACTTCCTCACCAAGGTCATGGCCATTCTCTATACCTTTTTGACTACTAGACAAGTTGGTGAACCACAAGCTGTCAACCCAAATGCTACGCTGGCCTTTGATGGATCGGTGACCAATCGACGCCTATATCATTTCTTCCTCGACCTCCGCTACCTCCTCCAATCAGAGTACGTGCAACATCGGGTGCGTACCGAGGAACAATATCTCTCCCAATTCCTGGATCTTGTCAAGTTGTCGCAAGGCATCTGTCCCAATGTGCGCGCGGTAGGCGAACACGTGGAGTACGAAACCGACACCTGGATCAGCGCCTCAATCCTCATGCGCGAGGTCAATCGGTTGTGCCGCCAATTCTGCGAGGCATTCCGAAACCCCGCAAATGACCATGCCCATAACCTGCTGAGGGCTATCAAAACCACAACGATCACCACGATCGTGCACTCGGCTGGCGTGGAACGCAAACGATTCGATCAAGCAGAGATCAAAGAGGAAATCCGCTTCAAGACCCTGCCACCATTCGATTTCGAAGTCGGTCCATCTGGTGAAGTCCCTTGCCACCGCGTGATCGAATTTGTTGTTGATCGCGGGTGGATCAGTTTCCATCATGCTCTACACTATACCCTCTCATGGCTCATCGAATGTGGCCGCAACATAAGCTCCGATGCGATGCGGAACATCCTCTTTGAAGCCGCCCGTGCTGCGAGGAACGAACTGCACGCTGCCAAAGCTGCCGGTAGTAAAAGTATTGATGATAGTCTCCTCACTTTCGGCCCGGAAGATTTACTTCTCACAATGTTCGACTACCCGCTAAGAGTATGTGCCTGGCTTGCGCAGATGAAAGCTGGGATGTGGGTTCGCAATGGTCTCAGTCTACGCCATCAGGCATCGCAGTATCGAGGCGTTTCGTCTCGCGATTTTGCTTACTACCGCGATATCTTCCTTTTGCAGACGGCGCTGGTGACCTGCGACCCTAGCAGGGTACTTGCATCTATTGCACATCGGTTTGGGGTGGTGGACTGGATGGCCCGAAATTACATGCCTCGCCCTGGTTACGAGGACACCCAGATCATTGACGTCGCAGAGGAGTTTGTTCATTTGCTTGTCATCCTGCTGACAGACCGCACCTCTTTGACTGCTATCGATGACAGCACGCATTTGACCCATGAGAACATCAGCCGCGACATTGCCCACGTTCTCTGTTTCAAGCCTCTCTCTTTCTCCGATCTTTCTGGCCGCCTCAGTGACAAGCTGCTTGACTCGGACATGTTCCAAGACGTGTTGGACGAAATCGCCAATTTCCGCCCACCGGAAGGCTTAAGTGACACTGGGACCTTCGAGTTGAAGGGCGAGTATCTCGACCTGATTGATCCTTATAGCGCGCACTATACAAAGAACCAGCGCGACGAGGCGGAGAACATCTACAAGGAGTGGATGGCGAAAAAGACCGGCAAGAAGGCAGCAGATATTGTGTTCGAACCGAAGCTTCGTCCAATCAGTTCTGGCATATTCTCTGAGCTGCCCCGTTTCACTGGGACTATGCTCTTCGCCCAGATTGTTCACCAATGCCTGGAGTACATTGTGACGTCCAAGGAATGCACACCGGGTATTCCGCCGACGCGGGTGGAGACTTTCCTTCAGGTAATTCTGCATCTCGTTCTTGCTGCAACCTTGGAGGATAGTTCCCAGGAGACCGAGGGAACCTCCGAGCACGAGAATTCCTTCAACTGGCATGCTCTGTCGAAGACCCGTGAGATCAAGGCAGGCAATGTCACCATCGTTGGTCTCTTGGAGAAGATATCGGTGATGGATGAGTTTGCTGCCTGCGGTCCAAAGATTCGTCACATCCTCAAACGCCTGTGGCAGAAACGCCCTGAAACATACACATCGGCAACTGCCTCACTCAAGTTCCCGTTCGACCGCATTGACACCAACTCTCCTGCCATTGACGCGGACAACGAGAAGGAACTGAAAAAGAAGCAGGCCCAGGAGCGCCAAGCAAGAGTGATGGCGCAGTTCCAGCAACAGCAACAGCAATTCCTGAACACCCAGGGCAGTTTCGACTGGGGCGAAGAGGATTTCAGCGATCTTGAGTCGGAGACTGGCACTGCCACTGAAACGAAAACGTGGAAGTATCCCAACGGTACTTGCATTCTCTGTCAGGAGGAAACGAATGATTCCAGACTCTATGGCACCTTTGCTCTTATTCAGGACAGCACTATTTTGCGACAGACGGATATCCGTGACCCGGACAGGATTAGAGAAGCACTGAAGACTCCGTCGAGCCTGGATAGATCAATTGAAAGTATGCGGCCATTCGGGGTTGCTGGTGAGAATCACACGACGATCAAGCGATTGGACTCCTCTGGTGGGGAGGTCATCAGTGAGAAGATCGGTTTGAGCAAGGGCTTTAACCCCAAGAG